ATCGTGCATGGAGTTGTAATATCGTGCGTGGACATGTAAACTCGTGCATGGGCTTGTAATCTCGGACCTGACCTTGTAATCTCGTGCATGGAGTTGTAATATCGTGCATGGACATGTAATCTCGTGTATAGACTTGTAATCTCGTGCATGGAGTTGTAATATCGTGCATAGACTTGTAATCTCGGACCTGGCACTGTAAAGTCGGACCTAGCACTGTAATCTCGTGCATAGGTTTGTAATCTTGTGCATGGACATGTAATCTCGGACCTGAACTTGTAATATCGTGCATGGAGTTGTAATATCGTGCATGGACATGTAATCTCGTGTATAGACTTGTAATCTCGGACCTGGCACTGTAAAGTCGGACCTGACCTTGTAATCTCGTGCATGGAGTTGTAATATCGTGCATGGACATGTAATCTCGTGCATAGACTTGTAATCTCGGACCTGGCACTGTAAAGTCGGACCTAGCACTGTAATCTCGGACCCGACCTTGTAATCTCGTGCATGGGCTTGTAATCTCGGACCTGACCTTGTAATCTCGTGCATGGAGTTGTAATATCGTGCATGGACATGTAATCTCGTGCATAGACTTGTAATCTCGGACCTGGCACTGTAAAGTCGGACCTAGCACTGTAATCTCGGACCCGACCTTGTAATCTCGTGCATGGGCTTGTAATCTCGGACCTGACCTTGTAATCTCGTGCATGGAGTTGTAATATCGTGCATGGTCATGTAATCTCGTGCATGGAGTTATAAAGTCGGACCTGGTATTGTAAAGTCGGACTTTGGGGTGTAATCTCGTGCATGAACATGTAATCTCATGCATGGACATGTAATCTCATGCATGGGGTTGTAATCTCGTGCATGGACATGTAAACTCGGACCTGACCTTGTAATATCGTGCATGGGCTTGTAATCTCGTGCATAGACTTGTAATCTCGGACCTGGCACTGTAAAGTCAGACCTAGCACTGTAATCTCGTGCATGGACATGTAATCTCGGACCTGAACGTGTAATCTCGTGCATGGAGTTGTAATATCGTGCATGGACATGTAAACTCGAACCTGATCTTGTAATCTCGTGCATGGAGTTGTAATATCGTGCATAGACTTGTAATCTCGGACCTGGCACTGTAAAGTCGGACCTGACCTTGTAATATCGTGCATGGAGTTGTAATATCGTGCGTGGACATGTAAACTCGTGCATGGGCTTGTAATCTCGGACCTGACCTTGTAATCTCGTGCATGGAGTTGTAATATCGTGCATGGACATGTAATCTCGTGTATAGACTTGTAATCTCGTGCATGGAGTTGTAATATCGTGCATAGACTTGTAATCTCGGACCTGGCACTGTAAAGTCGGACCTAGCACTGTAATCTCGTGCATAGGTTTGTAATCTTGTGCATGGACATGTAATCTCGGACCTGAACTTGTAATATCGTGCATGGAGTTGTAATATCGTGCATGGACATGTAATGTCGTGTATAGACTTGTAATCTCGGACCTGGCACTGTAAAGTCGGACCTGACCTTGTAATCTCGTGCATGGACATGTAATCTCGTGTATAGACTTGTAATCTCGGACCTGGCACTGTAAAGTCGGACCTAGCACTGTAATCTCGTGCATAGGCTTGTAATATCGTGCATGGACATGTAAACTCGGACCTGACCTTGTAATATCGTGCATGGACATGTAATCTCGTGCATGGGCTTTTAATCTCGTGCATGGAGTTATAAAGTCGAACCTGGTATTGTAAAGTCGGACTTTGGGGTGTAATCTCGTGCATGAACATGTAATCTCATGCATGGGGTTGTAAAGTCGGACCTAGCACTGTAATCTCGTGCATACGCCTGTAATCTTGTGCATGGAGCTGTAAACTCCGACCTGACTGAGTAAAGTCGGGCAAGGACATGTAAAGTCGGCCACGACACTGTAATCTTGTGCATGGACATGTAACCTCGGACCTGGCATTGTAATCTCATGCATAGACTTGAAATCCCTGACCTAGCATCGTAAACTGGGGCTCAGAGCAGGGCGGTCTCGTCGATATCCTTGCCGTTCTAACTGACATCAAGGCATGCGTGCAGGACGTTCGAAATAGATTGTTCAGGCGAGCATGCATGAGGGACGAAATCGGGAGGATACTGGTGTGCGCGTTGGAGCAGGATGCTGCCGGAGACTCGTCAAATTGAAAACCGACTGTCTCTTTACATTTGGGCTTCTCAATCTTCAGCTTGACGTACGCCTTTGGATGATTCTTCATTTGTGCTTTCCTAGAGGAATTCTCTGATAATCATCGAAACTAATACACTCTAAAAGGCCAATATATACCGGTGCAAATACGGTCTATTCCTAGTGCATATCAAAATGAGTGCTACCTTTCCTTGTCCTGATACTGCCGATCAAGAGAATTATTTACTGTAAGGTTGTACACGGAAGAGTTTTGACAGTGCCTTTGTGCCCAAGTGAAAGATGTCAGTGACTATCTGTGATGGTATGGCATACTGTATTTTTTGACTGCAAATTCACATCACAGCTCATAGATACTCTTTGTTCGAGTATGGGGTGTGACCCGCATGCCCAGGACACATGGTAATGTTCACAGGTACAGTTACATATAGCATAGATTTGCCTCATGTACAACTCGCGCAGCGGGTGTCATCTCCCCACTTTGCATGGATTGTTCCCATGCTACATGTTACTTACTAGCTCTCTCGTCGAGTCCTTCTAACTTGTACCTTCTATAAATCTTTAATACACAGTGTATATACTGCATCATATTTACCGAGAGTATTATCCTTTTCCTTGGACCCATTGTGTGTTCACACCTCTAAACTGAAGTTAGCGCCCAACTGTCACGAGTCATAGTGGTTCATGAAGTAAGTGACTTATAGGTGCAGGATAGCTTAAATCGAGCCAAAGCTCACGATTTAAGGCTCCAAGCAGGTGATGCTTTGTATTTTCCCGCTACCATTCATGGTAGTGGGTCTTAGGGATGAAGCGCAAAATCGCAAATGCGCCGTCTCGCAAACTTTGGTAACCCCTCACCCCCCGGCACATGATTGGGATCATTTGCGGTCTTGACTCTTCGGCATCAGCTGAATGCATCTTGGTCCTTTTCTAGTATAATCTAATGGAAAGACAGTGCCTCAGGCGCCATTCAGCCCGTGCAGTCATTTGTCATATCCCGCAGGAAATTCATCTTATCATGAGCAACTCCAGTCGCGTTGGGCTTATGTGCCACGGAGACTGTACCCATCTGTAAAGTCGTCCTCCTTCTCTCTCCACTTTGTCACTTTGTTGATAACTCGACTGCGCAACAACCGCATACACTCCGTGGCTTCTCCAAGTGGTTTGATGTGGTAGCATCTCTGTGTATGCACACCAATATCTATGTCTCCTTGCCTATCTTGCGTGGCGGATCACAGTTTGGGACCATGTCTACTATTGGCGAGCGATTGAAGTCCGAGAGCGGGTGCGTGAAGAACGTGTGTGGGATGCTCGGGGATGTGAGTAGTTTCTGCCTCGCGAGACGGTCGGCGGGCCACTGAACAATGTCATAACGCGCTCGTGCGGCGGGCGAAGGTGTGAGTGTGCACTGGGGCTAGCCAAGTGCAACACAATGCCTTGACCATGGGCCTAGGTGGCGGACGATGCCTTGTAGTCTGGACGTACATGGCCATCAGCGGCATGTATAAGAGCTTACAGTCTGGGAAAGGAGCGACACTAGCCCTGCTGATGATATCGGTACACTAAACAGGTCATCAGTTACGAGAGAGCTGGCAAGGCACACAAATTGCTTAGACCGAAGCTGCCTGAGTCCAAAATTAAGCAGTAGGGTACACATTATGTGGCAGCAGGCCTTGCCGTGAAACGGCCATTCAGAGTTATTACAACTTCAGTTCTTGTTGTTGTTGAACATTTGGCCTGCCACGACATGTCACGTGTGGGGATCCTGCCTGGAGACCCTTTACTAGTACTCTCAAGTCACGCTCGTACTAGTAGGATTTTCTTTTGCTTGTATCTCATGTACATTGTATATTAGATCAGATACCTCGTCGGCCTGCTGCTTTGGGAATAACCATCATACTTACTCTTACCATCATCTGCAGCTCGAACTAGCCTCCTCGAAGAGAGGCTTTGAGCAGCAGGCACCGGAAGGGTCGCCTCCCGCCTCATCGTAGACTATCACTCCGACGCGGGCACTCTCTTAATCGATCTCACGTGCGCGCGTCGTTACACGAGCACCGCACGCTACCCGAGCGCTCCCGTGCCTGACTGTCGCCAACGGGCGACCACTTCGCGCTCACTCCTACCCACTCGATCGGTGAGATCCCCACTCGCGGGCCCAGAGCTCCCGCAGCATCGGCCTTCTCATAAGTGAAAACCTTCAAAGTCTTCCCCTCGGGATCGACCTCAGTTTTGCTGTCCTTCCAAGAAGCAGAAGATGAAGAACACCACTTGTGCCACCTTTGTGGCGAAGATGAAGTGAAGCAGCAAGATAGGAAGGCCGGCAACTTGAAGGTAAAGGAAGTGCGCAAAGGGCTGCATATCACAGGGGCGGAGCAGAATGAGGATGCGCGGTCTACATTGGTATGCAACTGTGATTCCTTCGAAAGTTCAAGGTCCATTACATTAGGTCTTGCTTCCGAAAGCAGGGCTCCTGGATAAGTTAATTATCGTGCCAATGGTACTGATCTTCAGTAGTAATTGAAGTGTATTGTACTATTGTACCATTTCGTTCAATTAGTCTGTCGCACGTCACAAGGGGGGGGATGACTTGAACCAAATGTCACACATGTCCTCCCCCGAAGGCTCGACTGACCAAAATGACGATCGGCTGTCACCGTGGGTGGGCAGCGTTTCTGGGGGGGGGGAAGGGTAAGCCACCTCCACTTCGCCTTCAGAGGGGCTTTCTAAATGTTGTTTTGCACTTTGTCACTTGGTCGCCACTATAGCTGACCAAGTGCACGGTTGGTCCTAAATGTCACTTGTCACACCTGGTGACCAATTGAACGAACTGGTACAGTATAGGTACAGTGAAGCTTGTTCACATGAAAGTCTTGATATCAACAGATAGTAGTGACAGCTAAATGCCACTCCAAGTAATACTGCAGAAGTAGAGTGACCACTTCAAGGATTCTCAGATACCTATGAGATATAGCCCCATTATACTAACGTGCATAAACGTGTGTCGCGCGACCGCAGCATGTCCACTCACTAGACGCGCCACTCGCACGAAGCAAACCTGAGAAAGTTATGCCAAGATCACAAAAGACAAGTCTAAGACTGTGGGATACATATCGCCTGCCACAGTTTTCCTAGGAACGAGGGTTTGGATGTGAGAAGAGCGTGATATGAAATACGTGAGTGCGGTAGAACAAGGGCTGACGCTGGCGGATCTGCTGGCCATCGGGCCGTTGGCACCCAGGATATTTGGTCGAGTTGATGGTTGTCAAAGCGCCTCGCCTGCTTCCCTAGCGCTGAGGCCGACGTCGGCGAGCAAGGTGCCATGGTTTGACTATCTAGTACAATACTTAAGCGGGGGATCCACGATACAGTTGAAGCTCTCATAATGGATTAGGTATGAGCCTGGCCGAAATTATCCATCATGAGCAAATATTCATTCCAGCGATGTCACCTGACGTGTGGCGCACAAACGTGACAATGGCGCAATCAGGGCCACGTTTGCCCTTCTGCCATTCATGTATGGCATTGTTGCATTATTTGCATATTATATGTACAGCCAGATGCACAATTTCTATTGCTTTGTCGTCTGAAATTGTTGAGATTGAATTTATCCTAGGTGGCACCCCCTGTATATCAGTGAATGGTTACCTCTCACTGGCAGCCTATCCAGTATCCATTATTCACACTTTGCCGTTTTTTCTGCATAAGAAGTGGGGGGTCTCTCATTTTCGCCCAGGTTATACCCAGAATGAGATCTCTTCACTGCGAGAATATCCATTAAGAGAATTTTGACTGTAGCGCACGCAGCGCCTTCGGCGCGCCAGTGGTGCCATGGCTTGATGGCCCGCGTCGTATGCCACCGCCGCTTGGAAGGCAGCGCAGGACTTCAAGCGCCACTCTTTGGCCACAAAGTACTATGCACATCGTCTACATGGAGTGCACATCAGGGAATGCCCCCACGGTATCGTGACGTCTTCAAAACTATGTGACACTGTCGTAGTACTTGCGCGTGCGCATTGCCCCGGTAGGCCCGGATAGTTATTCATAGCTGCGAGGCGGAGCTGTATAGCACCTTGTAGTCAGCTGTAGGAGTCCACACTGTTTCTCACGTCGTAGTTGACTGCTTCAATATACAGTGCTCGATAGATGTTTCTTCAGCAGCGAGAACTATCAGAGCACTTTTGAACCATATCACTCGAGAAGTTGAGTTGGAGCTGAGTAAATTTCATTGTCTCGAGGGACGCCTACAGCTAACATGAAGTACGCTACACGAAGTACGCTACCGTCATCGAGGCTACACGTCGACATAGTTTACCACAGCCTTCTACCCATTTGCTGACTCCTCCCGATCTCTCACCTCACCCATCTCATCAGGATTGAAGCTGGACAGGGAGCGGGGAGGAGGAGGAGGAGGAGGTGGAGGAGGTGGTGGTGGTGAGGGGTAAGCTGTATAACGATGTACGTGGAAATTCGTTCATGGGCCGCTAACGGCGAGCTGCCGCGCCGCATGGTGCATGAAGCCTTAACCTGGATGGGGAAGGGAACGGGGACGTCATATCACGACGTACTGTCCCCATGTAGTGCGACGTTTGCGCCACGGCGTTGTGCGAGGGAGCGAGGTGACAGATGAAGGTAGAGACGTGAGCTTGTGAGCACCGACTGGATGGAAATTCGCCCCCGTCATTTCGAACATCCGCCGGCAAATCCCGCGAGGTCACGTTGCTCCGATCCAGTCCGCCGAAATTGCGCGTCGCGTCTTGCTTCCATCGCCCAAGGTCCTCGCTAATCCTGTCGCTGATGTAGGCGTCCCTCCCGGGCATCCCATCTGTGTATACAACCTCAACAGAAGTCAGTATCTGCGCAGGTGACTCGACACGCATGTCCTCGCGCTGGCGCTCACTGTACTCGCTTGCGGACGCGTGTTGGAGTCAGCGGCCGTGTCATTCGAGCGTCCGGTGTGTGGGTGGCTACCTCACCATAGCATTCAGCTAACATGACTCCTCCCAGACTTAGGACGGTGTCAGTGCTCGTGCTGACCGCCTCAAAATCAGCGCAGTCATCGGCAGTAGAGGTGAGTATCACAATACGCGTTGATCACGACGGCTGACATGAACCTCTAGACCCAGCCCTTCACCCCTCCGGAGACCTTTCTTGAGAGTGCGCTTCATACACCGCGTGTTCCTTGCCTTTGCCAACTCGCGTCCCTCGCACGGTTCGGAGATTGGGTTCGCCGGCCCGCCTCGTAGCTAGGTCACTCCCAGTCAAGGCCTTGGCGAAGTCCATGGTCAGGAATTAACAATGGGGATTATGGCGGTAGTGAAACGGTTAATGGCATGCGCTGGATAAGGGAAGTGACGTCGTGCTGAAGCGCGAGTGGGGGGCGGGGCAACCCAAAAGCGTAGTCAACTTGATGTAGTAGTGTAGTCGTTGTTGAAATCCGATTCTTGTTTGTTTCCTGATCATTTTTGCGTCCCATCGAACGTGTAGATGCTATGAATTATCCAGATAGTCGTGTAAATCGGCTGAGCTACGAGATAGCTTGCCAGAACAGGTCTACTACTGTACCGGTATGTATGGAGGCAACCAGTAGGGGGTGCGTTACGCTAACAACCCCCCGCTAGTAGGCAACCGACCCCCACGTTAGGCGTTACGGTTAGTTGAATAGGCAACCACTCAAGGTAGATTTAGAGCTTGCTAGGCGGAAATTGGACGTACAGCAGCAGGAAGGCTCCGATGCAACAGTTACGACAGAAAAGCCTATTTCGGAGCGAAAAAGACCGTCTGGGTCGCGCCGAAAAATATTCGAATTTTCGTCGAGTTTGCGCGATGGCAACCCCCCCCCCCCGTTATGTGTTACTTTCTTATAGATAGCCAACTTTTTGGGCCCGCGTTACGCGTTACGGTTGCCTGCATACATACCGGTACAGTATGCAATACTATGGTGCACTATCCGAGCCTACGAGCAGCAAGCAGGATGCTATTTACACAAGGGTAATGGGGACTGTTTGATTTGGCTATGTTAACTATCCGAGCGGCCGTAGCCCGCCATAGACATGTCAGCATTTCCTGATGAAGTTTCTTGTAACAGGGGGTGCAATTTTCCTGATGAGCAGAGGATGGATTATGGGGTCGACACAGCTCCTGTAGAGAACAAGAGCAAGGTGCACCGGAAAATCGCCAAATTAATCACCTTGCTTGCAAGGTCTTATGGAGGGGTCTTATTGTCTGATCGGATTCTATTTTGCACACAAGACCAAACACACGAATATAGCTAGATCGAGATCCCTCCGATCACTTTCCATTCTTGTACTCCTCAACCACGGGCTGACGCCCTCACTTTATCGTCTGCTCAATGCTCCTCTGCTCTATTATCTTACATGTCCGTGATACACGGAGATACAGGCCCACATTGAATACACGCACTCGTTTAGAATTACAGCGGCTAAGCGACGCTGCCTGATTCAGAGCAACAGGCGACCGGCGCCTGGTATAAGTGCCAGTCCTCATAGCTCACATATACACTCAGACAGCTGCTTGATTCACGAGTGCTCGATTTGGTCACACACACTAGGCTACAGAAAATTGCGGCGGAGGCAGACATCGACGTTCAAGCCAACTTGCCACGGACGGACCCACAAGATTACACAAACCTCCCCTACGACGCTGCCGCCAAGGCAGCCTGGCGGTCTCTGCGTCATTTCTGGCTCTTTGTCTCCACGCCGGCCCTCGAATTGAATATCGAGCATGTCCTCACAGCGCACCGTGTCTGGGACGTCCCTGTTCAGGTCGACCTTCGGGTCCCGGAAGCGTATCAACAGCCCCACTCTCTCTGAGTCTGTCATTTGCCATGTGTCTTCGACTTCTCACATTTGCGTGCATACTGTCCAGAGTAAGCAGTGCTCCTCGCCCAGAGTCATGTCCTTCAGAGTCTCCTCCCGCTCCTCGACTTCTTTGTCTAATTGGGTGGGCAGCGGCATGCGCAGCACCATCTCCTCGCTTACCCACCGCGCAGTGTCTACGCCGACGAAGAAGACCCTCTTCAAGCCGCGAAAGCGCTACGTAGCAGACCAGAACAGTGTCCTTTCGACGTCGCGGCCGGCGAGGTGGTCAATAAGCTGCCCCAGTGGCTTGAGGCTCATCATGTAGCATTCTGCGGACATGTTTCGTGCGCTGGATACCGTCACCTTCCCCCTCCATCAACCTAGGCAAGCGGGTGAGGTGGTTCCGCTCGGCGACGTTACTCGAGACTGCCGAGACCACAGGTTGTCCCCTGCTTTCATCATACACGCTGGAGCCCGGCCAATTGGCTCCCTTCACTATCGTTTTTCCGGACACTCATGGTCTCCGCGGTCACTCCAGGCTTCCCCCGGCTCCAGCTGAGGCAATAGCTCTCCGGGTCTCGCGCCGCTCCTACGCGCAGACCCCAAAGCCTCATCGCTGCCGATGCGCCTGGCGACGTCGGCTCCCTTGTTGCACTCGCGCACATAATGCGCAGTTCCGGCATGTACTCGCCAGATACTGTAACTCTCACCCGGACAATTTCTATGCGAGTCGCTTTTCGTACCTTCCCACACTGATCAGCAGTTCGATACTCAAGTACGACTTAGACACAATCAGACTACTGTATTACTCTCGTGTTCTTGGCAAGCAAGGTTTCCAGGAGGCGAAGCCGACGCTTCTCTAGTCAAACAAGGCAAGTGATAAACCCCCCCCCCTCCCCCCCCCGACTCGTCGCCCTATTATAGATGCTCCACGGTCCCACGGTCCCACGGTCCCACGGTCCCACGATCCCACGATCCCACGATCCCACGGTCCCACGGTCCCACGGTTCCACGGTCCCACGATCCCACGATCCCACGATCCCACGGTCCCACGGTCCCACGGTCGATTGGTCCCAGGCCTCCTACCACCATCATCGAAATGCGAAAAACGCAAAGGCGTCGTTCGAGCACCGGCGCGAGCACTCAGAGGCGCTAGTACAAGCAGCCTGGTGCTCGCCCAGCCACAGGCATGGCTCAGCAGCGTCGCAAATGCGCGATCGAGCGTCGAGGGCAGAGACAACACTCAGAGAGTGCGCCGGCCCCACGCAGCGGGTACCTGTGACTGCCCTGCCCTCGGCGGCTCGCTGCGACACGAACGCTCGTAAGCGCTCAGTCCCAGCTCATCACCCCCAAAAAAGCCGGGCGAAGGGGCGGGGGGAATGGGCACATCGCTCGCCTCCCCCTATTGACGCCCCAGGGGCGCTCCCCACTCGCGCTCGGCGTCCCCAACCTGCGGCGCTCACTACCCCCCTGCTTCTCCTGTAGCCGTCGCCCGCACCTGTGCCCGAGTACTGCTCATGTATCCCCATTAACAATATACATATGCGTGCCCAAACCGCCACCCGCGATGGAGATAATAGTGAGAATGTGGAGGACGGCTTCCTCGGCTGCTCCCACAGCCTGCCTGCTGCGTCCATGACCTCCACGGCTCGCTGGATCACCCGGCCGTCAGTGCGCTGCCCCGCCCGGGCCATAACTCACGTCGCCCGGGCCCGCCTTGCGTGCCCCACTCCCCTGCTCCCACGCTACACACTCGAACACCGGAACGCCCCTCCGGCGACACGAACGTCTCCGCTCTGCGTTGGCTGTCTCTCCCATCCAACTCACCCTATGCAATCTGGCACCCGACGTAACACTGCGACATCTCCGGTCCTGCACAGCGCGGTGTTCAGATCGCTGTGACTGCCTGCCGACCGCGGGCAATCCCCGCGCGCAGACGCTGGATGGGCCACGCACTGCGGCAGACAGAAGTGCGTGTGCGACTGAAAACAGGGGCATAAAGACGAAAGGCAACCTGCATACCGCTCCCCCATGCGGAGGATACTAGGTCTTTCCTAAAAATCAATGTGCATTCTTCCATTCACCGAGACTGGTATACTACCCATCCGCTACCGACGACTCATCCTTGCCCTGCGCTTTTACAAGCATCTCCTGCTGGACAACACGGGATCTATCGCTGCCCATGCCTTCCAGGACCGCTGTACATGACGGGAAAGGCTGGCTGGCTGGGGGATATCGCTTACGCGCTCGCCCGGCTCAGGTGCCCCGTCCGCGTTGATTTTGTCCGCATTATGACGGGATCCGACGTTGACGAGGTCATCCAGCAAGTCAAGGACTCCTTCCGCATCCACGTCCGTGCACTGCTGTCCCAAAGAAGATGGTTGACTTCGTTGCGTGCACGCGAGAGCATGGAGGCGAACGGACTCAAACCGCGCAACCCGATCCAGTACCGCGCCTACCTCGACATTGCGATGCCACACCACCTCAAGGCGCTCACCCTCATTCTCACTGGGGAACACCCACTTCTAGACGTGCGGGGTGGATGGTCACAGCGCGGTGTGGAGATCGCGCCTGAGTGGCGCCGCTGTCGTTTTTGTGAGGGAGGCATTGAGGACGGCGTGCACGCGCTCTTCATATGCAATTCCCGTGCAGAGCTGGCGTTGCTGCGCACGCGCTTCTGGGAGGACGTCGCCGACATCGACCCCTCCATTCGTGGGTGCTCTCATGATCCAGCTGCTTGGATTCACGCCCTTTGCGCGCACCCGGCGACGTGCGCTATGCTCGGCAAGTTCGCATTCGATGTCTTACAGCTCTTCGGGATGCATCGCGCTTTCTCGCCGCCCACACACGTGTGGGTGGCTGCTTCGGATGGAATAGGTAACCAGGACGGTGGATTGTAACTCACAGCGTGCGGGAGCGACCAGGAGGCAGCCGGACTCTTGTTGGGCTCGCTACAATGGTAATTCTGTGTGTTGTATGGCTTTGTAGCACGTACGATAGTATGGGCGGTATACTGTAAAAAAAAAAATCTCGAAGGCGAATTAGCAACACAAATCTCCGAATTCGATGTAAAACGACACACGAAGGTGAGTTCAGTCAATCGACGCTTCTGATCGAGAAGCTTCCTGCAGTCGAGTGCTGTATAACAGGCTTGATTTGTGTCTGGGGATAGCTTAGCGGTGGCCGGTCGAAGGGGCATGTGGTCCGCAGGGCACGGACAGCTCCAGGATCTTGATTTCTCACGAGGGCGGCACCCTACCGGCGCAGGGGGCACCTACACGCTCACTCAGCGAGCTGCAGGGCTGACCTAGGGGTGCACACCATACCCTACTTGATAGGGACGAGTGCGCGAGGGACGGTAAGCCGAGGCTCGTCACAGTGCTGGTCACGGGGGCCCCCTCGAACTGAGAAGCCTCAATCATGTTTGGCGCCATTCCTAGAGAGCGCCCTCACCTCTTAGCTGCTGCGATGTCTTTTAAAGCTTAGATAGTGTTGACTTAACCGGTATACAATGACCTACAGCAACAAGGTAAGTCCAGCACGGCCGAAGCTCAACTTGTCACGTGGATTGCACGTGGCGGTGCGCGGGACTTCCTGCTGGTCCCTCCCGGCAGCGACTGACTGCCTGCCTACCGCGGCGACGAGGACTAGTAGAGTGCGAAGGCTTTTTTCAGTGTAAGTCCCGATCACAGGCGTCGACTTAGGTCTCGACTGACCGAGCTCGTCGGTTCGATGCGTCGATTTCGACGAAATCTGGAGACCTGCGTCGTTAAGTCATTCCGAGGTTTTTTTACAGTATACCGCCCATACGATAGCACTGTACGTTGTAGTACGGGCACCCCGTATGTTCCTTAAGGGACCGCAGTCCAGTTTTCTCACTCGTCAATTGGCTCGTGGTGAGCAATGGTGTGCTTGTTAGCGCTGGTTCGGTGGCAAGCCATCGAACAATTGCCAACAAATGGCCAAAAGTAGACCATCAGTCTTGTATCTTACTGATGTACCTGCTTCGCGTGGCGTCGTGTTTACGGTTTGCACTGACCACGGCGGCCTATATCCTACTGACAGCGCGCCTCCGCATGCAGCGCTTCTCAAATCTTGTGCACACTCCCCTTGCTAACTACATTACAATGAAACGGTGTTGATTCCGCTCACATTGTCCTGAGGGCACGATGCGCTCGTCCTACTTGTTCAGTAGCATGTGTGATCTTGTAATCAAGTATTTATAGTATCCCTAGTCCTTGAGGCGCCCAAATCTACCCATACCGCCTGTGCATACCGCGTTGCATGCATAGCGAAGGCTGGTTGCATGCGAAGAATCAACATACACGCCATTACCACGTGCAACACGTGAGCGCACGCGACCCCCCTCCGGGACCTCGGACCTGGGGCCGAACCGCAACCGTTGGTTTCGGTTTCAACTTTCAACGTCCCTATTGAGGAGCTTTGACTTACCTGCATCTCGGCACGCATGCTCTCAAACTCCTCCTTGAAGCGCTCCTCAATGAGCTCCGTCATCTTCGTTCCATGGGGTAGGTCGCTCTCGTCGATGTCTGGATTGAGGTAGAATACAAAGTCCCGAGTTAAAGGCGTGCCAACAACGTTGATGTACTTTCGTAGTATGTTCGCTGGGGCGAAACATGCGAGACTCCGTGAAGCTTACCTGGTCGTCTACAGCAAGCCAGCGCAGCAACCTATCGCGCATAACATTCCTACATATGGCAGGTTGTTGCGCGAATGGACAGCGCCGTCCTTCATCTGGTAAGGCTTGTCGTAGTCCGTGAGTGTTGGTGTGCTTCTACACGCGCAAGCACATCTGTATTTACGACCTGCCGCCTCCGGATAGCCTGGACTTGCGGTTTGCCTCTAGTATGCCCTCAACAGCATAGGTTGGAACAAGGATTTTGATTATACGTCTGCGATCTGTGTGTATGCTTATACATCTATCATCTGAGGACAAGCCTTTCTTCCAGAGAACTGCTAACGCTCGGGTTCCGAAGTGCGACTTGACGGCACGTGCACGCACATGACGCGGACCGGTCTGCGATCAGCGACTCGCGTGGCCAGATCTACGTCGCCGATTGACGGATCGCCCACCTCTTGAATTCATCGCCTTAGGATATGCATATACCTGCAAATCAAGATGTGGGTCATCATTCCATGCTTACCGATGCATTAGAGTAGGTTTGCTCCATAATTTATTACAATCCATTAAGATCTTTTCATAAGTTCTTTGGCTCGGTGCATAAAGTATTCTTCATCCTAGTAATGTCTTTCGGTGATAAGATGTGCTCGGAGGCGTCGGACAGGGTCTAGCGCGCCTGCGCTCGCCCAAGATCCCCACTCCAACTACGCATCTCCATAATTTTCTTCAACTTTCTCAATCACCGTTCATATTTTCATCGAAAAGATACAGCAAGCGAAAGATTAATAGAGACGAAAGCGCTGTTGGAGCGTGAGTGATCTGTGCTTCTGTGGAGCAACACGTGGGGCTATCCCCCAGCACATCTCAGGGCCTCTGACGACGTTCTGCTACCTAGGACGCTCGGTAATGCAAGGGACTTGTATGAAGCACACATGCCGATAGAAATAAACCTGGCCTTCGAGGGAGAAAGGTCTCCACTCGCCTAGTTACGCGAGCTTGAAAGCGCTCCACAGAAGCTGAAATCACGCGCGCTCCACCAGCGCTTTTGTCTCTAACGATCTTTCGCTTGCTGTAATGTTGTCTACGGACTAGACCGTACATAAATTACTGAGCAAACCTACTCTATTTGCATGATCATCCCAATGTCCAACAACTTTAAGTATAGCATGGCAGCACGGCCTGCTTATCATAAAGTTGCTCTCAAGGTCACCTTCAGGCTAAACACGACATCCACAAGTCGATCTCCTGTGCCAGAAGGTGGATGAGCCAAAAGGGGAGACGATGGCGGAACAAAGTCGAACACGGTGGCGTTTGTTCGGCATTTGCCGAACTTCTCCGGCAGACTCTTCCTGCCGTCCAGCTGCCGTTGGCGAGGAGCCCGGTTACATAAATTTCACCTTCATATCCACCACAGTGTACGAGCACATGTTCTAGGTATATTTAACAGTGCTTGGGATTTGATTATAAGCAAATGTGCTACTTGAAACGCGGCTGCGCCACCGCGAATATATTTTGTACGGAATCATGCGGGGTGTTTCTCCCATGTAGAACCAGGGCCGTTACCTCCCTGCATAGCCGCGGTCGTACCGAATGGAACCGCAACTCTCCGCGGGAGTTGCCAAAAATTCTCTACCTGTAAGCAACGGCGTTACTTCAGAGTAGAGCTCCTCGAGCCGCTCGGATCCGACCGCCATGGAGCACATGCACGGCGTGCACAGAAAGTCGCTAGGTCCCTCTCTTGACCACCACCATGAGCGTCACCTGCCTCTCCTCCCATCTTGCACGACTTTGCTCCCCGCTACCGTCCCGGACTCGGACAGAGCCCCCTATATGACGCTCACCATCTACCCTCATTCACGATCGACGCTGCACATCAAGACTCGACCTACGACTCCGGGGACGACGTCTGTACCCTGGCGACGACGGTGACGCGCGTCGCCTCTAGTGAGGTGCATTCATGCGGATTACACCAGCGGTATCGCAGAACGAGCGAGGCATCTCGACAAAGGACGGAGGCCATAGCGACGCAGAGGCAGAGGCAGAGGGTGGATTGAGGGAACGGAAGATGTCGTTGAGGAGCCAGGGTTCCGCAGATGGCCCCGCGTGGCGTCAGTCTAGGACCTTGTCTAGTAGATGTATATATTACCAATACTGTTATAAGTTATACATCTCTCATGTCTACTACGTTGTCATCAGTGATGAGTGCTGGCGGAGAATTGAGCAGGACGCTGCGCGCGGCGACGGCGACGGCAACGACGACGAAGGAATGGCAAACGGACCATCACCCGCCCGCAGCGCATGCCCCCGATGGGCACATGTGTACACTCTCCTGTGAAGTGACCCGTTTCTGCAGGATACAACAATTTCTTTTGGCAATTACATGGTAATCTCGTCGATGCTACGTGACACAACCGCCCCCGGGTAGTACTGTGTAGAAGCAGGCCGGTTCGCAGTGTACTGTACCGGTATGTATGAAGGCAACCGGTAGGGGGTGCGTTACGCTAACAACCCTCCGCTAGTAGGCAACCGACCCCCACGTTAGGCGTTACGGTTAGTTGAATAGGCAACCACTCAAGGTAGATTTAGAGCTTGCTAGGCGGAAATTGGACGTACAGCAGCAGGAAGGCTCCGATGCAACAGTTACGACAGAAAAGCCTATTTCGGAGCGAAAAAGACCGTCTGGGTCGCGCCGAAAAATATTCGAATTTTCGGCGAGTTTGCGCGATGGCAACCCCCCCCCCCCCCGTTATGTGCTACTTTCTTATAGATAGCCAACTTTTTGGGCCCGCGTTACGCGTTACGGTTGCCTCCATACATACCGGTACAGTAGTACGGATGGTGCTCCATATCCGCCTTCCGGCAACACTAGTCCCACGGTCGCTTGGTCCCACGGTCCCACGGTCCCACGGTCCCACGGTCCCACGGTCGCTTGGTCCCACGGTTGGTCCCATGCATCACCACGGGCAGGTCCACTTATATCGACCGGCATAAGCTTGGGCGTAAGTTTTCATGTTGAATATCTACGAAGAGCTTAAAATAAACAATTTTCGTTGTCAAGAGAAAATTTTGTGTTGGTCGCCAACGAGCAAAGTCCGTCAGAAATTTTCAGAGTACAGTATTCTAATGAGAAACCCAAACGTAGAAACCTTACTGTACCTACCTGTATGGAGGCAACCGGCCGGCGACCGTGACATGCGCAACAGAGGCAACCAGGCGTTCGAGAACCGTGACCGAGGCGAAAATATTGATTTTTCGACGATTTTTGGCGCCAAAATTGCCATATTTGGCAGGTCCTGAGTCCAAAAAGCCGTTCGTGACCCGTGACCCTTGCAACGCAACCGGAGGCCCCCCGGCATCTCACCAAAATGTCCGATCCTGAATTCGGGATTTTGGGTCGTTTCCGTCGCATGGATTTTGGCCGATTTTGAGGGGTTCCCGGCGCACTAAGATCGGACCTTCGCTCAAGGCTCACTTTCCGTCGCGCTATGGATCGAACCTCGGCGGCGACGACCCTCCTTGACCACCAGTTATGAGGCTCTGTCGGCGCCCTTAGGGGTATTTGGCCCGTTGTGGTGGCTCAACGGGGGTCTAAGCTGGCAAAATTCCGACGCGACCCCCGGATCCGGCGCACAATGGATCGAACGTGGGCGATGACAAGGCCCGAACGTCGCATTTTGGATCGAACCTACCTTGCAGTTTTGCCCGAATCCGGCGCACTGGGACCAAACGTCGGCGCATTTTGGGCCAGCAATCCGTCGCATTAAGATCGGACATTTTGGTGAGATGCCGGAGGGCCTAACCGGGCCTCCGTGACTGTGACGGTTGCTTCCATACAGGTAAGTACAGTACATTGATCTCAGTCCGTGACTGATACATTACGTGAGTATGAATCGCGACAATCAGATTGTGACCAAGACAAAATTGCCCTTGGCTCGCACCACCATCTCCACCATGCCACGAACGAAACGAACTGCAAAAATCTCTGACGGCGGCAAGGCCCCCCGAAGTACGTGCCCCACGGCGCCTGCAGAACAACCTCGTGCTGAAGCGGGCACCAGAATCACTCGGACAGGTACGCTCGAAAGCATCGCGCCCGAGCAGACAGTGTTGCCACGGCCCATACCCTGACCGCCGGCAAGACGGCGACAGCGATACACGCGCGACGGTCGAGAAGCAGCAGGAAACGCACGACGGTTTTGACCCAACGGCCGTCTACGTCCGACGCACTACCCTCACAGCGATCAAAAAGCCCCAGGGCCCTACATCCTTGGCGCCGTTAGCGGACGTCAGCGTGCACGCCTCCCAATCGAGCTCGGCTGCTGCCCAGCTGATCGAAACCACCGAAGACGAGAAGAAGATGATGACTGATCGATGGGAGTCAGGTGTGTCTCGCTGCACACTGCCAGTCAGCCATCATCTGATTGGACTGGTCTGCCAACGACAGCCGTGGCAGATGTACACAAGCAGCTCGACCGCAAGCCTGCCGTCCCCGCAGTAAAGTCCAAAGACAACGTCTGTCTCCACTCGGATTGTACCGCGGCTGGTACGTGCACATCCAGCTTCCCACGAGGCAGCCGTTCGCAGACAGCTAATACTGCCTCGTTCCAGGTCCCGCCTAAGGTTGAATATCTCGAGTGTACCCCTGTGCTCCTCATCAATCTTGAGAGCATCAATCTCGTGCGGCTCAAGTAGTGTACAAATGTTGTTGATGTTAGAATGATGATATCTATGTTCGAGCGTGCGCCACAACCACTCCAAATGAGAGTGGTCAACTCCATGCAATCAGCGCTCGAGATGCGCCCACTGCATTTGTGCTGTGACATCGCTTCTGGGGAGTGATGCGCGCGAAGAGCTGGGTAGCGCTGTGCGCGGACAGAGCTGGTCTGAAGCAACTGAGTGAGTGAGTGAGTGAGTGAGTGAGTGGATACCAATTCAACACTGGCACACGCACCTGAGCAGTCATTGCAATGTCCTATCTATGGATGTCTATCCTGGACAAAACCCACTATACCGCTACTGAACGAGTGATTTTGCGTTCAAATACTGGTGTGATCATTGTGATTTGCGCGAGATTGAGTGATTTTCTGTCTCAAATCACGCATCAGCAATTCACTAGGCACTCGCCAGGTGCGTTGTTGAGCATGCTGGGAAGCGCACCACTCAGCTTACCTGATTATAAGAGAGAGCTTAGCTAGAGGCTATGCGCAGAGTAGGTGAAGACCTGTTATTACAGGGGAAGAAGAGCCTCCTTATATATGTACAGAGAGGCGACGATGTAATACGTAGTAATATACAATGAGTCAAAAGGACTGCAGACGCTGAGTGAAGCGTACATGTGACAAGTCCAACATATATGTCCATATGTGTCCATCTGAGTCATACGATACTCGCGTGTCAGTGCATGTGATGCGCACGTGACATGTCGTGACTAGGCCGAATGTTCAACATGCGTGAGCATCAAAATCACGCAGAAACTAGTGATCATTAGCTGCGTGATTTGATCACTAGAAGTCAGCCACCCAAAGCCATGGACTCCTTCCACTTCCACTATTTTTCAGCAAACTCATTGTAGACACACAGATTGGCCGTCGCTAGTACTGTAAAGAACATTCAAGATCTGGCTGGATGCGATATCATCCGTCTACGCACCTCGCATTTCGATGGTAAGGGGTTCCTTGCGGGTATTCGAGCTGATCGGCGATCACCAGCACGTGAAAGTGATCAAAATGGTGCCCGTCGCTGCGTGATGAAAGCGACCGAATCGCATCACAAGTGCGTGAACAAAAGCAGTACTATAAATCACCCAGTGTTCGACAGTCTTCGGCCAAAATACGCGAACACTGTTCTGACCCTTCTAGACGGTCAATTTTGGCCCCGGAAAAAAGCATGTGTATATCCTTATAGGCGTAGAACACGATGGTCTACTTTTCTCGACGGTAAAGCAAGGCAAAGATAGAGGTACAGAGCTTCGTACCGTTGTGTCGGTTTTGATGCGTCTCGCTGAAGTTCGACCTTGCATCCCACTTCGCTCTTCGAAATCGTTGAAAATAAGTTCATCGTTGGAATCCTGGCACTCGAAAGTGACTGTCTGGTTTCTTTCGGCGCGAAAATCGACCGTCTAGAGGGGTCAAAACAGTGTTCGCGTATTTGGGCCGAAAAAGTAAAAAACTGGGTGATTTGCAGTAGTGATCGAGGCAGGCGCTCGAATCACTACTGCTTAGTGATTCACAAACCACGGGTTTTGTCCAGAATTTACAACCATATCCTATCCTTCCGTGCGAGCTGGAGCGTTGATCCCACGTCGACGGGGCACGCATGTGATACACCAAATTCTCCAGGACGATAGACGTGCGCTGACTGAGTTGCATGCAACGAGAAAAGAGGAGCTGTGGGACGCGGCGTCATCGAGATAGTCTCAAAGGGTGGCAGCAAAGGACAACTGTGTACTGTTTCGGTATGTATAGATGCAACCGACGTGGGGCGCATTACGCTTACAACCACCCGCACGTAGGCGTCCCAGCCAACGTTGGGTGCTTCGGTTGGACAAATAAGCAACCACCGAAGGTCATTCTCAAAGTTTGTGTGGTGTCAGTGGGCGTGCAACGTGTCAGGAAAGCCTCGGTTTATCACTTACGGCACGATCAGCCTTTTTTTCTTTTCTTTCGAACAGAATAGGAATATTCTAATGAGAAACCCAACTGTAGAAACCTTATCTAGAAATCCGGTTTCTGTCGGCGAGCATCCCGGCGACGCGCCGGCGAGGTCTTTGATGCCGCGCTCGGCATCACTGCACGAGGCTATCGGCCAACTCCGAGAGGCAGACGAGCTCGACAGCGCCGGCCACCGCTGAGTACTTTTGTAGGATATCCCCCTTATATCTGAGGCAAGGATGCATACATGAGTGTATATAGTCTTATCTTGACACAGAATATATCTCAGGACCCTCTGGAGGGTGCTTTCCGAGGGTAAATGGTCGTCTTTCCATTGTAGTCACATGACCATTGTGTCTACCAGTGGACACAATGTCCTATGGGTCAGTGACGGTCCTGCTAGCCAAGAGGGCTGATTGAGTCGTATTGGAGTCAGTAGCCTGGTATCTTACACCCCTACACTGGGCTACTACGCTGGAAACAGGCTGTACTGTGGCAAACGGAGGAGGTGCCGCAAGCTCGACGGCTTCGGCAACGGGAGGCGGGATTGATGGCGCATCACCGTCTCCCGGGAGTACGGCCGGAGAGACGCCGGTAGGAACCCAGCCTCGTGTAAAGAAGTTGAGCAGGTTTCTACAGAATTGCCTTATAAGGAAGGCAAAACGCAGAAACCGGGTTTCTCGTTAAAATATTCCCCGACAAGGGCGCGGACTCGGCGAGGTGCTCGGGCATGGCTTCAGGCAGCACAGGGACGGGCATTGAGGTACATTTGCTACACGCATAGTGGGGAGCGTAGGCGGGGTCCTTGCGCATTCATTGGGTCGGACTCACATCGTGCGAAGCTTATTAGAGTGTGTTTGCTCAATAATTCATTACAATTCATCAAGAAGTCTCAATAATTTCCTTGGTGAAGCTCATAACAGAATGTCCATCGGCATAAATGCTTTGAGCACCGAGGAAACTTTCGTGCTTGCCTTCAGAAATTCAAGCTTTGCATACCTCCCACTCCAACCAACCCCCCGACGATATCTTATCCGATAGCGAGAACGAACCGCCGAGGAAGCGGACTCTCAAGGTCGGCACTCTGCAAAGAAGCATACGAGAGGCATGATAAGGCAGTAGACTACCTCATCACCGTCTTTTTCCCCGAGAACGAGTCGATGGGGGCTTGCCATGCTGCTCCTCACTCATCGATGCACTTGTATCGCTCGTGATATTATTTGTCGTCTCGTAAAATATTTGGGAAAGTTCAGGTCTACATAATGTTGTCACGTAGTGACTAGACCTGTCATAAATTACTGAGCAAACACACTCTATTAGGCATCAGAAAATTATAAGTCTTTTCGCCGCCAATTCGTCGAGGGAAGGGTATTAGGACGTATTAGTAGACAAAATTATCAAGTTCCGCACCCAAAAAACGGAGCCCCATAGATGCGTACAGTCTCGACAAGGATGCAGCCTCGGTGCGGTGCTCGGGGATGTCAGGCATCCCGTCCTTACCACTGGATCGGATACTTCACACCAATTTCCGCAACATGGTTCGACTTTGAACTTCCATGTCTATATGCCTGCTCTACGCCCATTACCAAATTATGACACCAGCTATATTCGCAGCTCCTTAAACTCCTTCGCCTGGATCCAGGAGCCATGTCATGGCTGGCTGATGCTCAGACTGGCATCGACAGTGAGGCGTGACGATCATCGCTACGGCCTTGCCATGCGGACCAGACTCGTACGACCCACTCGCACTGCACATAATTGTCTCTCGAACCTGCTCCTTAAGTTAGATTTACGCGCGAAGCTACGATGGAGCCCTCGTCCTACGGGTATCATATGGACTACTATGGATACATATCTTACAGTAATTTAGGAGAAGTGCGGGCAGCACGCGATTGACGGAAGAACAGGGGTGTCGATGATTTGCCGATACCCAGACGATTTAAATACTAAGGGCACATACAACCGTTTGCACATCAGTTTGCAGTCTCGTGCGCGTGGATTTTGAGCACGTGTGCCTTGATTTGATGTTCGTCACGGTTGAGAATTGGGTCCTCACTACGTATACTGGCGCAAGTACTTCAAGAGAGCGAATTTCCTCATCCATCGAGCAAAGATATGGTAAGAGACATCGTGGACTATATTATCGAAAGTCCCAGAGCTCTACGCCGGCTCTAGCCGTGTTGAACGCGGGTCACGGTTGGCTTAGTCAGCGTAAAACCGCAGGCACGGGACTGCAAACTGATGTGCAAACGGTTGTAAGAGAGAGTTGACGACTTGAGCGTACCGGCGTCTCGTGAGCACATTCCCCACCTTCGGACCGTGTAATGTCCCGCCGACAATTACGTCCCGCAGAGCATGCCAATGATAGCGTACCGACAGCGTGAGGTGTCCCTCAAAGCCTCATAGAGGAGTTACTAGAGAGGTTGAGCAAACAGATTTCCGTAGATAGACTATCAAAATAGCGGGTCCCCGCCAAGGTCACCCGGCTTCGGCTTAACCTGTACTTATAGTGCTGCGTGCGTAGCCTCTGTATATAGAGGGACCACGGGTAGGTAGTGGAAGGGGCGGCCAAAATTCTTTCTCTTTATCTACCGTTTTCTGTCTGCTCAACCTCCCTACTATGGCAACTATTTTGTCCCAAAAAACCCCTTTTTTGAGGCTTGAAGGGACACTTCACGCTAGCGGTACATTATCATCGGCACGGTTCATGGGACGTTACCATCGGCGGGACACTGCGCGGCTGGGAGGTGCCTCACGGCACTCTCGAGACGCTAGGACGCTTGAAGGGGTCATTCATTGGTTCTCCTATACGTGCTTAGCTATAGGATTCTCAATGCAGTAAGTCAGCAGAGTATTCATGCAACATGTCTTCTGCCTTTGACGGCGTGCTGCTTGCAGTCGTCCTCGGGTATTGAAATGTGGTCATCTGTGCAGAATCTGCTTCAAGTTGGTGAATATCTCGTTGATAGGGCTACTTGAATTGCAGCCTAACAAACTTGAAGCCGGCGCGATCGAGAAACAGATTCACGCTTGATTGAGTAAGTTGTACTTGGAGGCGATGCCCGATATCGCGGTGCTTGCAATCTGCGTCGGCCAGCTTGACATAGATGCAGGGAGATGAGGAGAGCGAGTGTCAGACTACCTTAATTCTTGTGGCATGGAACCGTTGGTATGGGCGCAGAGTAGGCCGAAGATGGGAAACTCGCAAGTCGAACCGCGTCGCGGAAATTGCCGTAAGGCCACCAGCAAGGACGGCAAATCCCGAAAGGCGCGCTGTACCCTGCCTCGCCGTAGACTCTGCCTTCAGTGCACCCCGCATACGTCCCATCCATGGATGCATCCTGCAGTGTCACACGAGTGCTCACCATGCGGAGTGTTTTCATAAGCCAAATCTCGTGAGTGCCCTCAGATCGATGTACTGCAGAAGCATACTGACCACACTGTTCTTCTCGTCGACGACTGTCCCATGAGACGGGAAACCACCGAAAAATGCCAGAGTGCAGGACCCGCAACAGTGTAATGTCCCGCTATAGACCGTCTCATAAGTGACAATGCAAAGCACAAGCGTCCTACGGCCCGTTCGAATGTCCTGCCTTAATTTCTGGACAAAATAGTTGCCATATTGTTGAATCTCACTCCCGTGGTCAATCAAATGCATCAATCCCATACTGTCTGATTTCTGCACATTGCGTAGATGTATCACATGTCTTTTCCCAGTGTTACCAGCTGAATGAGGCCCGGCGCTGGCTTGCAACCATACAGTCGGATAGGAGCCTAACGTTTCTCAAGCATCACTTGAGAGCGCTAGCGAAAAGGTGGGCCTGGGGTGCCGCCCCGATATGTTTACCCGACATGTTTACCCGACATGTTTACCCGACATGTTTACCCGACATGTTGATCCCACATGTTGCCCTACCAATTTACCACAAAATGTGATGGTTCTTGTTGGCGACAAGTTGGACGGTCAAGCAAATGGGGTGGGATCGGTCTTTAACGCGCAAAATCCGTCAGAACCTCAAATGTTTTCTAGCGCAGTGGGCGCGTAGCGCTAACAACCCCCTGCACGTTGGCAGCCTAACGTACGTCAGGCATTATGGTTGGACAATTAGGCAACCACAGAAGGTGATTTTCAAAGCTTGTGGGGTGTCAGTGAACGTGCAACGTCGGGAAAGCCTAAATATTAAAAAAAAAAAAAAAAAAAAAAAAAAAAAAAACTTAAGACACGAATAGCCTTTTCTTTTCAAAGCAAGAAAGACCGCGCCAGAGAAATTTGAGGTTCTGACGGATCGTGCATGTTGAGAAAACGACCCCTTCGTTATGCATTACACTATCCCATATAGCCAACTTCTTAGGGGCCCGTTGCGCGTTACCGTTGCCTCCATTCATACCGGTACAGTATGAATTTGAACCAGATCCTGGAAAACCGACCCAGGTGGGGATCATGAGTGAGATGGTAAGGACCGACAGTGTCTCCCAGTGGCCGATATCCATTGAGCTCACTCGCGAGCAGCTCCATGACGCCTCTAGCGAGCCTTCCGATGAAGAGGTGATTGACGCACACCAGGCCGGTCACTCTTCTCGCATCGCAAATCAGATATATGGGCTCTCTCAATCGGTATCGAACAGACTGTCGTTGTCTATTGTCAACGAATGTATCAAGAACAGCGACCGTTGGTGCCGCGATGTGCTCCGTCTCATCCCCCGGCGGGCTCCTCCGCAGATATGGCGAGTGCGCTGCCAACCACTACGCGACGGTCTACCCACCTCCGCCTCCACCTCCACCACCGGCTCCCGCCGCCTCAACGAATAGCAATGCCATCGCGTTTCTAGTTATTGCCATGACCACCTTCTCTGACAGTGTTCGACTTAAAGTACTGGTTAAGGGGATCGAGTGAAGCTAAGACCGTAAGGCCTTTAGTAGGGCTTACTTGAGCTATAGATTAAGAAATAACAAACATGTATACACACACGACGCAGAACCATTAATCGTTGTGTGCTGGGTCACACTGATCGCTGGAATCTTCCTCATCACTCGTGTCAAATTCCTCATCGCTTACCTCAGTATCTAGAGGCTCCATGAGCTCCTCGGCAGTAACGACTGCATTGTCGCAGAAGGTTTGGATGCACCACCACCTAACTGCAACTGTCCATTGACGAGCAGGGCTGGTGGCTGTTGTGGGTTCCCAGTCCTCCGAGTTACCAAATGCAGCTCCTCCAACTCATGCTGAGCTTCCATCCATGATGCCATGGGCTCACGCCAGTGATAAGAACGGGACAATGTCGTGAGTACTGTACTGGTATGTATGGAGGCAACCGTAGGGGGTGCGTTACGTTAACAACCCTCCGTTAGGCGTTACGGTTAGTTCAATAGGCAACCATTCAAGGTAGATTTAGAACTTGCTAGGTGGAGATTGGACGTACAGCAGCAGGAAGGCTCCGATGCAACAGTTACGACACAAACAGCCTATTTCGGAGCGAAAAAGACCGTCTGGGTCGCGCCGAAAGATATTCGAATTTTCGTCGATTTTTGTGCGATGGCAACCACCCCCCTCCGTTATTGAAAGTAATCCTTACAAGTCCATACCTGAGACGCAGAAGACAAGCGCGGGGGGGGGGGGGGGGTTTGAGGGGAGACCGTCGGTTCAGTTACTAAATTGATCTTGAAGCTTGATTAAGGTGTAAGGTCCTTTGATGCCGAGGCTAATGCTTATGATGAGGACTATTTAATGCTTAGCTTGACTTAAGCCTAAATTCTTAGGTCGAACACTACTCTGACAACGTCTCTCGAATGGAATCTCGTCAAGATTACCTTTTTGCCATGATCACCGTGCAGGGCGTGCAGCAGTCACCTCCCGCCCCCCACAGCGCGTACATCCTGAACAAGCGGGAGAGCCCGTGTCTTCGCCACGGGTCCCCCATGACATTGACTTGATAGTCAACTAAACCTTGCTCACAGACTCTCGGATGAATATATGCCTTCATCCAACGGACATCATAGATTACCTTGGCCTTACCGGGCTACTCTATCGCTTGCCATGCGATATGCTGTCACAGCCATAAGTTTGTAGGCAAAACATACAAAAAACCGGCCTTCCTACCCGTTGACCTACTCTGAGCCTTACTTCGGGGGCCAGCACAACAATCTTGCCTGCACTCCGACATTGTGTCTGTCGCGCGATGAGAAACTGGCTGGCGTGAATTACGCGTGATCACGCTTTCCTTGAGGGTGGCAGAGCGTGATAGCCCTCACAGGCCCACAACAGTTGAACAGATGTCTGCGGTGCCAGCCTTACTCGCTACGCGCGCTCAGCTGCTCAAGCCGATGCTGGGGATATTCTCAAGGATCCGGCTATCCCTCGCATGCATTTCAGTACGCTCCCCACTGAATCTTGCTGCTCCATGCGCTAATTCGCGCGTAGATGATCTTCCTGCAAAGGAAATTGTGGCCGATTCGCCGCCGTACAGTCCGTTTGCAATTTCATACGAAGTCATTCCTCAGTCCATCCAACCCACCTGCTTCAAATCGATCTCGCGCTGCTCTTGATGACTCCGATTCGCCTCCGATTACCTCCTTAGCCGGTACACCTGTCTCCTCTTGGCTCAATCCGCTTCGTTTTGTGCTCATTCTGTGATTAGGTCACTCACAATCGCATCGCAACAAGCAGGACGTGGACGGATACAGCAATCGTCAGGCTCGCAGTCACCTCCCTGCTCGTGTAGCAGCCCTGATCTGTGTTTAGTTGGAGCACGTACAAACAAAAGAGGTTCGCGCTCGGCAGGCGAGACCGGCGCACTTGAGCCCTTGTATTTGCCAGGTCAGGGCTTTCCCAACGCAGCATAGTCTCTACCCAACTTCCAGCACAAGCCGAGACACAATACAAGCACACAGTCTCCAGGCGCTCCATCGGGTCCACGCCTCCCGCTATCTGCGCTGTTTGTTCCCGCTCCACGAGCGTAGAGGTGACCACGAGCCTGACGATTGCTGTAACGCACAACGGAGGGGTTGGTCGCCAGCGTGCAAAGTTCGTCAGAGATTCTAATATTTTCAGACGCTACGCGCACGGTCTTTTTCGCACGTAAAATAGGCTGTTCGTGTTGTAACGCTGGTAGACTGGGGAATGTTTGATGCTGCACGTCCACCTTCACCCCACAAGCCCCAGAAATTACCTTCACTAGTTGTCTATTTGCCTTACCGTAACGTCCAACGCAGGGTGGTTTGCCTACATGCAGAGGGCTGTTAGTGTAAAGCACCCCCCGCCGGTTGCCTCCATACATACCGGTACAGTAGGTTGACCTGCCTACGTGCGGGGAGTATCGTACCCCCCTGCCTCTTTGCTTTATGACCATATCTGTGCCAGGGGGTTCGGGAATTTTGGCTCGAGCAGTACAGTAATGTCATGCGAAGGCTGCACTTCTGACGCGCCTTCAATAGAGTTTGTTTGGTCTGCAAAACTGGTATATATGGTTTTCTGGAGGATCTACGCGCGTTAGATGGCCCAGGAAAGCTCGGCCGGCGGGCCTGTGATTTGGGCATTAATCGCGACATAGCGTCAGCTATAGGATCCAGCGGTCCCCCAAACTTCAAACACCGTTCTTTGAGGTGATCAGGATCAAGATGTTGGTTTTCGATTTCCTTGCTCTGACGCGACTCTGAGCAGAACACGCGCGGACGCGTCCCTTGAATTCCAATTACAGATCAATTGCGCGCTGCCTTTATGGGAAAATTGCTGAGGCGGGGGTTGGGCGTGGTCGAGAAAATCCAGCTCCTTCACAAAATGGTAGAGCGTAGACAAAGACCCCCAAATACGAGCTTTAAAGCAAAATGGGCATGCAATTGGTGAGATATGTGCCGTATACTACCTGAGGGCACGCAGTGCCATTCGACGCATGTCGGCACACTTTAAAAAAATCACGGACGCTCTCCGGCAAGGTTGGTATGCAGAAGGTGGCTTTCAAGTGCGCTCTTCCGTTCTGTTAGGTTGCCGAAGCCAGTAGACTATGCCTAACGCTTGCCTCGGCGATTTTTGCCAAAAAGGCAATGCGCAATTAATCAGGCCGCCGCTGTAACCTTATTTGGTGCGTCACACTCACATCACGTGAGGTTACGCGCTTTTGCATGGCGCCTACCTTATGACCCGTGAAACTTATGTGGACACTTGTGGATCCTTGTTATATCCGTTGAATATCCTGCATACAGACCTAAAAGAGACGTAGTACACCTGAGATCTATCACCCTTTCCCTCTCAGCTGCATAAGGGTCAAGGTCTAGCAAGCCTTCTGCATTCAAACTACGTCAAGAGGCGCCTTTGTATTTCCCCTTCGCCGTCGGTTCTCTTCTCGTCCTGTACATGAGTGAAGCTGAACCTCGGAGGGTGATTAGCGTGGCACACCCCACGTCGTTCTCCTTTATACATACCGAGATAGCGATGGATCCCTGTCCTATACGAATCAAATTACTCTATTGCCAGAGGCGTGATGCAACACTTTCTGTTTTCATATTTTCACGCTTGTGCAATCCCCGTCGCTTGGTGATGGCAGCAGTGCGACGCGCCTTGCAGAATCTGGAAAGTTGCTGAAGTCCATCGCAGATAGATGCCATGGTCGGATCCGTTGACATGCTGTTTATAACAATACAGTCAGTGAAGAGTCCCGATGTGCTAGGAGAAAAGAACCCACTGCAGAATCATTGCGTCGACAACGTCCGGTGCTTTGAAAAACTCCATCTCCTTCAGTATCCTGCCATACGTCGCCTGCAATATTTGTTCTCCCCCTCGGATTGCAGATGCCAACGTCACCCATCCAGCGAGGCAGTCGCCAAGGTAGGGTGCGATATCAACCAGATGCCCTATGCCAGGGTTGATCAAGTCCATAGCATCCATGGTTGTTGTATCACCAGCTGATGGGCCCGAGGGCAGGTTGGTCACGACAGCCGATATACCAGGATGCTGGACATGATTGCCAGGACTACACGCAGCTGCAACCCATTGTCTGATTCTACATTGACGTGTCTGGGTGCCTGGACGGAGTTGGAAAACGCTGGAAAGGATGGCTTGCTGTGCAGGATCACTGAAGTGTGCAAAGGTGCCGAGGACCATCATGTTGACAGATGTGACGGCGCGTTTCAGTCCTTGCGAAACGAGTGTGAGTGCATCTGCAAGGAACGACTCGTGACGTGCGAGGGCAGAGGCAGCGGCCTGCAAGTGAGCAAAGTCGTTGACACGGAGAAAATGTCGGTGAATTCGAAGCAGCTCCACAATCAGTCGAGGGTGATCGGTGTCGATGTATATGCTGAGCACAGCTAATAGGATGTCACGAGAGGTGATTTCGATACCGCGAATGATGGATTGGAGTTTGAGCTTCATATCGATAGCATTGTGACAGGTGGAGATGGCGGCGTGGTACAGCTCGACAGAGGGCTGGACACCGAGTGACTCTGTGAGATGAGAGCTCAGGATGTCCTGGAATAGAATGTATTGTGCCGAGGCAGTCCAGCAATCGCCATGTGGTGCTGAGGTAGAGACCTGTGAGTTCAGAATCCAAAAATGTAGTTAATACTCACTGCCATCCCCGCTAGTCAGTATCTCCAGCAAGGCTGGCCATTCCAAGTTGTCCTCGATCTCGTTGAGCATGATTGGTGTAATGACCTGTGCACGCTGTACGTTCACAGTTAACATGCTCAGAAAGAGCTCTTTCCACAGCCAAAGCGCGGCCACGCGAATATCGAGGAGGCCGTTGACTTCGAAGAGCCGAATCTGATGGCCCTTTTGAGACTCAATGGATATTGATATCGGCATGTCATGCACCGGGCTGAAGATGGAAAAAGAGAAACAAGTCAATAATGATGAGTGTGCGACCAGATTATTTGTATACCTTGATGGAGTAGCCAAGGCCACTGTCTTCAAAGATGTGCGCACAGACCAGAGAAGGCACTTGTGCGCATGGCGGAAGTCGGCCTTGATCTCGTAAATAGTTCTCCATATGTCAGAGAACCATCCAGTGATTATGCAAACCAGATCTTCGAGGAGGTCCCGTTGCATCAGCGGCTCGTGAAACCAGGTGTGCTCCATACGCCCATCTGGGAACAGCTCCTGGATGGCATTCTGGGCTTCACGATCGCGATTCTTGAGGTCAAGCTTCGGTGCAGTGGCATAGTGTGCTTGCATGTGCTTGGCAGATGATATAGCTGAGAGGGGGTCAACCCTGGAAGAATGACGAAGCTCGGAGCTGCAACCTTTGCTTGCTTTGTCCTCTGGTAGTGTGTCGAGCAGAGGAAATAACCTTTTTTGTATGAACCGTAGACACTCGTCCGGCGGTAGGGTGTCCAGAATCTGATTCAATCTGAAGGATACACGAAATGAGTCACAAGGGAAGCCTTGGGTTTTGCTCTCATACTTTTCACTCGGTGTCGCCATCGATACGAAAGGAGAGATGTCAAAAATCACGTGAACAAGGCTCGGTATTTAGCTTCGATCAGAGCTGATGGCTGATCATCAACTGCAATCCGATCGAAGGTTACTGTACCGTATGGTTGCAAATCCTGGACAAAACCCAGTATACCGCTACTGATCGAGTGATTTTGCGTGAAAATAGTGGTGTGATCACTGTGATTTGCGTGAAAATGAGTGAATTTTATGAGGCCTTTTTTGGGCGAAAAATACCAAAAGCATGCAAATGCGCAGTGTGTGAGTACTAATAGTACACAAAAAGTATCATGTTGATACCAGAAGTGACCACTTTACCAAAAGTAGCAAAGTACTATCGAAAAGCACATGATCACTTTCAGTAAGTGTTGACGCATATGTACAGCACGTGTTAGTGCATTTGCCACCGACAACATTAATTCGGCTAACCTTTGGAACATCTTTGCGATGCGTGAGAATGGAATGTTTGTCCATCGTCGCCGGGTCGTGAGTGGTCGGGGCGGTCAGTCACGCTTGGTGTGAGCACGGCATTCTCCGAGCAATGGTCCCACGTTACCCTGAATATGGCCGGTGACACTTGTCCCAGACCATATGAGAGAGATGACTCTCTTGATAGTCCTAGGTGATCTTTTAGTACTCTTCAAGAGAGACGAGGTCCGATGAGCAGGTAGACGAAGCCGGATGCTCCCCGACGAACCGCCTACTCGGCTTTTGCCGATGTATCACGTGGCAGATAGTGTGACGACCCGTAACGCAGCTTGCTCCGCTTCCTGACCGTTGTGTCGCACTTCAAAGTGCTCAATGCCAGCTCTTGAGTGCTCAGGATACCCGTCTGAGTTATTCTATTAAGCTATATACTGCGCCACCCGCTGCAAACTACTCCGTGCAGTACTTTCACATCACACTTTCGACTTTCATGCTCACGGTAATTTTTGTCGAAAAATGGTCTCATAGATTTTCGGTCTCAAATCACGCACCAGCGATTCACTTGGCACTCGCCAGGTGCGTGATGCGTGAGCATCAAAATCACGCAGAAACTAGTGATCACTAGGTGCGTGATTGGTCACTGACCACTGACCGCTCGGTGCGTGATTCGATCACTAGCAATCAGCCACCCAAAGCGATGGACCCCTTCCACTTCCACTATTTTCCAACAAACTCCTTGTAGACACACGTATTCTCCGTCGCTAGTACTGTAAAGAACGTTGAAGATCTGGCTGGATGCGTCTACGCGCCTTGAATTTCGATGGCAAGGGGGTCCTTGTGGGTGTTCAAGTTGATCGGCAATCACCGGCGCGTGAACGCGATCAAAATGGTGCCCCTCGCTGCGTGATTTTTTTTTTTTTTTTTTTTTTTTGTCTCTGCATTTTATTCGCGCAGCAGGTAACTATGCAGTACCAAGACGCGCTAGCCCATAGGCGGGCACCTCTACTATGTTGTCCGTAGTGTCCGATCTCCTCGGCGGTCTCCGCATGTGACGTAGTTTCCTGTCTGGTTCGGTGTAGAGGTCGAAGTGCGGCTCGAGTCGCGTGCAGTCGGTGCGCCGAAGCGCTGTGTGTGTTTCTCCCCTCCCCTCGTTGCCCGATCCCTCACTCGTCTCGTTCCTCCTCCTCCTCGCCCGTCTCCCATCCCTCGTCCTCCATTCTCCCATCCTCCCCCACCGGATCAGGCTCATCTTCCCACCGCGGCGCGCGCGGTTCCGCCCGCGGGTGCCCTGTCTTCGTGAACGCGCCGCTCTTCTTGAGGAAGCGGGCTAGCGCGTCAATGCCCTTTGGCGTGCCCAGGATCTCCGCCAGCGCCACGTCCTCGGACACCTTGCGGAGTATGTGTCGGTGCTGTTCGTAGATAGGGCATTCTTGTAGAATGTGAGGTCGTGTCTGTAATGGTTCCCCACAGGGGCAGTCAATGTTCTCGCTGGGCACAAAGTCTTTGTAGTACTCGCCGAAGAACCCGTGGCCCAGGCGGCACTGTACGACTCGTCCATACAACTCCCGGTCCCCGCACAAGTCCCGAAAGTGTGCGAGCGGTTTCAACGACGTGATGAAAGCGACCGAATCGCATCACAAGTGCGTGAACGAAAGCAGTACTGATCGAGGCAAGCGCTCGAATCACTACTGCTTAGTGATTCACTAACCACGGTTTTTTTCCAGAATTTACAACCATATGTACCGGTATGTATGGAGGCAACCGTAACGCGTAACGCGGGTCCAAAAAGTTGGCTATCTAGAAGAAAGTAACGCATAACGGGGGGTGGTTGCCATCGCGCAAAAATCGACGAAAATTCGAATACTTCTCGGCGCGACCTAGACGGTCTGTTTCGCTCCGAAATAGGCTGTTTGTGTCGTAACTGTTGCATCGGAGCCTTCCTGCTGCTGTACGTCCAATTTCCGCCTAGCAAGCTCTAAATCTACCCTGAGTGGTTGCCTATTTAACTAACCGTAATGCCTAACGTGGGGGTCGGTTGCCTACTAGCGGAGGGTTGTTAGCGTAACGCACCCCCTACCGGTTGCCTCCATACATACCGGTACAGTACTGTCTTTTTGTGCTCGAAATAACAGGCTGTTCGTGTCGTAAGTGATGAACCGAGGCGTGCCCGATGGAACACGTCCGCTAACACCGCGCAAGCCTTGGAAATGACCTTCTTTGGTTGCCTAATTGTCTAAGCGAAACGCTCAATGTAGGTTGGGTTGCCTACATGTGGGGGTTTTTAGCCTAACACGCCCTCCGATGGATGCCTCCATACATATCGGTACAGTACAGAGGTCATTCAGGGGAGTTATTGGACCGGAAATTTGTGGCCTCTGTAAAGGGGTAAAAGTGGGGGGTTGAGGGATCCGTGACCTGTACAAAGAAACATACTGTTACGGATTCATAACGAGAGAAGAAGAGGCCAAGAAGAGGTTTTTTCTTTTCTAGTGGAGTAGGTCACGCAGCACTATCCGGCAGAAGAACATTAGGGACGAGCATGTTATCCGTTGCCCCCCGGTTGGCTCTCGCGTTCGGCGAAGTCGGGAGCCCCCGCCCGGGATCTCACCAGAAGGTCCGATCCTAAATACGGGATTTCGTCTCGTCTCCGTCGCATGGAATCTGACCAATCTGGAGGGCTTCCCGGCGCACCAGAACCTTCAATCAAGGCACACGCACTATGAGTCAAACATCGGCAGCCACGACCCTCTCAGACCACCAACCATGCAACACTGTCGGTGCTCACAGGGATGCTTGGCCTGTTGAGGGCGGGTTGGCGGCGATTCAAGGTGGAAGTATTCCGACGTGACCCCCGGGTTCAGCGCACAATAGATTGAACCTGTGCGGCGACAAGGCCGGATCGTCGCATTTTGGATCGAATCTACTTCGCAGTTTTGCTCAAACAAGGTGCACTGGGATTGAACTCCGGTGCATCTTGACCCTTCAATCTGTCGCGATAAGGTCGGACATCCTGGTGGGATCCCGTGTGGGGGGGGGGGGGGCTGGTTGGTTTTGAACTGGTATGTAGGACATCTACTTTACAAACATAAATACATCTGCGAGCTTTTGTAGCAAGCAGATGCCGTTGTGAGCTTTCCAGCAGCCGGTCATGCATTCAGAACTTTGGAAGGATCCCAAGACCTGATGTACTACATGGACACGGCGCCCCAAAGGGAGTGAGACAAGAAGCAAATGACCATGGCTCTCTGAAGTGATAATATATATCTCAGACTTTCCAGAAGCAACTTCAAGCAAGCTATAAAGCGTTCAAACAATGCTATTCCAGACGCCCAAACTCTCGAATCAAGATTACCCCAGCCGTAACCGTACCGCTACTCAACATCCACCGGAATAACTCGGCGTTTGGTGCATCAACCACTTTTTCCTGCAGTCGTAGAGTTATCGTAACCCGGTCTCACGTGCACAGTGTCTGCCGCTGCTGATATTAAATGGGTAAGATCACTTGCAGGACTCAAATACAGTCTCGAACCAAGACTCACCAGATTCCCATCGCTGCTTCATGAGCTGAGATAGTTTCTCAGAGCTCTCGGTGATTTCAGCAGCTGCAGAGGCAGGCTGCGAGGTGTGTGCGACCGTGCCAGGTGCTGGTGTCGTAGCGGAAAGAGCCTGTGTGTCGTATCCCACCTTGATACCGCTTTGGAGTGAACCCTCTGCCAAATTCAAGCGGGACACCGCTGCCTTCAGTTCATCAACAATGTTGTCATCGCTATCTTCAGATCCACTCGATTCACTAGAGGTCGAAGGGGCTCGTGATCTAACCCAGAGTTTTTCTGTTCGCATGTCAGTACAAGGCTTCTAGTACATAGTAGGGTGCTTACTTCGGGGAGCCAGTCCACCAGTGCTGGCTCTGGCCGTTTGCTTAGTTCGTGGCATGGCAGTACAGACTGTAGAGGACAAGGGCAGTTATGTCACGGTCACACAGGACACGAGGTTTTTAAGCCTTGTTGCTCCGCACAAACACGTGATCCCACGTTTCAGAGATCTCTACCACTGTACCAGCTTGGATCGCCGCGAGCTGCGGTCCGCCGCGCGGATACGGGTAACGGTACAGGTATGGTTGTAAATCCTAAAAAAAAACAGTATAATGTGCCTTACTGTATGGCAGCAACCTGAAGGGGACCGTGACAGGCGCAGGACGGGCAACCGGAGGTTGGAGGACCGTGACCAAGGGCGGAATGTAGGACTTTTAGGGATTTTTGCGTGATATTTCGCGCCAAAACTGCATTACATGTCAGGTACGAAGGTCAGAAAGCGTGCCCCCGGACATCTCACCAAGAAGTCCGATCCTAAATTCGGGATTTGGGGTCACTTCCGTCGCATAGAATCTGGCCGATTTCGAGGGGTTTCCGGCGCACTTTGATCGGACCACCGGTCAAGGTGCACTATGTATCAAACTTCGGTGGCGAGGACCCTCCCAGACCGCCACTTATGAGAATCTGTCGGTGCTTTGACGACAGCTTGGCCGGTTGATGTTGGGTTGGCGGGGGTCTAAGCTAGCGAGATCCCGACGCGACCCCCGGGTCCGGTGCACAATGTATCGAACATGGGCGATGACTAAACCCGACCGGCGCATTTTGGATCAAGCCTACCTCGAAGTTTGCCCCAAATCCGGCGGACTGGGATCGAACGTCGGCGCATTTTGGTGAGAGGTCCGGGGGTGGGGGGCTATGTAAGCGCGTCCGCGACATGGAAAGTCAACATATTGATACAGAAGCTACACGAATAAAGTGAATTTTACGCTAGTCCACAGATCTGGACCGAGGTGCGTGTCACTGTCTATACGGTGGGAACACACCTGAATTGCTCAAGGTTAGTAAAGAGGCAGGAATTAGGGAGGTTCACAGTATGGTTGGGTGGCCGGTTGGATACAATGGTATTTAGTACAAGTTGGATGAGGGGTTTGCGCTCCGAGCCTGATGAGGTTAGTTTTCGGCAAAAATTACCGTGAGCACCGAAGTACGAGGTGTTGTGTAAAAGTACTGTGAGGAGCAGTCAGCAGAGGATAGGAGAGTAAGTCGCTTGCCATAGACACTCATCAATGTGTCTTGAGCACTGATTAGCATGCGCTGAGCACCTTCAAGAGCGACACGGCGGTCAGGATACAGCGCAAGCTGCGTTATGGAATGTCACGGTGATCATCCCCGTGACACTTCGGCAAAAGCCGAGAGGGGAGTTTGTCCGAGGTCTTCCAGGCCTGCCTATCATTCTCTGAATCTTGAATTTGTAAGAAAGGAGGAATATCAGGGCCTGAATCTTTCTATGAAAGGCATTGTCTTATACGGGAATGAGAAGAGGCCATTGGACATGCCCAAGCGAGCGTGGAAGAATAGCTCGGAGAATGCCGGCGTCACACAGAGCCGTGACTGACCCTGCTGGCCACTCAAAATCCGGCGACTGTGCACAAACATTACACATTCACACATCACACACAAGCACTCCAAAGGTTAGTGTACCTACAGCACTTGAAGACAGATGTACTGGCATGGGCTACACATCTCCTTCGATGCTTTCTACAAGTGTTCATGTGCTATTTGAAAGTACTTCGCCGCTTTTGTTCACTGAAATCCGTCCAGAAAGATAATGCAATGTCGGTCATTGCGCCTCTTGCCGGAGAATGCCGTGAAATGTGCGAACTTGCCGGTTGAACCGGACCAAAACCGGACCGCGACGCGAGACCGGCAGCATGACACGATCAATGCGAGTGCAGGCATTCCCTTGCCTGCTCCTGACCCTCATCTGCACTCGCCGCCCGCTGTCGCCCCTCTTATGCTGACTTAGCAAAGAAGATCGTTCCCTTCGACACTTCAGTGACGCGTCGCACCTCACGTGCACAGCGGCAGGCTTTATAATCCCCCAAAACTAGGCGATCTCATCCCTCATCCTCCCACCATCTCCACTACGACGAGCGCCCTCCGAAACCCTTCAGCATATGCAACCGATGCCCTCCCCCCATCACGTACTCACAAGCAGACACCCCAATACAGCCGCTGAATGGACCTCGAGCCGATCGCCGCTTGCGCCTGCGTCCACCGCTCCGCGCGTCTGTACGCAACCTTTGTCCTAGTCACGGAGCCTTCAGATGGTGCGGCATAGAAGGGTTATGGTGCTCCCAAAGTGAGCTCGGTTTGTACCCAATCTGACCGTCTTCTTTCACAGGCATCACGTTCAGTGCAGGTGGCTCCGAGGCGAGTGGCTCACATCATGCCGTGGCCTCAGCTAGCGCGCTCGATAGGAAGTTCGAGCGATATTTATGCAGCAGACATTGCAGCGCAACTACAATATATGGTGATTACGTTCCTCTAGCATCGTCACCATTACTCATCGACGCGCAGGCCTTTCGTCCACTGTTTTCCAAACTGCCCAATTAGTAAGTCGTCGTAAGACTCGTAAGCCATCTACATGATTTTGCTGACGCCTCCCTCAGACGTGAGATCGTCGCTAGTCATGGAGAGGACTTGCCCGTCGCATGGTACCACGTTATACTACTCACAGTGCATCGTAGAATTTTGTAGTATATATGATTTGAATCAATATCTTCCTTTTATAGAACATGGTCCGAGTTGCGAACCGCAATCGTGAACTAAACTGGCTGACAAAGCGACCCATACACATGCGTACGACCCCGTCCATGTAAACACTGGCAATCCCTTGCAAGTTGCACAAGACCATAAAATGCGATCAAAATGCGCATCTTACCATTGCCATGCATAGCCAGGTATGCTGAGGTGATATGCTCCTGTCGGGGGCATTAGAGTGTACTCGCCCATTGAAAAATCAAGATCCAAAATCGGTACATACGAATTCAATTGAGCACCGAACATATCTATACTACAGATTTGTTTTAGTATGTTACGAAACCCATCGGTGGGCTCTATACTCGCAAGCGCAGGCAGCCCTTCAACCACCTTGTCTCTACGCTGCTTTACAACGGCGGGCGGTGCTCAACAGTTGTCGAGGAATGTCTGCCAAGTCTCGCCTGAGAAGTCAAAGCACGAGCGGTACAGGAAGGGTCGCCGCTGGCCGGCTCGCCGCGAGCCACTGCTAAGATCTCGAATCTGGTCAGTCTTGCTACGAAAACCAAGAGGTCGCTTTTGGGACATTCATCATGCTTTTCATCGTGCTTCTGGAACTCACACTGTGCTTCTAGGTATGCTCTTGGTATTTTCTGCCAAAAAAAAGGCCCCATAGAGTTTGGTTTTTCGCTGCTGCCCAACTCGATGAAACCGAGGTCGGTATTGCGCCCGCTGCATTTGTCGCAGTTTAAACCAATTGTTTGGCCGTCTTGTTTTTCCCCATTTGACGCACGGCCCAGCAAGCTTTCAGGACCCACGACATAATAAAGCGTCCTTGAAGAGACGCAGATGCATGCAGGTATATTCCTCAGGGGACAAAGTTGCATGACAGACGAAGGCGAGCGCCCTCAACTCCTGCATGAGCTTCATGGGATTCCTTTGAATGTTCGAGGTCGGTGACGTTAGGTCTTGCTTTTGAAAGCTGGGCTCCTGAATGAGTAATTTTTCGTAGTGAAAGCTACTTACTTTTAGTTGTAATTGAAGTGTATCCTACTGTAGGTATAGGGAAGCTTGTCCACATGAAAGTTTGGCTATCAACACATGGTGGTGACAGCTAAATGCCACTCCCAGTGATACTGCAGAGAGGGAGTGGCCGCTTCAAGGATCTGCATATACCTATGACATATAGAATCCGTACGAGTACTACTGCGCGTCGCGCGAGCGCAGCAATATTCGACCACTAGACGTGCCACTCGGGCGAGGCAAATCTGAGAAAGTCAATTTGGGTCACAAAAGCGCTATAAGTGACAAGTTTATGACTGCGGGGGCAGATGACCGCCCGCCACAGGTTTTGTAGGAATGAGAGATCCGACGCGAGGATAGCGTGGTAGGAAAAGACGTGAGTGCGGCGTAGGACAAGGGGCGGACGCCTGCGGATCGGCCCGCCATCGGGCCGTCGGGACCGGGGATACTTGGTCGTGTTGATGGATGTCAAAGCGCCTCCCCTGCTTCCTTGACGCTGACGCCGACGTCGGTGAGGAAGGTGCCGTGGTTTGACTGTCTAGTATGATGTGCGCTGTACGAGAATCTAACCCAGGATGAGAAACCAGAGCAACATTGAAATTGTGGGCACCACAGCGATGGCTTGAAATTTGGGATCTAAAAAAGTAAGGACTATCGTCGTTGACCTTGACCTTTAAAGGAATCCCATGAATCTCCTGCCCTCAACCATGCGTAATTTGCCGGTGGCCGATGCATCTTTGTGGCGCATTTAATTTGAAGTGCGCTCGGCGCCCGCGCAGTCAAAGTTGAGTGAACTGCCCTAACCCCTCGTCCAACGTTCACCCAATATTTTACCCAACTTGTTACCACTGGCAAACTGTCACCAAACCGAAATGTGAAGCTCCCTATTGGCACACTATGCGGATTCCTATGATATTATCTACGTGTAGTCAAGCCCTACTGTATGGGGGATGCAATACTGGTACTTTGTCCCTACACGTTATTAATATCGGTGGAAATTTGACCGAGGGGGGGGGGGCAAGAATGAGGCCAGAAGAAGGGCAATGGGAGAGGGGCTTGGGTCGATTTCGCGTGCATTATAGGTGACTTGCAATTCTGGGCACTTCCCATAACGTCCCGCAGAGCGTGCTGATGCCAATCTACCGACAGCGCAAACCGTCACTTAGAACCTTAAAAAGAGTCTGAGAAAAGCAGTTGCCGTAACAATGATTAACATATAGGACAGGTTTGTTGTGTTTCCACCGTGGTTCTTGTTCTACAAGGTGGCCTATACATTGCGAGGCATCAACTGTTATGTGGGTCCGCCAATACCCTATCATCCTGTAACCATCATCTCGTGTGAGGCTGAGGTCATTAGTTGCAATCTTCTCAAGAAATTAGAACACAACTCACCCAACTTTGCGTCATCAAGTGAGCGAAAAGGTCTCTGTTGTTGAGATGGAGAACGAAGGATAAAGCGGTACTCCTTTTGGAAGGTCGAGCGCATAATGCACACCCGAACATCCAACTGTGGTGGCAAAGTGCTTGGGGGATTGGGAAGTACAGTGACCCTGCGAGCGAGCCTGAGATCCATGCTGATGCAAGCATTGTAGCCACAAGCTTCCAGCTGCGCAGAGAAGCATTGCTCTTGAAGAATTGTGTGCACGTAAATGGCGAGGAAGTGCACATCTCTTGCACTCAGGTCTGACGATGCTGGATTAGTGAGTAGTCCTATAACACCGAGCTCTCCGGACTGCTTACTGGGGCGGATGCATCCCCTGCTGCATTGAGCTCTATGTTCCTTTATCCATTGTGCACGCTGGCATTTCCTAGAGCAATAGACGGTAGTGCCGCATGTGCACGCGTAAAGCTCTGCTTTGCTGCCACACTGGGGGGGAGGCTTTAAGTGAATGTCGAGCAAGTCCTAGATGTATGGAACTCACGTTTATGCAACAAGCAGCATGATTCCAATGTGCTGAGAATTTCTCGAGAGCACTTATGCTTTCAAGGGCAACTCTTTGAAGTCGCCGAAGAGGTTCGGGAGCATCATTGTCGAGTGTGCTGGTCCCAGAGTAAAAGGCCTCGATGACGTCGCGGTACACCAGAGAGCCCTCTATGGAATGGATTATTGCCAGGTAGTAGTCGGACACTGCCGGAAGGACCGTCCCTGCACAAATCACCGAGTAGAAATCCAGCTCTGAAGCGATCTTGACGGCGTGGGTATCTCGGCCAAAGATGAGGGCTACGGTCGCGTACGCGGCAGAGAGAACCCTAGCATCTGTTGAGGCCTTGATTACCTCTACCAGTCCCTCAATGAGCTCGCTAGGGTACCGGGCTATCTCCATGTGGGGTACGGCAGTCAGGGGCAAAATCGTCTCCAGTCGATGTCGGAGGGTTTCATATCCGTCCTTTGTGCGGATTGTGTACCGTATATGAACCCCTAGAGCCCGATATAGTCTGTATGGTCGATAGCCTACTGCGGCCTTTGTATCAAGACCAACGGCGTCGGCCTTAGCCTTACTGCTTGTTGCCAGGAACGGGAGAATCGATGCCGTGGTACGCAATGCTGTAGACCATATCTCGGGGAGGGGGGGTTCCGTTGCGGTATCAAGTAGGGCGCTGACTCGAACATAGACGGTTGCTGCCAGAGACAGAAGGCTATGAGGAGGCGTCACGAGCAGTTCAATCTCCTCGCTCTTCAGCAATCGCATGATAGCCCCAATGGCCACGATGACCAGCTTCAAAGCCCTTGCCTCCGGATCATGTTGGAAGCTCTTGTTGAGCAATTCCAAGTCCGACCGTTCGAGTGCTGGAGTAAAGAAGTACATGAGCCACGCATAGAGACGTGGCCATAGTGCAACAAGCATCTGTTGTATGTCCCCGAATGGGGCTGAAGCACAGAGCGCATGTGGAAGTCCAGTCAGGACAGCCTCTGTAAGCCTGCCCTGCCTCGACATCATGAACACCTCGACAGCAGTGCCTCTTGGAGTCTGTTGAGCTATAACACTTTCGAAGTGCTTCATCCCAATTGCAGTCGTCAAGTCTGGAATAGGGTACCTTCCCTGAGATAGGCCGGATGAGCTGGCAGTTGCATAGGAGGAGAAGGAGGGGGTGAGTGCGCGCATCCGGTATGATAGAAAGAGTGCGAACTTGAAAGAGGGGGGACCCTGTGGGTGATTTGGGTCAGATCGGCAGGCGCAATACACGGGGTCGCACGCAACACCCACATCCACTCTGATGGTGTAAGGACGAAAGAAGTGGCGTAGCTAGTAATCCGCACTTCCATTTCGACATCGATCAATCTCCCATCAGCGATGGTGCGTTTCAAAGAGGGAAAGGAGTCTACACGCGTGATCTCAGGAGAAGATGGGTGTGGTTGTAAACTCTGCACGAAAATTGTGATTAGTGAATCACAAAGGAGTAGTGACTTGAGCGCTTGCCTCAATCACTGATGGTTGCAAATGATGGAGAAAACCCAGTATACTGCTACTGACCGAGTGATTCTGCTTGAAGATAGAAGTGTGATCACTGTGATTTGCGTGAAACTAAGTGAATTCCGGTCTCAGTGAATCACCAGGCTCTCGCCAGGTGCGTGAGGATGCGTGAGCATTAGAATCACGCGGAACTTAGTGATCACTAGCATTTAGCCACCCAAAGTGATGGATCTCCTCGACTTCCACTATTTTCCAACAAACTCATCGTAAACACACCAACTCCGGCGGCGGCCTAATCAATTGCGCGCTGCCTTTCTGGGAAAAATCGCCGAGGCGGGTGTTGGGCGCGGTAGAGAAAATTGAGCTCCCTTACAAAACGGTAGAGCGCAGCCAAAGACCCGCAAATACCAACTTTGAAGGTGAGATATGTGCCGTATACTACCTGAGGGCACGCAGTGCCATATGACGCATGTCGGCACATTTCAGAAAGATCACGGACGCTCTCCGGCAAGGTTGGTATGCAGACGGGGCTTTCAAGGGCGCTCTTCCGTTCTGTGAGGTTGCCGAAGCCAGCAGACTATGCCTAACGCTCGCGTCGGCGATTTTTGCCAAAAATGCAGCGCGCAATTGATCAGGCCACCGCTGTACGTTGTCCATCATAAGGCTCGGCCTCACAGGACAACAAAGGGGACAAAAAACAAGATTAGGCGCCAATGCGAACGGACAGGAATTCAATTGACTACCGCGTTGATAACTAGAGAAGCGTTGCCCCAGCCTCCCGACGACCTTGCTTGCACTTGACACTCACGCTGCGGTGCCCAAGGTTTCTCCTCAAAATATCTCTCGACGTCCATGGCATGAGCCTACATCAATATGTGGAAAGGCTGTAAGTTTATGATACTCTGCCTTTCATTCAGCACCAAATTTCTGCTCATAAACATCCCCCTTGCGTCGAGTCCTGTTGGCTCGGCTTCACGTGAGCTACTCGAGTGACTGTCCTACCCGCCACTCGTCTGCCTTTGTTGCTACTGTTAGTGTGCTGGGAGGCCAAAGGGGGGACTCCGCGCCTCTCCTACACGCCCAAGGCAGAACAAGGACCTGTCGTGTTGCCAGAAGGCTTGATGATACAAGGTGCGCGTCATCCTCAATGTATATATGCCTGCCGTCACTGCCAAGTCGCTCGAGTCCTGTACTCAGCTTGGACCCAGGCCACTCCTTCTATCCCGTCCCGTACGTCCTCCTCCACCACGGCCTTAGCTCAGTGTAACACGACCTCCACGTCGAGCTCAACAAGACACGCGTAACCAGTGGCAGCTCCCAGCCCCACTCGGACATATCTCCTTGCCCCCCTCCCTCGCATCCGATTTCTCGTGCACCCGCGAGAGCCGCGAAGAGAGCCTTTACATGCACATGAGATTTTAAGTCATCGCGCGTGTCAGTGGGAACATAGCTATTTAAAAGTGTGAATGATCTCTTGTTCGAATAGTGGCTCTTGTGTGCCGGGAAATCGTTGCGCGCTTGGTGAGCGCAGTATGCTAACCTCATATGTGCTTTAGAGCAACCATCTACCCCTCCTCCCACGCCACCTGCCTCATCCTATTGACCACTGTCATTCCGGGCGTGGCACTACCACCATCCTCCGCCATGTACACCGCGCGGATCCCAGAAGGAAACAGATGACTCGTTTGGACGGTCGATATCACGTATCAAGTTGCCTGTGATGATAGGTTGCTAATGGGTAACGTGACGCTCACCCACAGCAGCCCATATGCGCGCGTCCGGCTGCGCGCTGTAAGTAGCAGACAGTAGGTCCACTCCAGGCCTCGAGAGAAGGGCATGAAGCAAATACGTGCTGGCCAAAGCGTGAGCGAGTGAGAGAAGGGGAAGAGGGGCCTGAGAAGACGAAATATGGCTGCAGGAGTCTCGAGGCGATGGAGGCAAGGCGCAGAGGCCGAAGCGCTCGCCGCTTGTGTGACCGTCGCTGCGAGTCCTTCAGATGCGGTGACGACACTAAGCTATGGCCAGGCCACAGCGCCTGCTTCGCTTGACTTGTTCTTCAACTTTCTACTGCATAATTTTCTGATGGAGATCGCCACCTTGGGCGGAGATGATCCTCAAAGAGGACAGAAACAAGAACAATCGCCATATGTTTGGACTTATTTATGGAATAGGATCTGTTCAAAGGAACCTGAGTAAGACCTTGCAAGCAAGGTAACAGTGGAGATCTGAGCATTGAGGACCTTGCCCATCTGTCAATTTTGGTACCCGTTGTTCGAGGGAATCCGGCATTTCCGTGCGCTGTAAGTTCTCGCCAACCCTCAAGATAGTTCATTGTAAGATGTGAGACCTCATGTACATGTCACTCATATAGCGCTTGCTAAACTTGACGCTTGAATGACCCAAATCAGGGGCGAAAAATAGATCATCTGTTGTTGGCCGACCGCTCCTCAATGGTGGGACCCTTTGGCCCTCATGCGTATACAGTACTGTACCTACATGTATGGAGGGAACCGGCCAGCGATCGTGACATGCGCGACAGAGGCAACCAGGCGTCCAGGAACCGTGACCGAGGCGAAGATATTCCCGCTACCATTTATGGTAGTGGGTCTTAGGGATGAAGCGCAAAATCGCAAATGCCCCGTCTCGCGAACTTTGGTAACCCCTCACGTGCCGACACGTGACAGGGCCTTCTGTGGTCTCGACTCTTCGGCGTCGTCCGAAAGCGCATTGACTCTCCCCTTCACCTTCGGTTTGCCTTACTCTCGCAGAGAATGCATCACTGGCAGGCAGCCATCTTTTGATTTTGACCTCGTGATGAAGTGTTTCTCTGGCCATAGCGATCGTCTCCATTTTGGAGAAATCTCGCCTCATTACGGGCAGTTTCAGTCGTGTTTCCCCGTGAAGACATGTAATTGTTTGGGCGACTTCTCATCGCATTGAGCGCGACCGTCATACGAGCGAGCACGATCGGTAAGCGGACATACTCCGAGGGCGGATGCGCGAGTACGTGCGCGTGGGGTGGGGAGCGGAGAGAGCGGGGAGTGGGCGCGGCGCGAGAGGGTGGGAGGGGGCTTGTCAACGACGTCGAGAAGGCGCGCTCGGGCGGCAGGGGGCAGTGCGAGTGCGCAACGGGCAGACTTGCTGGATGCGCCTCACTGAGTACGGGCTCCAGGGGCCACGAGAGAGCTCGCGAGGGGTACAAGTTATTCACTGTGAAGCTGCTTAAGATCAAACCCAAACTCTATGGTGTAAATCAGACGGTGTGGTAGCGGGCCCTGCCGTAAAACGGCCCTTCAGAGTTACCAGTTTTCAACGGTTTTTGGCGCAAAAATCACCATATTTGGCAGGTCCTGAGTCCAAAAAACCGACTGTGACCCGTGACCATTACAACGCCGGTAGTTGTGCTTTGACCGAGCACGCGAAGGAAAAGCACAACGAGTGCAGACTAAGCGGATCGACAGTCGAGTCTCACTTGCTAGACAAGTGCCTCATCCTCAACCTCGACTGTCGAATCGCTCAGTCGGCACTCGTTCAAGCATCGTACTTTGTAGCTCGCATCCGCTCGAATTCCGATCACGACCATGGGTCCTCCGGCTGATTCTTTGTCTGGGCGGTTCGGAGTGATTGGATCAGGCGTGAATGATGTGACGAACGATATCGCCGAAATTCAGAAAGGACTGGACGAGATCGACAGCCCTCGCCTTGAACGCAACAAGGAACGAGCTCGGAGGCGTGCCGCAGGTGAAGAGAGCGTCTCGGACGATGAGCAGGAAACGGAAGATGTAATTCGTTACCGGAGGTTGATCGACGTAGTCAAACGCGCCCGGGCCGCTCAAGAAGGGGAACTGGCGAGTGGGACAGGCGATCCTGCACAGACGACCGCCTCCACCACGGGAAGCGGAGCACAGTCGGCTTCGAGAGTCCCGCAGACGTCCTCGACGACCACATTCCCTACCCCTATTCCTCCGGTACTTCCTGCGCATCTGAAGTCCAACCCATTCAATGATGCGGCGGTACTCGCTAATACCTTCAACACAATCGACGACTCCATCACTTCCCACCTCCAAGCGCTCGCGTTTAACAGTATCTCCTCACCGCTCACCTTGTTCCAGACCGACTTCATCTCCCGCCTCAGGAAGGGACAAGGGCTGAAGTTCCAGCCCCTGGGACATGGGGACAACGCGAAGCCGAGATTGCTTGACTGGGAGACGATGAAGGCCGACGATGAGCGGCATACGGCGCGCGACCAATGGCAGACAGCATATAACACGTTCCTCCGCTTCATTGCCTCTCTCGCCGACCCCGGACAAGGAGACGCAATCTCGGAGGGATGGGCGAGGCACTACAACCGCATGATATCCGACCCCGACTTCATGCCCCAGTTCCCTGCGTTCCGCGACTTCAACATCGATATGCGTGCTCAGTTCTTTCAACGGCGCTTCGTCGTGAATCCTGACGACCCGAAGTGGGAGAGTATGCTCAACTCGGCGAAGATCCGACATGCCCGCGATCCGATTGCTGCTCCCCTCCCCTTCACACCTCCCTCGGCATCCTCCCCTCCGCGGCTCTCTCGCTCTCTCCCTCCCCCTCGACCGCATCCTTACGTGCAGTCCTTTCGAGAAGAACCGCTCTGCCTCCGATGTGGCCTACCCGGACATCGCGCATCTGCATGCGTCGCCACGACGCCCAGCAAGCCTGGGCGCCAGTTCTTCGTCGACTGCAGCTTCGGGCGCATCGTCACGAAGGATGATAGGCACGTCTGCGTGCGCTACAACCTCGGCAAGTGCACCTCCACCCCATCCGTTGGAGCGCACGGCGCCCACATCTGCTCGCTCTGTGGTGCAAATCACGCCGCCACCCAGTGCACTCGTAACTGAACGCCTACGTATTCCGACCCCATATTGTGCCGACGCTTGGTATACCGAGCTTGAACGCTGCAAATTACTGTCTATCTTCCCTAGCCTCGTGTACGATATCCGCTTTGGCTCTCCGATTGGCTCTCCCCCTCCTCTTACCTACTCTTTCATCCCGTCCAACTCGAAGTCTGCAGCTGACTATTCTGATATTATAGACAATTATATACTTGATGAGATTGCTGCTGGTCGCATGTATGGCGGACTTTCCTTTGACGATGCGTACATATTCTTCGGTGGACTTTTCGTACGGCACCTATGGCCGTCGTTCTCGACGGGGAGAAGTCGCGCGTTGTACATAACTTCTCGGCCGAGGATGGGTTAGGCATTTCAACCAACTCCTGGCTGGATGCGAAGGAGTTCCCCATCATGTGGCACAGCGCGGCGCTGATGGCTGACATGGTGAGCATTTCATTCGAATCTGCCGGCCTGGCTGTATGGACCAGTGCCACGAATCCGCCGGGCTGGCAGTATGGACCAGTGCCACCCCCTTTCATAGACTAACTTCTTCCAGGTTTCGAGCGCTCCCCCCGGCACCCAGGCTTGTGCCTTGGACTGGGTCAAGCCTTACCGCGCATCACCCATCAAGCCCGAACACAAGCGCTACATCGCCATCTTCAGGCGCGGGCTCGTATTCCCCAACCATGCCGCCCCCTTCGGCCTCACAACATCCGGCAATATCCAAGGTCTACTGGCCGACGCCCTCATCCGCATATTTCGTCATCACCGAATCCCGCGAGCTCTCAAGTGGGTGGACGACTTCAACATTCATCGCGTGCCCGCACGGCAACATCTGTCCCCAGATGGACACATCACCTACGACATCGACATCGACATCGACTCTATACGCCGTATTACCGACCCCCTCGGCATTCAATGGCATCCGTTCAGCAAGAAAGGCCACGATTTTAGCGACCAAACAGAATACGTCGGTTTTGTGTGGGATTTTCGCGAGAAGCGGGTCTCTCTGTCGGAGGCGAAGCGCCCTCGCTACCTCAACAAAATCCGTACCCTGTTGGTGACGGACAGGGGACTGGTACGCGAAGCTGACGTGTTGTCGCTACGCGGCACTTTGCAGCACATTTGCTTCGTGTACCGCCGAGGCGGCGTGTTGATGCCTGCTTTATCTCGTTTCGCAGCATCCTTTCGTAACCGCTTCGCCTCTCACCATATTTATGACCGCGTTCGACGCGATTTGATGGACTGGGCCGACCGACTCGCCATACCCACATATTCGCGTTCCCTCCTTCCGCGCACCTCCTTGGACCTTGATGTCTGGACAGACGCTTCGGACTGGGGGATCAGCCTCCTCGTGGGACCTCGTTGGGCAGCGTGGCGTCTTCGCGAAAGATGGCGAGGCGGTGGAAGGGATATTGGGTGGGCGGAAATGGTGGGACTCGAACTTGCGGTCCGCTGGCTCATTGCCTCACACGATTGCGCGGACGCTGACTTCGTCTTGAACGGAGACAATACAGGGGCAATCGACGCGATTCGGCGTGGCCGTTCGCGGAACTCGGCTCGAAATGAGTCCATAAGTCGTATATTGGACATGGTCATTGCACGTAACATTGTATTCTCGCCTTCCTACGTACCTTCAGCCTCCAACCGGGCCGACGCCGTGTCACGTGGACAGCTTGGACCGTCACACCTCGCTCTCGAGATTCCCTTTGTCTTACCTGACGAGCACCTTCAACCATGCACCGTCTCATACTTCTGAATACTCACTCGTCTTCTCGTGACAAACAAACTGCCCTACAGCCCCGCATCAATGCTCTGAACGTCCTGCCCGCTGAACCTCCCCCTTCCCCTGCTCGGCCGCAACGTCATCGTCATTCCGCGACGCGACCTTCACCCCTTCGCCCGCATGTCCTTGCTCGAGATCGTTTGGCGGGTTGGTCAACACCGCACGCTCAGCAGACTTGGACTTCACTGCGGGCGTATTTTCCGGAAGCCACCATCCTCCGATGGCGTACTGTTGCGCTCGCCTCCGTATCAGAGGACACGAGACAGAACTACGGGGCGGGCCTGCTCCGATTCACCCAATTCTGCGATCATTACCGAGCGCCCGAACACCTGCGCATGCCTGCCAGTGAGTCCCTCCTGGCGGTTTTCGTGGCAGAGATGGGTGCGGGAAAGGTGCAGGTCGGCACCATCGAGTCATGGCTATCAGCTTTGGCCCTTTGTCACCAGATCAACGGGGCACCTTGGAAGGGCGGGGACGTATTATCACGCACACGCAAGGGCGCCGCTGCAGTCTCTGCTCTCACGCTTCCGCGGCGCCGCCCACGCAACCCGGTCTCCCTTGAGCACATGCTCGCCCTCCGGCGGCATCTCGACCTCACGAACACATTCGACTCTGCGGTTTGGGCGGAGGCTTGCGCAGCCAGGTGCGGATGCTGCCGTTTGGGAGAACCACTACCGAGAATGGGGAAACCCTTCGATGCGAGATATAACATGACCCGGGGTACAGGGAAGAAGAATGGTGTCGCGTCGAACGGCCACGACTGGATCTCGCTTTTCGTGCCCTACACGAAAACGAAAAAGTTCGAAGGCGAATGGGGTCTCATTCACCGCTACTCAGGACGACGTGAATGTCGTAGACGCCTTACCATCACTGGGCAATTAATCACGCAGTGCCCAACGACGCGCCGATGTTTGCGTACGAGACGTCCTCCGGCTGGTCAACCTTGACCAAGGAATCTTGGATGGCACGTTGCGTAGAGATATGGGATGTTTGCGGGCTCGGCTCCCTGCTTGGCCATGGCTTCCGCATCGGCGGCACGACTTTCCTGCTACTCCACGGCACGGAACTGTGGATCGTCATGCGCCAGGGACGGTGGTCCTCCAAGGCTTTTCTACGCTACTGGCGCCAGGTGGAGGAGATTCTGCCTCAATTCATCGGAAATTCTTTGGACAATGTAGACTCTCTGGACGGCACTATTCGTAGTGCTGTACATTGCATCGACCGTAAATAAATGTAGTGGTGAGACGGATCCGGAGTTTCCGTCTGGCTCGTGGCCTCAAACACCTCTCGCGTTGTGGTGAGCCGAACCTCGCGGATCCTCACTCGCAGAGAAGAGGGAATAGCACCCCCTCTCTCTCTATCCCATTGCTGAGTCGAAGAGCTTAGGCAGCATTGCACGCAACCCGAGACTCCGTGACCGTGACGGTTGCTTCCATACACTTAGCCACAGTAGTGGCCCGGTGTAGGAGTGTAAGATATCAAGCTGTCAACTCCAATACGACTCAGTCAGCCCTCTTAGTCAGCAGAGCCGTCACTGACCCGTAGGATCTTGTGTCCACTGGTAGACGGAATGGTCATGTGACCACAATGGAAAACGAATTTCCACCCTCAGAAAGCACCCTCTAGAGGGCCCGTAAGGCCCATTCTGTATCAAAATACGACCGGATGCACTAATATATGCCTTCATGCCCCATGTGTAAGGGTGATATCCTATGGCAGTACTCAGTGGAGGTCGGCGCTGTCGAGCTCGTCTGCCTAGCCTCGTGCTGTAGTGCCGAGGGCGTCAGGGATGCTCGCCGACAGCAACCGGGTTTCAAGATAAGGTTCTTACGGTTGGGTTTCTCATTAGACTATTCCTGATCCCACTGCTGTAGATATCGAAAGTTTTTCAGTAAGGTCGAGCCTCAGTAGTGACCCTTCCTTCCTTCAGTTGCAGAGGTCTATCTATATCACGGCACCATCCTTCAGCTCCAGGATAAAGGTTCACGTTTGTAATCAGTAGAGCAAGATGTCGAGGGCGGTTGGTGCCGCCTAACAGCTTGCACAATGCGGTTCGTGTGCTGCCACCTGTCAAAAACTTGCTCCTACGAACAACAACCAGGGTCTCCAGCTCCGGAAGCCGAACACCAAGAGTCGTGTCCGCCAGCCCATTGACGAATCTGTCGCACCACGGGCTGACTTGCCGGTCAGGGTCATCCCATTCGTATATGAGAGTGACCCTCTTCACATTCACGGTATGCGCGACAATCTCAGCGAAGTCCCGTTGACATTCTATGCGAATGTTGCATAGCTTGAGATGGCGCAGGAACTGTGGGGATATGCGCCCATCTGCGAGGCCGCGACGTAGCCACTCCGCTGAATTGCTTGCAGAGGCACCGTGTGCCCGATCTAGCCAGATCACCTCTACCACTGGCATGCGCAGGTTGACAGGATCGAAGGTGTTAGACTCGTGAAGATGTAGAATTCGCAGCTTTGGAAGTGTGATGCTGCGGGGAGTCCATCGACCCGCGATGCCCAGCTGAAGGTGTTCCAGCGTTGCTGCACATGTCTCAAGCATCACTTCCGGCGAAGGCCACTCCAGGAGACCAGGTCCATGCAGATGTAAGGATGTGAGTGTTGGTGGCATGGGCAAGTACAGCCGAGTGTACTCGGCTCGCGTGGCGCGCAGGGCGCGCTCGCCTCGCAGCGTTACCGTGAGGTGCTTGCAGTCAGGAATGAAGGCCGCCATGAAGCTGAAGGCTTGTGCTGGCGTCGCTAGCGTAGGGCTCGTGCACGGGAACAGCGTCATTGCGCGTTCGCTGAAGTATGCATCCCGTTTCTGGCGCCACACGGGGTCGTAGCCCTCTATGACATGCACTGAATCCCATCGATGAGACAACTTCTGGAGGTATGTGTGCAGGATCAAGATGTGCTCGTGATCGAAGCGAACGTGCAGGGGAAGTCCGGCCGACAGGGTGTCATACGCGGCGAACTGATGCATCATATGCGAAGCTATATCCTCTGGCAAGGTGTCCTTTTCGATCCGAGGCTCTATATGCGTCCATAGTGTCTTCGTATCGCGAACTATGGTGTTCCATGTCCAGTTCACTCTAGACAAAGAGCGAAGTACCATGGGCGCGACACCATATTTGTCTTTGCAGTCATTGTCGTCCCCCGGTGTTGCAAACTCCTCCAGGATGCGGCTGTTCAACTCGCGGGGTAGATTGTTCATGACTGTTGGGATTACCGGCATTCAGTTAGCCAGAGTCCTCATGGTCGTCGCCGATATAGACCCTCACCTGCAGCAGGCGGGATGGGAGACGGAAGAAGAATAGATGCAAAAAAATTACCCACCTTTACTGCCGTTTGATCTCGACAGTGTCTCAATCAAATTCGGGGAGTGCGGATTAGTCAGCAAGTCCGGATGGAGGCCCAACGAGAGGCAATCCGTTCTACAGTAGGAAAAGCTGCAGGCGTATCTGTCGAGGTTGTGGGAACGCCCCCGCAAGTCTTGGTGAGAGTCAAATGACAGGCCAGCAGACTATCACTTCCTGAAAAAATTCACATGGGCGTAACGTTCTCACGCACCAGATCGCGTGAAAGTCACGAATTCGTGACATTTTCATCGGAAAATGAAGGTTTTTGCGGGAACTTTCGTCACGGTATGTCTGTTGATCTTGAACAAAACTCGTGAGGACTGACTCACAATTGCGCGAAGACTGTGACACGGTTCTTCACGGATCCCGCGGATGCTCCGCATGGCGTGTATTCCGCCGAAAAAATAATCACGGTTGCATTTTCGCGTCGCGTAATCGCGGACCACCTGAGGGGGGCTGCAGTCATCCGGGATGGCGTAAAGGCATCCTACCCACCGCTCTGAATACTTCAATGGCCTTGTAATTGGCGAGGAGGGATATAGAAAGGACCGCCAACGCTGTTCGGCCATTGCCGACAAGGGCGGCAAGTCGGTCCGAGATTGCCGCCCGTCTTTGTTCCTCTTCTAGGCTTCCTATTCGCACTCAGATGGCGCTGATATAGATGGACCACCTCGACGTACTTATAAATCCCAGGAAGTTACATGACCCACCCGTTCATCCTCGTTGATCCTGCCTTACATGAGTTACCATGCCCGCTATCTTCGGGCGGTTTGAGGGTTTCCGACACATACAAAGCTAGCACCAATTCCAGAGTAATGGTAGAATTGTGTTCCTACTGCCTCTGCAGTGCCCGGTCCGTGTGCGACGATGAGAGGACTAGAAGAGAGACGGGCAGCGAACGAGAGCCCCCCGGGCGTCTCACCAGAATGTCCGATCCTAAATTCGGGATTTGAGGTCATTTCCGTCGCATGGATTTTGGCCAATTTTGAGGGGTTTCCGGCGCACTAAGATCGGACCTTCGCTCAAGGCTCACTTTCCGTCGCACTATGGATCGAGCCTCGGCGGCGGCGACCCTCCTTGACCACCACTTATGAGGCTCTGTCGGCGCTCTTAGGGCCTGTTCGGGAAAAAGAAACACGTCATAGTTAGCTAACTTGCGTGACTTACCTGCCTTTGAAGGCAAGTAAGTCAGGCCTGGACCGCTCGAAAGTTCGCTGATCTTCGTTAACCTGCCTTGTAAGGCAGGTAAGTCGGGTAACTTCGACGTGTTTCTTTTTCCCGAACAGGCCCTTATGACGTAAGGCCACGAGACTTACTGTATATAAGCCTAACGGTCAACCCTTGATCGCATCAGTCCCGCTTGTCAAGAGTCAGCACGTCCTCTGCTCCCCCTTGATTTCGTCCATCCTGCAACAAGAGGCCGAGTGCTTCGGGACTGCTGCGTACATGTCAAGTAAGCACCCAGAATCTATGGAAAAAGTTGAATGACGCCACTGACACGCACGCAGAGTGTATCGAGTACAGATGCTTACACACCTGTGGAACGGACGGGGGTTGCCCGATCTTGCACAAAAACCACATTCGCGATAACAAGGGCTCAGCCTATAAGCATGCCAAGGCAAAGAAACACAGAAAAAGTTGCAATCCGGACTGTAGAGCCTTTGGGAAGGCACAAAAGGATACTATAGAGTTGGTGTCTCAGCACGCCGACGAGCCGGGGTCGGTAATCGACACACGCCTCAAGAAGTTCCCCGACAGAGAGTTAACAATCGTCTTCGTGGCCGACCCCGTTCTGGGCAAGGACGTGGACAGCGTTACCGTTGATCACGGTGTCCCCCATGTCACTGTCATCAATGTCACCCAAGAGCAGGTCCAGCAGTTGGAAGTCGACACACCGGGTGCATGGGCAAAGGAATTGCCGGAAAGCGTGCACGCGGACACAGAGCCAGACCCGGCTGAAAAGACCGTTAAGGTGGCCCAGTGGGAATGGGTACGTTGACGCGGCTACACTGTAGAGGTCACGGAAGCGCTGACAGCCACTGCTCTTCGCAGGTGCATGCCGTATATGTCTTGAGGGCACGGGGGCACCTCGTCGTAACGCTCTCTTACGAGAGCTTTCTCGACGCGATGCTTAAGCCCGGAGTGGCCACACATGGCACTATCCTTCATCAACTGGAGAAAGCCGACGTCATTCTTGGTGGACTTCCTATCCACAAGGATCTCAGGTGCGTTTCAGATCTCCGCCGAAGTTTACGTTCCAGCTGGTGAACAGAAATAACAGAAGATATGGCGTGAACACGATCGACGAATTGGACGAGTATCTCGCATCAGCTACCCAGCTCATGCACAAAGCTGTCATGTTTCCCGACCCATGGGAGTTGTTGTACAGCTCGTCTCCACCTATGGTTAATCACGTCCTTGACCTCGCGTCCGTGGCTTTGAATGGCTGCAGACCGTACGCGTCCGCGTGCTATGGATGCACACCCGATGACTTCTCCTCCGACATTCGGCACCTGGCCAGTCTGAGCTCCGACATGAGCTTTGCCATCGTGAGGGAGGATGGGGAAGATTCCGTTCGACCAGAGAACATACATCTCAGGAGGATATGGGTGAAGAAAGTCGCACCAGACCCACCCAGTACGGACTGGCTTGGGCTTCCGCATCATTCCGGTATACACCGGAAATGCTCCCCATTGTTTGGCGAGCTCATGGTCTACATCGTCGGTGGGGATGTCACACACGTTGTGCAACTAGGACCCGTCGCGGATGGAGATTTCATGTCAGGTTTGACACCAGGGCCACTGCCTTTGCACATTTGCGACAAGCGGTATGTGCCTGTTACTTCCGGCATGTTGCACATATACAGCTGTCGGACGCTGACGGTAACTGTTCCAGTCGAGTCTTCGAGAGCTATCGAACTGTCGCAGAGGCATGGGCGACGTTTTGCGGCTGGGACGAGGACGCAACAGAGAGGAAACAAGGATATGAAGAGCTGCGACAATTCGCACTGTCGAACCTGTCGACTATCATGAAGCTAGAGCGCAAGGTCATGGAGGGTGATGTGTCTGACCTACAGCTACTGTGCAGGATGGACGTTGGCTTGCTACAGTGCAGTTCCGGCCTGAAGTACTACGTGAAAAACTTGGAGCGCGGTCTCACAACGTCCATGATGGGTTGGATGGACTGGCAGGTGGCGTCAGGAGACATAAACCAGTTCGTGAATCTCCTTCCCGCATTTGTATGTGCCCGTCAGGCCGCCAAAGTGTAGGCAACATAGCTAGCCCAAAGTGCTTGTATATCGCCACTCGCATCCAACATTTTGTCTGTCGGGAGGGAAATCAAATACAGTGATCAAGCATTCGATGAGCAGTCGGCCTCGGGAAGCATCACAATGTCGCCGCGTCGCCCGAAAGATCGACATATTCAAGAGGGGTGCACTGTGTATAAACCTTATTATCTTCAAGCTGTGAAGAGTGCGGCATCGAGCACAGTGGGCTTGCGAACGCGGCTGAGCAGCATTTGAGCAGCTCAAGCACAATCAGGAAATATTGCTCAGAGCGCCCCCGCCCTTTGCTTGCATCGAAAAACATTCATGACGGTACCTATGACTTAAAAGAACGAAATTGATCTGCTATGAAGGCGCGGACACGCCAAAATCACATCGGTAATCGGGCCCATCGTGTCGGTGCTTTAGAGGTGTAGGGCGTGAGAAGCGGCGAGAAACCAAAATTGGCGAGCAGACTTAGCTGCTTCAGTATTCATCTGGCACCTCGGAAACCACCGAAAGTATGATTGGGCTCTACATCAAGAGTGAAGATATAAACCGGTGCATATACAATCTATTGTGCTAGTTTTCTTGCCAAGCATAATTTCTTACATTCTGCTAAGTAGACGTTGCAGGCCGAAGCTACAAGGCGCGCACCTCACTGTACCAACCTACCCCGATCGCATCACTGCTACTCTGACAGCGCTGGTCAAGCAGATGGTCGTTCCAGACGCCGACTCGACCCGAATGGCCGTGGCGTAGTTCGCGTATGTGCCGAGTTCGCTCTTGCCCTCGCCAACATGCGATAAAGCCGGCGGAGCCGAAGCTTCCTCTAGTCTACAGCTGCGGCTTAAATCTCACGTGGCAACGAGAAGCAGGCAGACCACCGAGAATGTCGTACAACGGAACTGCGAATAATCCCTGGGACCAGGACTGGAGCTCAACGACCGGTGGCGCGGGGCGGTACTGCATGTATACCTGCTGCGGGCATACTGAGTACTGGCTGCTATGGCTTAATCTTCAGATCGCTTCCCCAACGAGCTTTTGAATACGTTCGGCACTCCCGCTTCGTCACCCATGGAAGGCCGCTACCTCTGCCCTGAAGGAGATGCTTGCAGGGTACAGCAAGGTCAGCGCGCGTTAGAAGCCGTTGCAGCCGTTTGCAGGATAAATTGCAGTCTCGTGCCGAGAGATTTCCAGCACGTGGGTCCCGTCGCGTCGCCAGGGACCCATACGTGCAAGCCCAGAGCGTCACTGGCCCGCGAGGGACGCGTCTGATTGGTCTACAACGGCCGCGTGCTCGAAATCTTGCAACACGGGACTGCATTCCATTCTGCAAACGGCTGTATTATCCGCCCAGTACATGTGCGTCCACATGCTTCAAGCAAACCCGTTGCCGCGAAGCCGAGAGGCCTCACGTCGTCACGCAGCAAAGTCCCGCAAAGTCGCCACCGCGTCAAGGGCAAAGGTTTTGGTTCAGTAAGGGGTGTAGACTGCTTTATTGACTCTTATTATGGCATACGTATACTCAAAAGAAGATTCAGTAGTACAGGAGGAGATCCTAATCGGGGTATTTCCACCCGACAATGTCTCTCACTTGTGGCACCGGGAACGCGCGCCACTGGACGTAATCGTATATAAAGGTTGATTACTGTATGGCTTTAACCGTATGTTCGCTAGATGTGACCTGTGACCGCGTGAACTTGCTTAAGAGTCTGTCCAGCTGCACTTCGGGTTTAGGTTTGAGACTCGGTCTGAGGTTGCGTCTCCCTGGGTTTCCCATTGGGGCTTCGCGGGTCCGTCGGGCCGCGTCGTCGCGGACTTCGCCGGGAGCCCGAACTCGGGCGTTGCGCACCTTAAACAAGGTGAGAACCCCGTTCCATATTTTTGGAAGGCGTGGATTTCTGAGAGAGATCCTAAGAAGTGTTCAAAATCTTCAACGAGGGCTGTAGCAGGGAAGGACGAGGGATTAAAGGAACACGCTAGTGACATGTGACCATGCGGTCCGACAGCCCCGAGCAGCCCAAACGGGAAACTCGACCTCAAACCGAGACTCAAACCCAAACCCGAAGTGCAGCTGGACAGACTCTAAGTTCAAGTTCATTCGACCGTAGGTTTACGTCACAAGTCACGATGACCCTTGAGCTGCACGTATAGCTGCGGCCTGATCAATTGCACGCTGCCTTCTTGGGAAAATCGCCGAGGCGGGGGTTGGGCGTGGTCAACAAATCCGGCTCTTTCACAAATGGTAGAGCGTAGAAAAAGACCCCCAAATACGAGCTTTGAAGCGAAATGGGCGTGCAATTTGTGAGATATGTGCCGTATACTACCTGAGGGCACGCAGTGTCATATGACGCATGTCGGCACATTCCAAAAAGATCACGGATGCTCTCCGGCAAGGTTGGTATGCAGACGGTGGCTTTCAAGGGCGCTCTTCCGTTCTGTGAGGTTGCCGAAGCCAGCAGACTATGCCTAACGCTCGCGTCGGCGATTTTTGCCAAAAGGGCAGCGCGCAATTGATCAGGCCGCCGCTGTAATGAGGGGACGCAAATCCCTTAAAGCTCCGCTGCCTGTTTGGGAAGATTCAGCCGACGGCTGTATCTCCAGTTCATCTCGCCAGACGTCATCCCTCTCTCCGCGATGAAATGATCGTACAGCGTACAGCGTAGATAAGGTCTGGGCAGATGTTCTTCGTCGCCTTATCCTCAAATCTTGCCTTGCGGTTCGATTCCCAAAGAGGATGAGACTGGAAATCGGGAAATTGGGATATGTGCGGAAAAGGTGCAATTGTCCCGCATGTATATTGTAAAGAATTGCTGATCCCGGGAAGGAACAGGCGGTGTGGCGGGAGATTACTGTATCGGTATGTACTCTACTGTACCGGTATGTATGGAGGCAACCGGTAGGGGGTGCGTTACGCTAACAACCCTCCGCTAGTAGGCAACCGACCCCCACGTTAGGCATTACGGTTAGTTGAATAGGCAACCACTCAAGGTAGATTTAGAGCTTGCTAGGCGGAAATTGGACGTACAGCAGCAGGAAGGCTCCGATGCAACAGTTACGATACAAACAGCCTATTTCGGAGCGAAACAGACCGTCTAGGTCGCGCCGAGAAATATCTGAATTTTCGTCGATTTTTTGCGCGATGGCAACCACCCCCCGTTATGCGTTACTTTCTTCTAGATAGCCAACTTTTTGGACCCGCGTTACGCGTTACGGTTGCCTCCATACATACCGGTACAGTATGGAGGCAACCGGCGGGAGGTGCGTTACACTGACAACCCTCTGCACGTAGGCAAACCACCCTGCGTTGGGCGTTACGGTAAGGCAAATAGACAACTAGTGAAGATTATTTCTGGGGCTTGTGGGGTGAAAGTGGACGTGCAGCATCAGAAAGTCCCCAGTCTACTAGCGATACGACATCAATTGCCTATTTTACGTGCGAAAGAGACCGTGCGCGTAGCGTCGGAGAATATTAAAATCTCTTCACTGAGTGAAAGTGGCCGTAACTGTCACGTCTAAGTAGACGTTCTCATTGGTCGACGGCCGACTACGATCATGTGCCGTTACACTCCTCACGCGTCGATGACGCGATGCTCCATCTTCAGCTTTCAGCCCAGCTTGCCCTTTTTGCGTGCCCTTCTTCCTCAAGTCTATGATCTCGAGCTTTTCACCTACGCATCGTGTTGCCTGTCCTCTAGGTGTATCTTTCCTCTCAATCAACCTTGATTGCTCTCTTACGGATGGCTCTGCAGCTTGAGAGCATGCGAGACGACCTGCGCCACCGCAACGAAATTGCGAAAAATGGGCACAACGAGATGACTTTCGTTTTTAAACCAGGACGGATGACGAAGGGCTTCCGCAGTGTAGACATGCTATACCATCCTTCGCCCGCCCACGCGCTTTTTGGCTACATTTGTGCAAGTGTTCATGGTAGTAATGCCCGACGGATGCTCCACGCCCGCGACATAGCCTACAATGCTTACTCTAGCAATCAACGTTTTCTACCTACGTGACGCTCGCTCGATGGTCTAGAGACAACAACAACCTTGGACGGGAGATTTCCGCAGTATGCTCTCGCGTAGCGCATTTGATGAGTCAGGTGAAGGGACGTGTGCGCGCGAGCGGTACGTGGGCAACTGCGCGGCCTTGCCTGACTACTTCTCTACTTCTTCGTTCACCTCACGCGGTCACATGTCACATCCAGCGAATCTACCGTCGAAATCATACAGTATACTCGGGGATCCGGCTTCACGTTGTACTTATGGAAACATAACAACGCCTTTACTTCTGAACAGATTTTCTTCGCGTAAGTCTGTGAAACCTTGCGGTACATTACATTATCACCTTGCTTGCAAGGTCCATGCCCGTGTAACCGAGCCGAAGAAACCATGGGTCAACACGCACACATATTCATCCATAAATCCTGTTTGGCATCACAGGTAGGACACCGAGTTCTGTTGACAGTACTTATGTGTGATAGTAGGACTCACGTGCGAAATTCAAAGCAAGGTATGCAGCTAGCGAAGCCATGACTTTCCCTTGTTAACCTGCTCTGTCACAACTTGTTCAGCGCGGTGTGACACATTTGCATGCCACGATGCTATAGGGTACCCTCCTACTACCCGCTACGCCGCCCAGTCTGACTGCACATACTTCTTCAACTCCTGGGCCTCTTCCAAAAAGTCAATCGGCTCTGCCCGTGTGATTTCATATCGTAGCCGAGGCTCTCCCTGGGCTCATTTGTGTCAAGTTCTCGGCAATGACGCTATGCATCTCAAATAGGGTCACAATCACCCGCTCGTCTCCAGAGAGTAGGGTGAGCACAAAGATCCACCTGACTATACGATGATCCTGAAAGGGGCGGTATGGTAAAATTGGACATCAACCGGGTTGCATTCACCCTGCTTCTTTTCAAGCGCCTTTGCATGGGATGAATGTAACCCGACCAGCGACCATTTTCACCATAGTGACCCCTGGGACGATATCGTATAGACAGGTGAACTCTTACATTCACCCTACTAGGGTAGCAGGTGTGTGGAAGAATCCCTGTTCGAGGTGCGCAATGTAACTTTCCAAGTCCGTTACTCACGTCATAGGCTTCGTTTCTTGTCCTGCAAACAAAGTTCCAGGTCCGTTTCGTTGCCCGGGAGAGGGCATTGTCGGTGCCTTGATAATTGTTGGCTTCCTTTTTGCGGATGTGAGTGGAGCACGTTGTGGCGATGTTCTCAAACTCACGCGCATCGCAATAACCGCATTGGCAGACATACCCAGAATAACTTTTCCGACGTCATCAAATGCCTGAAACAGCATCGTTCCCGTAGCGTCTCCTATGAGGATATGAAGGGTGTACCTGCACAGAAATCTCTGAGATGTCAGGAGTAAAAGAGATCAAAGCACGTACCGGTAGTCAGGTGATGAATGCGACGTGTTGCATTTCTCACAAAGCCATCGACCATCGCTAATCTCCACAACCTTCTTGCTACAACCTGGAGATCTACATGCAGGATATGCAAGGGGCTTTGCTTTGATGTCCATGATCATCGCTCTCACAGAATAGTTGCTCGTCGTTTCGCTCATACCACGTGTAGCGTCCCTTATCTGTGAGAGGTCGCGCTGGTCTCCGTGGTCAAAGCTGTAGTGCGAGCTGGATGTGCTACTCGTGTGTGCCGTGAAGTCGCGATGCTTGCCTGTGTTGTCGAACCAGTCACGAAGTTCTGCAGTATCCGCGTGGTCGAGGTTAACATACATCAACGACGACGTCAACATGGTCAGCGAGCGGCCCCCAAAGTCACCGACTTTGACGCCCTTGAATGCAATTACGGGGTATCCTGCCTCGCTATACTTCTCTGCAGTCTCCCCCCATAAGGTGACGCGCACGGAATAGCCACTGTCGTCAGCGATGGTGAGCTCCCGCTTCTTTGCGGCCCTGTTCGTCGACTTCGTCGCGATCTCGGAGACCTCACTGCAGTCGACAACGACACCGATAACATCTGTGGCAGAGGTGTTATACTTTGATGGCAGTCGATGCTCACCTCACGTACCACAACTTGAGTCCTTCTCTGTAGTCAGCAACTGATCAATCTTGACGAAGTCAAATTTGATGACCGGAACATCAGCGTCATCTAAGCACTGCACAGTTCAAGGGTTCGAAACCCATTAGCCCATTCGACTGCCATGTGGGAGCAGCTCTCACCGGCTCTATGCTTGTGTTCTGCTCCAAATGAAGCTCGTAGTCATTATTCACGTTGGAGAACTTCCTCTTGGCCAATTCCACCCGGGCCTTCGTGACGAAGAAAACCCGTCCTACTTGAAGTACATCATACAGCCGATCCACAGCCTGGTTGAAACCCGTTGCTCGTATCTCTCCAGTGGAGTCCAGGAATGTTACGTTGAAAAGGCTCCCGGATCCACGATTGTTGGACCACGTTCGAATGGCCGACTTGGTAACAACACGAGCCTTAATCGTCCAGTTGCTGTTATAGAGTGCGATGGTCGCGATATGGGTTATCGGACGCTTCTGTATTCCTGCCTCCGTAGTGGTCCGTGGAGTGACACCTTTTGTGACATCAGACTCTGCATCAGTGTTGTGGGTGCTGGATGTAGGGCGCCCCGAATCAGGGCCTTGCGGTCCAGTTTCCTGATCGTCGTGGCCTTCTCGATGCTGCTGCAGAACCTTCCCCTCTCTGACTAGTCTGCAATCACTTTGTCCAACAATTGTTGCCTGGGAAATGGCAATGTACCTGTAACTCGCTTTTTCAGAGTCTTAGCAGCGACTGTGAATGCCTACCACCCACCACTTCTCATTGAAGGCACGCTTCATTACACGCGTGACACGCACAAGTGCAAACAGCTGTAAGGTGCCGACCATACCGCCCCTCCAGAAGGTCGCAGTTCCGTACCAAGCCCCATCAGAGAGCACACAGTTCAGGCGCTCGCTGCCGCTTTCTTTTGGCCCACCAACGACCTGCAGAACGTCTGTGCAGTCAACGGTTACATCGAGGTCATTTCTGCTAAGCTTTATGATGGCGTCCTCGGTAAGGTCTGCTATGGACATTCTGTTGTCGTAGCTTGGAGTATGAAGGTGGGTCAGTAAGGTGCTATATGTGTAGGAATGCGCTACAGGCATTTCTCACCAAAGTTGGTCAATGTGCGAGGCAGGAGGTTGAGTGGCAGTAAGAGGCAAGAACGTCGCTGTATGGTCCACGCACATTGTGGGGCTTATAACCACCCCTGTGATCGGATGTCGATGGGGAACAGATGTAAACAAATGACGCACCTGACAAGACCACCAACAATCTACTGTGTCGTTTTGACCGTAGGTTCACGTCACAATTCACGATGACCCTTGAACTGCGCCTAACGGCCAACTGTCACGGGTCATAGCGGTGCATGAACTATGTAACATATGTGACATATGTGACATATAGGCTCAGAATAGAGTCATGTGAGCCAACAATCACGATTGTTCGCCCCCTACAGGCGCTGGTATGTATTTTCGTGTCATTCAGCCGCTCCGAATCTCTGTAGGTCTCTGCCGTCTTCATCTGCAATGGTCACCGACGTTCTTCTCAAGTATTATGTTTGAATTTTGCAGGAAAGCATCATCAAGGCACCACCAACAATGCCAACGACCAATGGCTGAGCCAGTGTAATGTTTGCTGCACGACTGAGGACGGATGTAAGTCAGCAGCACCACGCGCGAACTTGTGCTTGTGAACCTGATCGCATCGTGTCACGCTTCCCAATTTGGTTGTGCCTCATGAACTTGACCTTAAGCAAGTTCACGCGGTCACAGGTCCCATCCAGCGAACCTACGGTCGAAATCATACTATATGTGCTGCTGCTCGCTCAGGTAAAGTACTACGTGTATTCCTACGTTTTTCGGACCTCTGGGCATGCGAATCAAGGTGATGATCCACGTATGGGAGCAAAGAAGGAAGCTGCAAGCGTGTGGGTTTGATTATCCGGCCTTAGGCACCGTAAGGCTGGCTATATCTAGTCAGAACATGATTCTCATGGCAATCAAAGGGCGCAAGAGCTCTGAGCAAGCTAGAGGATGCATATAGTGCAACTGCGTCCCATCAAGTAGCCCGCTTGCTCGCACAGAGCAATGGCCATGTCGAGTGCTATACAGGAACATATGAGGACCTAGCCTCTTCATATCATAACTTGAGCGTCGCGGAGTATCTGTCTTGCCTATCGCTTTCGGCGGGACCCCGACTGTTCCGCCGTCCTTCTGGGTGACTTGTGCGTGTAGCCACGGCTGCGTACCCGCCATGCCTAAAGGGGCTACAGGGATGCTGCTGCAGATGCGACTGCTATACACATTTCTTTTCACCAAAAGCTGTGTACCTCAAACTCCATAATGGAGAGGTATGGTGTGAGCTCATCATCATGTCATGCAAGCAAGGTCGTACGAAGGCGCAGCCGACGCCTCTCAAGTGAGACATCGTGCGAGCTGCGTGAACCAGTTTGCCGCCATATCTTTTTCGCATCCTCATTGGCAATCGAAGGAAGATCGGTGACGCGATTGATGGCGCAAAGGACGGAGGATTGATAAGAGCGTATCGTATCGCACGTATATGAGCAATGATCCTTTGCCATGACTTTCATCTCTCGATCCTCTTCCCCTGTTCACAATGAATTTTGATGCAGCCTCGCTGAGCAGTACTATGCAAGAAGTAACACAGTGAGCCATCGCACGTCCTTCATTCAACACCTGAATGACTATCTTCCATACTTCTCATAGATTCGCTCAAGAGCACGCAAGCATGGCACTCTACCGTGCTGGTCATACACCGGACGGGGAGAGGGAACAAGCCCTTAGAGCCTCCACCTTGCTGCTGTGCACTCATGCAGCCCGTTGCGCAGATGCTTTGTCGATGCTCTCCGCATATAAGCAGGCTCTGGCGCAGCAGATCTCTTTAAATCGTGCTATGCTTGCACCGATCCGTCGCCTGCCTATGGAGGTCCTATCCCTGGTGTTCGATGCGCTCATTCAAGGGGACGATCCATTCCATGCCCCTGCAACCCTCTCGCGCACCGTGATGAAAGTATGTCGGATGTGGCTCACAACAGCGACGAGCATGGGTGGTGTGTGGCGCTTCCTGGACATACGAGAAGTAGACACATTGTGCGAGCGGGACTGGTCACTTGTGCGCCGGCATGCGGACCTGGCGCTATCGAGACCGCTTCGCATGCGCTGGAGCCACTGCTACTGCCCATGGCGCTTGCGATTGATACTCGAAGCCTATCGAGAACGCTGGGAGTACCTCGAGCTGACAGACAGCTGGGATGGGTGCAGCCCGGTTACGGTCCCTCCTATAATGCTTCCAAGACTGGAGTGCGTCAGGCTTCGTCTGCATGGTCGCTCTCGTCCTCGCGTACTGCAATTCATCGATATCGCGCCATGTCTGAGGGATGTTGCGGTGGAAGCACTCCTTTCGTACGGTGACAACAGCGACAGCAACGAGGAGGTTTTACCGTTCTTCCCTTGCTTCGCGTCTCCGGCACCGCGCCTCACACACCTAACCCTTTTCCTGTCACTCCCGCCGCTACTCTCGACAATCAGGTCACTCCTGTTGGACTGTGCAGAAAGCTTGGTCGTTTTTTCGATGTCGAGCGGAGTGGATTGGGATTGCCCAGACCCTCTATTGGCCCCAATTTGCATGCGTCATTTGCAAAAAATGGACCTAGGATGGGAGGCTTGTGAGCTGACCTGGACCATGGAAGTACCCTCCCTGACATCCCTGACTCTGCGCAATATCATTGTGGAAGACGATTCCGCGGCGCTTGAGGATCTGGTCGCCAACCCATTCGATATCGTGCTCTGGCTCTTTCGGACACCTGAGCAGGGCCCAAGGCTGACATATATCAAGCTCGAGCGCGTAGACCCAGGGCTCCCACGCACAATAGGCAAATTCGTCCGTATGGCAGAAATGCTGACGGAACTCAAACATCTGGTTCTGGATGATTCGCACAATCGCCCGCGAAGCCAAATTACCTACAACGATCTCTTACGCCACCTTGAATGCTGCAAGCAAAGTGTCAAGTTGCTGCCACGCTTGCAGACCCTTGAGGTCCTGCTGGGCTCACAAGGCGCTGACATAGACACGTTCGTTGATTTGGACGCGCTCTTGGAGTGTAGAAGACAGGATCACCTGTGCGACACCCTCAGTATAGCGTGGCTAGACACCTTGGTATCAGACATACCTCTGGATTTCTTACTCGCCAGTTATATGCATGGTACTGTTATTCGACATGTCGGGGCTACATATCCGCAGAACTCGTTCCCGCAACGCACACTGCTACAAGTTTGATCATGGTATATAATGCTACCGTCCGTACATACAAGTGTAATCATCAGGTTACTGAGCCTGTGGCATGTACGGGACCTTGGCCAGGGCTCAGCCGGAATCGTAGAAAAGCCTTTTGATTATCGACGCTGGGCCCCGTTCAGAAAACCGCTTTTCCAGCAGTGCCCACATCCTGGCAATCAAAGGATGGTCACTACTGTACCGGTATGTATGGAGGCAACCGTAACGCGTAACGCGGGTCCAAAAAGTTGGCTATCTAGAAGAAAGTAACGCATAACGGAGGGGGTGGTTGCCATCGCGCAAAAATCGACGAAAATTCGAATAATTCTCGGCGCGGCCCGAACAGTTTTTTTCGCTCCGAAATAGGCTGTTTGTGTCGTAACTGCTGCATCAGAGCCTTCCTGCTGCTGTACGTCTACTTTCCGCCTAGCAAGTATCCAAATCTACCTTGAATGGTTGCCTATTCAACCAACCGTAACGCCTAACGTGGGGGTCGGTTGCCTACTAGCGGAGAGTTGTTAGCGTAACGCACCCCCTACCGGTTGCCTCCACACATACCGGTACAGTACTGTATCCTTTCGATCGTGGGTTCACGTCACAAGTCACGATAACCCTCGAGCTGCACGTCACCACATGAACTATGTGACATATGTGACATATAAGTTCACGATAGAGTCGTGTGAGACAACAATGACGATTGTTCGCCCCCTATAGGTGCTGGTACGGCGGCGGACTGATCAATTGCACGCTGCCTTGTTTTTTGGGGGGGAAAATCGCCGAGGCGGGGGTTGGGCGTGGTCAACAAATCCGGCTCCTTCACAAAATGGTAGAGCGTAGAAAAAGACCCCCAAATACGAGCTTTGAAGCGAAATGGGCGTGCAATTCGTGAGATATGTGCCGTATACTACCTGAGGGCACGCAGTGTCATATGACGCATGTCGGCACATTTCAAAAAGATCACGGATGCTCTCCGGCAAGGTTGGTATGCAGACGGTGGCTTTCAAGGGCGCTCTTCCGTTCTGTGAGGTTGCCGAAGCCAGCAGACTATGCCTAACGCTCGCGTCGGCGATTTTTGCCAAAAGGGCAGCGCGCAATTGATCAGGCCGCCGCTGTATGTATTTTCGTGTCTTACAGCCACCCCGATATTCTGTGAGTCTCTGCCGTCTTCATCTGCAATGCTCACCGACGTTCTTCTCAAGTATCATACTTGAATTGGGCGGGAAATCATTATCAAGGCACTACCACCAATGCCAATGATCGATGGCTGAGCCAGTGTAATATTTGCTGCACGACTGAGGACGCATGTAAGCCGGCACCACTGCACGCGAACTTGTGCTTGTGAACCTGATCGCACCATGTCACGCTTGATTTTGGCTCATGGACTTGAACTTGAGCAAGTTCACGCGGTCACAGGTCACATCCAGCAAACCTACGGTCGAAACCATACAATATCTGCATGCGGCGGATGTGGGATAAGGGCTCGATAGTGAGGCTACTGACGCAGGTCTTGTGATTGACAGTGTACACTACGACATACTTATGTACATCTATACTTATATGATATCGTTTTGCTTTTCCCCCTACGATCAACCCCCACTCACCATCCCGGCGACGTGCGCGGCATGCAGAGTGGAGTGCAACGATTTCAACAGTAGCTGGTCTACGGCTCTCACGCCCTTTAATTGCCGTGGGAATCTTGTCAAGGCCAAACTCACTGTGCCAAAAACCGCAGGTTCGAATCCGCCAGCTCGTGGCTTCCTTCTTTTATGGTTGTAAATTCTGGACAAAACCCGTGGTTAGTGAATCAGTAAGCAGTAACTTAGTGATTCGAGCGCTTGCCTCGATCACTACTGCTTTCGTTCACGCACTTGTGATGCGATTCGGTCGCTTTCATCACGCAGCGAGGGGCACCATTTTGATCACGATCACGCGTCGGTGATTGCTGATCAGCCCAAGCACCCACAAGGACCCCCTTACCATCGAAATGCAAGCCGCGTAGATGGATGATTTTGCGTCCAGTCAGATCTTGAACGTTCTTTACAGTACTAGCGACGGAGAATTCGTGTGTCTACAATGATTTTGCTGGAAAATAGTGAAAATGGAAGGGGTCCATCGCTTTGGGTGGCAGTATGATTGTAAATCCTGGACAAAACCTACTATACCGCTACTGATCGAGCGATTTTGCGTGAAAATAGTGGTGTGATCACTGTGATTTGCGTGAAAATGAGTGATTTTCGGTCTCAAATCACGCACCAGCGATTCACTAGGCACTCGCCAGGTGCGTGAAGATGCGTGAGCATCAAAATCACGCAGAAACTAGTGATCACTAGGTGCGTGATTGGTCACTGACCACTGACCGCTCGGTGCGTGATTCGATCACTAGCAATCAGCCACCCAAAACGATGGACCCCTTCCACTTCCACTATTTTCCAACAAACTCCTTGTAGACACATGTATTCTCCGTCGCTAGTACTGCAAAGAACGTTCAAGATCTGGCTGGATGCAAAATCATCCGTCTACGCGCCTTAAATTTCGATGGCAAGGGGGTCCTTGTGGGTGTTCAAGCTGATCGGCAATCACCGGCGCGTGAAACCGATCAAAATGGTGCCCCTCGCTGCGTGATGAAAGCGACCGAATCGCATCACTAGTGCGTGAACGAAAGCAGTAGTGATCGAGGTAAGCGCTCGAATCACTACTGCTTAGTGATTCACTAACCACGGTTTTTGTCCAGAATTTACAACCATATGGCTGATTGCTAGTGATCGAATCACGCACCGAGCGGTCAGTGGTCAGTGATCAATCACGCACCTAGTGATCACTAGTTTCTGCGTGATTTTGATGCTCACGTATGAGACCATTTTTCGACAAAAATTACCGTGAGCATGAAAGTCGAAAGTGTGATGTGAAAGTACTGCACGGAGTAGTTTGCAGCGGGTGGCGCAGTATATAGCTTAATAGAATAACTCAGACGGGTATCCTGAGCACTCAAGAGCTGGCATTGAGCACTTTGAAGTGCGGCACAACGGTCAGGAAGCGGAGCAAGCTGCGTTACGGGTCGTCACACTATCTGCCACGTGATACATCGGCAAAAGCCGAGTAGGCGGTTCGTCGGGGAGCATCCGGCTTCGTCTACCTGCTCATCGGACCTCGTCTCTCTTGAAGAGTACTAAAAGATCACCTAGGACTATCAAGAGAGTCATCTCTCTCATATGGTCTGGGACAAGTGTCACCGGCCATATTCAGGGTAACGTGGGACCATTGCTCGGAGAATGCCGTGCTCACACCAAGCGTGACTGACCGCCCCGACCACTCACGACCCGGCGACGATGGACAAACATTCCATTCTCACGCATCGCAAAGATGTTCCAAAGGTTAGCCGAATTAATGTTGTCGGTGGCAAATGCACTAACACGTGCTGTACATATGCGTCAACACTTCCTGAAAGTGATCATGTGCTTTTCGATAGTACTTTGCTACTTTTGGTAAAGTGGTCACTTCTGGTATCAACATGATACTTTTTGTGTACTATTAGTACTCACACACTGCGAATTTGCATGCTTTTGGTATTTTTCGCCCAAAAAAGGCCTCATACTCACGCATCTTCACGCACCTGGCGAGTGCCTAGTGAATCGCTGGTGCGTGATTTGAGACCGAAATTCACTCATTTTCACGCAAATCATAGTGATCACACCACTATTTTCACGCAAAATCACTCGATCAGTAGCGGAATACTGGGTTTTGTCCAGGATTTGCAACCATACCTTCTTTACCCATACACATCGTCCCTTGCCCCCTTTCGGGAGCTCAGATGCCTAAACAACGTATACACGCAAGAAGTATTCTCTGTGAGAGAATGACAAGTCATTACATTACTTATTTCAGCGTAGCACGCAGTCAACATAACAGTCCAGCACTCATTGTCGAATGGCCAAATTCAGTCGTCACTCAACTTTCGTCGATGGTCTCGTAGTTGAGCCAGAACTGGTGTCTGTCAGCACATGCGATAAGCAATGTAAAAGGCCAGCAGCGCGCCCGAACTTTGCCCACACCATCTGCAGGGGAACGAGCGCAGAACAAATAAAGGCAAGCAAGCGCACTCAACGGCGGCGTCAGTCCGATTCCTTGCGCTGGAACCCAGCCCACATGAAAGCATGCGGTCGCCGCCCTTGTTAGCTCAACTACCCTACGGCTTCTGATTTCCTGACTGAGCAACATGATGCTTCTTATTTTTCCGACCAGCATGGTACAGCATGCTTGGAGGCCGTCGCAGCGTTCAGTTTAAGTAGAACATTCAGTAAATAGCCATCAGGCCAGCGCCGCTATGGCGAGCTCCTTCCTCAATTCCTCAAGCTCGGCGAGGTTTGGCTCACCACTCCAGCAACACCGCTCCAGCACGCACACAGAGTCTCAACGGCAAAACAAACCAACGTATCAGCTTGGACAAGCTAGGGCGCTGCTGGCGCAGCCAGCGCTTATCGAGTTCTGTTATCCTCCTCTGAAACGCTACCCAAATCTGTTATGCACATTGAAGCCCTCCAACAACGTACCAATGGCCCTAGCTCGCTTCCTCAAGAAGAGCGGCGCGTTCACGAAGACGGGACACCCACGTGCAGGACCCCGCACGCCACGGTGGGAAGACGAGCCCGATCCAGCGGAGGATGGCGGGAGTACGGAGGACGAGGGATGGGAGGCGGCCGAGGAGGAGGTGGAGGAGGAAGAGGAGGAGGATGCAAGGGAGGAATGAGGGGTCGGGCAACGAGGGGAGGGGAGGAATACACTGAGCGCTTCGGCGCACCGACCGCGCACGGCCTGAGCCGCACTACGACATCTACATCGAACCGGCCAGCCACGGCTACAACCGGCCAGCCACGGCTACAACCGGCCAGCCACGGCTACAACCGGCCAGCCACGGCTACAACCGGCCAGCCACGGCTACAACCGGCCAGGAAACAACGACACACACGAAGACCACCGTGGAGAACGGACACTATGGAGCATAAAGCGGAGGTCCCCACCGGTGGGCTAGCGCGTCTTGGTACTATGTAGTTACCTGCTGCGTGAATAAAGTGCAGAGACAAAAAAAACACGTACCAATGTATCCAATGGCTTGCGGGCGCGCCAAAATTACGCGACATCCGAGGCCACCAGCACGAGGTGCACAGAATACCTTTGACGCGGCACAGACTTGAGCTGTTCCAAAGACTCAGAAAAGGCAACGCGAAAAGCGTTGACTTAGCCTCCGGATGACCTTGCCGGCCAAGAGCCAGTTGATTGAACATTTTTCGTGAGTAATTTGTGGGATCTCCCTTGCCGTTTCGGTCGACAATGGAACTATCAGATAGCAAGCAAAATCAGAGAAAGAACTCAGCCAGTAGTTTTCTCTTCAAGGACTACGGTGATTGTACACCCTCCTAGCATCCATCAAGCATGGTTCTCGTGGAGCGTGGATCACAGCTAACCTATCAGTTGCTCCCTCGCATGCTCGAACGAGGGACTCTCATCGATTCACACCCCATTGTATCCTATCGTCTAGGTCCTTGCATAATCTATTTGGCACGCATCTTCACCGCTAGGGCAATAACTAATCAGTCGCTAGTCAGGTCGATCGTTTCCCCGGGGAGGAGCGCGGAGACTTGTTCTACTTTGACTATATTCCTTCCTTGTTGTTTGTATAGCTTGGCGCGTGCTTGGCGGAGATTTTCCTGTGACGGAGCATAAGAATGTGATTGTTTACGCGCGTAAAAAGCAGCGAGCAGACCTCAGCTTGACGAACCACTTCCTCTTGATTCTCGATCGACACAACATCTATAAATTCTTTCTTGACGACTGGCGTGGCTTCAGTGGGTTCTTTGGATGCCTTTCTCTTTGATCCGAGCACTGACTCCGCTCCAGATGGAGACGGACAACGCATGGTGTAGCGACCTGGGGGGAGTACGTGGTCCTGCGCTTGGAGGATGTCTGGATAGAGCGTTAAATTACAATCGAACGGCGTCAACAACGCTCGCACCTCTGGTATTGTACAGAAAGATGAACACGGCGATGGGCGACTCATCCATAGTGACGCTGCAGATGGTATCCGGTGGCATACAGATAGGCCTTGGCGTACCCAGCCTGACTGGTTTTCAATGATTGCGCGATGTGTAGAGGTTAGAGATAACGAACGTTACCATATGTTTTCGCCCCTTTCCCTCCCTTTCCGGCACTTCTGATACGTCTTTTACACGGAGCGGGAGAGGCACCGACGCATCAGCATCAGGGGACATTTGTGATCGCCAAACTTTAACAACAATCTCGCCGAGACTTCGTGCCTTCCTGTGATCAGGTGTCCGTCCGGCTATCGTCTGTAAGGAGATGTTATGTACATTATGGTCTTGTCTTCGACGCACCTAGGAACCTTATGTTAGAGAACAGGAAGGGACGAAGCTCGCACGCAGCAGTAGTGAGCCCTTCAATGGCAATCTCGTCATCTCCGTCTCGGGCCAAAATCGTATACACCTTCAGGTGCCCATCGATGACCACATCGACGTCGAGGTCGCAAGTTCCTTGTCGTGCCTGCTGTCCTTCATCACTGACATGAATAGAGAACATCTGCAACTCAGTCCTAAGCAATAGTATCTGCCCTCCTCAGTGCTGATTTATGCGAACCTGTTTCTCCTGGGAGACGATATAACTCTTCCCTGTATATTCCCCCGGATACTCGGTGTCATACTCGCGGAGAGTGATGCCATCCGACCGAACCTGGCAGTCGATGTTGGAAATTTTCATGGTAAAGAGGATATCCTTGATGGAAAGATCAGCCTGTTTTAGCCTATGAACACAATGTTGGAGAATAACCTCCGCAACAGGACCCTTCGGAATGACGATGGGAGTATGAAGCAAGGAGCAATGTCACACTTGCGTGAGAGTTTACTGATCACTCACAGCGGCGGCCAGATCAAATGCGCGCTGCCTTTTTCGGAAAGATCGCCGAGGCAGGCGTTGGGTGAGGCCGAAAAAACACGGCTCTGTCACATAACGGCAGAGAGTAGTTGAAAACTCCCAAATATGGAGTTTCAGGCAAAATGAGTATATTTCTTCTACGAAAATATGTGAAATACAGTAGGTTAGGGCACATACTGTACTGTTTCGACCAGAGGTTCACGTAACGCATAACATCGGCCATTCAAGTGAGCCTAATGACCACTCGTCACGCGTAACGCCCGGCGGTGAACCTGGGCGGAGATATTGAGATTTTCAATGATTTTCTCGATTTTTTGTCCTGAGCCTCGAAAAGGCCTCAGTCGCCTTCTCATTCCATTCCATACTCTGCTATGCCACAGTTTGTGCCCAAAATCACCTGCAAAACAGGTTCATGAACCAGATTCTTCGAACCGTAACGCGCCCGAAGGGCGCGTGAACTACGGCATAGGTAAGTTCACGCCGTAACGCATAACACCCGGTGAGCCTACGGTCGAAACAGTACAGTAGTGCCGTACGATGCATCCCGGCACGCTTTTTGAGTATCGACTGCACACCCCCGCAAAGCTGGTATGTGGATGGGGATTTTCGATGATGCTCTAACGTTCCCCTCCCCCGCTCTATCTGGTGCAGCCATGTTGTGACCCCATTGCTCTGGCAAGCACATCAACAACGGGTAGTTCGATGACCTGTGCATCATAGTCAGTCGTCTACGCCCTTCCCTCAAGCAAATGTGGGAGCGTCTGCGCTACCTAGACGGTGTTGCGACCCTCATCAACGGCGTCGAACGCGAGGCTGGCGATACGCTGCAACGAAACCTGATGAATGATCACCGGCTGGTTCTACTTCAGGGACAAGGGGCAGTGAGCGGGAGTGTTCCGTTGCCAAAGGGACAGATATCCTATTTGGATGTGCACATACCTGCACACGGAAGACGCTCACGCGCCTCACGCTGTCAGAGTACCCACTCGCGACAAAAAAAAATTGCGGCGCGCTTTGCGGTATCGACCACGGTTCGATCGCGACCTTCTCATCTGTCGTCTGTATTGGTCGGCGGTGGAGGACGAGGTCCATGTGCTGCTACATTGCAATGGTGACAGCGACCTATTGCGGCTTCGTGGTGAGTTGCTTGCAGGATTGCAGTTCACGGTGCCGCATTTGGAATGGACATTCGACAAGGGGTTTCCAAAATCCGTTGTGGTGGGACCGCCCACTGCTATCATATCTTTCGCCCTTTCGTTCACCGCGCTTCCCTGCTTGTGATCGGTACTCAATTGCTGTTACCGAATAATGCGTGCGTTGGATTCGCTGCCTCAGCCGCATTGGCATCGCTTATGTGAAGCCTCAGGATCGATTGACATGGACTGAGATATCAGGGCGCATGAGATTATGGTGTTTTGCCCAGTAAACAATGGCTCGCAGTCTACTGGGGCGGATCGGGCCGGCTCTGTCTAGGGCCCTCGCCTGAGAAATCATCTACCTACCTACTTACATATTCCTACCCTCCCGATGGTACTTGCGCTCAACAGTGGTCAGGAATAAGCCAAATATTTACCATCAACGACATTGTTCATTGAAGCTATCATGCTGCCTCGCCTCCGTAGCCTAGCCCGACATGTTTACCCGACATGTTTACCCGACATGTTTACCCGACATGTTTACCCGACATGTTTACCCGACATGTTTACCCGACATTTTTACCCGACATGTTTACCCGACATTTTTACCCGACATGTTTACCCGACATGGTTCCCCACACCTCACCGCCAGGAAGGCGAACTCTGTGACATTGGCACCGTCCCTATTGGTCCTTATTAGACTGTATTCGCAGAGCGACATCCCAAACTGTAGCACAATGTTTTGACGACCCAATCTACCTACCAACCTGCCCTCTCGATGGTACTTGCGTTCAAAGGTAGTCAGGGATAAGCCAAAGTTTCACCATCAATGACATTGTTCATTCAAGCTAACATGTTGCCCCGACATATTATCGCGTACAAGCGGGCATACATACCATATATGCCACTTTGACGCTTCTCCGCCTCATTTCGTGCAGCGACCACAGGCTTTGACGACCTGCCGTGTAGAAGAACACCTTTGACAAGCTTGCAGGGTTTGCGGAAATTTTCGCAGCCTTCGAAGATTACTGACGCTAACCCCCCTCCGAAACTGACCCCCCATCCGAAACGCCGCCTTTCCGACTGTGCCCACGTCGATAAAATTCAGAGAAAATCACCATAATTCAGCATGCATATAAAGAGAGCTATGTACAGAATTTCAGCTTATTTGGCCGGACAATGAGCGACAGGCGCACGGGAAGCCTTGTGGCAGGGAGAGGGCCGCCATCACCACCTTTTGATGGATCCTCAGCCGTCAAAGCGCTGCTATTCCCGTTTCTTTCGAAAGCATCTTCTCTGTATTGTAATCGACCCCTGAATGTCTTTCTTGGGCGGATTCGCTGGCACTGCACTGGCTCAAACGCGGTGTTTCGGATGGTGGGTACAAAAGTGGTTCCCCACCTAACGCCCGACCCCCCTCTATTGAGCTTGACTCTTCACAGGTCTGTCTGAAAATATTTACACATATACTCTACAACATTATGCATGGATTCATAACGTTTGGCGGGCACAGCTTGCCTGAAGTTCGAGTGGCAGCGGGGGCGCATCAAATGCGTTTCGGATGGGGGTTACCGTCAGTATTGATCCTTTCGAGTTTTCAACATCCAGGTTCTTATCGTTCGGACGCGGAAGCCATAAAAGTCTTTGTCTACCTTCGGGTATCTTTCGATGCCAACGAAGGCTGCCAAATACTTCGGTCGAAAGCACGATGCTATGTGACATGGCCCTTGGGCCGCTATAATCTGCGACAATTGGCCGTTATGCACGGTTCATGACTCATTGTAACCTGTGGCGCGAACCTACGGTCGAAGCGTACACTAGATCAATTTCTGACATGTAACTGCAGGTTACAGCAGGCAAAACATTGTTAGAGCCAATCGGGCTTGTCAAATTATGAGCTTCAGTAGAGCCGCACGTGGGGCTGCCTCTCGGGACATCTAGACGCCTAGTGCGCTGAATTTGGATTTCGGTGGCATTCGAAGTGCCCAGTGAAGATTGGGGCAGCTTCCAGCAGTTAGCGAAGCGGCAGAGTACTTTGCTTAAGGGAGGTACCTGGAGTCATAACGCCCCAAAGTGCTCTGCACGTACAACATCATCTAGGTAGGGCACGGGGGGAGAACGCGTCGCACATGTTGGCAAAAGGCCTCCTTCAGTATTCGTGAAGGCGTGCGCATCGCTCTGTGCATCGTCGCCGAACGTCGAGCCGCTGCTGAGCAGCACCTCTGATGGCGTCGTTTGAGCGGCCCCGTGATGGCATGGGAAAACAAAGTCGCATTTTGCCGTTTGGGAGTGTCTGTGGAGCACCATCCGTACAAAAAATAGCCGCGGTGCCGCAGCCGCGTTTGCAGAAGCGCGTTTGCTTGTATTCGACTGGAATTCTGTTCTGAGCGTCGGGTCATGTATATCGGATGCGTCCGCATATATTCTAGGTCTGAGATAGCTGGACGAGGGCAGGGAGTCAGCGTAATGGGCGTTCTAAGCTGTTCGGTATATGCCGGAGAGGCCTCCGGCACGATTCCGGACCTCGCTCCGAAGTCCCGAGCGCGTTCCCCGACTGCTCATTGTCCTTCACCACCGCTGGGAGAGTGCAAACATGCCCATTGTATTCTCATACCCTCACATAGACTGCATAAAGCTATCATATTCCCCCTGTCTCGATTCCCCAACAGCTACAAGGTGCAGTATTGATACAAACTATGCCACGGGTGTACGACCTACAAACCACCTGGTTTCAATATGTTCTCAATTCTCTTCAGGATGCACAAGACTGTAGTTCATCTTTAAAGTTTAAGGTGAGAACCGGATGGACCGCATAAGGAGTCGAAGCAGGAGTGAAGTCCAACGCGGTGGTTCTTATTCGGCAAATCCCGAACGTTTTCGGCAGGATTGTTCTTGTCGTCCATGGACACAACAACACTCTTCTGCCTTTGTGATGGCTACAGCACGTACAAAGGTACCCTAGGCAGACTTCCCGGTGCTCGGAAATTAGATACAAGCAAACGCGCTTCTGCAAACGCGGCTGCGGCACCGCGGCTATTTTTTGTACGGATGGTGCACCATAAGTGTCCTTTAGCGTCTTGTAGACTGCTACAATATATATTGGCGGCAAGATCAATCGTGTGCTGCCTTTCTGGAAAGGCCGCCAAGGCGGTCGTCTCGCGAATCCGAAGTGGCACTATACCAGCATGGAACGGCAGACTGCCGACGAAAACCACCATTCGCCTATCAACTTCGCGAGGGTGTGCTCTTTACGCGCTAGTGTGCATCGTATGCCCTAAATTACTGTATCTTACAGATCTCACGAAATGTATGCTCATTTCATCTGAACCTTCGCATTTGGAGGCTTTAAGCTGCGCTTTGCCATTTATCTTGAGAGAGCTAGAATATTTTTGCCTCGCCCAACACCACACCTGGGACATAATATTCCCCGGCGCTTACTGCAGGAATATTGTGAGCTGTATTTGAATAAGCGAAGCATAAAGGCGAAGGGTGGATTGTGGTCTTATGGGTGGCATATTGATCGGTACGGCCTCCGATTGGCTGGGCCTCGATATGCCCTTTCAATCGATCCGCGGTCTTAATCAAAAGCTGATGTCAAATATTCCCTCCATCAGCGTGCAGTGGGCGCCGGGGAATATTGAATCCTAGGTGTGGTGCAACGCCCACCTCGGCGATCTTCCCAAAAAGGAAACGCGCTATCGATCTGGCCGCCACTGTAACGCCTAAGTAACACCCAAGGAAACACGGCCGGAACACTGCATGCTCTTTCCGTCCGAAACCTCGTATTTTGGAGTTTCTCGCCACCCTCTCACGTTATATGAGGCAGCGAAAGTTTCTTTACCTTGCCCAGCGCCCACCTCGGCAGCCTTTCCACGAAAAGTAACGCGCAATCGATGTTGTGACCATATTCAGCCTGCCCTAAAGCATGCGCGTGGGAAACCATTCAAATCGCAGCACTGGCCGCTCGAGCAACCTTGATCTCGACCTCCATCATGGCTGACCCCCTCGATCAAAGGCATTTAATCCATCTGAACCTCGGTGGTCCGCAGCTTTGTAAGTCGGAGTGAACGTCAGTCGAGATATGCGCGCTGGGGTACTGATGCTTCGTAGACAGGACTGGCACCGATGAAATTCGCTCTGTAGCACCCGGAGACTTGTACGCTGTGTGATCGATGTTCGCCTGACTCAATAGCTGACACCTGTGAAGCTTCCATTTTTATAGTCGCACGCCTTCAGTGCGGCTCCACATACCGCCCTTCAACGAGGACAATGATGACTCTGACTCCGAGGTTGAGTCCAGACAGTCGCCACGCCCTACGGAAGTGTACCGACCCAGTGTCCATCGACGTGGGAGGAGGACGCCGGCACCTCGCTCCCCTTCTCCTGATGTCAACACCGAGACCCTCGACTGGACATCAGGTCCTGGCTACGTCAAAGTCATAGGCCACGCCGAGCTCGACATCGTCGTGCCGTACACCTACAGCTCCCAGGGCCCCAACGTCCCGGGTGTCCCGATGGCCGGGACGGAAGTCATTCATTTTTATAGAGTCCCTGCCGACTACGGGGAAACAAGCACTTTGATTGAAGAGTCAGTCACCGTGTAGCTTTGTTCAATGCTTTTCTGACGACTTCCCTACGCTCAGGCACGTTCGTTGGCCAGAGACTGTGGCCGTCAGGGGGGGCTGCTACAGGACCATCACGCTTCAGGGTAAGTCACTTCATTCTGTTCTGCATTAATGCTGAGGAGGGATTTCCAGAGAAAATGCTCGTCCGAATAGTTACCTTGTATCGCGATGACGAGCACGAGAACTACCTCGTCGTCGACAGCGACGGGAAGCCCTGCTTTCCGCCTTGCGACGAGAACGACATCTGGGCGCGTTTCTACCTGCCGGATCGCGACGAGGGCGATATAGTGAGTACTAATGAACTTGTGCATATGAGAGAGGGAAGTGTTGGACCGTGAGCCGTCGCTGATCGAGTGCTGCAGGATGGCCCGATCCCGAACATATGCCTGGAACGTGGCTGTAAGCAAGGACGCGTGTGGGACGTTACACGCTGTGGCCAAAGCCGCTATTGCTCAGGGTGCCACAACTTCTTTCACGTCGGATGTCTTGGCGAGCCGATGCACCGCCCGAATCTAGTCCAATCTTGCGGCGACCGTATGGAGTCTTTCCAGCAGCCCTACATGCTCTACCTCAAGAGTAGCACGTTCAAGAGCGAAAGCCTGTTCATCAAGCGCGTAAGGACGAACCAGCGTAGGGATTTGGAGAAAGACATACACGACACCTTCCGCAAAGTGGGAACGCCCAAGGACTGTCGATGGAGGGAGGTTGCCGCTCTACCCATACGACGTCGTACCATGCCGGGCAGGACTCCTCTCACTAACGAGGTCCTCATCCAACACGCGAGGGAGAAGGTTCTGGCAGGTCACGGAGACAGGGAAGTTCCTGACCTGCTCCGGGTTCTCATCATCGACGGGCTGTGTCCACAGGCGGCCGTGCGTGGGGCGAAGTACATATTGATGAAGGACTTGCGGAAGCTTCGGGGTGACACCATGCGATACTTTATCTGTCCTAACTGCAAGGACAAGATTATATAGAATGCTGATGATGTGCGAATTTGTTGTATATGGTATCCAGTTCTTCTTGAAATTCTGTAACTTGGATAAGGATTGTACGAGCAGTGATCCATCGGCGTGCTATAGTTGCCTGGCAGGAGCAGGGATTTCCCCAAAAAGTCTGGTGCGACACTGGGCTACAGTGGCGGTCAGATTCTCACTTGCACGCATCCTTTGTGTGAAAGATCGCCGAGGCAGGCGGTGCGCGAGGTCAAAGAGTTCCCGAGGTCTCTCATAGAACGGTAGAGCGAGGCTGAAGACGGAACCGAAACCTCAAGTGAAACAAGCTAGTGATTTGCGAGATATGCGTGGTACAGTATGCTAGGCCGCGTAGTGTCATATGGCGCATCTCGGCACGTTTCACGCGGACTGCGAACGCGCCCCGATCAAGTTGGTATGTAGACGCGGGTTATCTCCGTTAGCGTTCTACCGTTCTGTGAGGGGTTTTAGAGCGACCATGCTTGTGCAACACTCACCCCGGTGATCTTCATCAAAGATCACTGTACAGTGGCAGGAAGAACAATTGCGCGCTGCCATTTTCGGAAAGATCGGCGAGGCGGGTGTTGGGCGAGCTCGGTGAGTCTCAAGACATTTTACGAACGGTAGAGAGCTATTGAAAACCCCCCTCCGCATACCAGGTTCGCGAGGGCCTGCTTTTAATTCTCACGAAACGTGCCGGGATGCTTAAGTGCCCTCACGTACTGTACTTCTCATATTGTACGGATATGGCCACTACAACCGTTTGCACGACCCCGGAATATACGCACAAAGGCCGTCCAGCGGTGCGGATAGATCGTGGGGGTCCCGGCCGGTAGGCCGGTTCAAAAAATGGATAAATCGGCGACCTGAGGGCTCGAAGGCCGGTTCAAAAACGCGGATATATTCAGGGGAGACGGGGAGGCCGTTCCGAAGAAGTGGATATCGGGCGGTCGATTCGAACCTCCGACCTACCCTCAAACCAGACGCACGCGATACCGGTACGCTAATTGACCACTTTTGGTGGGCAGTAGCACCCTAGACAACCTCTCTGTGCCCATTGGCACCTTCTACCATTGGCAGGCTCGATATTCGAAGGACAGCGGTGCGTGTCAGCACCTCGAATGGCTATGGGAGGTAATTCGCTTTCTCATCCGTACGTCTCAACCTTCTTTCGTTGCAGAGGCTGCGCGCAAAGCGCGTAGGGCCCCTGTGAGAAAAAAATTATATTTTTCCCGATTTTAGCGCCATTTTTGAAGGCCGTCCCGAGAAAACGGATAAATCCTGGGGGTCCCGAGAGGCCGTCCCAGAAGACGGATAAATCTGGGGGTCGGGGACCCGAGAAAAAAAGTGGATAAATGGGCGCCAGAGCCGCATTGTCCAGGACGGCCTTTGTGTGTATACTCCGGGGTCCTCCGTTTGCACATCAGTTTGAAGTCCCGTGCCTGCGGATTTGCGCTGACTGAGTCAACCATGACACGCGTCAAGTACGCCTAGGGCAACGATGTCGCTTGCCATATCTATGCTCGATGGAGCAAGAAAACTGCTGTCTTGAAGTACCTTCACCAGTGTACGCAGTGAGTTTGCGGTGAGAAAAGGAATTCTCAACTGAGACGGACATGACGATCAAGGCACTCTTGCTCAGAATTCACGCTCACGGGACTGCAAATTGGTGTGCAACCGGTTGTATATGTTCAGCGACTATTTTGTCCAAGAATCAACGCAGGAGTGGCGGGCCATCAGGGATTCGGGGATTTTCTGATATGCCCTTTTAGCAATGATCAGGTTCATCCATCATTGATCGCGCTTGCCATGCGCGGCCATGACATGACCACCGACTCACCATCGTGCTGAGCCACGGCCAAATACTGCAAGAATGGCGCCCCCATGGCATTGCGACTCCACATTGTGGCAGCATGACAAGAGCATGTCATTGGTAGGCCTATATTACTGATTTTCCCCATGCGCTGATCATGGTGTGTTGTTCTCATGGATGAAGACCATACTGTGCCGTGCAGATATATACCTTTGAAACTGAGATCGTAGTCTACCCATACTTATGTCAGAAGGATGGGAAAATACTGCCAGAAAACCGCCTCAATATTCCGGGTGGTCTCATCCTCGCCGGTCTTCAAAGGCTTACGGCGTGTGATGCCTTGTTGCGCACACTTCACGAAGAAGAGAAACTCGAAGACGAACCGTCGAGTATGTGCCTGCTCCAGAGAAATTGCACTAGCGAGCTAGGACCCTGCGGGGCGCAAAGAGTTGTGGTCGCGCAATCTTGCTAAGTCCGCACTTCGCACGAGTCTGTCGGACCGATCTCCGGCTGCGGTTCAAATCCCGCTCGCGTTGCTACGCGACTTGTCTTCCTCCCACCACCACCCTCCTGCCGCCCGCCAAGTTTTCGTACATCCTCCCTACTTCCGCTCGCCCGGCGCTGAACGCCACTGCCGCCTCTCAGGTATACGAGATGAGTCCATCAAGTACAACCCGGACTGGTGGTTCGTGCGTCACGTAGTACATGGAAGGGTACGTCGCTGCGTATACTAGAGTTCTGCACATCCGTACTTACCTCCGAGGTTCTTAGCTGCTCAACGTCTACGACACGCGCAGCCGCTAAGGGCAGTAGCTCGCGCGAAATCCCACCACCACTCCTCGTACGTTCTCGCACGTCGTTGCCGAATCCTTGCTGAAGACGTTCAAGGCAGGTCCTCCTGCCGCCGTTCCTAAGTCCACGTTCTGTCACCGGTGATGCCCTCGTCGATGCTCTTCTCTGAGGTACGTTTCTCGCCCTGCGGAGCCTTCCCTTCGCTCATACTCAGCTCAGTTATCACCGGATTCGGATTTGGTGTTGGTGAGTTTCCTCGCTATCATATATGCTCTCGCCGCTGACTATGTCTCGCAGCGCTCTTCACGTCACCTTTACGATGGGTCCTCCTGAAGGTGAGGACAGCTGCTCGGGAACTGCGTAGGCGACATGTTTGCCTACGCTGTAGGAATGATGTGTGTTAAGGGCGAGGTGAGGAGAGGGTGGTATATAGCAGTAGTGTACCACTGTAGTTGTTAGGTAAGTATTGGAATAACAATAATTCCCGTTCCTTTTCAATTGTTGTAGTCACGGAATTCGACGACGAGTGGTCCCAAGATGGAAGTGTGCACGCTGATACACCTGGTAGGTCGGGCTTTGACCTCGATCAGACCAGCCTGAACCAGCGTGCCCATAATGGCTCGAGATGGCCTTGATGGCGCGTGACACCTTCTTTCGTCAGAGCTGGTCATGGCGACGGCCATATGGCTGGAACATGGCAGCTAAGGTTCGTGTTGACGCCAATGGCTTTTGATGGTCAGCACAAAACAAGTAAAGTCCGATTCCCTGATGCGCCCGCCCGCCGACAATCGAGGAGGTTATAGGACACTTACCGGTGACATTAGGGCCCGGCTTCCTAGCATTCTACACGATAAGTTGCAGAAAAAGCACTGTTTTTTCTCTTGCCTCTCTCGGCGACCAGTGACCAGTGAACGCTATCGCGCCTACAGCGTCAGCCACGCGACCGAGCCGATCCCGCGCCGCCTAACCATAAGCCGACAGTCCTCTCTTTTCCGTACTTTATAGCCTGTAGACAGCTTAGAACTTAGAAAGACACTTCCCCACTCAAATTCGCGTCAGAACCTGAAGAATAAGAACACGAACCGCCCGAGCACTGTATTCTGCGGTTGAGAAAATGGATACAAACCTTCCCGTTGAAAAGCTGTCGTCAGAATTATGGCTTAGTGGTTGCGCGCCGCTATACGCCTGGTGGAGGTGTGGTGTTCGAATCCCGCTCACTCTTTTTGGCCCTCCCTCGTAGTTATATGCGTTCCGCGGTGTCACGCAAAGCCTAAGCAGCCCAGTGCGCTTCACCTACCTACATTAGGCCCACAGACGCAGACAGTACTAATAAAACTGACCCTAGGGCATGTACGAGACCTGCCTAGTGTGTCAATAGTGTGTATAGAGTTTGGTTTGGTGAGAAGCCTCATGATCTCGAGGTTTGAACATAAACTGGCCGAAGCACCACCAGAGCCGCCAGGCAGCTATCTTATCCGGTGGTGCGGCTCTGATGCGCGCGTCGCATACTCTTCCCGACGCACATGAAGTCGTGAAGTCGTGTTGAGACGCATTGCGCACACCCTTGACGTGTTGGGGCATGCTACGCACGTTCCCGCCTTCCTCTTGAGTCCTATTATCAAGATGCATAAGATTATTACATTATATACTCCCCCCCACCAAAAAAACTCGCCGGTCCGACCTTGCCGATTCAACGTGCTGCAGACCGCGCGCAGCGCGTTCCCGCTTGGTAACGCTTATATATGTATACTATCCCGTATCATCTATGATACGCTGATAGACCTGGGAATATATCCCCTGGGATCGTAGAATTAATGTGACCTGAAGGAGGAGACCTATCGGCGAGCTTTCCCAAGTCGATTCTCTGTGTCAAGTGGGAGCCCTTGTGTTTCGAGTATAATGCTTAAGTAAGAGGGTATAGTATAGATCAGGGCTGGATGGCTATCAGCCTCTCACCGGGTGGCATATCTGAACAAAAGCGAGTTTGTTACAGGCCACCATTCATCCTCTTCATGGCTGCTATTTGTGGCCTGCACGGCTGCTAATAGTATGTACTAATATAAAGAGTCTGAGTATGCATGTATGCATAGGAATTGCTGTTTCATGCTTCGATGAAGCGGAGAAAATGCGGTGGGAATGGTTGTCACGCTCACTCGAAGCGGCCTTCATTCTTTTCAAAAATTCATTTCATTGAGGGGATAGCAAATCCCGGTGCGAAAGAGTAAGGGGATGATAGCTTAGTATGTATAGTACTGTATGGCATGCTTGGCATAGATCAGTCTGTCGATATTCGAGCCGCAGGGTGTCGGCAACACCCGAAGTTCAACCGTGAGAAATCAGGTCATCACGCTTTGTCACGTTCACCTGGGGTCTCGCTCTCCGCTACGCCCAATTGCTTGAGAGGCAGTCTACACACATGCTAGCATACTCTGACTTTAGCACCACATATGAAGGAGAAAGACGACAAGTTTTCATTGACTCCAGACCGGCGAGTTTTTTTGGTGAGGGGGAGTATGTAAGTTACAGTTGAAAGCGCCGCACATGCATAGTGGCATGTATGCAGGGTGCGGACTGGCGACATGGGGAGTGATATACGGGAGGGGGGGGAGGGGTGGAGGGGACGATACGAAGCCAGGTGTGCCCCCTTCTTGTCCCGCTCGCACGCGCGTGAGGGTGGAAGGGGAATAGGTGGCTAAGGCGGTGTCGTCCCTTGCACTAGGTGATGCGAGATTGCCCGCCCCCCTGTAGCGCGGCCGGACATGCGACGCGACCACGTCACGAGGAAGCTACGTGCTCCCGAAGTGGGAGCGCCCAGTAGTCCTCCCCTAGAGCAGGGCTGGGGAGGGACGAGGGCGAGGGCGCCAAGAACGAAGGGAGGGAAGGGGAGAGGAGAGAGGCAAAGCAGAGGGGCGCGTAACGGTTTGAGCCCCCGCCACGTCAACTCGCCAAGTGGCGTGAGCAACGGGCAGCGTGTAGCGCTGCTTGTGCGGCATGTACTAGGCCACCGAGCGCTAAGCGTACTGTCGATAGGCAGTACGCCGTACGCACAGTAACGCCGTAAGGGGGCAAGGGGTTGGGGTGGGATGGCGGCCGGGTCATCCGGTCGGCCTGCCTCGTCTTCAAGGGCAAAAGGGGGCGCGTTCGGTCGCTGGCATTAGAGAGGGGGTGGAAGGGGGTGGGGCGGCGCCTTTGGATGCGAGGGTACCGATGTACGGCGAGACACAGTGCCGCTCGCGTTCACGAGCGACGCTGAAAATTTTCGTTAGTTGATTTCCTTTCTGGAGTAGGACGCACCTTTGGGGGCTTTTATGAGCCCCCATCCCCCCCCCCCCCCCCCTCGTTTGCGCGCAGTTTCTGGCAGCTCTAGGGCAGTGGGCGATGGTTGGTGAGGGCGGTCGTGATGGTGTGAAGGAGAGCGGGACGCGTTATGTCACGTCACACGGCGCGTCAACAGCGCGCGTCCGGACGCGCGCTCGATGTGCAATGGGCCAATAGCTCCTGCGCGCGATGCGCACTCTGCGTGACTTACATGCCTCATCTACCTTCCCCGCCACTCTTCCCCTCTCATTCTTGCGTTTCCACGCGCATGCTAGGTGTCCCGCTTTCTCCCGCCCCCGCATACCTGGCTGACCCCCTACCCCCACCACACACTTCTTCTCTTCTTCCCCTCGTGACACATAGAGCGCGTTTACTACGCGTTCAACCCTTTCCCTTCTCCCCCGCGCGCACTTCGCCAGTGATGAACTCCAGCGGGAACCGGTCCGATGGCCGATGATCCCCCGCCCGTGCTCGACACGCCTTACAGCAACATCCGCGCGCTTGTAGGGCATAAAACTAAGTGAGACAGCTCCTCTATATACCTTTGACCGCCTTGAATATTATCATGCATTTATGAACATCAAGGCGATCCCAATTGCGTCCGAAAAGGTCAGCGAATATCGTGGCTGTGCTGCAGTCGCTTTGACCTGCGCGCACGTGTTGGAGATCCATTATTTGCTCGACTTCTGCAGAGCATTGGGCTCCAAGAATCGGCGAATCTGTTCGATACACAGCTAAGTACATACCTGAATTTTTTAGGCAAGACAAATGAGCTTGATGCTGGTAAAAGTGCGCCAGACTCATCTCGGAGATAAGTTTGATGGACCGCTTGGACGTCGGTCGGTGATGAATTTTGAGTCGGTAAGACGATCCTGCAAGCAGGTCTCGTAATATCAAGTGCGCGTAACCACCCGCCCAAGTCAAATTTCCACGCTTCTTTGGCCAGCATTCCTCCTCCTGCATGCCATCTAGCGAGTTTTCTTGGGGAAACTCAGTGCTACATACCTTCAAGCTCTACCAGACTCTACTTAATACCTCTGAGGAGATATATGCAAGACGAAATCGTTCTGGAGTCTGAACTTCGGCTGATGCCGAGGGATGTCGGCCCGGTCACGTGGCTGACGCTGTAGGTGCGATAGCGTTCATTCTCGGCGACGGTGAGATCCTCAAGGATTCGGCTCGGCCTAAGACCAAGACATCTTACTGCTCGTCCCTTGCCGAGGCATCTGATTCCCGCTGCTGCTGCGATCCCTACTTTCGGCTTTTCTCCTCATTCGACGGCTACGAAGGTCATCACATCACACGCGCCGAGAACGAGGACGCTGCCGACTTCTGTCGTGACGACGACAACACGACAAATCCTGCAGCCCTGAAATACTACGAGCTGCCTGGGGTCGGCACTGGCATTGGTGCGGCGAGCCAAGGCGCATCGATCGACGAGGAGTATCAGTTCCCGACGGACACGTCTACTCGTTTGGCCTCGCCGACAGATGCGACTGCGCAGATGAGCGCGGCGGTGGAGACACCTAAGCCAAGTACTCCCGATGCTCATGTGCAAGACCCTCCCCAAGCTTCTACAATCATTCAGCCCTCTTCGGTTCACCTGAACAACCGTACCTTAATTCCTCTGGCTCTGCAGAGCGTTTACGGATCGATCCCTTGCCACCCGTGTCTCTGTATTCGCCACTGACGGAGTGCACCTCGTCACAACCGCGTCGAGGAGAACTCTCTATACCCCTTTAGATCGCCCCGCCAGTGAATCTGGATGCGTGCTTCGGGCCAACTGGCCGTCGTGATTACTCGCCCCGTAAGAAGATCGCCGCCTCCTCTCAACCTTCACCGAGCAAGGCCGGTGAGCGCGCGACTCGTGATCAGCAGGCTCGACAGGCTCCCGGCCCAGAAACAACTTTGACCCTGACAGCCAAGCGCGTCGCGGACGAGCCGCCAGAGAAAGATACCGCACGCGGTAAGAGCCAAAATTAGCGTCAGTGCTCCCCGTGCGAATGTATGGATTATTCGGCTCATCTGGAATCCGCGCAGAGAAAGCGCTGTCAGGCGGAGTTCTACGCGACTACACGCACGTCCAGACGCGACAACATCGCTACCGCCGCCGCCGCCATCGCAACTTGAGTCGGAAAAGACAATGGAGACTTCGAGGCACAGTTCCTCACGGGGAAGGACGTCCAAGAGCCAGCGCGGGCGACGGTAGAAAGGAGGCGTGGATGATACGTGCGCATAAGTCATCCATCGTGATCACAATGTAACTCATTTTGGTGGGCGACATAGTGCCACCGAGACTAGAGTGAATTAAGAGGCATGGTTGTCCCGAAGACTACCAAGTCCTGGGAATGCGCACCCAAGGACCCCTGATAATAGGCCAGAGGTCAGTTCCGCGAACACCCAATTTAGGTACCTAAATGTCCGACATTTTTTTTGGCCACTTTTGGGGGGCTTTGTCCGACATTTCTTCCGACCTTCCGGCCTTTTGGGCCTCAAATTTGTCCAAAATCGGCCTTCGACCTTTAAAAATTCGATTTTTGGCCTCAATTTTTCGCTTTTTTCGCCTCGGACAGTGTCTACGGCGTTGAAGCCACTCTTCTGCGACGCGGGCTCGAACTTCCGGCCACTTTCGCTTTAGTGGACTCTTAGCCGGTCGGCTACTGTACCGGTACGTGTGGAGGCAACCGGTAGGGGGTGCGTTACGCTAAAACCCTCCGCTAGTAGGGAGGTTGAGCAGACAGAAGACCGTAGATAAAGAGAAAGAATTTTGGCCGCCCCTTCCACTACCTACCCGTGGTCCCTCTATATACAGAGGCTACGCACGCGGCACTATAAGTACAGGTTAAGCCGAAGCCGGGTGACCTTGGCGGGGACCCGCTATTTTGATAGTCTATCTACGGAAATCTGTTTGCTCAACCTCTCTAGTAGGCAACCGACCCCCACGTTAGGCGTTACGGTTAGTTGAATAGGCAACCATTCAAGGTAGATTTAGAACTTGCTAGGCGGAAATTGGACGTACAGCAGCAGGAAGGCTCCGATGCAACAGTTACGACAGAATACAGCCTATTTCGGAGCGAAAAAGATCGTCTGGGTCGCGCCGAAAAATATTCGAATTTTCGTCGATTTTTGCGCGATGGCAACCACCCCCTCCGTTATGCGTTACTTTCTTCTAGATAGCCAACTTTTTGGGCCCGCGTTACGCGTTACGGTTGCCTCCATACATACCGGTACAGTACAAGTTATAGTAATAGTATAACGAAACTCGCATCATCCATTTGGGGTTGTTTGGCCATGCTTTGCGGTGCATTCATCCAATGACAGAAGCCCGATCATTCATCACACTCATCCTCGGCGTTGATGTCCAGACAAAGTCGCGCCAGCCGTCAGAGAGAAGTCACGGTACCTCCACGTCTCGAACCTCGGAGCTCCATATTCCGGTCTGTACGGCATTGTGTTCTATTGCGAATTACTCACAACTTGCCAGGCAGCGCATTGCTGAGGACACTGGCCGCCATCCAGGAGCCCCGCACCCCCAGGATGACGACGATGTTGAGATGCCATCCGCTGAAGTTTTTACGACACCGCCGCCAGATACAGCGGAGTCCACTGCTGGCTCGTCTGCACGGCCTACGACTGTCGATACGTCGCGCCGTCGTCGCGGCGGCCAGAAGAGCAAATCCAACATCATCGGCGATGATCCTGCTTCAACGAGCACACAACCGTCTTCGGGTCGTCAGGGGAGGCCCAAAGTCGGGAACCTCGGGGCAGCCCGCACTCGCACTCGCCAGCAGGCAATGCACGTCGGCCACGTGGCGACTCAGTCCTCGGAAGTACTTTCCTCCGATGCCACGTCACCATCCGACGTGGGAAAAGAGCGCCAAATAAGGGCTCAGAAGCGTGGGAGATCACGCATTGGCGAAGATGATACTTCCATCTCTCGTAGTCTGGCTGAAGCAAGATCAGAGCAGTCCAGGTATGTGTATTTTCATCACATATGGGACCAGCCTTTTTTAAAGTTGATCTCAGGAAGCGCACTCGGACATCCACAAGTGCGGAACATGAGGATGAAGTTGGCAGACTGCACGAAGATATGTTTGCTCAGATCAGCCAGTAAGCGTTCACAGTATCCTTTGACGAGGTGTGAACCTTGACGAATATAGGAATTCGTCCCTTGATCTTATTTGCAACCTGGGAGCAGCCAGGGCTCGAGAACTTTGTGCGTCAGCATCCTCGCCGAGGAACACAGGTACGCATCCGCGTGTTTCACGCAGGTATTCTGCTGCTGATGAGGAGAGGGACTTTGCAGTGTCGAGCGTGCAAGTGCATTTCTCGAAAGGGAAGCTGGTCAAGCCGCCGAAACCTTCCTCCCTGGCCCCACTGTTGTGGGACGATGCCACCCCGCGGCGCTTTCTAGACAAGACTGGCACAGCGCTTGTCGTTCATCTTCCAGGTTTGCTCACCGTTGAGGCTCATGTAAGTTCGCAGTTGGGATGCATACTGCTCGTATCTTGACATTGACATCAGGCGCGCGCAACGACGACTTTGATGGAACTCGCCAAGTCTCATCCTGAACTAGTCGAGCTTGGTCACGCCAACAATCGAAAAGAATATCGGTCTGAGCAGGGCCGTGTGTCAGGAAAGTTGGCGCTGTTCAAGGCGTCCAAGCCAGGAGACCCATCTGTAGGTGGCTTCATGACATCTGACGCACATCGTTTGATCCAATGGCCAGGACCGACTTCCTGTCGCATCTGCCAGCATCGCCAGTGGGCCGACCAGATACAGGGACATGCATGAGCTGCTTCGCACGCTCCGACTGGTTTCTGACCCTGTCGATGCTGCGCTCCAAGCTGTCGACGCCATCCAGTACACGGCATTTCGGGAGCTGAACGATCGCTTGGAGAGCAAGTGTGCATATATGCTTGCCTTGAACAGCGTAGACCCCATCGTCTTCTCGAATCGGGCCATAGACTTCAATCGGCGGGCCTCGGGCCACATCAACAAGGATATACATCCCAACAGCTGGGTGTCTCTGACCGCTGTCGGTGACTTCAAGCAAGGGTCTATGTATATTCCTGGTCTCAATCTTCGCCTGCGACTAGAGCCGAGAGACGCAGTGCTGTTTCGGGGCCATGCCTTGAAATACGAGGTTGGAGATTGGAATCACGGCCAGCTGATTACGATTGTGGACTCTACAGACCAGTTCCTTTGGGATTCCGTCTCCCTGAATTGTCCTTGACCTTGATGGTGTTGTTGATTATGTACCGTACCGGACCGTATCATGCTCGACACATAGGTTTCCATAGGAGCGATAGCTGTACCGGTATGAATAGCATTGTGTCCGCGCACTCTATCACCAACGAGCACTCCTGCGCGGACCTCTGCACACAAGTTGTGTCGCTGATACCAAACCCTCGTTATTATTGCAGATGTTCATGCGCCTACGTTCTCCTCAGAATGCATAAGACGCTGAGACAAGCGAAGGTACGTAGTAACCAGCAAATACGATGTTCGCCGGTTCGTTTGCATATGTATCCGGCCAGCCGAAAAGGCAGGTACATACCACCCCGTCACGGGATATGCAACACTTTCTCGAGTTTAAACAATTGTCTACTCAAGTCTAATCACGCCTCAAGCGCACGGCCTCAGGGCCATCTTCCCACCGACGGTCTGCTCGCCCGCGCGAGACCCATGGCCTGCTCCCCTTTCCGTCCGGTGTTGCGAGCTTCACTCGAACTGCGCGCCACCCTCGGCGGTCTGCGGCCCGGTCCGCCCTTTTCGTGACTCGCGTCTCGGAGTCCCTCGACTCCTATTTTCTCGATCCTTTTTTCGATCATTTATAAGGCCGGCTGGTGCGAGATCGGTCAGCATTCTGACCTCTCGCACTCCCGGTGAGTTCTTGCAGTACATGCAGTAGAGCTCGATTCTGACCTCTAGCTATCAGTCACGTAGTCGAGCAGCTCGTCATATACAGTCATTCTTCCCATCGACATATGTCTCAAAGCAACGATGTTACCGGACGATCAAGTAGGGGCAACACGCCCTCTCCTGGAGAGAATCAGCCCAGCGGGGGTGGGGTTGACCCCGAAGAAATCCCTCCTAGAGAGACTCTCGCCGCCGAAGTTCTTCGCCAGTGCGAAGTCGTCGTCGAACAGTAGTACCGAACCGGTTCTCTTAAGAAGGTTCAGGCCGTTATCGAGCTCCAGGAAGCTTGCGCGAGATGACGAGCAGCGCTTCCGAGATGCACTCGCAGCACAGCTACGAATCATCGACAGCATCGACCGCGTGCGAGACGGTGGCGGAGCGCGCGGCTCCAGGCTGAACGGGCAAGCTCAGCCTCCTACAACAGATGAACATGATGGACACGGAGACGGTAACGGCGCCAGCGAAGGACAACTCACCGGGAAACGCGTGCGCTCACCTGTCGCCGACTACAACGATGACGACGGCGACGCTGGTGACACCCCTCGCAAGCGCATCGACACCCGACTCTTCGCATGGGCAGCCAGCAACGACGTCGATCGCACGATCCTCCCGCATTCTGTTGTCGAAACGAATCGACACCTTGAGAGTTTCTCTCGAGACCCTAAAGGCGCGAAGACTCACCTATTCAACTCGTTCGGCCGTCCCCAGTTCCCCGCAGGGGAGTGGGGCAACCTCCTCAGTGGGAATCCCGTCAATTTTGACTGCGTCAGCTCGAGCATCCACTCAGTCGCCATCAACACACGAACGTTCCAGCGCCTCGGTGAGCTGGAGCTGTCCTTCGGACATGCCACCCCCACCAAAACGGTTAAGGACCATGGCGAGTGGGTCATCGCCTGGAACGCCTTCCGCCGTGCTGCGGTTTTCGTCTTCCCACATCTCGCGGAGGAGTTGGACGCGTACGCCCAGCACGTCCTTGCTTTCTTCCGCGCCTTCCCTTCGCACGGAGACTACCACCAGCGTGTCATCAACTACGATCGCGCGGTGCGCATCCGCATCGCCGAGCGTCGCGATCTCCGCTACATCGACTTCGCTGCCTTCACGGACCTCCAACTCATGTGGATCCACGCACTGATCACTGTTGCAGCAGTCCCCGACTCGCCCAAACACAGCGACGGAAAGCGGGCTCGCCGCGGTGGAGGTGGCACAGATGCGCGCAGGGAGCCGTGCAATCGCTGGAATGCCGGAACGTGCCCGAACTCGACCGCGTCTTGCAGATATGCGCACGTCTGCCGCCGCTGCAGAAGCAACCGGCACGTCGAGGATTCCTGCGCAAAAGACAATTTATGATAGCCTGCGAAAGAAACCTCGGTATATGCGCGATCTCATCTGGGATGACACACCTGCCGAGCGTCCAACGATGGCGACCGCAACTATCAGCATGTCCCCTGTCCCCCGTCCCCCGAGAACGAGCTGCGCAACTACCTCGCCCTCTCAACCATCCGTACCCGCCCTTATCTATTCAAAATTGTCACCCCGGTCAGCATCGACACATTCCACGAACTGCTAGCCACGCACCCGAATCAGGACCTTGTATCGTCGGTCGTTCGCTCGCTCCGCGAGGGTTTCTGGCCCTGGGCAATTACAGGTCAGCCTGGTTATCCGGTGTCGTGCGACTACGCAGTCCCGCTCACCGACGCCGCCGAAATCGCCTGCGCGCGTGAACAATGCGAGACGGAGGTCCGCCTCGGCGGCTTCTCTCAGTCCTTCAGCACCTTGCTCCTAGGGATGCGCACCGTCCGTAAGCATACGGTTCGTACGGGACCGTAAATACGGTGCCGTACCCGTACCGTGACCCTTTTACCAGCTTGCTGATACGGACGGCGACGGTACGGGTGGGTGACCGTACGACCGTACTGGCAGGTTCCGTATACGGGCTGGTACGGCTTACGGAATGGGTACCTCCAAAGTGCGCAAGACTTACCCCAGAACTTCAGAAGTCATCTCCGTATGGCCCACTGGTATGACGGCTGCTCAGGCAGGAGGAATTGATGACCATAACACTTGCTGGTCGAGGGTGTCGGCGCGCGTTACTAGTTATCACACGCTGTGACCAAGTGTGACAGGCGCGTCGCTGGGCCCTCGTCGCCCTCCTTTCGCCCATAAAAGACTCTCACGGATCAGCTGAAATCTAGAAAGCGTGAAGATGTACACCGGCACTCTATCTGAATCAGTGCAGCCCTCGGCGCAAAGCATAATAGACAGAGCCCAATTGCGTGACCGTATACCGTATACGGCCGGTCCGGTCCCGTACCCGTACCGTCGCTCCCTCCTACCCTCCATCATACGGTACGGGTACGCTACGGATGCGACCGTCGCGCCCCGTACCCGTAATTCACGTACCCGTAATACGGACGGTGCGCATCCCTACGTGACGGTCGATGGACAACGTCGTACCCTGCGCGAGTTTCAGACCATTGCCGGCTGGGTCAACTGGGCCCTCAACGTCTACCCCATCTTGCGCCCTGGCCTCTCCGAGCTCTATGAAAAGACTCGGGGCAAGTCTTTACCCCATGCTCCCATCTGGGTCAACAAGACGATGAAGATGCAGTTGTGCTGGATTGCCGACCACATCGCCACGTCGGATGGGATCTATATGATGGACTCCAACACCTGGGGCCTTGATGGCGCGGATGTCACCGTCTACACCGACGCCTCAGTCCTCGGCATGGGCTTCTGGTTCCCGGGGGCGCACATTGGGCTCCAGTGCGGTTTGGAGAACGCTCAGGTGAAGGGCATCTTCTACTACGAGGCACTGAGCGTTTTGTACGCCTTGCAGTACACACACTCTCACACGGATCGCCCCCTCGCCCGCATCGCCATCCTCACAGACAACTCCAACACCGTCGACATGTTCCATTTCGTCCGTGCCCAGCCACTGTACAACCCCTTACTCACGTCCGCGGTCGATCCCCTCCGTCACCACAACGTGCAACTGCGGGTCTTCCACGTTCCCGGCGTGCAAAATGTTGTCGCGGACGCCCTCTCCCGCTTTGACAACAGCGCCGCCCTCGAAGTCGATCCGAGCCCCACCATCCTACCCTTCATACCCCCTCGCCTGACGCTGGGGGCGACCAAGTTATGAACATCAGGACCTCACGGGCTCGGCAACCTTCACGGCAGCCGTGGTCCTTGCAGAAGCTGCAGTATGAACGTGCGGTGGCGATGGGCTGCTCAATTGAGCCTGGGTAGGCCGCCTCGTACGGCTCTGCTGCTCGGTCCTACGTGACTTTCTGCAATATGCACTCGCTTCCTCTCACCCCCACACCCGACACCCTCAGCTTCTTTACCGTCTACATGTCGCACCACATCAAGCCACAATCGGTCGACTCGTACCTCTCGGGCATCTGCAACCAGCTCGAACCTTTCTACCCAGACGTCCGCAAGAACAGGAAGCACCCCCTCATTGCGCGCACCCTCGCGGGTTGCAAGAAACTTCGCGGTACAGCACCAAATCGCAAACGCCCCCTTACGCGCGCGGAATTGGCCGCGCTTCACCCGAAGTACGCCGCCAGCAGCAGTCACGATGACATGCTGTTTTGGAGCCTGCTTCTCACCGGCTTCCATGGCCTCCTCCGCCTCGGCGAGCTCGTCTGCCCGGACCGCGAGGACCTCCGCGATTATCGCAAGATTGTCCGCCGCGTATCCGTCAAGATCAACCCACAATCGTTCGAGTTCTTCCTACCCTGGCACAAAGCCAATCGCCTTTTCGAGGGTAACCACATCCTCATTACGGGAACCAATACTGGTGACGATCCCGTGGCGCCGTTCAAGCGCTACATTGCTTACCGCGATGCCCTTTTCCCCTATCATCCTGAACTCTGGCTGCGTGCCAATGGGCACGTTCCGACCCGCGGCTGGTTCCTTCGCAGACTCAAAGTGCACTTCAAGGACAATGTCGCCGGTCACTCCTTGCGCTCGGGCGGCGCAACGGCTCTTGCCGAGGCCGGGTACCCATCCTCCCTCATCCAAGAAAATTGGACGCTGGAAGTCGGACACCTTCGACATCTACGTTCGCAAACATCCGCGGCTCCTAGCCGCCGTCCTCGTCTCACACGTGCCCCCGGGTTAGACCTTTCGTATATAGATTTCATTGTGATCCATCGCTCCGCTCACCCTTTTCCCTTCTTTGCTTACATATCATCTTGAAACCATTCTTTCTTTTCCTATCAGCCTCATTAGCGTACCACTACTCAATACCTAGCTATTCGAGGCCTGCCGCTGTGTTCAGGGCAGAGCCGCATTGGCCTAACCCCCACGTGTGGTCTCGACGAGTGATTGAGAGCGTGATTAGACGTCTCTCGCTATCATCACCTTGTATCTTGCCCTATCTTACAAGAATAAATACAGCGCAGGTATCAGCATGTATGCACCTCTCTGAATATTTTCAGCCTTTCAAGGGACGTGGTAGACATGAAGATGGGTGGTGTTGCATTGGGAGGGGTGATGCAACACTTGGTAACGCTGTGACGGCCTCCGGCATCTTCGGCAGGGCTTGTTTTGTGGCGCGGTTCGAACGTTGTTATGCGCCGTCTAGCTGCAGCAGTTCCAGCGAGCCAATACACCGTGTATTATCTGTGAATGCATAGGTAAGGGTGTATACTGCAGTTTTGTACAGTCAATGAAGGGTAGTTGCTGGATAGCGGGGCAAGAAAGCCCCAGCATCAGTGAGAAGATGGGAAAGGAAACGTCAACGAGGCGGATGGGTCAGAGAAGGTGTTACAGAGAGCAGGATTCGGGTGAGGATGATTCGAATTATAGTGCGGATCATAATGAGCATAAGGGTGATATCCATTGACAACAGTTGCAGACGTGTGGAAAGCTGCGGGAGACGTGAAACTCTGAGATGAAGGCCCACTTGTGTTGTTCGTAATCTCCCCAAGGCGTAGGCGCGAGAGCGGTACGACGGCATGCAACGGATACGAAGGATGGTGAGGTGGGGCTGGGATTAGGCCGAGAGGTGATCCTTCAGTCATTTCCGCGAGATTGAGCTCGTGAGGAGGTACTTCGGCGGGCTGGTGGCGCCCCTTTCGTGTAAACATTGCAGAGAATTGGGCCGTCTCCTTGAGCTCCGGATGAGTGTCAAAGTGCGCCTTGACACGCGACCTCAACGACGCAACCTGCCCCTTTTCGTCAAGCCCTAGCCACCACGCTAGTCGCTGCGGCTGCGCGAGATCCATCTTGTATGAAGGCATGTCGAAGACAATGCCGGTCTTGCCCTTTGACACGCGCTCCCAACGATACCCAGCTGCTGCATCCTGCTTCTTCTGTTGCACATTATCCTTATGTTGCTTCTTCGCCCGTGTGTTCTCGTCGCGTATATCGCCTTCGACAACAAGCTCATTGGCCGTTGTGAATCGCGAGCCCGTGCTGAGCGTGAGATTCCGGCGCGATGGGTTCGTTTTGGCGTAGAGCCGGACCTGCAACGCTTCGACGCGTTGGCCGCCGAGAGTGGCGTACGTCAGCGCTATGTCACGTTCCTTCCGAGCGCGGTGAGTCCGCTCCTTCGATCGTTTTGCCTTCGCACGGAAGAACGCGACGTGGTCAGAGTCTGACGAGCCAGGTTCGCTAGGCGAATCCGGAGGGTCATCCCGCATGCAAACAGCCCGACTTCGCTCTAGAGTGACATCCACAGCTTGGGGTAACAGCAGGTCGTCGGCTGAAGCTGTTGGCGATCCGATTGACAGTGATTGGCCAATGTCCTCAACCTCTCCCTCTGCTGCGTCGTCCACCTCGTCGTCCGCTTCGTCACCATCCCCGTCCTCCACTTCACCCGCGGTGTCATCTGCCACGTCGCCGTACCCCTCGAGACCTGGACCCTGCGCCGCCTGGATGCCACGGTCTGCATCTTCTTTGAATGCGCCAACGTCGCAAGGCTGCATGCGGTGCGTCGCGTGCGGAAGTCCGACGAAGATGTGGGTGTTGTGCTCGCGCGCATATCTTGCGGCCTTGTCCTTTACATGCGATTCGTGGCTATCGAGGGTGAGAAGAATGGGAGCATCTGGGTCGCCGTGCCGCTGCGTGTCGGTGATGAAGGCGGCCTCCCTATTCTGGACGATATCTTCGTTTGTCCACCCGGTGTCTTGACGTACAGATCCTGCAAGTTGGTAAGTCTATCAAGTTAAACTTCGAGGCTGAAGTAGCACGCACAATGGATTCCCCTCAACGTCCTTGCCCCACGACGGGTCGAACAGAGTGCCCGGTACTACGAAGCAAGGTCGGGCCTTCAGTGTTCCATCGAGGAAGATGCAGTCGAGAACGGTGACAAGGGTCAGGTCGTCAGCCTCGATTGTGTACCTGGACGTGTCTGACAAGCTAAACAGGTATACAGTACTTATTCGAGCCGGACCGCTGTCCGCAGAGTTGGAACCCGACCTCATCCATGTTGGCTTTCTTGTCTGCCGCAACGCGCTGCACCAGGAAGAAGTCGTCGAGTTGCGCGCATGTCATGGCAACTGCAGTCCTGGTGAACGCCTGTGGGCGCAGGGGATCAGGCCATCGGCCGCGATTCTGAAGCAAATCGCTATGTCGCCCAATTAACCGATAAACCCAGATACGAGATGGTTTCCTTTTGCAGAGTCTTTGGACGAGCGGACCAATGGTGCGCTTGCAGAACGGCCTTTCCATCTCGCCCAGATATTGCGTCCACTCCACTGCTATTTCCTTGACGTGACGATGGATGAGGAACTGCCGAGCGTGGGCGACGTCGCGAGGCTGCGTCTGGCCGTTGTATCGACGGGTGAGTGTCGAAGTACTCTTGATGTGGTTGTCGCGAGCAGCAGCTCGAAGCGACTTGTACACGCCAGTCCGATAACCTTCCATCGCCATCTCAAGCCGCCTCTCCTGTTCATGTCGCAGAATGGCATTTGCGCGATATTCCTTCGTGGTCGTGCCGACTTTGGTAGGGGGCTGGTTCTTCTTTCGAGAAGCTCGGACCATGGTTACATTGTGTTTGACAGGATGACTAACATATTTCGAGGTGTGAGCAAGGGAGGGAAAGGTCAAACAGTGGTGAAGACGACATCGACGCGGGCGCGACTCAGTCAGGTCCGTGCTTGCCGATGAGCGCCACAGAATCTGTCACTGGGTTCTGTACTGGCGTGCGATGTTGCCAGTTTCGTTGGTCTGAAAGCATGAGAGCCAGAGTGCCAACTGGGCCTCGCGCAATCAAATGAGCAGGTCCATGATGTGGTAACGAAGCCATAGCGAGCTGTCCTTCTCAAAGCGCTGCCACCGAATCATCCGGCCGGAGGACGCGAGGGGGATGTCGGAAGTAGAGACATCCATGCACTCACGTGACTCGCCCTATAGCAGGGGTAGGGATCCCGCAAGGCTCACCCCTTTCGCCCATCCTCTCAACGATCTACACCCTACCTGTGCTGACATGTCTCGACGATAACACCCACCCAGACACGGACAGCAAGTTCTACGTCGACGACGGCCTCCTCGCAGCTGCCTCATGCTCGCGGGGCAGTAACATCATCAAGCTCGGGCAGGCATTCGTGACGGTCGTCGAAAAGCCATGCCAGCTCGGCCTCGACGTCGACATCGACAAGCTCGAGCTGATCCATCTTACAAGGAGGCGGTCCGCCCCTGGCTCGCATGTCAATGTCGCCCTCCCGAATGCCCCATCTCGGACTATACACCTAGTCAACGTCATGCGGTGGCTGAGCGTGTTCTTCGACCGGAAGCTTTCGTGGAAAAAATGGCCACGCGGACGCGGTCGACCATCGCAGGTCTGCGCATTCTCGGCAACACCGTGCGCGGCCTCAGCGTGGCGATCGCCCGCTTAGTCTACAATGCCGTGGTGGTCCCTGTGCTCACCTTCGCTTCCTCCGTCTAGTACACCGGAACTCGGCAGAAGACCCTCTTTAAAAGCCTGGAGCGCGCCCAGAGTGAAGGCCTACGCTGGATCCTAGGCGCGTTCCGCACTTCCCCCGTCGCGGAAATGCACCACATTGCCGCCATCGTTCCCATCCCCCACCTCCTACGCCGTCAATCAGAGAACGCAACAACCCGCCTGCGCACCCTCAGCACTAACTCCCAAGTCCTTGCCCGTACCCCCTCGTCTTGGGAGGAACACTCGCCATCCGTACCCTTCCCCGTCCGTCCTCAAAACGAATCATCCTCGAAACCGCCGACCATCATCCACCGACTCCCCAATCTCACCCACCCCGACTCCGAACGCCTTTTCCCCTACAACACAACCCCCTGGGATCGCCACCACCCCTGGGGTGCTCGTCTCGACACACAGTTCCATCGCCATCGCTTATCGCCTCAGGACCGTGCAGGCTACATCCGCTCGGTCCGCCACCGCATCTTAGCGCTCAACGCAAATGCAACGGCGCTCACCGTCTACACTGACGGTGAGCGTAAGCCGGTCAACGGCCGCCGCCGCACAGGAGTCCACCCCGCGCGCATTCCCCTCGGCCGCTGCGCAGGCATCTATGATGCTGAGATGTGGGCGCTCGCAGCGGGCGCTGCTCGCACGCGCGACCTCCTCAGCCAACACCCTCACCTCGGAACATTTTTTTCTTTACTGACAACCAGTCTGCCGTACGTACGATTACCAACACTTCTGCTCATCTCGCACAGGCTGCATCTATTATCTTCCCAAAACACATAGACTACATCCTCGGCAGCCTACCTGACGCACGGGTCGAGATCGTCTGGGTACCCGGGCATCAGGGTATCACGGGCAATTATCTACAATTATTAGCCTCGCTCAAAGTTGAACGCAGCGCTGCCTGTGGCTCAGCTCGTCACGGGATCGCAGCGCGGAAATGTTCCGAGCGGCAACGCGATCGCAGACGCCGGGCGAAACGCCGGCGACTGTTGGTGGCGGCGCAGGCAGCCTCGTCGTCGTCGCCTATGTCTGGGGGCGCGCAAGTCCCCTGAGTGATCGGCGTGCTTAGTCAGCAATGATCAGCGCTTGGACTTGTAAAGGTCGTCCTTCCACCTCCCATGTCGTTGCACCACACGCGAGTTCTGAGAAAGATACCACAAGGGCGGAGTCACTCCTGGGATTTAGCTGGAACGTTGTAGGTCTTCTCCGAATGCTGTGTAAGCCAGTAGATCAGTCAAAAGGGTGGTTTCCCGCACCCTTCCGAGTAAACACGCCAAAAAGCCTCTCTGGGGCATGGAAGAAGGAGTTTGAGTTTCGCGATGAACCCATGTGCGATACGTGCTGCTATTCCCAAGCCACCAGTATGCTTTCTGCATGCACAGACCACATACGACTTGAGCGAGTAAATTCAGGCTCCCATGGCTACAACGGACCCGTGATGTACGATACTTTGCTAGTTTACAGAAGGTTTCCGTGTGGATAATTTCACACCACAGACACCAATGAGACCAAGCTGCAGACCCCGCAATCATCGCCCGAGCGTAAAACTGCGCGTGATGTCACGCGTTTGGTCACATTCTGATGGCGCAAGTATTTCCAACTAATCTCCTGCCACATCGCCTATTCCTTCCCGGGACAGCAGATTCATGTTCTATACTCCCCCACCAAGAAAACTCGCCGGTACGGAGTCGACCAAAAGTTCCTTGTTCTCTCCTGTATAGTGAGGGATAAGATCAGAGTAATATCGCATGCGTATAGGCTACCTTTCAAGTAATTCAGCGCAGTGGAGGGCGAGAGCTCAGGTGCACGTGACAACGCACGCTGACATGATTTCTCACGGTTGAACTTCGGATGTTGCCGACGTCCTGCCGCTCGAGCATCAACAGACTGATTAGTGCCAAGCCCGACATACGATACCGGCATACCCTGCTATCAAGCAATTGTGTCTGCAGACCAGGAACTGTCTTCTCTTTGATGGAATAAATTTCTGAAGAAAATGAAGGCTGCTTCGAGCAAGCCTGATAACCATTCCCACCCAATTTCCTCCGCTCCGGAGAAGCACTGAATCATAATGTCTACGCATATAGACACACACAGGCCCCATTTACATATATGCGCAAGCAGCAGCCCAGTAAATCGAGGATAAGAGCCACTGAGAGGATGGATGGTGGTGCTCAACTAACTCGCTTTCATCGAGATATGCTACTCAATGAGAAGATAAAAACAACGTAGGCGTAGTCTATACTATACCCTCTTCCTTATAAATTAAAATTCGAGATGCGAAGGCTCCTCCTCGACACAAGAAATCAACTTGGGAAAGCTCGCCAGTAGGTCACCTGATTCAAGTCACAATTTCTCTATGATCCCGGCAGGTATTATCATTGGACAATCAGGGTAACGTGGATGTTAAGGGGTAGTATACATAGGCATATCTTTCCGAGCGGGAACACACCGCGCGCGGTCCAGTCAAATCCGCAAGGTTGGACCGGCGAGTTTTTTTGGTGGGGGGGAGTACATGCGAGACAATTGCACCTTCGCGGCACATTTCCCATTCCCCCGATTTTCAGCCACATCCTCTTGGGAATCGAACCACAAGACAAGATTTGAGGAAAAGGCGACGAAGGACATCTGCCTGGACCATAACTACACTGTTTCGTCCTTTCATAGCGGAGAGAGGAAAGATGCCTGGCGAGATTACTGTACCAGCACGACCGTAGCTTCCCTGGGTGTTACGCGTTACGCCGGGAAGATGTTTTGACCTAGCTTCCCAGCCACGAACTGGCGTTACGTTTGGTGATCAGCTTCCCGCCTAATCGCGAAGCAAGAGCTGATTTCGGCTTGCCCTGCGCGACTCGGGTGTGTTTTGGATCAACATATGAGAGAGAGAACGAGTAGACCATTGTGAAGTATGTATACTACGCACCTTATGCCGCAGGAAAAGAAAATGCGAAAAAATGCGTATTATTTCATGTCCGTAACGCGCTTCCCGAGCTCCCATTACGCGTTACGATGTTGCCCTTAGCTTCCCTTCCTGGTACATCGTCACGCGTTACGGGAAACTACGGTCGTGCTGGTACAGTAACTGGAGATACAGTCGTCGGCTTAATCTTCCTAAATAGGCAGTTTGATGGCACCGGAGCTTTAGGGGGAGTTGCGTCCCCCCATCAAGACGCCCCGCCGGCGCCGCCGACGTCGAATCAGATGACACAAAGCAGTCTAGTAAATATTAAACTTCAGCCACCCCAACGAGCACAGGCCAGAATGTATGCAAGCAAGCTTGATTCCGTCTCTATGACCAGTCTTCAATTCTCTTGCTGTTGTGCAAGGACGCGAGATGGGTCAGTACGACGACGAGGCTGTCTGCGCCGCCAGCAACGGTCGCCCGCGTTTCGCCCGGCGTCTGCGATCGCGTTGCCGCTCGGAACTTTCCGCGCTGCGATCCCGTGACGAGCTGAGCCACAGGCAGCGCTGCGTTCAACTTTGAGCGAGGCTAAGGAACGGGCCGGCTAACTAACGAACGAGGCGGCCACCATCGAACACCGGAGCACCATATCGTGGGCCCGCGAGCAGCACGAAGCTCGTGCCCTCCGCGCATGACGTCGCGAATGGGCCTCCCTATCACACACCAACCTCGCTGGCGTCGCGCTACGTGACTACCCACCATCATCGCGACTTGCGCCATTTCACCGCGACTTCTCTGGAGATCGCAGCATTCACACATGAATCATCCAAACCATCCTATGCCACGGCTTCTGTGGTGACGCACGCTTTGTACCATTTGAATCTCCTGCGTGCCCGTGTGGAGAGGCCCCCATCCAAACCCGCGACCACATTCTCGCCGATTGCCCGCTCTTTGAGCGCGGTCGGCACCACCTTCGCGCCGTGTCACCCTCCATATCCACGCCCGTCGCCCTCGCCACAAAATCCGTCCTCCAGGCCCTCGCGAACATTATCGGCACCTCGAACGCATTCGCCAAGTCCGCCCCGGAGCCCAACAATAAGCCCCCATAGTCGTGCCCGTTGTTGCCCGCGGGACCCACTGGTCCCGCACCCCCATGGACCTACAAACATACACTCCCGTACATCTTCCCCCTTGCATTCCGCGCCTCACAAAGAGCATCTGAGCCCTTGTAAATTATAGCACTATCTTACTGTACTATAGTTTACACCACAATCTGTCGTTGGTACAAGACGCGGTATACAAATATATTCACCACCCCATGTACTCACGTGACTGTCGTCATCTGATGCATTGTATTTGGCTTCGGTGTTACGGCAGGCAGATTTTCTGACGATCAGCTGTTTTACTACTCTCCTCGTTCCCGCCACCCTTGCACTGCATTCATGCTGCCTGGCTCCAGCTTCAGAGTCATCAAGATGCCACCGCCGGTTCATCCTGCAGGGGCTCTGCACAGCTCTGCTCAGAGGGATGCATCGGCAATGGAGATGGACTTCCAGGACTCCCAGCAGTTCATCACTGGACGCACTGATCGCAGCTCGTCAGATGTTTCAGAGCTCGCACAGAATCGCGATCAGAGCCAGATGACCGCCGTGGACATCTCTTTGTCCCAGACGCCGCCCGCGACAGTGGATACCACGGCCTCCACTGAGGCGGACGCCGGCACCCACATGATGTGCAGTACATCGGACGAACGTTCTACGCCGCTTTCTTCAAACGAGCGCCAGCGCACTTCCGCCGGCCGGCACGTCAGCTTGACTCAAGAGGGGGCACATTCCAACACCGGTTCGGTAGAGCAGCCTACGCAACAGGTGGCGGGACGGCCAGACGGTGCTGCCCTTGCCTCTCATACGCCGCATAATGTGGCTGTACGACGGCGCGCTTCGGCAATCTTAGAACTTGGGCAAGCACAAGTTGACGGCGACGTTTGGATACCCCCCAGTGAGGTTATAGAGACCGCGACATCCAGGTACGTTTGCATAATCACGTGCACAGCCATCCATACATCTGGCAACCTAGTATTCTAGTTCCTAGCTCTGCTAGCGCGAGACTGCATCGTGCAGGTCACCTCCCTTACAGCGTCCAGGGTCAAATATATATGTATGTAAAGGTAACGTCCACTGCGCGCTCTGAAGACGGTGACATTTATCCGTCTGCTACCATGGAGTAGGGTTTATGCGAAAGTTCACCTGAAATTACGGTAGCATTAACGGGGGTCAGATGGACGAATACCGGGTTACATTCACCATACTGAATCTCCAGTGCGAAAAACGTGTATGGCGATTGTAACCTGGCATATGTCCGTCCTTTCCCTACCGACCCCGTTAATGCTACCATACTACTCAGGTGACCCTTTGTGTTCACGCTATATTATGGCGACAGGCGGGTGAATGTCATTCTCTCTGGGGCGCACGATGGTCGAGCTTTGATGTAACTGTAACGTGCTTACCGGTGCAAACAGGCGCTCCTCCGAGGAGCTGTCTCGCCAGTTGGGTGCTGCAAGAGCACGGAATATGTGCGCAGCGCTGGAATCCTGTGCGTACACTGTTTCTGGCTCTATCGCTACCCTCCTTCTGATACATATGCGCGACGCAACTACAGTTAGCAGTGAAGGCGTGCAGCTATCAGCAGGTCAACTCATAAGGAAACCGGGCTTCACACCTAAAACCATTTCATGGCAAGATGATATTCCCCGATGCTATAAGGATTCCAGCGGCATATCATTGCTCGTCCATCTACCATCACTGCTTCTCGGCCAGTCACTCGTGAGTTGTTGGGTGAAGCTGATATGGCACATATAACAACTTATTGATCTACCTCAGAACCATGCTACTGATGCATTGATTGCTTTCGCGAAACTGCATCCGACCTCTCTTTCATGTGGGGCTGGCGCGGACGCTCGAGGTCGTGATTCCCAGGACGCGTATCGCACAACACAAGGCCATCTTGCCGGACAGCTGAAATTAGTGAAAGCATGGCACCAGATCGGTCACCACGTAACTACCATGACATAAACAAACTTATATCTTTCTAACCTACATCTCAGACAGAGGCCCCCTCAGCCTCAGGCCACATCTTCGACTCTGCCAAGCGATATCGGGACGCCTGCAATTTGATGCGCGATCTGCGACTGATCTCCGACCCCGTCGAGGCTGTGCTTCGTGCGGTTGATCCTGCGCAGTATGTAGCCATGCAGGACTTGCGTCTTCGCCTAGAAGGTGCCTGCGCATATCTTCGAGGTCTCAACGCGATAGACCCAATCCCCTTCATGGGCCGGATTGTGGTTTTCAACCGGCAAACTCCGGCTCATAATGACAAGCGAGACCCTGCTAACGCTTGGACATGTATTGTTGCTGCGGGAGATTTCAGAGGAGGCTCACTGCGCATTTCTAATCTCAACCTGACCGTCCGGCTTGAGCCAGGCGATGCCGTTATGCTCCGGGGGCATGTCCTGATGCATGAGGTAGAGGACTGGGAAGGTAGCCAAAGGATCTCTATTGTTCACTTTACACACCAGTCGCTATGGGACTTTGCCTCACTCAACTGTCCCTAGTGTAGGTGGCCTTCATGTGTACAAAGCTGGCTATCATAGGTGCTTCTTCGCAACAGTATTACCCTTCCCTGCAAAATCTCTCCCGCCCTTGATTAACCCCGACAATCCGGACGTGGTTTTAGGCAACAAATGTAAATAGTGTGCAGGTGCGAACAATCGCCTATACTGTACTGTTTCGATCGTAGGTTTACCGGGTGTTACGCGTTACGGCGTGAACCCCATGCCGTAGTTCACGCGCCCGAAGAGCGCGTTACGGTTCGAGAAATCAGGTTCATGAACCTGTTTTGGAGATGATTTTGAGCGCAAACTGGTGCATAGCAGAGTCTGGAATGGAGTGAGAAGGTGTAAGTGCAGCCAAATAGGCAATGACCTCCTGAGGCCCTTTTGGGGCTCAGGAAAAAAAATCGAGAAAATCATTGAAAATCCCGATATTTCGCCCAGATTCACCGCCGGGCGTCACGCGTTACGAGTGGCCATTAGGCTCATTTCAAGGGCCGATGTTATGCGTTACGTGAGCATATGGTCGAAACAGTACAGTACTGGCCCTCACATCACTACTTAGGAGGTTAATCTACAAGGAATCTCTGTCTTGCTAATCACTGCTCGAAAATATTCGAAATATGCAGCTGGTCTTCTTTTCTCCCCTTAGGTGAGTCAGCCTCCGCAAGTAAGGGTGCACGAAAAGGTCATTGGGCATGAGTAACCACTCAAAGTGATGCTCGAACAGTGCATCACGATCCTACCACACTACATGGTCACCGACAACCTTTTGCACCTTGGAAAGCTCGACAATGCAAGGGGCTTGTAAGAAGCTACTACTGTACCGGTATGTATGGAGGCAACCGTAACGCATAACGCGGGCCCAAAAAGTTGGCTTTCTAGAAGAAAATAACACATAACGGAGGGGGTGGTTGCCATCGCGCAAAAATCGACGAAAATTCGAATATTTTTCGGCGCGACCCAGACGATCTTTTTCGCTCCGAAATAGGCTGTATTCTGTCGTAACTGTTGCATCGGAGCCTTCCTGCTGCTGTACGTCCAATTTCCGCCTAGCAAGCTCTAAATCTACCTTGAATGGTTGCCTATTCAAATAACCGTAACGCCTAACGTGGGGGTCGGTTGCCTACTAGCGGATGGTTGTTAGCGTAACGCGCCCCCTACCAGTTGCCTCCATACATACCGGTACAGTACTGTACTGTTTCGACCATAGGTTCACGTAACGCATAACATCGGCCCTTGAAGTGAGCCTAATGACCACTCGTAACGCGTAACACCCGCTGAACCTACGGTCGAAACAGTACAGTATAGGACGTATTGGATTCGATAAATAGGACGTATTAGTTTCGATAATTATCAGAGAATTCACTAACGAGAAGGCAAGTGAAAAGTCAACTAAAAACGTTGATCAAATGAAGATGCAGAAGAACGACATGTAGGATGGACTCAGAGCCTGCACCGGGCGACAAGCCGATGAGCTTCGCATGACGTGAATCCGACCGAATGGATGCGCAAGGACCCTGTCTACGCTCCCCATTATGCGTGTACCAAATGTACCTCAAAGCTCGTCCCTGTGCTGCCTGAAGCCATGCCCGAGCACCCCGCCGAGTCCGCGCCCTTGTCGGGACCCACTGCACTTGCTTCGCAGGAAACTTCATCAGTCCTCGTAGATTCTCAACCTGCTGCTTCATCAAGTGGAGCTCCGTTTTCTAAGTGAAGAAGTTGATAATTCTCTCTACTAATACGTTCTAATATCCCTCGTAACATGGAAAGACCAATGCAATTGAAGATATAGACTTCTGTCCCTGTAGTGGCTTCGCCGACACCGCCTTTCCTACCCCGAGACTTTGGGTCTTCTCGCAAGCCACGCAAGCACCATCGCCCTAGTATCCGTCCACACCAAAGCTCCCATGCTCCGTACGCATGTGTCCATAGATTCCGTCACCGCCAGGGAATGTTTCCATGCAAACCCAGCATATGTGTGTTGTGCAGCGCGTACACGTTACATGGTTGCACCCCTGGTCCCGCTGTATGGGTGCAGTACAGCCTGGACAGCGCTTGGCCCCATTTTTCTGCATCCACTCCTCAAATTGTGCATCAGCCGCGGTAGCACGGCAAGGCAGTATTCCATGGGCCTCTGAGTCACAGAGGCGGCAGATGCTTAGGAGACATGACGGGCACCGCACCACCTTGGGCTCAGATCCTTTGCGATAGACCTGGTCGCAGTCAGGGGTAGGACAGTAGTGAAACTCGCGAGGGCGAGAGGCGATATGAGTGGTGAAGGCGACCTCCACGATGCCCAGAAGCTCCTGCTCCGAGAGCACTCGCAGAGCGTCTCGGACGGATATCGGCGCGGCGCAGCTCCCGCCATCTCCAAGGCAAGTTATAGGGAAAGCGTGCCTCTCGTGAGAGGAGAGCAGGTAGAGTTTCATGCACTCGCTGCACCAAATATGCCCACACTGCGATTCCAAAGTGACCGGATCTGCAGGGGGAGAGAGGCAAACCGGACACGTGTTCCAGCCCGATGATGTACCGCTCTGGCCGTACTTCCTCCAGACAAGACTGGCCGCGACTGCTACCTTGTTCTGCACGTGGATGTCTCCACGGACAAGTAGCTTGCGGCCCTTCATGTCGAGTGTCACATGGCCCGGACCATAAGCCCTGTTGATGGGCAGGACGACGTCGTCGATATAACACTTCGATGGGATAGCCTTGAGCGGGATCAGATGAGCCTGCTCGGCCTTCAACGAATCGATCTTAGCCGCCAGATCTCTCGCGCCATAGTGTCGGAGAGCGCGGGGCCCGGCCACTCGAAGCTCTCTCCTGCACGCATCGGCAGTCACAACGAGGCCAGGGTAGCTGCGCTCCAGGTCTTTTAGGAAGGCTTTCCCCATGGGATATCGGAAGAATGTGTCCCACAATGCGCGTCCATCGCTACGGACGACATCTCCGCGAACAATCTTGTCCAGTTCCTGCTTCTGGTCCGCAATATCCTCGAGCCGCGTGCCCTGCATGTAAAGAAGCACCGCCCTCTCACGTGGCTTTGGCACCACAGTGATGAGGACTGCACCCGTCTGGTGCGCGGCTGAGACTAGACGGTCGATACCCTCTTTGTGACGACTGTACTCCGCATGACTGATACGTAGCCAGAGGCGGCATACCAGGCGTGTGGTGATTTGGGTATATCCAGTTGCCTGAGGACGGCTACCGTCGAGAACAGCATTCGCCCTTGTCGCTTCGTCAGAGGAGGAGAATGATGCAAACAAGGTAGCCATCCCGCCTATGAAGGGTTCAGGCTGAAGTTCGAGCGAGAGGAATCCTTCGAAATTATGGGCCAGATAGCCTGACAGCTGTGATCTGACCTTCCTTGGGCTGGACACATAGTTCGGGCGCTGATGCATGTACTCCTCAGCACCCAGCGTTCGCTTTTCGTCCTCCGTGACATTGTGAGGTAGGCCCGTGATGATCAGAGTTTTATTCCTGACCGCCGGAATACGGTGGTGCTCCGCTGCCCGAGGCCGATGCCCACGAATAAGGATTTGCGATTCGATATAAGCTTTTCCTTGTTCTGCTAGACTCTGATTTGAGTAGCCCGCGTATAGAATCTTTGTCGGAAGCTGCACAGTGATCTCGATGCTAGAGCCATCCACAGTCAGGCGTTCATGTCGTTTTCGGTCAGCATCTTGTACCGGTCGTACGTCGATGCCGCTGTCGCACTCGCGCTGTAAACATCGTGTGACAACTCTTGCAGAGAGCGGGGTTCCGCAAATAGCAAGTATCCCATCTCGCGTGTCCCGAAGGCGGAGGACATGATGGGTGAGCCCCTGTTGTTGGAGAATGTGCTCAACCTCCATGGTAGTTGTGTTGTTGACTAGGATTTCGCGTGACTCATGCCACGTGCTTATATCGTCGACAGTAAATCCGGAAAGGAGTTTTACATAGGCGCCAGATTTGGTTTTGTAAGTGCTATATCGGACCTGTGTGGGGCTGCGTTGGTCAAAATCAACTACGGGTAGAAAGCAGCTGACCTGTGCGAGGGGCATTCTTATGCGACGGTGTGCGCCTGCTGACTGGATAGACCTATCGCTGCTGTATTCTATCGCCCTCGTGTGTCCAACAAAGTACGGGTGCTACTTCGTCTTCATTTGCATCAAGTTAGGAACAGTGAATGAAAGGCTCACCTACAGGTGACGTGCGGAAAAGCCTTTGACTGCCTTGATCGAGGTATCTGTGCGGCAAGCTACGTAGCGAGCGGTGACAGGCAATGAGAGTGAGAAGCAAAGAAAGCCCGATTTGGGCTCTGTGACGTTGGTTTTTGTATTTTCCCACCCCTTATTGACCGGAACCATCACAATTTCCCCTTTGGGACATCTGTGCCGATGGGGTGGATCAGGACCCGTCCTCATCGTTGTCAGGAAGTTCAAGCCTGACGGAGGTCTGGCGGTACCAATCTTGCATGGACATCTTGGGGCAGATGTCCGCGTTTCGTACGACAACGCTCATGAACCTCGCCCCCAATAATCAGGGATCCTGCTGGACTTTGATTACTGAAGCTCTTGGGCTATAACTGTATTTCGTGAACAAACGGAAGGTGTGTCAGCCTCACGCACCAAAACGCGTGAGAAGTCTTGATTTTGCTACGTGTTAGCGTGAAAAAGTGGCAAAAGCGGGCTTTTTGCGTGGAAGCTCATGCACCTCACAATGAAGACCTTGCGCATTTGTTGTTAGTGGTAGCTCTTGTTGTTGATCAGTATTATTGTTATGAAATTTAGCGCTCAAAAGCGCTTGAAACTTATTCAATGTGCCCTCAATACCAGATAATGATATTGTGGACGTTATGATGTTTGGAAATTCAGAAAACGAGGGCACCACATAGATGGCCAAAAGTGAGTGTAGCAGTCGAGGGCGCTGCAGAAATACGAGGGAGTTAAAGGAAGACAGTCTACAGTCTGGGATTTGAGAATGAGACGTAGCGTCTGGCAAGGTTGACAATGACCCGCTCTGTCATGCTCAGAGCTCGTCGGCAATGGCACACGGGGCATGCGCGCCGACTCTCGGACATTGCCGACGAGCTCTGATGTGCCGACACCCATTATCAGCGTGGAAGTCACTCCTCAGCTCGACAAGCGTCCCTCGGGCGCGGTCGCCGTCATAGGTGACAGTAGATAAATTCTTACGGCATGTATGCCCTGGAAAATGACGCCCCATTAAGAGGGGGGCCGCACGCCGACACGCGAAGGCAGAAGATGGTCAGCCGCAGTCATGGTCGGGTTTGGGCCGCAGACAAGTCACGCTGGGCGATAAAGTGGCAGGCTTGGACTCGTAGATTTTACCCCCTAAGATGCCTTGTCAACGGTCATGAGCCAGGACTCGGCAGTCTCTGGTTCATCCTTCTCCTTCGAGGGCTGCCGGCCACTATCATTGATCTCAGGTCGCCCCTTCAGTGCCTACTATTTTTTGTCTTCGGACATTTTTTCAAATACTATAACGCCCACGTGGACAAGTAAAAGGTAGAGAAACGTATGGAAATCCGAACATACCTGGTGCTCACGGAAATGGCGCTGAAACGGTCGATGAATTCAAAGTCCTTTCACAGAAAGATCCGTATGCGATCTCAGCTTATGATTGCTATGTCGGTGTGGACTTTGGCCTTTCTGCTAATAAATCCCTTCTGCTACATGAGTGGGCGCAAGTTCTATTAGTGAATATCAAAATGTTGACTTATAAATACTAAGAGTGCAACAGCACTGCATGGGAACACCGTAGCATCTCGATCAGCCATCCATGCACCCATTGACTCGGCACTATCCCAACTATGGCCGCTGGCATCAACATTCAGATCAGTCCTTGCCGCTCGACAAAGATCCGCATCCACATAATATACCGCCCAAAGCATCGGCCCCACCAGATTGCGGTGAGGGTGATCTGATCCCTCGTAGTCGCCATGCAGGACTCCCTTTCCTAGACTAGGGAAATGGCACTTCGGGCATACCAGGGGCCTCTGTGCTGGATTGTGTCGAATGCTGTTCGTGAATCTGTAGTAACCTCCACATCCGCGGTCATATTTTTCAGCCATAGGGCATCTGCGGATGGTGTGCACCGTCTGCGACCATGCAGGCAGGTACCCTAGCAATGACACAACGAAGCAGAAGCCGCATGTATGCTTCGTCCGCGCCAGCACGCGCTGAGCATATCTGATCGTCTCCTTATTCGTGCTGGTACTGTGACACTCTTCTTTCATCGCGTCCAGCTCTTCTATGGCACTGGAGAATCGACCCAATAGAAGTCTCTGCAAGACCGCGGGTGCTAGCCTCGCTTGCTCATACTGAGAAAACGCATGTCTGTGAGGTGAGACCGCCAGAGGTTCCGCATCTCGCAGGGATCTTGTCAAAATTCGAGGCTGTGCATTCGGTTTAGACACTTCATTTGCACATACGCATGGCAGGCGAGCGAGCAAAGAATCAGTACATACATTTTGAGAACGACAAACATCGCATAGGACGGCGGTTGGATTGTCCAAGCACGTTCTTGCTGGGTTGCCGTGGGAGTGAGCATCCAGGGCCTGTCGGATACAGTGTCCTGGCTGTCCAATCGTGTGAAACAACTCGCGGATGACATAGTACCCAGAGAGCTGACACAGGTTGCTCTGTGACCGGGGAAGAGGTGGCATCTGAGGGCTTCTGAACACAACAAAATAGGCGATTCGCCCATCACGACCGGCAGATCCACACGCCTCTTGATAGTGTATGACGCTCAGAGGTGTGCCAATGTGGGCGACCACCCTGACATGAGGATATTCCTTGACCAATCCTCGTGCATTATTGGTGACGATGCCGATTCGTTCCCCGCGGACCCATCGGTCGTACCCATCCCGCTGAAGCGTCTGGGGCGCCGAATGCGTCGTGGCACCGGTGCTTGTGTCGTAAAAATGCAAGTGAAGACACTCAGCAAGCCGCATCCCGTCTTCCGCGGTTGCCACAAGTATGATATATCGATCGTCGTCTCTCGCCTGCCGCATCAAAGAGACAACTCTGGTCTGGACAAGTTGAGCAGTCGCCGACAGGTCACCGGCGGCGGTGTCTATCAGGTGGGCAATGTTGTCTCGTTCAGTCCTGCCACGTATGACAACCGGCCTGATGAGAGCGAATTGGCGGAAGAACCATGGCACTGTCTTGGGTGGGATCGTCGATGTGAGAAGGACCACTTGAGAAGGTACGAATCTGATCTCGTGTATGTCCCGCAGCGACTTCCAAAAGTTGCAGGTAATGGCCATGTGCGCTTCGTCCAGCACTACTCTGGAAATGACGCGACCCTTCCGGATGAGGTTCTGAATTGCTGCCTTCCAGTGCCGCCCTTTCGCAACCGCGACGGAGACGAGGACAATGTTAGCACAGCCTGTCAGCCACCCCTGGCTGCCTGGAAGGAATATATCATAATCAATGCCCGTGGCGTCCAACCGCTCAGTCCATGCTTGAAGCACAGCATATGAAGCGGCCATGATGACCGTGATTGCATCCTCGTAGAGCGAGGGAACTATCGCCGCTAGGGACTTTCCTGCTCCTGATCCAAGTGCTAGGATGACATCGTGATCCAACCGTAGACAAGATACGATACCATGTTCTTGCTCTGCACACGTGTACTGAGCAGATGTATTGTCGAGTAGACGCCGTATCTGGGCCAAAAGATCATTGGGAGGTTGTGCGGCAATGTCGCTGACTGGAGCGCTCTTGTCAGCAACCATTGTACCCATTGTCGCGTGCTCCAGCTTGTTGTGCCATTCCAAGACAACAGGGTTTGCCATGATCTGTATCAAGTCTGTTAATCAATCTCATCACAGTGGCAGCAAGCAGTGCCTTGTCCGGACTGAAGCCCACGACACGCAAGCCATCCACGCTAGCTGCCCGTGAAAGGGCCACATATGCTTGCCCTGATATAGTGTATCAGATGATTCCGTACGTATAGCGGAGCAGAGGGTTAGAAGACCTGACCATATGTAAACACGGTGCTCAGGTCCACCTGCACTTTATGGAGGGTTTGCCCTTGGCTTTTATGTATGGTTATGGCCCATGCAAGCACCAAAGGAACCTTTAAGGGCAAGTCAAGCTCGGCGAGGCTGGAGCGAGGAAAGAGTGCACACCTGAATGCGACAGACCAGGGTTTGGCCACTGTATGTCTCTGAGCGGAACTCGTGCCTGCCTACTATCACTGTCCTATCCCCGCTCGATGTTGTGAACTTGACAACAGGATATGGTTCCTCCTTCCTCCATAACTTGCCAACATACTCTTTTTGGGACTTGGGCGTATCATACTCATCCATGATATTGGCCCCGGCCAAATGTCCATGGCTAGCCCTCCAGAATGCACAGACCACCCCTACCGTTCCATTGACGAGCGTCTCATCCACATTTTTGATTAGCATCACCTGTGCGCCGAGTTTGAGCGACAGCATCTGGATTGCCGGTAGCGTGCTAAGTTGTCTCTCGCCACTCTGGATGTCGATGAGGTCGGTGTTGATGCTATTCCGGGCCTCATAGTAAACGGGTGGATCCACAAGAGAGGCGAGACGGGCTTCGTTTCTTGCGCGCACAGGTTTGTTTGTTGCGTACAGATACGTGGGCTCCAGTAAGGTTTTCGAAGGTTGCCTGCCCAGCTCCTTAAGCATCCTCGCTCCCCAGGCAGGTATTTTTCCGATACGGATTTGGTTGAGAAGTGTCACAAATTCTATCGTGAGATTAGCGTTCAAGATAAGTTAGGACCAGCTTAGGCACTTACTATTGTCGGATTGTCTATACACTTCTGAGAGCTGTACGCAGTGATCAAAAGTTCCATCCCATGTGGCTCCTTGGAAGGCCAACTTCTCTTTGTTGACAGGAGACAGCTGCAAGATACAATGAAACAAGTCAAAATCATGATCTTGATTTCAATGCGCCAAGGCAAAGGCGAACAAACCTGAAAGAAGTCTCCGCATGCAAGTACTTGGATCCCGCCAAATGGCCGATTTGTGGTAGGCCGTAGCACTTTTGCGATGTCGTGCAGTAAGTCAAATAGATCACCATCGAGCATGGACACTGCGAGCAGAAACACATGAATTGTTGAAATCAAACTAGATGGCCATTCCGGGAGCTCACCTTCATCGACGATGATTGTTCTCACTGACAACCATCGTCGCACGCCAGATCCCTTGCGGATGTGCTCAAGCTGTTGGCTGAGATCGCAATTTTTGATCAGGACGCTGCCCCATGAGTGCAGTGTACTACCTGCATTGGAAATAGAGGGTCAAGGATACGTATAATTCTACATGACATGGAGCTCACCACCTATGTTTGCAGCTGCAACCCCAGTGGTAGCGGTGACAGCAAGTGCGGATAGATCATGTCTGTATCTCTCTTGCAGTTCCCTAATGATGGCCTTCAGCAAGAATGATTTCCCTGTGCCTGTGTGCAGATGTTTGTTATGGTTCAAGGGAAGGTCCAGCCAGTTCTACTCGCCTGCTTGGCCAGTCAGGAAGACATTCATGCCCCTATTGAGAGCCATGTTGTAAATATTCGCTTGTTCAGGGTTGAGCTGGGTAATTGGGAACGTCGATGAAGGTGATTCAAGTGAGACTCGAGCGGCTGTCTGTGAACAGTGCATCAAGCTCTGCTGTTGACGTTCTGAACCGTTCTCAGGGACGGCGGACATGATCGTGCTGTCGAGGAAGGCAGGTCAGATGCTTACTAAGTAGGGTCCATACACCGCACACAAGAAATCAATTACCTGCCATTTTCGGCAGGTCATTCCCATTGCCAACATCGCAGCTCGTGACACATGCTTCCCGGCGTATAAACCCGGATAGACACGCACCAGGAGTATCCTGGCACTAATAGGCATGCATCATGATTAAAAGCGATGGCTTCATTGGACCTCGATTCATGAGACGGTCAAAGCCCCTTTGACCGCGGTCTATGCACACGAGGAACCACGTGATATCCTCTCAGGCGCAACGGGCCTTTGTACTCATCTCGTCTCGCATCGTACCTACAATTACTCACAGCAGAATCGCAGTCATCACAGCTGCTCGTTTTCTTTCCTCCCGCCCGCTTCCCTTCTTATGATCCTGCTCTCCTTGTTGTCATATTCTGTGCACTCGGTCTTGTATCAGTCCCTCGTGACAGGCCCGTGCTTGCGGCCAAGAGTCGCGTGCTCCGGCCTCCCAACGGCCGCGGTCCCATCCCGGCGACCCGCCTTGGACCGCAATCCAAATTGCTCACCCAGACGAGCAGGCAAAGATGCGTAATGTAGCCCGCTTGTGGGCAGCTAGTCAACTGCCAAGAGTCGCTGACACGGGGGGAGGACCTTGCAAGCAACGTGATTCAAGGGACGCGTCCGAGCGTGTGCTGCTCAAATTCGCGTCAGGACAAGGAAATCGAGAACCAACATCTTGATCCTGATCACTTTAAAAGATGGTGTACGAAGTTTTGGGGGCCGCTGGATCCTATAGCTAACACTATGTCGCGATTAATGCCCAAATCACATGCCCGCCGGGCGAGCTCGCCTGGGCCATGTAACGCGCGTAAATTCTCCAGATAACTATATATACGAGCATGGGTGACCAAAGACACTCTATTGAAGGCGCGTCAGAAGTGCGGCCTTTGCATGGCATCACCGTACTGTTTCGACCATAAGTTCACGTAACGCATAACATCGGCCCTTGAAGTGAGCCTAGTGACCACTCGTCACGCGTAACGCCCGGCGGTGAACCTGGGCGGAAATATTGAGATTTTCAATGATTTTCTCGATTTCTTTTGCTGAGCCTCAAAAAGGCCTCAGTCACCTTCTCATTCCATTCCAGACTCTGCTATGCCCCAGTTTGCGCCCAAAATCACCTGCAAAACAGGTTCATGAACCAGATTTCTCGAACCGTAACGCGCCCTTCGGGCGCGTGAACTACGTCATAGGTAAGTTCACGCCCGTAACGCATAACACCCGGTGAGCCTACGGTCGAAACAGTACAGTACTGTCCTGCCCGAGCCATAATTCCTGAACCCCCTGCCACAGATATGGTCATAAAGCAAAGATTAGGTGTCGCCTGCGCAAAGTATAGCTTGTGCTGCGGTTATCTGACTATTTCATGTGCTCAAACGAAGTCTGAGGGCTAGGAGAGGTCGACGGCTTGCTCCGATGCGTATCGACTTCAACCTTGGGTGTGGAATCCCGAATCAAGCATAACGGAACACATCGGCCCCAATATGTTTCGTACTTGACAAGGACGTGTTATTACCAAGACAGAGTAGAATGTTGGTTTCGGATTTTTCGATCCCTACGCCTGACAGTTAGAAGAGGACGCGTCTCCTTGAGGTCACCATATATGGCGAAGTGACAACTGGTGCCATTCCATCACGTGAGGTTGCGCGCTTTTGCATGGCGCCTTCCCTACATACTTACTTTCAACTGGTCATCATCGTGGTCGGGAGAATGCGGCCAGGAGTGACAAGCCGTGTGCAACTTGCAGGAATTCCAGATTATTACAGATGTCGTTGTAAATATCACCGTAATCAACTAAGCAGGAATCATAAGAGAAGAAAAACAGAAATCCACAAGATTACCCTTCACGAGCAGACCACATCATATCTATCCCAAACTGCCGCCGAAGTATAGTACATAGCCATAGCACGGAAGCCTTCGGAAGAGCTCACTTTCCACTCGACATCCCCTCGAAACGCAACAACATGCCCAGGCTGCAGACTCAACTTGACCATGAGCTGGGGACAATAGAGCTCGCCTCCGCTAAACTCCCCGGACACCACCAGGAATCTCCACGCCTTGAGTGGTGCAGGAGGCGAGAGAAGTGCATTCATGCTCCCCGATCTGAAGTAGTAGATGCACGAGTTGAGCCAGGTCCTGTCGTGCAGGAAGAGCTCCTTCGTAGCTGGGTGATCTTCCAGTATTCTCTGCGCGATATCCATGACGTCCAGTGCATGCAGTTCGTCGATCTTGAGCAGTGCGGCATTCAATGCCTGACCAACGATCGCGGAATTGGGACGAAAATTGAAGGTGCTGAGCTGCTCGGGCACCCAGTCGCCTTCAAGAGTCTCCTGCCGCCACAGAATCAGTATGCCGCACTCTGGCGAGCATGAAGCAAACGTACTACAAGCTTCTCGACAGTGAGCGCCTCTGTCTGATCCGCGTGAAGCGAGGCCTCCGTCGAGTCCTTGTTGATATGTTCCTGAGAAGATCAAAAGTGAGCAAGTGGTGGGTGCGTGTGTAGCTTCTGACGTCATGCGCCACGTCAACAGGGTGTGGCAATATGACGTCACACGATCTCATCGACTGGTCCCATCTCTGCCCCTTTGTGTCAAGGGAAACTAGCAGAGAGCGAGAGACGGGTGGGCGAATGGAACGGATCATGGTCCTTACCAACATAGCCCCTTCGAAAAGGTTGGGAATGAAGACAAGCAACGGCGTTTCGTGTCTGTCCACAATTGTGCACGGGATGGTCAACTGCCGGATTGGGTCGTGTCCGGCCCGCTTTGTGAGGCCAGCCTCAGAGAGTTCCCTCGTTTGTAGCCGGTCTGAGTGATCCACATCAGTAATGAATAGGTCTTTTATGGGTGGCAGCTGACATTGTTTCAGCAGAGCGTCCTGAGCTTGCCGGCAACTCTTCATCCTCGCAATCTCACAGAGTTGGGAGACGGTGCAGGGCCTGCAAGGGAGTGTTGGTCAAGAGCGTCTCAAGCCCAAGTCACACATGGAACATACCCAGAAAGGGTCTCATCAATCGTTGAGGGCGGTGGTGACAGCGATGAAGGCCGCGATAAAGACGGCGATGGAGGTGGCCTGATTGGCTTACCGTCGCTGCTGGACTGGAAGTTAACGGAGGGTCATGCCACAGATAATCCCCATATTGACTTACCCTTTGGATTTCTTACGAGAATTCTGTGCCTTGGCGGAGGGGCCCACACGTTTCTTGGGGGGCATATTCGAGGACGACGTTGCTGTTAAGTCAAATTGCGCCACCTTATATCGGATCACCCATAACACGTGTTTCTGCTTTCGCTTCAGGGCAGGTCATTTCGTGGGTGATTTTTCCTCCTGCTGAATGGATGGAAGACCAATAAAGAAGTTCTGGCGTCTTTCGGATCATCATGGCACAGGCTAGGTTACGGTCCCTTTACAGCTACAGTCAAATCAGTTGCGCGCTTCCTTTTTTGGGAAAGAACACCGAGGTGGGTGTACCATGAGCATGGTCAGTAAACCGTATTTGCACCGGTATATATTGGCTTTTCATTGAACTCGGATCCGAGCAGAAAACATTGAGATCCTGGCTCTAAACACATATTGCGTTGATATCGAATTTTGGACATCTACAATATATCTATCTCTACATCTCTACAATATCTACAATATAAAGGAGCAGCAGCTGGGGCCGGCCCCCATCAATTCAGCACGTGGCGACAAACGGCGCGCACACAAGTTGTGTTCGCCCGCCATGCCGGCCTGCTAACGACGCCTGTACGCCTCCGTACGGCCTAAAATACAGTGTCGCTTATATTGCGCCTGCTTGCGAGTAAGGCTGAATAGTGGACGTCAAGCCGTAGCCCGCCATAAGGGTTTACAGCACTGACTTATCAACGGCGTCGGGGGAGACAAAGGCGCAGGCTTTGCGACCGGCATGCTCTACTGTTGAAGCTAGCAGTTCGGAGTATCTACAAGGCCAGTCGGCGAAGCGAAACTGCCCCAAAGCCAGGGACGCGTCCGCTGTTGCCCTGCCAGTGACCCTCACGCGCTTACATATCGACGGTCATTCTGCGCCTTGAAAGTAAGGCTCGATCATCACGGCATTTTGGCTAGCAGTAAGGCAGATGATATCGTCCTCTCCTGACCGCCTCGGAAGACACACGGGCACGATGGCGAAGGCAACATGGATGCAATTATCTCGGGGTTCCTGGATTGCTTGGACAATACGTGCGGTCAGTACAATTGAGGCGGCTTGAGCAGCTGAGCGCGCGTAGCGAGTAAGGCTGAGACCGCAGACATCTGTTCAACTGTTGTGGGCCTGTGGTGGCTATCACGCTCTGCCACCCTCAAGGAAAACGTGATTAGACGTAATTCGCGCCAGCCAGTTTCTCAACGCGCGACAGACACAATGTCAGAGTGCAGTCAAGATTGTTGTGCTGGCCCCCGAAGAATGGCTTAGATTAAGGCTCAGAGTAGGTCAACGGGTAGGAAGGCCGGTCTTTCGTATGTTTTGCCTACAAACTTATGGCTGTGACAGCATAACGCATGGCAAGCGATAGAGTAGCCCGGTAAGGCCAAGGTAATCTATGATATCCGTTGGATGAAGGCATATATTCATCCGAGAGTCTGTGAGCAAGGTTTGGTCGAGTATCAAGTCACTGTCATGGGGCACCCGTGGCGAAGACACGGGCTCTCCCGCTTGTTCAGACTCTATGGTCCTCGGTTTCTTTTCGAACGGCTAACATCGCGTGTGAAGGCCTAGCCAGGGAGAGACGGGCGCACGCATACCAATGAAGGTAGAGGCCTCTGACGGAGGGCCTCTGCCCAGCACAGCCGTACCTTTGTACGACTTTTACCGCTGTCTATAGCGTGTTCGGTGGGCCCGAGGAAGCGTGAGACAGCCCCTGGAACGACCACTGTATTGAAGCTGCTTCAGTATTTATCTGGCACCTTGAAAACTATCGAAATTATGATTGATTTCTGCATCAAGAGTGGAGCCATTTTGTACATGCAGAAGTGGATATAAGCCGGTGCAAATACGGTCTAGTCCCGAGGCCCTCACAGAACGGTAGAGCGTCATCAATAACCCCCCGCCTCCTATATACCAACTTTGTCGGGACAGGAGATTCATGGGATTCCTTGCAAGGTCAAGGTCAACGACGATGGTCCTTACTTCTAAAGATCCCAAATTGCAAGCCATCGCTGTGGTGCCCACGATTTCACTGTTGCTCTGGTTTCTCATCCTGGGTTAGATTCTCGTACAGCGCACATCATACTAGACAGTCGAACCACGGCACCTTCCTCACCGACGTCAGCGTCAGCGTCAAGGAAGCAGGGGAGGCGCTTTGACATCCATCAACACGAACAAATATCCCCGGTCCCGACGGCCCGATGGCGAGCCGACCCGCAGGCGTCCGCCCCTTGTCCTACGCCGCACTCACGTCTTTTCCTACCACGCTATCCTCGCGTCGGATCTCTCATTAGAGTGTATTCGCCCATTAAAAATGCAAGATCCAAAAGCGGTACATACGAATTCAATTACGCACCGAGCGCCTTCATACTACGAAATCGTTTTGGTATGTTACGGAAATTGTCGGCGGACTCTGTACTCTGAAGCGCGGGCAACCCTTCAACGACCTTGTGTTCACGTCGTTCCACGACGGCAGGCGGCGTCAAGCGGCTGCCCAAGACGGCCTACCAGGTCTCGCCTCGCGAAGTGCAAGAACGACCGGTCCAGGACGAGTCACGCTGGCCTGCTCGGCGAGAGCCACTGCGAAGATCTTGGATCTGGTCAGTCTTGTTACGAGAATGTCTTGAAGATTCAAAAACGAATCAGCATGCTCATAACGGAATTATTAATGGGCGAATACACTCTAATTATTAATGGGCGAATACACTCTATTTGCCTCGCCCGAGTGGCACGTCTAGTGGTCGAATATTGCTGCGCTCGCGCGACGCGCAGTAATACTCGTACGGGATCTATATGTCATAGGTATATGAAGATATTTGAAGTAGAGTGTATTCGCCCATTGAAAATTCAGGATCCAAAATCGGTACATACGAATCCAATTGAGCACCGAACATATTCTGTCATGTGACCGGATCCCGACCGCCTTGAGTCTTCTTTGGCTGCGTGACGGATTGCCAACAGATCTTTACCCGTCTCAAGGTATATCAGACGATACTTCATGCTGTCAGGTTTGCTATACTTTTATTTCAAGATAATATCTAGTATACGAAAGCAAGGAGACAGTCATGAATATCGTGGGAACGTCAGACACGCGCTTTGGGAAGCCGACCAGCGCTCTCACCACACGTGGGACACAATACTCCCCGGCGCATACTGCAGGAATACTGTGAGTTGATTTTGAATAAGCGAAGCATAAAGGCGATGGGTCGATTGTGGTCTTATGGGTGGCACATTGATCGGTATGGCCTCCGATTGGCTGGGCCTCGATATGCCCTGTCAATCAACCCGCGGCCTTCATCGAAAGCTGATTTAGAATAATCCCACAATAAACGTGCAGTAAGCGCCGGGGAATATCGAATCCCAGGTCTGGTGTCTGAATGGTCGCTTTTGAACATCGTAACAGCCCTCTTTGGCTGACTTTCACATTGAAGTGCACACTATAGAGGGCAGAGACCATACACATATGCATTTGAAGACAAGTTCGGCCTATGTAAGTGACTGACGAGGTCGTCTTCCCCGCAGGCCCTAAAGTAGCCCCAAAACGGGGTTTGATGCCTTATTCCGGGCATTGCACATCGGGAGGAGTGTTGCCTGCCTTGATACTTCGGTGGCTGATGCATGAAGTATGAATGAAGCGCTATATATGGGTTCTGAGACTGTAAACGGACATGTTCGAGTTACATGGGCGAACGGTCGGCTTCTGGGGTCGGCCGGCTTCCGGTCCGGCCACAGTTCATACTACAAATCTGTTTTGGTATGTTACGAAAACCATCGATGGGCTCTACACTCGCCAGCGCAAGCAGCCCTCCAACCACCTTGTCTTCACGCTGCTATACGACGGCGGGCGGTGCTCAACAGTTGTCGGAGATTGTCTGCCCAGTCTCGCCTTGAGAATTCGAAGCACGAGCGGTACAGGAAGGGTCGCGCTGGCCAGCTCGCCGCGAGCCACTGCTAAGATCTCGAATCTGGTCAGTCTTGCTACGAAAATGCTTTGAAGATTCGGAAACGATTTAGCAAGCTCACAATGAGATTATCAACGGGCGAATACACTCTACTCCGACCAAAAACATTGAACTTAAAGAGAAAATTCGGCCCGATACCCCGGAAGTCGCCCGCGTGCGGCGTCCAAGCTCAATTCCATCTGCTCTATGCTCAACCTTTTCATGGCACAGAGGGATAGAGCATGAAACTGAATTATTGACCGTGTCTGGTGGCACTTTGAACAGAGTCGAATTTATGATTTAAGTACAATGTTTTTTCGAACGCGCGGATCAGCCATCATCTATGCAAACAGCTGTAAAAGCAAGACCTAACGTCACCGACCTTGAACTTTTAAAGGCATCCCATGAAGCTTATGCGGCATGATGATTATAAAGAAGATGTCAGACATATGCGCTACCCTAATCTGTTTCCTTCGGCTGCCCTCGTCGGTCACGTTATAGACTCGGCATGTCTCAGAACACTGAAACATTCATCTTGTGCACGATAGAGCGTATTAGTTTCGATGATCGTCAGTGACTTCCTCAAGGACAGCACAAATGAAAAATCATCAAATAGCGTACGTCAAGTGAAAGATTGAGACGCCGAAATGTAAAGACACTACGGGCAGGTCCATTTATATCGACCAGCATAAGCGTAGGCGTAAGTTTTGATGCTGGGAATTTACGAAGAGCATGAAAAATAATCAATTCTCGTTAGAGCGTATTAGTTTCGACAATTATCAGAGAATTCATTAACGAAGGCGCAAGTGGAAATTCATCTAGAATTCTGCTTCGAGTGAAAGATCAAGACGACGAAATGTAAAGACGTGAATGGGTTTGAAGCTTCCAGGGGCATTCTGCGCCAACGCGCGTTCCGGGAACCTGTCTGTCTCCTCAATTGTGCGCGTGCACACCAAGACACTTGCCTTCTGACTGCCATATCCCACACGCACGCCTCGATGGCGACCAGAGCGATAAGATACTCGCCACCTGATACGTTCCTCCCCAGTACGCACGAGATCAACACATCGTCGCCCCAGAGCTCATATAGCGGTGATGTCCCTTGCTCTATGCCTTACCTACAAAGATATTCATTAGCCCTTACAAGTTTTGCATTGGCCACTGCATCAAGTGGAGCTGCGTTTTGTAAGTGAAGAACTCGATAAGTATGCTAACTAATACGCTCTACTAACACGTATTTTATACACATGCTATCAACATCCCAGTTACTTACCGAACTCTAGTCAAATCCTACCAGGAAGCGCTGTCACGGCTTGATGTGGGGCTGGTCCAAAGATCGACTACTCCTTCGTGTCCATTCCAGCAGGCGAAAAATCGTTAGAGACGAATGCGCTGTTGGAGCGTGAGTGATCTGTGCTTCGGTGGAGCGACACGTGGGGCTATGTCGCAGCACATCTCAAGGCTTCCAACGACCTTCTGCCGCCCGGAACGCTCGATAATGCAAGGAGCTTGATTGAATTCCATATTCCGTTAGAAATATATATCGTTTTTGATGGAGAGACATCTCCACTCACCCTCCTCCTGTGTCCCGAACGTGATTCACAGAAGCTAAGATCACGCATGCTCCACCAGCGCTTTTGTCTCTAACGATCTTTCGCCTGCTGTCATGTATCGCGGACGGAGAGCGCCGCCAGCGCGCCGCCGTGATGAGGCGCCGTATCGAAATGAGTCCAAGTTGGAGTAAATTGCAACGACTCGCACGTGGGACCAAATGTGGGAATCTCCTTCCATCTAGGAGCACCCTGAGCATGGCTACACGCCATCACCCACGATGATGTACACCCCCCCCCCCCCCCCCGCGGAAAAAATTCGCGGTCCGGTCCGTGATTTCTCCCTCCTTCGTGGAGCCAAGGTCATGGGCCCTAGGGCGCTTGCTACACAGATAGGTAGTACTCCCTCGAACGTACCACGAGATAGATCCCGTGTCAATGAAGGGCTCAAGAAGCGTGAGAAACATTGACCATCTCGTGAGCCCTGACTTCGTCGAGCCGTATCGAGCCAAGAAATAAGTGCATCACCTCCCCAAGGACTGGAGTAGATAGATGGGTACGATGTGATGGTGTAGTTGGTACTCATAGATATTTCTGATCAGGAATGACCGCGTTATGATGGCAGGAACAAAAACCTACTTTTTCTCGATTTATCCATTCCTCAATACAGGGATGGCTATAAAAAGCGTGTGATCTATAGGACTGTGCTATAAGCATATAGACTACACGTTAAGAGCTGGGATATCTGATACTGGGGCCTCTCAATGAGCAAGGACTACTTCATGACACCGACCTGAAAAATCCGAGGTGGCATGAAAAGCCATGCAAAATATTATTAAAGGTGTCAGAATACAGGTGGATTGTAGAATTCACAAGAAGAGTACAGCGGTGGCCAGATCAATTGCGCGCTGTCTTTTTCGGAAAGATCGCCGAGGCGGGCGTTGGGTGAGGTCAGAAAAATTCAGCTCCTTCATAGAACGGTAGAGCGTAGCTGAAAACCCCCGAATATGAAGTTTCAGGCGGAATGAGCATGTATTTCGCGAGATATGTGAGATACAGTAGCTTAGGGCGCATAGTGCCGTATGATGCATCCCGGCACGTTTCGTGAGCATCAAGTGTGCACCCCCGCAAAGTTGGTATGCGGATGGGGGTTTTCGATGGCGCTCTACCGTTCTACGAAGGAGCCGGATTTTTTGGACCTCACCCATCGCCCGCCTCGGCGATCTTTCCGAAAAAGGCAGCGCGCATTTGATCTGGCCGCCGCTGTAAATGAGCTCTTGAACGAGTGTTATCACAATGGCTGACATTCGCTCATTGTAGCCACCGGCGATGAAAGTCGAACCGTGGGAGAAAACACACGTGTCACTTTTGATCATCACGTGTGGCGTCCCCCATGCGACGCCGCTGTACAGTATACGTCGCGTGGGATAGGGCCGAAGGGGAACTACCCTCACACCCAACAGACCACCAACTCACTCAATATACTGAGGCAGAATAGCTATCGAAATTTGGGTCAAGGGTCCCCGACCGGGCCGCAAATTTTTTCCGCGGGGGGGTGTACTGTACCGGTATGCATGGAGGCAACCGGTAGGGGGTGCGTCACGCTAAAGCCCTCCGGTAGTAGGCAACCGACCCCCACGTTAGGCGTTACGGCATAGGCAACCATTCAAGGTAGATTTAGAGCTTGCTAGGCGGAGATTGGACGTACAGCAGCAGGAAGGCTCCGATACAACAGTTACGATACAAACAGCCTATTTCGGAGCGAAAAAGACCGTCTGGGCAGCGCACGGAAGATATTCGAATTTTCGTCGATTTTTGCGCGATGGCAACCACCCCCTCCGTTATGCGTTACTTTCTTATAGATAGCCAACTTTTTGGGCCCGCGTTACGCGTTACGGCTGCCTCCATTCATAACGGTACAGTAGGGGTTTCTATCTGTGAGGTCCGGCAATCCCGCCCAAGTGATCGTGACGGACCACGTGGCAGCAGCTGCCTTTTTCGTCGATTGTTCCTCTGGACTGTATCACTCGACGTATTTCAACTATAACATCCATCTCTCACCTGCGATGGGTGATCTGAAGGCGCAAATCGTACCGTAGGTCGCTTATGAAGAGTTCGTATTGACCATTTTGCGCACGCACGAGCTTTCCGTGAGAGAAATCGCAGAAAACGAAGGAATATCAATATTTTGTTCAATACGAACTGTAGCCTCAATTGAAAGACACGTATTTCTGGCTTGACAACGCGAGAATAAGGCTTGTGTCGCGTCGAAAACCTGAAGTACGGATCTGGCTGCAATTCTCGATCCTCGTCACGTGCACCGAACAGCCTCGTCAGAGAGGATGTGTCAGCAAGCACCGACCATTGAAAATTCATTCCTTACCTCTTACCACCACGCAGCCAGCTCCCTGTACTACACAATACCGTACCTAGTCTATCTTCTATCCACTATATCATGGCTTCTGGGGAAAAAACACCACCCAGCCGGAAGCGGAAGACCAATCAAAGAGCCGCTCGAAGCAGCAACTTGGCGCGCGCGCGAGCTCAGCTGCGAGGCAACAGCGAGAACGTTGCGCCCAATTCTGCTACCAGTGCCTACCCTACCACCGATTCTGAAGCCTCGAGCGACCGTCCCCCAAGTGGGGCCCCGCCAGCTTCCTCGAATGCACCGAGACCTCGAATACTTCAGAATTCGAGCTCTCGGAATGCCGCCATCGTCTCTGCTGCTGATTTAGCTTCCAGGACGTCGAAAAAGCGCAAGCATACCTACACCATCGACGACTGGAAGAACGAGGCGCGAAATGCGCGCAGGAAGCTTGAACGGCGAGATGAGGAGGTGGCAGGCTTGAAGGCTGAAGTTCATGCGTCAGAGGAGATTCTGGCGCTCGAACGAGCGGAACACGCGCGGAATCAGCGGATGGCAAACCTCGCACACAGCAGCGTATGGTCGGAGCTGCAGAAGGCGCGCGATACTCTCACGAAGGAGGAAAAGGAGAAAGCTCGCCTACAAAATCTCTTGACAGAGCAGGACGAGCGGTTGGCCGAAAAATTGAAAGAAGAATCGTGCGCTTTCGATGAAGGCCCTGCGGAGTACTACTCGCGGTCCTCGCCTCCATCGCGAGTTTCACGCACGGGACACAGTCCTCACGGAGTATTTCGTGCGTCGGATAATGTCCAAAGGCATTTTCACGCCTGCAGCGCGAGCAACAGCACAAAAGCTTGTTATTGCAGGTTGCGCCGAGCATGCTGTCGGAGGTGTCATACGAGAACTTGGAAGGTTGGTGGGCATACGTCGCCTCAACCGCATTCCGAGCATGAGCGCACGCACCGTTGCGCGTATCATTGCGGAGGGAGGGATTGCGGCGAAGATTCAGTTGGGGTACGAGATGGTGACGAATACGAGTAAGTTTCTCTCTTGCATCGAACTCGAACTGTTGCTTACCTGCTGTACCTTCAGGTATCACTGCTAGCGGAGACTCGACGTCCCATCGCCGCCAGGAATACGACTCGCGATTTGTTGTACTGCGGCCCGTAACCGATAGCGGCATACTGTCGGATAGCCATGTCTTGCGTAGCCTTGGCATAGACGCGTCGCTCGACCACTCGAGCGAAGAGCAAGTTCGTGGTCTCTTGAAGAAGTTGGCGCAAATTTGCGATATATTCAACCGCTCACCGTTTGCAAAGCGGAAGGGCCTTCTCATGAGCTTCGAGGCCTTCGCTTTGCGTCTTCGTGGTACCAGTGGCGACCACGCCAATGATGTCAAGAAGGACAACAAACTTCTTCTTGAATGGAAGCTCGAGATGACGAAGATTGCGCTCGGCTTCGAGGCGCTGCGTCAGATGTCCACGCAGGACTCTCTACGCGCTATTATTCCGCACGCGCGTGCAGCCATTCTCGATGTTGGCGGCTCGGAAGCCTGGGAGCGCCTCAACGCCGCAACTCGCACGGAGAAGGAGACAGCACTCACCCGGAGCGCTGCAAAGGAAGTCGGCGAGCTTGCTTATGCGAGGCTGAATCCCGACGAGAAGAAAAAGATGTCGCTCTTCCTCTTCACTGGCTGCTGCATGCACAAAGAGTTGAACAGCGTCAAGGGAGGTGACGCGCGCATGCGTACCTATTACGCGACCCATCCCGAGATCATCCCGCCTGTACTTCTTGCAAACAAGGATAATGCCGCAGTTCTCGCAGGCATCACCGATAACGAGCAGCTCACTCCAGCCGAGCTTCGCGCACTTTCCGTGTCTGGATGCGGTGCTGTGAAGGCCACGACCCTCGCTGGGATGATCTGCAATAACAAGGACAGTAAGAAGGGGCAGCACGACCGATACGTGTGGTACTTCGATAAGGTACTTGGACCCGCGGTCATTGCGCGACGCTTCCCCGACGTCAGCAATACCCGCTTCCAATCGCACTGCGCCGCTGCTTGCGAAATCCTGCAGCACCTCAAATTGTACAGGGCCTTCATGCGGCACGTATTCTACAAAAAGGATAAGCCCGGGTTCACCAACGTGGAGAGAAACTTCTACTGAGCTTTGCATTGTGGCACAACCCTCACTGAAATGGCTGTTCTCGCACTCTACGGCCTCTGCGTGTCCTGCCCCTATGTGCGACAGATACGTGGCCCAGGAATGACGGCCTTGAACGCGTTGACGCTTGGTCCGCTTCACACGCGTCTGGAGAACTTCATCAAGACACTCATCGCTGACACGACTCTTGTATTGGGACCCAACGCCAGCTACAAGACTGCTGCATTCGATGGGGAGCCGTGGGAGAGGGAGGGCGTCTTTGAGGCCATAGCAGCACTCCGAAAGGCTGACCTAATGCCTCACCTTGAGGTGCTTTGGGTCCAGTTCCTGGAGGGCGCGTTAGAGACGTGGGAGCGCTGAATTTGATCCAGGAAGCGACATAGACGGACTCACAGCGGACGAGCAGGATGAGTTCTGGATGCCAGTCACGAATGACGCGAACGAAAGCGCGCTAGGAGGCCTCAGGGCTAACGTCGCTCGTCGCCCCAACCAAACGCTTCACCAATTCGAGGCAAAAGACACATTCCGACGTAATGGCACGCAAGGGTTTATCGACTGCTTCGAGGACGAAGACCATCGCTATGTTCGCGGGGAGGCACGTCGCATACAGGAGTCCCGACCACAGAGGCAGATCCGGAGGGCTCAAGTTGCACACGATGACGAGGAAGCGCGACGGCACCAATTAGTCGAGGAGGAGAAGAACAAGAAGGCCTTGGCATGGCAGGAAAGACTGGAGGCCATTGTCTTCGTCGCTGAGGAGGATCGCCTGCAAACTATGCGTAAAGTCGAGCTCACGGATCAGCTCAACTACTGGCGCCACAAGTTGTTGGCACCGAAGGTCGCCCCCGAGTACAGCATTCCCAATCGACCGCACAAAATTGCCGAGCTTAAGCGCCTCCTTGCGCTGTACCCAAACGGCGCTGTACCGGAGTGCGAGCGCGAGGGGCCGAAGCGTAAGGCACCTACAGCATCCTTAGGACCGGAATCTGTCCTTCAGGACATGGTTGTTACACCTCGGGTGCTCATAGGTGCGGTGGGAAGGAGCGCGCAAGGGGACGAGGGCGGCGAGGAAGATCACCTCTACTGTTCGGATTCAGAAGATGTCTGATGATAGACTGATATTCCCCTACATACCTTATCTCTTCTTCTATCGATTCGTGGTCGTAACAAGCCGTCGGGACTCACCGATGGGTAGGATGAAGGCCAAAGGCTGCGAGCATACAACGTTGAGGGCTTCTTGGACTGAGAAGGGTCTGAGCGCGATGTGATGCAAATTCGTGATATATTTCGACAAAAGGAATGTACAGGAGCATCTCTAGCTCGATATGGCGCTCATAGGAGGGGAATGAGGTGGACATCTGAAGCAGGAGATGGGGGTCGCCTTGAGTGACGCCGATCGCGGTCAAAGCGGTGGCTGTGAGATTACTAAGCTGCACGATCACTTGGGCGGGATTGCCGGACCTCACTATCTGGCTGGCCTTGGATCTCGTCACGAGACCGCGACACCTCAGTATATACGCGTGCGCGCCTCATGTATGTACCTTAGCTCACACCAGCACGGTGGTACCGACGCAGTCACCATTTCCCCTCATATCCCGCATCCTCACTCAGAGTCCGCAGCCTTCTTACAATTACCCCATACCATCATGTCTCATCCTCAAATGATCCGCCATTCTGCGACTAGATCTGTCAGGATCATCTTCATTCCCGATCCCATGCTATCTCGCTCTGTCATCGAGCACGAGGAGGGGGAGTCATATCTGTACGAGATGACATGTTGGATTGACCCGCAGGTTCTGTCCCGTATGGAGGTCTCCGCTCCACAATGTATTCGCAGCGAAAATGCACGTGAGGTCGATGCAGACACCGGCGACGTTAGCGCCTCTTTCTGGGAATGGGTGAGCTTGAGTGCTAGCTAGAGGGCTCATGAAAGTATTGATCTCCCTCAACCTTAGGCCTACCTCCCTGAAGCCTTGGTGGCTGCTTCAGTCGAAAAGGAAGGTCTCAACCTTTCTGTAGAAGCTCTGGGTTATCCAGAGTTTGTGGCCGCCGTGATGTCCCATTCATCTGAAGATCCTACATGGTGTCGTCTACTAGCAGCAGACGTTGTTATAGGTGGCCCTGCGTTGAATGAGAATTACATGTCAGTCTCGCACGATCTGTTATAGCTGTGCAGCTCACTCCTCAAACCAGGCACCCGGCATATATGATCAATTTCGACACATACGTCGCTGGGATCACACTTCTGGAGCAGGACGCGTTCATCTGGCCCTGCGCCAAGTCTCTGTGGTGGGGCGGGAACAAGGTCCTCCTGGCCGCAACGCTCGACTCCATCGCCGCTCAAACAACACACACCCCTCGTCCGCCACAGCATGTGCTTCAAACCCCTCCTGATGCCTCGAAAATGGGCTGGGTCCAGAAAAGGGGATACTCCGCACGGGCTGAGCACGTGCTCATTCCTGGCGATACACAAGTTGGAGGGGCTCGAAAGTGCCCCGATGATCCTGCCCCACTCGAAGCTCGCTGGATCGAGCAGGTGTATATCGATACCCTGCACGATGCCAGATTCGGAGAGCTGCGATGCTTTATCGTCGGTGGCAACATTATCCGGATTGTCAGAACGGTGCCAAGTGGTGGCGGAATGAAGTGCAATGTCGTCCTCGATAACGAATGTCCATCATTAGCCCAGCATTGGTAAGCTTTCATGGTCACATTCATCACGAAAGAAACTGACTACTCCCTTTTTGTGCTGACATTATCTGCCCCTTTTCATCACGTTGTCCTTGCTAGGAAAACATATCACGGGGTTGACACTTCATGCAATAGACCACAGGAGCATCACGGCATACTTGAGCTGAAGGCCTTCGTCTTGGCAACGTACCAAGCACTCGTAACAAGAGAGAAGGAACAGTTGAATATCAGTCACAGTGACCTGGAAATCGTGTGCAGGCTGGACGTTGGTATCATGATGGACAATGCTCATGCACATTACTTTGTCCTAGAGGTCGAGAGAGGATTGACACTCTGTATGTTTTCCCATCCTGATGTCGAAGGAGCGTCTCGAGATATAGAAGCCGTCGCTAGATGCATTGTTAACTACATTTAGGCAGAGCTATATACAGAAGCTGCAGCTCTGCTGTCTCCTACCTTGCCTTGAAGCTTCCATGGTGATGCATCTGCGAGTTCATGACATGAGGCAGCCTCTAGAGGTGGTTGATTTTGAAATCGCTCCCTTGTCGTTGCCCGGGCTTCATACAGTGTGTGCCGGACCCGAGGGTCGTATCGGAAATTTGTCACAGTGTCTTCCTACCCACCATCAATGGGCCGAATACCCTGAGTGCAGCGATAGCGTCTCATAACTAGTTATCCTGGAGTGTCCCCGTCGCCGATGATTGAGCCATAGTGGGACGAATATTGGCCTTGAGCGATGGTCTGATTCTAGTGCGCCGGAAACCCCTCGAAATTTACCACAATCCATGCGACGAAAACGGTCCACAATCCCGAATTCAGGATTGAGGTGGCACCTGCTAGAAGCGATTGTTGACATGTGAGCAGGCATTAGTTTGTTAAGGCCGACGGCTGACGCTGAAGCGAGCGTGTCAAGGCGTAAAGTCTCGCCAAGAGATTGGGAACGGGAGGACCGGGAAGCACAGTGCATCGTGCTTTTGGCCAATATCTTCGGGTACTTTTGGTGCGCCCGCAAGGCCGTGAGTTCTCAAAGGTGGCCATAGGATTTTGAGTGGCCTGGAAGACGCACGGCAGACTTTGGCAGAGTCCGAAAGGTTGTTTGAATGGTGCGGGTTCCCTTCGAAGGTGGGGAAACATTGCCCCTTGATCTGGAGAACGGGGCGAAGGCTATCTGGCACATTCGAAGGGCGCTCAAAGCATTCGAACTACCTTTCAATATCGTTGGTATGAAATCTTCATCCCAACAGATTGACATCAAGATCTGCTGCACACAAGAGTTGAGCACAGATGGTCTCGAGAACGATACAACCAATGTCGGCTTTGTGCTTGACGTATACGGCATACTCCCCCCACCAAAAAAACTCGCCGGTCCGACCTTGCCGATCTGACTTGCTGCAAGCCGCGCGCAGCGTCTTCCCGCTCTGCAAGATATACATATGTATACTACCTCTTATCATCTACGTTACCCTGATAGACCAACGAGAATACCTGCTGAAATCTCAGAGAAAATGTGACTTGAGTTAGGTGACCTGCCGGCGAGCTTTCCCAAGATGATTTATTGTGTCAAGCGGGGCCCTTGGCATCTCGGCTTCAATGTATGAGTAAGAGGGAATAGTATAGATTAGGACCACACTGTTTTCATAATCTCATTGAGTGGCATAGTTGTGCGAAAGCGAGTTACTTGAAAACCACCATTCATCGTCTCAGTGGCTGTTATCAGTGGCCTTCTGGGCTGCTGCTTGCACATATATGTATGCAGGGTCTGTATGCGTCTGTGTGCGTGGGAAAGTGGATTCAATGCTTCCCCGAAGCGGAGGAAATTGGCTGGGAATGGTTATCACGCTTGCCCAAGGCGGCCTTCTTTCTTCTCAAAAATTCATTCCATTGAAGGGAACATGGTACTTGGTCCGCAGTCACAGTTGGTTCTATAGCAGGGTATGCCTGGTATTGTATGTCGGGCTTGGCGGGGATCAGTCTGTTTATACTCGAGCCGCAGCGCGCCGGCAACACCCGAAGTCCAAACGTGAGAAATCATGTCAGCACGTGCTGTCACGTGCACCAAAGCTCTCGCCCTCCACTACGCCGGGTTACTTAGAAGGTTGCCTATACACAGACCAGAATACTTTTATCTTAGCACTCACTATACAGGAGAAAACAAGGAACTTTTGGTCAACTCCGGACCGGCGAGTTTTTTTGGTGGGGGGGAGTACAACAACGGAAACAATGAGTCGTGGAATTTGTGGAAAGCGCGTTGTATCTGCCACTGCAGCGCCGTGAGCACCTCCAGAAAGGCAGGACGGTCCCCTCCTACCGTAAATTGATGAATGGAGCACATGCCCGGAGGGGTCATCCGTACATGAGGGAGAAATAGTGTCGGATAGATGGGTGGCCGTCGCCGTTGTCCGTGGCAGGGACGAGCGAAAGTCTGCTCACTCCAGGGGAGAGTAGCCGTCCAAGCAGAAAGTGCACCTGAGGAGGAGATAACTGAATGACTAGAAACCCACCAGCTCGGCACGCACGAGACGGAGGAGGCAGAGCCTGTGCGCTATCCGTTCCAAGTCGGGCACCGTCTGGTTACGACACGGCTGCATACGCGGATCTGTGCACTCGTGGTCACGCTGTAAGTACTTGCGTGTCGGTATCGCGCAGCTACACGTCGACGCCGTGACGCGCTGCTTGGCGACGTCTTCGCGCATCACAACATTGAAAATGCATGCCTCTGTAGTCTGCGAGTCTGCGTGCGGACGTCGCCGGTGGTCTGCTTCGCCTTCGTTTTGGCTTCCGATGCCTCTGCTGCCGCAGCGAGAGAGCGAGGTTCGGTATTGACGAATGGCTCTCGAGCTGGTGCTTAGACTCTTCGAGTTTCCGGATGAGATTGTCGCGCTCACGGTCAGCGCCCAGGAGCTGATGGCTAGTGTCCTCAGGCTGGCGAGTAGCTCCCCCGGTCCGCGTCCTTCGCGAGCATGTCAGCGTTGAGCACATGCTAAGTGGGCTCCAGTTAGCACGACCCGGCGCTTATGATGCATGTAGCCGCCTGCTCAGCGCGCGCATCCGCTCGACAGCCTGATTTGCGCCGCCCCGCCCTCGCTTCCGCATGTGACGAAGAACAGGCCGAGAGGCGCGCGTCGCACTCGGCCTCGTTGAGCTCCCGCTCGTTGCGGCGGTGGCCGGTGCGGGGGTCAGCGAGCAAGGCCTGAGACGCAAACAGGGTCAAGTGGGAGGCAATGAGGCGTTAAAAGCAGGGCTTGGCGCCAGAGGAGAAGGACGAAGGAGGCAGGGAAGCGGGGTCGGATGTATGCACCTAAAATCCTACATGAGCGAGGCTACTGGATAGTCGGGAGACCCGAGGTTCAGCGACACGTGCCAGCCCTCAATACATTACTCATGAGCTGCACTTGCTGGCAGGACCCCCGACAACTCTGCCAACTGTCCGATCCTAAATTCGCGGTTTTGGGTCATTTCCGTCGCATAGCTTTCGGCCGATTTCGACGGTGTCTCGACGCACTAGGGGTCGAAGGCAGAAAATCGTCGCATTATGGATCGGGGATTGGCGGCAACGACCATCCCCGGCCACCTCACATGCGGTCCCCTCGGTGCTCTGAAGGCTGCTTCGCCTGCTGCTGATGGAGCGGCGGGGGTCTACGCGGGCCGAGTTTCGACGCGACGCGCGAATTCGGCGCATAGTGGATCGGACCTCGACGAGGTGCGGCCCCAGTCGTCGCACTTCGGATCGGACGTCCCTCGTAGTTTTGGCCAGCCTGGGGCACTGGAATCGAACATTGCCGGAATTTGAGCGTCTCATCCGTCGCATAAGGATCGGACATTTTGGTGAGAAGGTGTGGTGAGTAGGCGTCACGCACCATAGGTATCTTATTACGTGACACTACGGGCAGCCCCAATTCTGTCGCTCAAAAAAAAATGGGCATACTTAGGTACGACATAAAATAACTACACGTCTATACAAGTCGTTTCTCCGCTGGAGTACCCGCGCCGCCGGTCCCTCGGGGCTCTGGGCTACTACCTGTAAGTAGCTTTGTTACTCCTGGAGGGTATCCACAGAGTTTGTGGTCGGGAGTGTTTGAGTACTTTGAGGGAGATATCTCTCGGGCCGCGCGTTGTCAGCGTTTAATGCTCAACAAGGCCCTTGCTCTTGACTATGACCACGACCGAGACCAACCCCCGCCCCTCCTCCGTCGCATCGTATACCTTTTTCGCTTCCTTTAATCGCCTTCTGTTAGGTATTGCTCCCGTATGGTCATGGCCTCGGTCAAGCAAAGGTTGCCAGCAATGCGACTTCAAGCACGGCAACGGCTCAATGGAGGAGGCGAGGACGCGTCGCCGCGTCGCCGCGGGGCGGTGCCGACAGTTCGAAGCCCTTCTTCAATGGGCCCGCCCTTCCAGCTCCCAAGTACCATTATGGACTCTGGATATATCCCGCCATGACTGTCAAGTGCATGCGATGCGTGTCGAAAGGATTGAAGACACTGAGGAGAGGACGGTGACGCGCAGTGGCAACGTGGCAGGACATTCTGATGGCAGCCGCGTGAGGGCGCGCTCCCTACAAGCGCGCTGTTATTCCAGCGCACATACTTTTCGTGCATTAATAATAGATTCCCGGCCAGCTACGTGTACTAAGCAACGCCCTCGGGTACTCAAGTGCAGATACGACTCATATCGGAGTGTAATATCGAGTATATCAAGCTATGTAATCTGCGAGACTTCGAAAGCGATCACGTATATCCAAGCATAGTCCGGCGGGTGTATGTCACATATCCCGGCCGTGAAAGGCATGGGCGTGCCTTCTCTTTGTCCGCTCACAAACGATACATATTCTGTGGGATATGAGGAACTAGAACAATGGAAACAATGGCACATAGATCATTGATTCCTGCCAACATACGTATCCTATGACACTCCACATAGATGAGATACCTTACGCCCTTTGACGCCGGGATGTGTGACATATGAAGGGTAGAGAATGGGACGCATGAGATTCGGTAAATATCAAAAGTTCTTGCATCTACTGCCCATTGTTCTCAATGGGCACTTGATGCAAAACCCGCTGATATTTCATCCAACTACATAATAGTCTGATCGCGTGCACTGGAACTCGAGTTCCAGGGTAAAACCCGTCCGGGAAAACCACCCCAAGGCACCCAGTTCGAGTTCCAGTCTGAACTTCCCTGGTACTTTTTTGGCTGAAGTTCCAGGGTCAGAACTCCGAGTTCCGGTGCACCCGATCAGACTCTTATACGTTCTGATAAGATATACCTGACCAAACAAAGGATTCTTTTGACAACGAGAATTGCTCATTTCTCATGCTCTTCGTAAATTTACAGCATCGAAACTTACGCCTACGCTTATGCTGGTCGATATAACTAGACCTGCCCGTGGTGTGATGTATCGTATCAGTACTGTAGTCGACACAATGTTAGGGCCTGTTCGGGGAAAAGAAACACGTCGTAGTCAGCTAACTTGCGTGACTTACCTGCCTTTGAAGGCAAGTAATTCAGGCCTCGACCGCTCGAAAGTTCGCCGATCTTCGTTAACCTGCCTCTACCAGGCAGGTAAGTCGGGTAACTTTGACGTGTTTCTTTTTCCGGAACCGGCCCTTATATATCTTCTTTACTTCTCCATTTTTTCGATCCCATTGGCCCATACTTAACCGATGTGAAAAAGAGAGGACTTACCAATACGCCACCTCAGTAGCAATCAAAGCCCTTGATTTGCTGCAAAAAAAGCTTTGACAGCCTTTCATGGTTCGTGAAAACTTTCGTAGCCTTCGAATGTTGTTCATCCTTCCGAGCATCCCACATCCAGGCTATCATTGTCCGAACGCGGGAAGCATGAGAGTCTTGAACGACCTTCGGGTACATTTCGGTGCCTACGAGGGCCGCTAGGCAACTCGGCCATAAGCACGATGTAGGTGCAAAGCCGCGAAGATCATGACGACGGATAACATGCACAATGTGGAGTTTTTGCCACGCTCTACTATTCTGTGAGGGAACTGTAACTCTGCGAGCTCGCGCTAATGCCCACCACGGCGGTATCTATAAATGAGGGACGTGCAGCCCGAACCGCAACCTTCCTAATTCGGACGTCGGATCAAGCCACGTGTAGCGCGGCTTTGCGTCGTGAGTCGCAAGTGACACGTTACGGTTGAAGTTCAGAATTCGAAGTGCGGGTCACTAAAATTCACCGTGAGATGGCGACTCGGAATGAAGCAGTTAAAAGCTTGCATTCAGCGTAAACACCGGATGAGACTCAGCTAAAGGCTGAGTTGCGCGGCAAAAAGTAAGAGAATTGAACCCAGCGCCGCTTCACAGTAATTGGCGAGCCGAACAAGGGCGTACGTGCAGCAGGAGTGAAGACCGCTGCACCATCGCAGCTTTAAATGAGCAGAGCGCTACTCTTATATATCCCGCAAGCGCCCACCTCGCGCGCAATACCAGACGTCTGTGTGCCTTCAGCAACACCGCCGACCACGCAGCTTACTGTCCTGTGAGCGCATAATATACAGCTATATGTTGAGTACCAAATCACACGTCCTAGAGTATTCAACATAGAGCCAGCGCTATCCGCCATGGCCCGCTGCAGCCCCAGGCGGGGAGGTGTTACCGGCATTTCCCGGGTGGGCTCGGGCCGCGTCGATCATCAGAAACGTGGCAAGCTAAGTCATCCCGGGCAGACCTGTGGTCTGCCTGGGAGGGGAGGAAAGAGAAGAAGAGAGGGAGAGGGCAGACCTTTGGTCTGCCCCTTATCTTATCCTGTACCATAACCAAAGAAGAAAGGGACGTGAAGACACGAGGAACCCCGCTTCACTGAAGCGGGGGGTTTGCGGGTCGGCGAAGCCCGACCGGCCTCGAGCGGGGAACATCAACCGGCACGTGACACGGTAGCCGGTATATCCCGCTCGGGCGGCAGAGCCTCGCCGACGTACACTGCGAGGCGACTCCAGCCTGACCGACAGCCGAATGCCGCCATCGGCCAAGGCCGAAGCAGCCCAAGCCAGAGCGCAGCTCTAAGGCGTTAGCCGCGCGAGGCCGATGACGGGCAGAGGCCTTCGGCCCCAAACTGAGCTAAGCGATGGTCAAAGCTTCGTATCCAAGGCATGAGAGGGAATACTAGATTGGAAGGAGAGAACAGGAAGAAGTAATGAAGGGTTGAGAGTGAGAAAGTGATTGTAGCTATGGATTGCGCTGGCGACGATGGGAAACGGGCTCAAAGTCGGAAAGCCGTGGTCAGCGCGTGATGCAGGATTGGTCGGAGCCGACAACCACGTGACGTGTTGAAGCGATGCCAGCGAAAGGAAGAGGAGGTCAGGTCGGCCCGAGGAACGGCTGAGTATTGGCGGCGATGGAAGTTAGGGAGGCGTGAGAAAGCACGGGCACGGAGCGCGAGGAGTCGGAGAGGAACTATGGGAGGGTGATCGGACCCAAGTGAGGACTGGTGTCGAGAAGGAGAGGATGAAGGAGCCGCGGTTGCGACGAGGAAAGGATGGCCTAAATACAGGGTATAGTCGGCGTGGGCGGCGTTTTGAAGTCCGTGGTCGGTAACGCAGTCCGCGTGGGTGCTGCTCGTCAGCTCGGAGACATGACTCGGTGCGCGCATTGGCGCGAGTTTGCTGCAGTGACGTTCGGCGGGAAAGGGGGCAGCGTTGGGGAGGCTCCTGCTAATATGGGAACTTGGAAGCATTGGCTTGCGGGCGCGAGGGCGTAAGGTGGGAAAGGGGGAAGGAATGCGTGCGGACGTGGCGCGTGGGCGTGGGCTTGGTATGCTTGGTGAGCGATGAGCTGGGTGTTTGAAGTGGCCGATTGTTCCCAAGGAGGATGAGCACGTCGGCGTGGGAAGACTTGCCGGGAGGAGGGTACTATGAGTGTGTTCGCCCTCTATATGACGCGGAGAGACGTCGGCATGGGGGAAACCGTGCGGGAAGGGAGGTGGAAGCGTGCTTTGAATATGGGCCGCAGCACATGCGAGAAGATGCGGGTATTGTAGGGTGTGTAGGAGGCGAGAAAGGTGTCAGCGTAGGTGCGCGTCTGCGCGGGAGGCTTTGCATGGTGGACGTAAAGAAAGCGCGTTGACGCAGATGTTTCAGGCATCGCGAGGAGCGCGTCAACGCGAGAAACGTGGAAGTGGTCGTAGCGCGTTCATGCGAGATGTCTCGAGGGAGGTTGAAAGGACATAAAAGCAGTCAATGCTGGCGTGGATGAGTTGACGACGCGTTAGCGCAGCGTCTAGGAGGAGGAGGAGTCGTTCAGGGGAATGGCACGGCACGGCATCTGGGACGGAGTAGACCGACGACGAGGAATATGAAGGGCGCGTCGGCGTGTCGACTTGCGGTGAGAACGGGGAATGGGGGATACGTGCGGCGGCTTAAACAAAGAGGTTGATGCGGGGAGGCGCGAGGGCGTGATAGGTCGCTCGAGAGGTAGAGCCAGGGATCGCTTGTTGGATCACTGAACTCATGACGCGTAGGAAAGAAGGGTCTTTGGCGGGGTTAGTTGATAACGGGCGGCGCGCGACGCACCTTGGGAATGGTACCGTGCTATGGGAATTGGGGTGGCGGCTACCGGACCTGCGCTACATCGACTTGAGTGCGACAAGGTGGTTCGTGAAGTGCCTAGAGGACGCTACAGCGCGCGAGAAATCCTAAGAGCGTGGGGAGACGCTGGTGCGACACATATCCTGCGGGAACTTGAAGAAGGTCCGAAGGGGCGCGTGACATAGCATTCAGCACCAATACGTAGAGATCGCGCGTTGGCGCATATATCGCTTGGAATGACCGTTGACGTGAATGGAGCCGTCAAAGGGGGCCGGGCGTGCGTGTCCAATAGGAGGAGGGCCTGGACGAGGGAAGAGCTCACCCCGGGTCTGAAAGCGTTGAACGACGTGTAAGAAGGCGGAAAGGGCGCGTTGGCGCGAAGTAATCGCGTGCCAGCTCAACGGAGTGAGGAAGAGAGAGGGGAGGGGAGGTTCTACCGTGAGGAAGGATGATGAGGAAGGAGCGAGAGGCCGACGAGCGGAGGTAGGGCTAGCGGGTGGTCAGTCGAGCAGATGAAGTGGACGACGTGCCTCGGATAGATAGTGTATATGATGAGAAGTCGGTGGCGGCGTGCATCGGGAAGCGCGTCAGGGACGGTGTACTTGCGCCTTGGTCGCGCCGCGCAAGCGCGCCATGCCGAACATGGGGTTCAGGGCGAACGCGCGATCTGGGCGGGCACCCGCAGCGGCGAAAACATGAAGTAGCGAGAACGTCGTGCTCGCGCCAGGTCCTGCACGCGAGTTGGAAGGGCGCTACAGCGCGTGGGAGCTTGAGGATGGCAAATGAGGGTCGTAGTGTCGTCGGGTTTGTTGCGAGACGGGCGAGGGTGAAGATAGGCGCCTTGGTACGAGGTTCTTGAGGAGCCGTAAAGGGGGCGGCGTGTCTGCGTCTCTCGGGATGAACCTTGACGTGGAACAAAGCCGTCGCGTGTGACGGGAAGTGCGTCTTCCATAGGAAGAAGGACCTAAAGAAAGGGTCAGTTGGTAACGGTTGGTGTGCAACGCACCTTTGAGACGGCGTTAGTGCTTGGGAGGGGTGCATTGGCGCAAAATTGTCGCAGGAGGAGGGGCCGCGCCATGGCGTGGTTCTTGAATGCAGAAGGAAGCGAGTTGGCGCGTAGGGCTTGCGGGCAGGAGGAAGTACACGCGTTGGCGTGGTGTTTGAAGGAGGAGGAAGAGGAGGAAGCGAGTTGGCGCGGTACTTGAGGAAGGAGGAAGGATGCGAGTTGGCGCGAGGAAGCGAGTTGGCGCAGGGCTTGAGGCTGGAGGAAGAGGAAGCGAGTTGGCGCGGCGCTTGAGGAAGGAAGAAGAGGAGGAAGCGAGTTGGCGCAAGGATGCAAGTTGGCGCAAGGAAGCGAGTTGGCGCGTAAATCTTGCAGAAGGAGGAGGAGGAGGAGGAAGCGAGTTGGCGCATAAATCTTGCAGAAGGAGGAGGAGGAAGCGAGTTGGCGCATACGTCTTGCAGTAGGAGGAGGAGGACGTGCGTTGGCACGGTGCTGGAAGGGCGGAAGGACGTGCCGAGGCACGGTGCTTGAAGGAGGACGTGCGTTGGCGCGGTGCTTGAAGGAAGGAAGAGGAGGAAGGGCGCGTTGGCGCATAAGTCTTGCGGGAGGAAGGAGGAGGCGCAGGCGAAGGCGGGAAAGGGGCTGAATTGCAGTCGTCATGATACATTGCGGTGGTCGTAGTGAGTGTAATCGTAAGTAAGGGTGTACTCGTATTGGCGGGCCAGCGAGATAGGGGGGCAGTGGCGAGCGTGGGTGTAAGCTAGGTGCGTGATGGTGTGGCAGCGAGTTGGGACCGGAGGCGTCGTAAGCGTCGCCGAGGCGATTCGGAGGTGTAGTTGAGGCCGGGTAATTCGTGTGGGTTCTGCAAAGACGGTCAGAAGGTATCGGAGCATGGGACTACGTGGATGAGAAGTGGGTCGCTGGAAGAGGGAAGAAACTTAGCCGTGTAGTGCCTCGGCTCCTGGGCGAGCGAGTTGGACTCCTGATCGTGCATCAAGAATCCGCCCGATAGATAGTGCCGATGGCCGCCTCCATTGGGATATGGGCGAGCCGGCGATGACTGTCGAAGTATCCGGTCAGGCATATGAGGCGGGTGAAGTGGAAGTCAGGAAAGATAATGTTGACGGTGGTGCTAGGCTGCGAGTGCGGCGCCGGTAAGAAAGGCGACGGGGCCGGGACAGATCCTGTCAGCGAAGTCGAAGTCGGCGGGGATACGTGATGGAAGCACGGTGGTCGATCCCGTCGCGAGCGCGCTAGTGCCGCGGCTTCGAGGCGAATCTTGGGCGATGTTGTCGATCTGAGGTAGCGGAGCGGTGTCGTGTCGCTGCTGCTGCCCTGAGGTTTGCGCTGAGCTGTGGGGCGCTGTCGAAGTCGTTCCCGGCAGGCTTGAACCTGGGTATATGCGCGCCGAAGGATGCGCTAGGGTCGCCAAAACATCGCCAGGGACTGTGCACGGAGTCGGCTAGGGACTGTAGGCGAGAAATGGGGTGCCAGAGGGCAAGAAAGCGAGAAAAGCGAGGGGGCTGCACCCTTCGTCGGTGAGCGCGTCCCCCAAGAAGCGACGCGCTCAGCCACCGCGTGACCGATCTGACATGTCTGATCGCGTGGCGATTCAGACCGGCGTTTGCCCTTCCTTCCTTAGCTTGCCTATCACCGCGCTAGCTACTCGTGCCTCGTGCTAGCGCGGCTCACATCCACCCAATTAGGAAGGTTGCGGTTCCGGCTCGAATTCCATAAATGAGTCGGGTCCATCCATCAGCGATATCCGCAGCTGTACTTGTACCCATCCCCCCTCCTCTGGAGCATATCTCACCAAAACGTGCGATCTCAATGCGACGAAACGAAGGCTCAAAGTGCGCCGACGTTCTATCCCATTGCGCCGGAATTGGGGAGAACTTCGAGGTAGGTTCGATCCAAAATGCGCCGGTCGGGCCTTGTCGTCGCCCATGTTCAATCCATTGTGCGTTGGACCTGTGGGTCGCGTCGTGATTTTGCCACCTTGAACCCCCACCAGCCCACCATCAACAGGCCAAGCATTCCTAAGAGCACGGACAGGGCCTCATAATTGGTGGCTTGGGAGGGTCGTCGCCGCCGATGTTTGGTCCATAGTAAGTGTGCCTGACCAAAGGTACGGTCCTGGTGCGCCGGGAAGCGCCTGAAATCGGCTCTAATCACGCTCTCAGTCACTCGTCGAGACCACACGTGAGGTTAGGCCAATGCAGCTCTGCCCTAGACACAGCGGCAGAGCCCGAAAAACTAAGGATTGAGTGGTGGTACGCTAGTAGGACAATATAGGGAGTAGGAGGGTGGGTAAGCGCGAGGTACTCGACTACGTGACTGATAGCTAGAGGTCAGAATCAGGGTACAGTAGATATACTGATGAAAACATACCGGGAGTGCGAGAGGTCAGAATGCTGACCGATCTCGTACTCGCCGGTCTTATATATGCGATCGAAAAAGGATCGGGAAAAATAGGAGTCGAGGGCCTCCGAGAGACGAGTCACGAAAAGGGCGGACCGGGCCGCTAACCGCCGAGGTTGGCGCGCAGTTTGAGTGAGGCTCGTGTCGCCGACGGTAAGGGAGGCAGGACGTGGATCTCGCGAGGGCGAGCAGACCGTCGGCGCATGTATGGCCCTGAGGCCGTGCGCTTGAGGCGTGATTAGACTTGAGTAAACCATCGTTTAAACTCGATGACTGGCATGTCACACTGCTCGTGCACGTGCAGCGAATGCTTCTAATTAGCCTGCCCTAAAGTCAATGACCTGCATGCCTTCGGCAGACACGCAGAGTCCTGCTTCCTCCCATCACCGTTGCAATGCGCAAGCGACCCGGCCACCAGAAACACTCTCCAGCTGAAGGAAGAATGCAGGCTAATACCCGTTCTATCAAACGACGAAAAAATTTGCCAAAACGGGAGGCATCTCTTGCGAGTCTTGCTAGTCAATGCATGCACCGGGCACGCAAGGAGGCCAAAAAAGCCATTGGTAGGCCTTTGCGTGCGCAATCTATACTCGACCTTCGGGAAGGTTTTTCGCTAAGCAGATCACCCAGAACCGCGGACTGCAATGAGCCGCGACGACAGCTACGGCTTATTCCTTCCTACAAGCTCTTATGCAGAAAGCGTTCTGCTTTTCATGTCAAAGTTTTTGCATGGTATTTCTCTGGTGCGCGCTCCCCCCTCCCGAGGTTATGATCATCCGCTGAGCAATGATGGTCAGACACGAGCCAGAGCTTGTCTCGAAGAACTGCCAAAACCTAGTGATATTATAAGCAAGAAGATAGACGTGCGTGCATGATCTTCGCTCATATGCGGTACCTTTAACATAGACGACAATCTTCTAGATATCAGATATGCACGATCACTGGCGCCGAACCCTGGCGTCATCGAAGGAACGCGAGGATCTCAATGTGCTCGAGGGCCAGGCGATCAATGGCGTTGTGGTCGCACTTGGTTCCGTGTATGCGCAGCACCGGATACTCTGGATGAACAGGGCCACTCAGGCATACCCGGAACTAGCTGCAGTGATCCACGTCGACCCTGCTTGGTACAATACTCGCCGAACGATCGTCGACCACTCGTCAATCAGGTTCACCCTTGAAGAAGAGCTGATGCCTGGTACACATGTCTTCGTGATCGTCTATGGGAGTTTTAAAGATGGAATCCTGACCATCAAGGACCTGAAGTACTCGACGAAAGTCTGCAATGGTGACGCTATCATGCTGTATGGCAGAAGGGGTGCGGTTGAGATCGCAGTGAAGGGCAGGACAAATGGACCACCATGGGTGGCAGTCGACATCGTGTACACAGAGAAGGATGCTCTGCCAAATTGATAGGAAATATTTGCATTCTCTTATACAGTCAGACAGTTTGCACATCACGTTGAGCGAGTCTCCCTGACATGCTCTGCATAAAAGCTACGCTAACCACACGCAAGTTGCGTACGAAGGACACTCATGTATACGGCGATTCTAAAGTGTTAGAAGTGTACCTAAGATGGTCCACAGCCGGCCGTTGTAGGAATCATCTAAGTAGCATGAAATCCCATCGTTTCGGAACTGGCTTGCGAGGAGTTATCTTACGCACCGGGCGTCCAAACGAAACAAAGTGATCCCCGAGCGGATATAGTACCGTATTGTTCTACCCTAGTGTTCCAAAACACATCTCTACATACTATTACCGTTGGTCAGAGCGTCTACGCAGTCAACCCTGTGGCAAATCAGACTGAAGCATACACTGATTGATGAATTTGCGCGCCTCTAATGCAATAACAAAGTCGAATCAACTGTACTCGACGACATCCACACCAACATCAACAACCAAATGCAGAGGGTGTCACTCCGTAGGCGGCGCAGCGAGTCCTTGATGTTTTGTGTTGTCAGGGCGTCAACCATGCACTCCGCGAGGCATGTTGGGGACGACCGACGCGTGGTCAATGTTTGATTCCGCATCTACGCTGCCGCCGCGACTGGCGTCAATGCTGTTGGCAGTAGAGCTCTGAGGCCGATATATGTAAGTACAACATGTAACCAGTTACATACAGCTGTAAGTAACGATGTCATCAACATGAAGTTACATGTAAGAAACCGGTGCATTACATGGTATATAAGCCTATTGTTTGCTACTAACGTTCTACTCTGCATCACAAGCGTTGTTAGCTGCTCTGGTGATCCTGTACCGTCCTCCTCCTCCTCGACTTTTTCGGCGCAAAAACAACGTCTTTTTGAGCGCCTTTTTGAGCATCTTTTTAAGCATGTTTTTAGCACGAAAAAATCGCCTTGCCACTCGTGTCACGGTTCGACGGGGCCGACGTGTCGTGCGAACGAATTCCGCTTTCGTGTCACAACCGGCAAAAGCTGACGCAGGGTGATCTACCTGCGTTAGACGCAGCTAGTCCTCCGGTAGATCTAATCGAAACGGTTAGCGAGGTCGCAACGAGGCGGTAAGCGCGTCAAATCCGCCGGGCCGACGCCGCAGCTCACGACATGTCACAAAAGTGTCGAAGTTGGCAATGATGCTCTATTAGCCCCTCCTGCGGCTCGACGCCGCGATACTGCCCAGAGGAAATATAGTTGGATGAGGAAAAGACTGGCTTGGTGTATTATCTGAAGTACGAAGTTTATCTCATCCCTAAAGATACGGAGGCAAGTAATCAAATATGGCCAGAATCACAACGGGCATAAGGGTGTCAGTGGTTGAGCGTGGTTAGCAAATCATCGAGCATAACAAGCCTCCATCCGTTTGTTATCCTGCAAGTGGATTGCGAGACGGGAGGGATGAAAAGAGGTGGCGAGAAGCATGGTGAGAATATTATACTCACTTTGATAGAGGGAGCAGCGCACGAAAATTACAGCGGTAAGTACAAATCGGAAGCGCTCAAAGGATTCCCTTGTTATGTGTAGGGGTAGATGCAGCTACGAGAAGAGCGCGGTCCAGGCTAGAGAAGCCGGCGGGGTAGGCCCAAGAGACTGCTATCGAAAGTCCCCCTGCGAGAAAGCTAACTCACCATCAATATCTGCCCACCCCTCAACAGATTCTGGCTGGGTCATACGCGTATCCCATGTCCGTTCTCTGAATTTTCCCGTGCAGAGATTTGACTACTCCGCGCACTTCACTGAAGCCTCGTATGTTGACGTCACGTCAACGCGGAGAGCGCGGGTATGCGCGCGCGGGTGCCCAAACAGTAATCTCCTCAACAGGTATCACAAGCACTGAGAGATTACCTTATGCTTCCGGGATAGAAGGAGTCGAAGGAGGCCGGGGAGAGCCAGTCACACATGTCGGCATGGTCTGCTACAAAGATAGACTAGGATCAATTCCTCGGGCACCGAAATTGAAGGGAAGATGACTATAATTTGTTATGCATCACGTTACCTTGTCGGAGGGGAAACCGTGGCATAACAGCCAGATATCGTGATTGGAACGAGGAGCGATGGATTGTGACATGGTCGTGACATACCATGGACTCCGCCGGCGGCCCGGCAGCTTTGACACGCCTCCCGCCTCCTTGTCGCCTCGCTCAGCACTCTAACCGCAGGCTAGCTGCAGGCTAGCCGCGTCTAACGCAGGTAGATAAAGCTGCCAGGGATTTTGCCGGTTGTGTCTCCCATGATACTTTGGGTGAAGCTGACCACAGCCTCGCCGCTGGAGAGTTTCTAACAGTTTCTAATATGGCCTCCCAGGCCCTCGCGTAAGTAACAGTTTTTAACTCGTTACTAACACGTGTTTCATACATATGTTATTATAGCCGTTTGCATAAATGATGCTGATCCGCACTCCGACCAAAAACATTGAACTTGAAGAGAAAAAATAAAAAATCCGGCTCGATACCCCGGAAGTCGCCCGCCGCATGAGCGTGCGGCGTCCAAGCTCAATTCCATCTGCTCTACGCTCAACCTTTGCATGGCACAGGGGGATAGAACATGAAACTGAATTACTGACCGTGTCTGGGGGCACTTTGGACAACCGGTTCGATGTTTTTTCGAACGCGCAGATCAGCCATCATCTATTCAAACAACTTTAACATCGTAGTTACTTACCGAACTCTAGACTTGGCACCACCGACTTCGCTCCCGGCCTCCAGGAACTAGCCTACTGGGCTGACTCCAATGCAGATGACCTTGTCAATGCCACCTTGCATGAAGGAGACGGACCGAAGAGTTCGTGATAATGACTGCAACTGTGGTCATGGTCTAAAAATGCCCTGTATAGTAATGTTTATAGTAGTGTTGATGCCCCTCGGACACCTTTGCTACTCCCATTACCGACCCTTAACGGGGTTTGCAACACTTTCGGAATCTGGGCATATTCTCGACTGTTTCGGCTTAGATTCCCACGAGACTTGGTAGAGCTGTCAGATACCATAGCGTGAACGGATCCTCCAACTTTGGTGGCCTTCAGGGCAGAAGAACTTAGAAAATTGCTGCGCAACAGTCGCCGATGCACAATGCAACAGTTTCGGTATTTGCCGAGAACGGCTCCCATTTTCTATCTGGACGGTTAGAGCTCCGTATTGCATATAAGTTCATAGATGCTATGAGCACAGCGCGCTATACCCATATGCCAGAAATCTAAGCGAACGGAGGATGAGCGGGCTCGGGCTGAGGTGTTGCATTGCTCGGCACCTTTTGCCGCTTTGACCGATTTTGTTGCAAACCCCGTTAATGGTCGGTACAAACCGCCTGCGCTGCTGCGTCCTCAGCCGCTCATTCGCGCACCTAGCCTCGCGATCTCCGTAAGAGCTGGAGGAAAGCGGAATCCGACGGCAATTTAAAAGGCCGAGTGGTCGAGACAGCATGCGCATGCTATGCGCCAAATAGTCCTAGATGTTTCTCAGTCTGACTCTGAGTAGAAAGCTTGAGCTACGCCAAATTTCCGTCTTGCCAATCGCTTTTGGCGGATTTCGCTCGCTCCGTCGTCCCTCTGGATGGCACATACGCGTAGCCCCGCACGTACGAGCTCCGTACCTGGACTAGCACTAGGGAGGCCGCTGGCATCAGGAAAAGCGTATGGTGGTGATTTACGCAAATGCCGCGTGAAAAGCGTGATTTGCAGTTATAACCATCTTTGTTGTAGATCATATGGATTTCCTCTGCACCCCTTTCAAAGCGAGCAAATTTGCACGATATTATCGCAAAACATCGGGGTTTTGACGAGCACTCGCAAGATGTGAATTGTAGGTGCTCACTGTTGAGCATGCTGGGAAGCGCGCCTATACTGCTTACCTGGTGGTAAGGAGCTTGGTATGAGGCAAGCGCACAGGTAGGTAAAGACCTGTTATTCCTGGGGGCAGAGAGGCCCTCCTTATATATTGTATGTACAGGATGGTAGGTAGCATGTGATAATGCAATGGACATGTAAACAATAAACATATGATGTCGTCGCGTGTATCCATGTGTGTCCATGTGTCCGTCATGTGATGCGTGAGTCATAACATGTGACAGGCCGATTGTCCAACACTCACAAAGAGAACACTGTGTTCGTGCATTTCAGCAGAAAACGTGCACTTAAGTCATGAACAATGTATATTGGGGTTATACAAGTATACATGATGTATCTAAAGAGGATGACTATAATGCAGTGATAGCACGGCCAGACGCAACTTCGTGTCAGCAGTGAGTGGGTGAGCAGGATCGGAGATTACGGCGACGTACCGCTCAGATCAGGGGGTAAGAGGGCAAAGGCGATCAGTGACGACATGAGCAAGCGTGAGTGATTTGGCGTAACGTAGTGTATTGTCCTCTACAAGGACCGGTGCCATCCGCAGGCGATGTCAGAATGTACAACCCAAGACAATGGGACTACGCACCCGTCGGTCGCGAGACACGATGCGTAGTGGGACAAGAACCAAGAATGGACCCAGCAATCCCCTGACGAGGAGCTGAGCAAGATGTAGGGTTGAAGAACCGATACACACTTGATGCAGCGATAGGCGACCACATTCAAATCGCGCGAGCCGAGGGTACGCATCGCGCTGTTGCCCAGCCGCCGATCTATAGCCAGGTTATAACAACGGGTTCGGGATCTCAAGGATGCGCTGCCGTCTCTGCATAACGCGCAGCGGGAAGCAGGGGGGACATGATGGTATGAGCGCAAGATCGCAAATGATCGGAGTTTGCCACGTTAGCGCTTGTATACGTCATTACCTTGCCTTGTAAGGTCTCTCCCGCCCTTAATTGACCCCATCAATTTGGACGGTGGTTTTGGGCAATAGATGTAAATAGCCTGCTGGAACAAAGCGACCTTTGACGGTGGCCCTTACGTTACGATGATCCGGTCAATGGGCAAGAAAGATTCTTTACGTCTGTCGACGTGCACACACTTGTGGGTGTAAGCTACGAAGAAACTGGGAACGTTCCTGCAGTTCGCGACGTTGCAGCGCGTTGAGAGCCAGCGCGTGCCCAGCAAGACAGTGTACCACTCAGCATCGACGGTCACGACGTGAATCTCCCCCCTCCCTGGCTTCGCCACCACACCTCCCAGAGCAACCAAGCACGCAGAACACCGTCCACGCCTTAATGCGAAGTTCGATCGCGCATACGACCGCATGCCCCTTGCGCGTCAGCAATGCAGTCGCCTCGCAGCTGCGCGCCAAACACGACGCTCGAGAGATGTCTTCTGGGAAGATCTGGCTTTTATGTGCGTGCACTGCACCGCAGCACTTCCTCGCTACTGACAACAGCGTAGGACAGAGGAATCCAGCCAAGCTGCCGATGCTCAAGAAATTCCAGCTTCACCTTCACGCGGCCGGTGTTGAGAGGTGTGGTCCCTTCATATCGCTGTGGTGCACATACTCATACGCACCCATCTATCTGCTACCTTGACCTCGTCCGACAAGACAACTTTGCCACTTACATCGTCATCTGGGACGAGATTCGGCAGTCGTCGTCCAGCGGGTTCAAGAAATCCGACTCTAGCAACGAGCTCGGCCCCCTCTCGCGCGTTAACTAGAGCTGTACGAAGTACCTCACCGGCAGGCCCGATTGAGCGGCCATCGCATCACACGCGAAGGATGACACGGTGAACAACGGCTCATCCGTACCACCCCGTATGCCCAACAGTGCCCAAGGTCTACGTGCGCTCTGGCTAAGGGCTGGCGTGTTTCCATGCGCTCACATGAACTGTCCGAAAGCATGCCACGCCCGTCCGAGGTCGTCAAGGACAAGTGGAATTAGCATACCCTCGCAGCCCGTGCTTCTTGGCATTCTGGCAGCGCACCAACGTGGAGCGTATCGTGTCAATTGCGTGCGCGTTGTCGTCCTCTACGTGGATGAGGTATCGCGGGTACGCAAACGGCACTGCGGCGGGATGTCACCTCTTCCTCACTACGTAGACTCCATGTCCAGTGTGCGTAGCGTGCTCTATTCACCGTCTTTTGCATCTTTCCTGGGCCAAGTAATACCGTACCGTCGAAGCTATCTCATGGACGAAAAAAGGTATGAGGTGGTCTAATCTCGTGGGCAACTTGGACCTTTTTTTTTTAAAAAAAAAAAAAAAAAAAAAATCTGCACTTCTATACCGCTACAAGCTAAGGTGAAGCCAAGACGCGGTCCTCCGCCAGTACTCCCTCCATCCGGAAGCCCGGCAGGGCCCTTCGCATACCCGTGGTGATAATCTACAAGTCCCGAGGCTGCTGCTCGTACTGCTGTCCGTCGCGATACTGTGGTTGAGCTAAATGGTGATATGATAGGTAGGGCAACTTGGACCTGTCCTAACAAAGATCCCTCGAGACTCGAGGGTCAAACTCCCTTCACACAAGGCAAGGTTAAAGCCGGCGGAGCTGGAGCTTACTCTGATTTGGATCTTCCCGAATTTGTGGCGCCCCGCGGGACTTCAGCTTCAGGCTTGCAGTCGTACAGTGTACACATCTCTTCGTCCCCGCCGCGATCGCGCCGTGGCACTCTACGCGGGCCGCAACAACGGACGCACCGCTGCGTCGCACGACACGAGGAAAGCTGCTCGACTGGCTTTGAGGTTATAGGAAGTAAAAGTGCGTGAACACGTCCCGCTAGGCTGTCATATGCTGACTCTTCCGCTCTTGGCTCAGTGCGTGAGCAAGCTCGAAGTCCATCTGTGGAAACGGATGATTCTCACCCTTCGGCTTCGTCCTTCCCCCCGCTCTTTCGACTGCGCGCCTCTCTCGTCCTCCTGTACACCGTTCATCTCGCTTCCGATCTCCTATCCCAACCTCAATCCAACGGACATCCACACAGTATTCTTGACACGCTTCGCTCATCTTCTACTCGTTTTTGCGCTCTCCAGCGGTAGTCCTTTACCATCTTTTCATCTCTGCGAGCACATACACGCTGCTACGAGCAGCAGAGTAAGAATACTGATTGCATATGAAAGCCTGCTCCTTGGCTGGACGACGCCTTCCCCAAGCTTTCACTGTTCAAGTCCTCCAACGACGGTCCGTCGCACTCAACGATCCCCGGTTTCCCCCTTACCTCCAGCAACACCCCTTCTCCATCGACGGCATCCCATGCGTACTCGGTGATGTGTCTTCTCGCCAATGTCGCGGCGCAGACTTTGCAATCGATGGATAGATCCGCCGCTTTCCTCGCGTACTGTACGCTGTTTCGACATCTGTCAGCCCGAACTTTTGCATCCCCACTCACTCACACGCTGGCCTCTTTCCTCCCCATCCCACGCGCGTTTCGGCGAGCGCATAAGCCAATACGGCGACTCCGCATGCCGTCTTGTTGTACCGAGTGCATAACTTGATCCCTAAACTTATGGCTCCACCCTACGCTGGCGATGAGTGAGCGGAGAGATGTTGTACATGCCATGTAGGCTCTACTTTGCTTACACATTCCCTCTTCTGGCTTCGCAATCATGCTTCATTGTCTTACACTGAGTGTAAATGTGCTTCTTATTGTGACTATAGATGCCGCAGATCTACTCCCCGCACCGCTCGGCGAAGATTGTGGCGTTGCTGTATGAACCTCCGACAGGAGAACAGGTGATGGTCAACGGTCTCGGGAACGCCACATAGCCACGACCTTGATGCGCGCCAGGAAGGCGTTCAAGCCAATATGACCGCTGCGCAGCTGCGTGATCAGGCTGCATGAGCGACGGGGGAGGTCTTTGTACTAGCGGAGAACCTTCGGGCCAGGGGGAGACACATCAAAACGGCGGATGCGCTGTCCGTGCTTCGAAGCCTCCCACCATGCCTACCGTTGTGAAGCAACGCTAGCCTTGTAAGCCTGACGAGCCGCCGCCGCACTGCGGGAGAGGTCACGAAGGCTGTCCAGGGCTCGGGGAAGGGGGGATGTAAGCCCTTCCGCTGCTCCTCGAGCCAGCGCATCTGCGGCTTCGTTACCAGCAACATCGCAGTGACCGGGTGCCCGATTGAAATGCAACAATCAAACCCCTTGGACGCGAGAGCTGCAGCGCATGCAACCTCTCGTGAAAGAGCTCAACGAGATGTTGACCCGGGCGGGCTGCGCGCCGAGGCAGGGCCCGCAGGGACGAGGTGTTGTCGGCCAGCACAACAAACCGTGCCAGTGTGCGCTGGGAAAGCTCGTTGGCAGCGATGAGATCCAGGGCGAGAATGATGCCGGTCAACTCGCCTTCGTAAACGGTGTGGTGCGACGCGGGTCCCAGATGCACCTGCCGTGACAAAGAGTAGTTGGGGAGGATGGCCACCGAGGACGCCCCGACGCCATCGCCAAGTCCAGAGCCATCCGTGTAGATGCACGCCGCGAAAGCCTCATGGCGGGGACTGCAGCCTTGACCTTGCTGGATGCGATGTGCAGTGTAAAGAATGGGGTTGCGCGCTGGTATGATGGGGCAGTGTCAATCATCTCGATTCCATCAACATACCCACAAAAGGCGTTGTATATCTCATGCAGCGGCGACCGATGCACGCGCACATAGCGCTTGCTGCGCTTGCACGGACGCTCCAGTGGTTGGTGCCCGGGGAGAGTAGCAATGCGGAGCGCAGCACCAAAGACTGCGAGGTTGAGACGAATTTCCATCGGCAGCAGGTCGGCGTGGAAGGTAAGAACATCCGTGGCGGTAGTGCGGAATCCGCCGAAAATCAGTCGCGCCGCTAAACGCTGCACCTTGCCCAGCTTGGTGGCCACGCCGACGGAGCCTTTACGACCGGGCCGTCCATTCTCCTTGGGGCGCACCGGGCTGTACCGGACCGCCGCCCCGTACTCGATGCGTGGTCGGGCAACCGCCCGATACAGCTGACGCACGTGCCGATGCGCCAGCCCAAAGGTCGGTCGAGTGAGGCGAGAGATCGCCAGGACAGTTGCGGTCCCTTTGGAGACTGCCCCCTCAGCCTGCTCGTGGAAGCGCAGGCGTCGATCCAGAGTGACGCCGAGATACTTGGCCGTGTCCGACGCACATCGCAAAAAAGTGGAAAATGCTGCATGGCCACGGCCAACCGCGCCGACCATCCGCAACCAGCGCTGCCATCCGCAACCAACTTGGTAGCCCCTCTGGTCATGCATTATCAGTGACCCTCCTTTGCGCCTTGCCCATCCAGTGGCTGCCATGTTGGCGCTTCAGATCCTCGTCCGCCAGAATGGTAGCGCTTGGTCACGAAAGGTACCTCGAGGACATCGCCATCCTGATTCTCGTGAGCTATCCTGGACAGTGTTCGCCCTAAGGTGTAAGGCCTTAAGCGTCTTAAGCCTTATTAAGGCCTTAGCATAGGGCCTAGGCTTTCGGCGCGCCCTTAGGGTCGGGGCGTAAGGGCTTAAGGTGTCACGTGCACGGCAGTTCACGGTGACCAGATCCCTGCGATACTGAGACGACGCACTCACTTCGACTACTTCCACCTTGCTACCCATACTCGCGCGCTTTTTGGAAGTATACCGGCCCTGCTCCTGTTTTTTTTTTTTTTTTTTTTTGCTTTGCATCCAACGGTCAGAAGTATGCAGGCAGTCTGGCCGATTGATGTGATGTGGGGGGGACAGTCCCCGCTGCCGAGAAGCCCGACCGGTTCAGCTGACCCCACTGAGAGCGATAGGGAACATTTTCTGTTCTCAATCTGGTCAGCCAACAGGCCAACATAATTAAGTATCTGAGGCTTGGTTTGACGTGTTCGGCGATTGCCGAATCACGTTCTCCGTGGCGCGTGTGCTCTATAAATTACTTCACCGTTCGATCGCTTGAATAAGATTAGCCGCTCAAGTTGTTGCTGACTTGTCTGTGATATTCACCCACAGGCCCTGTCGGCGGTCAGGGAAATCGCGACCCCGTGTTCTAATACAGTAGACGTTAAACCAACACGGCTATCCCATCAGCTACGAGGGGCAACATTGGGAGCGAAGTACAGACACCAGTTCCATCCCACAACTGGCCTGGTCAAAATTTCCTTTTATGGCCTTAAGCCGTACCAAAGCCCTTAAATAAGGCCTTAAAATTAAGGGATAAGCCTTAGGGTTTCGAAAAAGTGTGATTAAGGCCTCGTCGCGCTGTTCTCGAATATTCCGCAAAATGGATGAAAAAAACAGGATGATATTAGAGCGTATTAGTTTCGATTATTATCAGAGAATTCATTAACGAAGGCGCAAGTGGAAATTCATCTAGAATTCTGCTTCAAGTGAAAGATCAAGACGACGAAATGTAAAGACGTGAATGGGTTTGAAGCTTCCAGGGGCATTCTGCGCCAACGCGCGTTCCGGGAACCTGTCTGTCTCCTCGATTGTGCGCGTGCACACCAAGACACTCGCCTTCTGACTGCCATATCCCACACGCACGCCTCGATGGCGACCAGAGCGATAAGATACTCGCCACCTGATACGTTCCTCCCCAGTACGCACGAGGTCAACACATCGTCGCCCCAGAGCTCATATAGCGGTGATGTCTCTTGCTCTATGCCTTACCTACAAAGATATTCATTAGCCCTTACAAGTTTTGCATTGGCCACTGCATCAAGTGGAGCTGCGTTTTGTAAGTGAAGAACTTGATAAATATGCTAACTAATACGCTCTATTGATTTGTATGGTAAATATACACAGTACAGCTACTTGTACTCTAGTACGAGACGTTGGCGCGAATGTATACTATAGGGCCCTGCAAAAATGATCCACCCTCCGGGACCCCTTGGTCTGCTGCGTGCAAGATGCGCAGCGATAGGAAGAAATGTACCGAGTGACATCGTACAAGAGTTTTTCATGGTGGCGGGCGCTTGCAGTCTGCGAAGCATTTGTCAGCGATAGCGCATGAGATGGACGGGGCGATACATACTGTACCTACCTGTATGGAGGCAACCGGCCGGCGACCGTGACATGCGCAACAGAGGCAACCAGGCGTTCGAGAACCGTGACCGAGGCGAAAATATTGATTTTTCGACGATTTTTGGCGCCAAAATTGCCATATTTGGCAGGTCCTGAGTCCAAAAAGCCGTTCGTGACCCGTGACCCTTGCAACGCAACCGGGCCCCGTGACCGTGACGGTTGCTTCCATACAGGTAGGTACAGTACCGGACGCAAATCGATATGCAACGCCCGCTCAACTTGCGGGGCCGGGATAGCCGTATGAGGAGACCTCATCGTGAGAGTTCAGACCACCTTTTGACGGAGTTCACTGCGGGAAGACTCACCGTACCAAGGGAAGAAGCGGCGGCGCCCAACATGAGCAGCATGACGTTGAAGAGGCTGAGGAGTGCACTTCAGTTGACGAGGCACAGCACACAGTACAACTACGCACCTCAATCCATTCGTTGCGCGCTGACATGGTCGCGCTTGACAGACGTCGTAGGCAATAGACGGTTGCGTCAGCCACCGCGAGTTGGCACTGGGTCGTTCTATGTGGATAACGTACCATGCACGCCGCCATATCAGTCCGTATATCTTCAAGTGAAACCCGGGAAGTCGAGAGGGATGGGGGAGGGCCGACGAGAGAGCGCCGCGGCAGGGATAGATGGAGGGAACAAGCTGAGGCAGACGATCGTCGTTCGATTTGCGCTGGTTTTGAGGAAAACAGGGCCGATGACGACGCCACGTCGTCATTGCGGGCTGCGGAAGTTCAGCCGTTCACTTGCGGCTCACCTTCAATACGCCGCAGCTCGACTGGCTGGTGAGTCGAGCTCATCGTGCGGCATTGGGCGGCGGGACTTAGAAGATTTCGTCACGACAGTCTGAGCCTGCGAATTTGGTATGTGTTGGGTCGGTGCGCATTAAAGTCCTATATTACGTTCATTTCAGGCGAAGAACACGATTCCACTCGGCGCAGTGGGCAGAGGCCCTTCTATGGGGCACGGTGAGGATTGAGAAGTAAGCGAGAGGTGGCGGACCCACAAAGACGGGCGTGGGACAAGTTGTGCCAATTAGGAACTCATTGGCCACGTTCTTTCGGGATGCACTCGAACTGACTACTTACTAGCTTACCATACACCAGCCAGGCAATATATCCCTTACCAAGTCCATCCAACCCATCTCGGCGATGCAGTGTACTTACCATGGGCTACCATGCTGGCGACTTTCGGCCAGGCATGACCAGGGGCTGCTAACCGTTCCCGTCATCAACCATGATGGCATCAGTCGATAACAGCAGCCTGGCTCAAGCAGCTTTTCCACTTTTTTGCGATGGCCAGGGATGGTCTGGATCCCGACGTACAGGCCCGCGTCGCGCTTTATCCGCGTTGTACACACTCCAAATAGGCACATAGCACCTTTGCTCCACACATGTCGGGGAGACTGAAGCGGTGTTGACTAGGTGTCACGCACCATCATCCGAATTTCGAACAGGTGTCGGCAACCTCCGTGCGTCGTGGGCATGCTCACTTAGTGCGGGTGCCGCTTCGTACGCGTGACAGCCAATGGCAAGATGATAGTCTCACGGAGACACTGATCGAGGTCCACATCACCCGGTCCAATCTGACCTTGAACTGTACAGTCATGGATCTGAGTCTTTCACAACAGCTCGATGTCATCGCCACCGAATCCTTGGAAATCGAGGCAGACGACATTATTGACATGCACAAGCAACAGCACCTCTCGATTACTTCGAATTCCCCGATGGATGCCGGTGAGAACAGAGTGCCCCAGTTCTCGGATGTCGCATGACAGATAGCTAGGTCTATCACAGGAGCTAGACGCACTATTAGACATGTCTTTGGATATTCCGATCGAGGAAGAGGTGAATGGGAAGAAGGCCATGATACAGACAGAGGAGGGGAAGGGAGAACAAGGTGGTAACATCTCCCAGATACCGGACCCTACGGTATTGCCGTCGCTCAGTGACAACTCGGACTCAGCTCAGGAAGAACCGAACCCTCTCTCATACGCGGAGAGAACTTCGTGCATTGTACGCATCTGAACTCCTAATTTTGTCCATCTGCTTCCTCGTGAAGAAAACTTACGGAAGTGACGTTCAGGGCAACAAGTATAACTATAACGAGGCCAGCAGAGAAGACATAGCTCGCAGACATCGGGCTCTCCATCGGAAGCTTATCCTGACCGAGGCTGAGAACTCCGAATCGGAAATGGATCCTGATAGTGAACTAGATGGTGATGGAGAGGAGGGAAGCTCACAGGACCGGGATGATTTCATTTCACATGGATGGAGCCATGGAGAAAGATCGCAAGAAGACGGTGCATATCATCTGGGTCTTCTGTCTCAGAATGTCCCAGGCGGGCCGCAGTTTCGCGACCCACCAGTGCGCCGTAGTATTTTCGGAGGAAGAGAGATCCTTCGCATGGAAAAAGCAAGAGACAGCTCAGGGTCGCAGGATGACGGTCTCACGGATGGATACGAGATTGGTAGCTTTGTGACGGACGATGAAGAATCTTCATCCAGCTGGGAGTGATATCACTCGTCAAAGCCACTGCTTCATCACTGGTGTCACTGTATCGTTTTGACTGTAGGTTTCCTGTGCGTGAACTCTGACAGCGTGAACTAGCCTAAGTTCGAGTCCATACGGCATAATCAGATGTGACAGTGAAGTGTATTCGCGCATTGATAATCTCGATATGAACATGCTGGTCAGAGCGTATGAGCTGGCATAATCAGAGTGTGTTTGCTCAATAGAGTGTGTTTGCCCGTTATTGCCGTTTGCAGAAAAGTTTGCCACGGCCGCTTTGCCACGAAATTGATAACAGGCGAACCATCTGGACTTGTGGAGGGCATAGGTCGCGCATATGGCGGTCTAAAATCATGCAAAATATATGAGTAGAGTCTTATCGATGTACTGTAGTACACTGTTTGGATTTCGAAGCGCACTGGCTAATTTATGTGAGGGATATCTGGGGGAAGGCTCTTCCGGCACTGTGGCAGGCATGGCGCGCGTAAAATGGAATGGAATGACTCGGGAGAAGCTTCGGCATGCACTATAGACATGGGCTATATTTTTCATGATTTGAGACCGCCACATGCGCAACCTATGCCCTCCACAAGTCCAGATGACTCGCCTGTTATCAATTTCGTGGCAAAGCGGCCGTGGCAAACTTTTCTGCCAACGGCAATAAGAATTCCGTTATGAGCATGCTGATCAATTTCTGTATCTTCAGATCCTTTTCGTGGTATGACTGACCAGATTCAAGATCTTCACAGTGGCTGTCGGCGAGCTGGCCCGAGCTATCCTTCCTGAACCGACGTTTTCTTGGACTCCTCCTAGGCAGACGGTCTCCGGCAACTGTCCAGCGCCGCCTGACGTTGTGAAACGTCGTGAAAGCAAGACGATTGAAGGGTTGCCTGCGCTTGAGAGTGCAGAGCCCGCGTACGATTTCCGTAACATACCAAAAGAAATTTCGTAGTATGAAGACGCTCGGTGCTCGATTAAATTCGTATGTACCGTATTTGGATCTTGAATCCTCAATGCGTGATGTGTTGCTCACCATGTTGAACAACTCTGGTGCGCCAGCCCCTTCCAGACCATATCAGAGCTTTTGTAGTACTTCCAGAACGTACACTGTCACAGCGCTTGCGAGAAGACGCTTCACGTTGTATGAGTGTCCTTTGAAGGAGGCGAAGCGTTGCCCCGCGCTAGGTGACGTCACGGCTGGCAGATGTGCTCGCTAGTGTCGTCTACGGCCAAGTCAAGCAAACTTTCCCTTTCTTCGCGGAGAGCACCAGACGAGGCTTTCGCAAAATGCTGTAGCACCACAGAATGATATACTTTCCATACATGGGGGCAAACGGGTCCGACCACTGAGGATGCTGAGGTGCGTTCAGCCAACAGCAACAGATTTCCGTATGTGTCGAAATCCATCCCATTTCGCCCCGATGTGGGTCGTCCAGCGTTACATCTCGCAGGTCTATATGTACATGAGGCCTCTCATCTTACGATGGACGATCTTGAGCGCTGGGGAGAACTCACAGTGCATGGAAAGGTTGGGTTCCCTTGAGCAACGAGGGCCAACAACAACACGTCCGCAAAGTCCCTGATTGCGTGACAAACATTATACCCGTCAGGTAATAATGCATACATCATAGACATCGCTGGCGAGGCTTTTGGAACGATTGTGAGTACGAATCAAACTGGAGCCTGAAGAAGAACACGGGTGAGGATCAAGAATGAAGATGACAGGGATCAACAGAGTCGTGCAGCGGCCAGACGACAATGCATCACATGCTGGCACAGGTAGGAAGCCAAAAAACCGCAATTTTTGGCTTAATTTTGATGGTTCGAAACCCTTCGCATTAGTATGCTACAGCGACATTCATGATGATGCGGAAATCGCGGTAATTGCACGCGGCGTGTCTTGTTTGACCGCACCCTCCCGGCAATTACCGCTGGACGACTGTAGAGCATTTGTTCGTTCGGAATGCATCATCCGAGCACTGCTTGTGTGAGTATCACGCGAAATGACCTTCCATGCGCTCTTACTTGCGGTGAGTGGCTCACCTCAGGAAAAGGACAAGACCAGATGCGATCTCGGAATTTTCCGAGCACCCACCGCGAGACGCGTGGCCGCTGGCGCCGACCTTGTTACGCCGAAAGCCGTAGGTGGGTCATCCTATCAAGCTCTCCTGTGACATAACGAGAGTTCAGAGGGAAAGAGAACCGCAGAGAATAGTGTCTTCAGCCATTGACGGTCGTTGCCGGAGGGGTGTCGCCAAACATGACACGCGGTTTGCAATTCGCGCGAATTCCGCATGTCGCTGTAACAGATGAATCGGTGTTTTCATTTGTTTCGAATTGCTCCTGATGGATGATCGACAACAATCGCGCCTTTGACCATCAGGAAATTCCATTTCTTGTACCCGACAATTCGCGAGGGCATCATCCGAGACCCGTGTAACGCCTTCCCGATGTTCTCCGCTGTCGGCTCCAGTCGCAATTGGACTGGACTGGACTGGATTACCCGAGCGGTCCCTTAAGGAACATACGGGGTGCCCTTACTACGACATACAGTGCTAATGTACGCGCTACGGAGCCGAACGACACACAGAATCACCATTGTAGCGAACCCAACACGAGTTCGGCCGCCTCCTGGTCTCTCCCGCAAGCCGTGAGTCACAATCCACCGTCCTGGTTACTTTTCCCATCCGAAGCAGCCACCCACGCGCATGTGGGGGGGCGAGAAAGCGCGATGCATGCCGAAGAGCTGTAACACGTCAAATGCGAACTTCCCCAGTGTAGCGCAAGTCGTCGGATGCGCGCAGAGGGCGTGAATCCAGTCGGCGGGATCCTGCGAGCACCCGCGAATAGAGGGGTCGACGTCGGCGACGTTCTCCCAGAAGCGCATAGTGCATGCACTTGGATCATGGTACTCAAGATTCCTATGCTTACCTACTGGTGAGCATGTCGAGTGCCTGTTACGGGGGAACCCATTGGACAGGTCAAAAACACTTGCCAAATCCGAAATCTTTGCTGATGTATTCACACAATGCTTCTGCCCCTATGACTGGTGACAGACGAGCGTTGTGCTCTGTCCAATGCCATTGTGACATGTGACGCGAGCCTACGGTAGAAACGGTGCAGTGATCTAGGGCAGCTCCAAGCTTCCTTTCTCCAAGATTTCTTCCAGTAGCAGGAGTCGAGCCCACTCTGCGGATGCAGCGTTCTGGATGGTTGTCAGCCTATAGAAGGCTGGGACGTCAACTCCATTGATCCTGTCACTCCTGGAGAGATGACGAAGGAACAGCAGAGTGAAGATACCACAGTCTGATTGGTTGTTTTGTTGCGGTGTCTTTAGTGGCTTTCAGTCGCCGCTTGGATGTTGAGATTGGACGGATCTCACCTGCTGCGCACACTCCCCAATCCAAGTATCTGACGGTGATTGCCACCCGTGGTGTGCACACAGCCCACCCACCCACTGGTGGATGACCTGCGTGCATAATTCGGTCAGAACAGCGATGAGGTAATCTCCAAAAACGCGCACGTTCACAAATGACTCGAGCTGATCCCCGCGCCACGCACTAGACTTCAGGCTGTCATATGTGGTAACAGATGTGTCCACCGTATCGATGACCACAGCGAAAAAATGATTCTTGTGTGCGACGGGCAGCAAAATCTTCTTCCAAACATGAGCCCTTCCGTTGGCAGCCTCCTGTTATGGTACGTTAGATCCCGGCATCCCTCTGAGATGGCAGGCAACATACCTTCAGCCACCCATGACTATAAGCTCTTCGACCACCTCTGAACTGAAATTTTTCGGAGAGGTCGAAGTGAAGAGATACGAATGACGTGGGCATGAAGATTGTATCCTCCAACATGTGCTCTTCTTTCCACAAAGCCAGCATAAAGTCAATGACTGTATCGTTCAGCCAGCAATTGGGACCTAAGCGCGAAAGGTCGCTGCAGGTGAGAGCGTACGCGGAGCTGCATGGCGTCTTCACTGTATATTCCTGGGAAACAGCGCATTCGATGGCCTGCATCACACTGATTATTTCCCCGAACAGCATAGCTTGAGTATGAATTCACTCACCTCACACAGAATGCCTTCCACGAACACTGCTGGTGCGACCTTTATGAACGAAGAGCGTGCCTCCTCAATGCCGTCCCGCGCCCCTTGGAGTGTCCTCAGCCATGTCAAGTGGCATAACTCATAGTCGTATATGATCTGCAGATGCTGCGGGGGACATGCCCTTCTAGCAGATTCAAAGAGTTCGGCAAAGGTATCGGCAGCGCGCAAGCACGAGTCAAAAAGCTTGACTTCCTGTCGTAAGGTAGTGTAGTCACTATAGTTGCCGCTAGAAAGCCGCCGGTACGCATGACCAAACAGCTGTGGCATGATGAATGCCGATCCCCGTGGATGCGATCGTACAACTTGGTCGGCCAGAGGAAGAGATAGCTGCCATGTGCGTAAAGAGGAGCCGAGAACTTCTAGGCGGTGCGCCAGATCCTGCGAGAGTAAGGTACCAGCTGGCATAGCGAGGCCTTGCAGCACGTCAGGGTTCCAGGAAACTTCTTGGGGTGAGGCACCTGGTGCCGGAGATGGACGAAGCGTTGTGGAAGGCGCGTGAAGGTCGATCCTAGTGCCGTGATTGACAAGAGTGTTCGACGGGTTTCGGATAGATGCCTTGTTTCGAGGGCGGTAAATTCTACCTGCTGCCTCAGCCTGGGCCCTGCGTGCACTGTGCAAGTAAATAGATGCACGTGAGCGGTCTCTTGCGAGGCAAGCGACATCGCTCACTTTCTCGCATGTGCGGCTTTGGCCTGCCTTTCCTGTTCAAGCCTTGCAGGGTCCTCGATGGCCAAACGCTCCCTGCGGGCTTTAGCTCGCACGGCATCGGTACTGCGCATCCCGGCCATGTGCATGAAGTCCCAAGGCGAAAAAGCGGAGGAAAAAAAAGGGGGGGCAGTGCCACGTGCTATTTCACGTGCTCCCCGCCGGTTACCTCTTACAGCAAGCGAAAGATTGTTGAAGATGAAAGCGCTGGTGGAGCGTGCGTCATAGCTCTGAAGGGCCGTTTCACGGCAGGGCCAGATAACAGACCGTGTAATCTACACCGTAGAGTTTGGGTTTGACCTTAAGCGGCTTCACGGTGACTGACTTGTGCCCCTCGCAAGCTCTCTCGTAGCGCCTTGTGATAATAGAGCCCGTACTCAGTGAGATGCATCCAGCGAGCCTGCCCATCGCCCCCCAATCGCACTGCTACCCGCCGCCCGAGCGCGCCTGCCCGACGTCGTTTGATATGCCCCCTCCCAACCCCTCTCGCGCTGCGCCCACTTGCCGCTCTCCCCGCGCCCCACGGGCACGTACTCGCGCATCCGCCCTCGGACTATGTCCGCTCACCGATAGAGCCCGCTCGGATGACGGTCGCGCTCAATGCCATGAGAAGCTTCTCAAACGATTTACATGCCTTCGCGGGGGAAACACAACTGAAACTGCCCGTAACGAGGTGAGATTTTCACAAGATCAAGAGAATGGCCCGATGGCCAGAGAGGTGCCTTGTTACGAGTCCAAAATCAAAGATGGCTGCCTGTTGCACTCTCTGTGCACGAGAGTAAGGCAAACCGAAGGTGAATGGGAGAGTTAATGTGCTTTCGGGCGACGCCGAAGTCGAGACCACAGAAGGCCCTGTCATGTGCCGGCACGTGAGGGATTACCAAAGTTCGCGAGACGGGGCATTTGCGACTTTGCGCTTCATCCAAGACCTACTACCATGAATGGTACTTAGCGGGAATCTGTGCTTTGGTTGAGCGTGACGAGGGGCTATCCCTCAACACACCTTCAGCTCACTGACAACCGTGTGCTTCTTCGAACGCTCGGTATCGCAAGGGGCTTGGACAGCGACTGCCAGATGCACCGCGCGCTTCCCTTATGGGAGAGATTGCGTCCATCTTTTTGTGAGGGTCTTACGCGAAGTATCGCGAATAGATCGTCGAAATGTGAACCAAACACGATTTCGGCCGGTCCAAGCGGCGACAAGTCCCTGCCGATCCACAGTTTCTGGCCCGCATCACGCCTCGCCTCACAGAAAACTCGGGATCAATTTACACTTTCGACAGGCCCGATCACAATCTAGCTCACGGTTCTTTGGCATGGAAACGACGCAACACTTAGATCGTTCATCTGACCATCCGTGCGTCGCACCTTTGCCTTGGATAGTTAGCACCTTTGTTTACCCATCCAGAAAGTTCACAAAGGTCCGGTTATCGAAGAACCACAAGCCCGTCCCTTCCGCACGATCATTGAGCAACCCAAAACACGCACCGGTAAGAGCCGAACGCGGGTGACGTAACGTAGGCCGCCCGACATCTCACCCAAATGTCCGATATCGATGCGATGGATTGGAGGCTTACAATTTGTATGGGACTGGGCAACGCCCGCCAAACGATCGGTTCGATGGAAGCAGACCCCCCATCATCGTCCCGACCTCGCCGAACACCGCATTTGGCAGGTGCCGGGTGCGCCCACAAGATCCAACACGGATCCGGCGATGGTGGCACACCTGTACAGCGGCGGCCAGATCAAATGCGCGCTGCCTTTTTGGGGAAAAATCGCCGAGGCGGGTGTTGGGCGAGGTCGGAAAAGTCCAACTCCTTCACAAAACGGCAGATCGTAGCCAAAAACCCCCAAATACAAACTTTGAAGCGAAACGGGCATGTACTTCGTGAGATATGTGCCGTACACTACCTGAGGGCGCGCAGTGCCATATGACGCATGTCGGCACATTTCACGAGGATCACGGACGCTCTCCGTCAAAGTTGGTATGCAGACGGGGGTTTTCATGGGCGCTCTACCGTTCTGTAAGGTCGCCGAGACCCGCAGACAATAATGCCTAATGCCCGCCTCGGCGATTTTTCCCAAAAAGGCAGCGCGCAATTGATGTGGCCGCCGCTGTATCAAGCCCGGTGAAGCCAACAAGTGCTGGGGGTTAGGTCACTCAGTTGGTCAGAGAGGATATATTACTTAGGAATACCCTGTCTCTTGTATTGGAATGATGTGAACATGGTTATGCTGACTGGTGTGCATGATCCTCGAGTCGTCTCCTCCCTTGCTTTTGGTATCGAAGGACATCTCTCTGAATCATTTTGAGCAACAATCAGTGAGCTTGCGCTGGGGACACATACGTTCAGTAGCACACAAGACATAAGAGCATAACATCAGTGGATAGCCTAGGACCTCATTCGTGTGGTGTCAGATAGCTAGATACTAAGATAGACTCACACAGGTGAGAATCTCTTGAGTAAATGATAGAAAATCGAGCCCTCGGAGCTCTGAGGCATGAAGGAGAGAGAATAATGCTGGGACGCGTACGCGGACCGGAGCCCGCGCCGTTGGCCGCGTCACGTGAATGGCCAAAAGCGTGACTTTGGCTTGCCCATCACCTGCAGTTTTGCGTGGCGCGATGGACCTGGCATCTCATCGGTCAAGACGGAATATTTCCCTGACCACTATGCCTAGGTTGTGTTGTGAGGAATTCCTCGACCGACAAGTTATCGTCGAGATTATTCTTTTATATCAATGATTATCTGTCGGTCTGACTATTCGTCCCAACAAAACCTGTGTAGCGCCTTTCCGACACAATTTCACCTTTGCCGATGTCGAGCCGGCTAGTGCGCGAAGCGGAAAACTGCATGGACTGCATTCTTGCCGTGGGAGGACCCCTTGTAAACATCGCCAAACTCCGATCATCTGGCGGGCGTTGCCCAGCCCCGCCACGAGAGCCGTCGCAATCCCGCCACGCGGGACCTTCAGGCCGATCCCTTTTAACTCCGGAACGCAGCCCTGAGGTACGTCCCCCCTCGCACACACTCTCTTCGACCATGCCGCTTGTGTGGTGGACCATCCACCGTGCTAGGGCCGGTTTGACATCTCAGGCTTATAGCAACTCGAAGTATACAGTGCTTCTGTGCTGCGAGAGAAGGTACGTACCGAGCTTCATTATCCCCAACGACGGCCTTGAGGTCATTGTATGCAGTAGTGCACGCATGTATGCGCGTCCTAACGCGCATACATGCTACTTCGACGTGCCTCCGCCTCATTTTGAGGCTTCATTGTGAACCTGTATGCTCCGGTGAGCTAACTACCCCTCATTCTTGCGCGCATCGCTGACTCCTTCGGCAGGTTCGATCGAAGGAAAATTAAAGTCGTCGTGTTTGCCATACGTACGATTTCCTGGCGTATGGCTCACCTTTCATGTCGTTAGCTATCCTATTACTTGCTGTATCGTATCAGTAATCGTCACCGCATATATATAGTCTCTTTCTGCTTCATTTGTGCAACCTCATTGCGCGAAACGCGATCGACGATGCGTCTCGAAAGAGCTGAGCAACGCTGGCGCAACTTCGATAGCGGTCAAAGGCCTTGAAGACCTACCGTGTTGCAAAGAAGCTTTGGGAACCTTTCAGGGTTTGCAAAAGCTTTCGTAGCCTTTCGAGTTCATTCGTCCTTCGGCGCTTCCCACATCCAGGTTATTATCGTTCGGACGCGGAAGGCATGAAAGTCTTGATTGACCTTCGGGTACATTTCAGTGCCTACGAAGGTCGCCAAACACTTCGGCCAAAAGCACGATGCAAGGCGCGAGCCTCGGTTCGGGATTTTGGACCATTTTCGTCGCGTGAATCTGGGACTGCTCGATGGGTTGTCGGCGCATTGAGATCGGACCTGCGTCCCAGGCGTCGCTTTCGTTGCACTACAGATTCAGTCTTGAGGGAGAGTTCCCCGGGATGAGTCTCGTTGTCGCTCATAGGGATGATGGAAACGTCGATGACCAGTAGTTGAGCTCGGGCGAGGGGTTTCATCTCCGCAAATTGTCAGATCTCCCATGCGAGAGTCCTGTGCCCGCGAGTGGGGATCTCGCCAGTCGAGTGGGTAGGAGCGAATGCAGAGTGGTCGCCTGTTGGTGACGGCCGGGCGCGGGAGCACTCGGGTAGCGTGTAGAGCGCGTGAGATCGAATAGTCAAGCGCCCGCGTTGGACTGAGACTGTATGACGAGGCGGGAGGCAGCCCTTTCTGTGCCTGCTGCTTGTAGCCTCCCTCCGAGGAGGCTAGTTCGAGCTGCAGACGATGGTAAGAGTGAAGATAATGATTATTCCGTATGCGGCAGGCCGCCTCGCGGCTTGCGATGTATCTAATCTAATGTACAATGTACGTACGAGCGTGACTTGCGAGTACCTGGATGGGGTTTCTGGCCAGGATCCCGACACCCGGATCTGGTGCGCTGTGTATCGAACCTGTCCCATGAATCATATCCGGCGCCCTGGGATCGAACGTCACCGATTTCTAGAGGGTTCTTTCCGGCGCATCAGGATTGGACATTTTGGCGAGTTGTCGGGGGGGGCAGGTCTTGTGCACAAGCAGAGCACGCTTGTAGACTAGTTAACTGGCCCTCGGGCATATACGAGACCTGCCATTGTCGTGCGGGCTGTGTCCTCGATGTTCCACCACGTGGAACACTGCCCGCCCTCGCCGCGTCCCAACGCATCGAACGCTCGCGCCGCCTGTCCGTACTGAACAGTGCCTCGAAAGCAGTCATATATATTGAATCCACATAATCCATGGACTGGGGAAGGGGAAAGGAAGGGAAGGGGAGGTGTAAAAGATAGAAACAGGCGCGGGCGAAAAATGTAAACATTATGCTCGTGCTCAACGTGTGGCCACGGGTCGGTGGCGCGCTCGATGGCGTTAAAAGGGAGAAGGGGGAGGAAGGCGGTATGCGCGCTCGGTAAACATGGGATCGCATCAAACGACGCGTCCGTCCTGTCGATCAAGGGCGATTGGGAGGGCGGCGCTATACGCGCTCTGCATGCGAGAAAGGTGGCGAGGACGAGGATGAGGGGCAGGTGCTCGCGTAGAGGAGCGCGATGGGTGTGCCATCGCCCCCGCGTGCTCTCCCGGTGTCTCCCCCTCCTCGTGACCTCCCAATCTCTTCACAACGGCCCGCCTCAGAGTGATCGCTCTGGAGGGAGCTGACAGGCGGAGGAGGAGCAAGACCTGCAAGACTACGGGGAAAGATGAGTAGAGCGGAAGTGAGGCGAAAAGAACGCGAGCGAGACTTTCGCTTCGCACAGCACATGTGGACGGCGAGAAATGGGATGAGAAGCCACCCGAGCTTTGCGCACCCATTCGCGTCCAGGGACGCGTCCGCGGTCGTCACGTAGCAAGGTTGTGGGAGGGAGGGGAAGGGGCGTTGCTTTGCGCTCCCGCAATCGCGAAAGGTACAGAGCACATGAGGTCGTGGGCATCACCCGGAGGTGCAAGGCAGCAGCACTCACTGGGGTGGCGCAAGTATCGCGGTGAGTACGCGCTCGCCCGCAACCTTGGGCCCTGCACCTCCCTGCCGCATCCGCGCGTTGCTCAGGCACGGATACGACCGCGCGAGAAGCCTCCCAGCCCCTCAGCCCATCCTCGGCGATGGACTGGGAAAGGGGGCGGGTGCGCGGAACGCTGCGACTGCCAAGCAAGAGGTAAAGCGGTCCCGCACGCGATACGCCAAGCAGTACGCTCGGTGGCGCCGAATGCATCCTGCGCGATGCGGCATACCGCGGCGGAGGCGATTGTCCACGACCGCAGGGGGAGGGAGAGAGGGAGGATAAGCGCTGCCCGCCACCCGCGCCGATTGCTATAAGCCGGGGCGTGGGTTGAGGCGCGACGGCCAAAGGGCTATTGAGGGCTAGCCTATGACGCGTAGCGCGCCATACGCAGGACCCTCGCGCCCTCAGACGGCATCTGAGGGCGAAAATGACGGGCACGCGGGGCAATGTTAGCCCCGCTTCCTCCGTCTCTCCCTGCTCTCTCTCGTCCCACTCTCGGGTCTCTCCCCTCTCCGCGACACAATAGAGTAGTGATGAGTGGTATGATTGCGCTCGGGAGGTGTTAACGCACCCGGAACTCCCCTCCTCGTCCGGATCGTGGCCGTCGGCATGGCCATTGTGTCATCGTTCTATGGGGCGCGATCGTGGACGAGCGCGTCGGAGGCGGCTGCTTCGATGTATTTGGTAGAGGGGTGGGGGAGGCACCTGTGAAGGATGGGGAGACGAGGCAGGGGGTCATCGTGGTGGTTGGGACATAGTTGGACGAAGCAGAAATCGACGAGGAACATCGGCCCGAGCAAGCCGTGACATGGATTAGAGACACGACAGAGCACGTTCGTCAACGTCAATCACAGCAAAATTGGGGAGGGAGACCTAGAGATACACTAGCTACGCTCTAGAGTATTTTGAAGCATTTTAGCCAATACAGAGACAATGAAAGACTCGCCTGTCGAATGCTGTGGCAGTGCATCGAGTGATGGGGCTGTGCTAACGGACATTGCCGGGGTCGCACGTGTCTGAACACTGTCCGAAGCTTCACATTGACCGCAAATTAGAGCTTAAGACTCGGATTTACGAGGGGGTATGAGCCAGGTACCACGTTGGAATTTTTGCAGAGGAAAATGACGAAGATGAATGGAAATTTTGAACAACTAACCAGTCGACATCCGGAGCTAACTTTTGATCGACCGCTTGGACGTCTGATCTTGCTTCAGGTCCACCAGTGTAAGACGAGCCTGGCAAGCAGGTCTCGTAATCTTGTCCAGGATATGAAGTGACAACACATGGTCGAAACAATACAGCACCCTACAAGATGCATGATCCAGATGCCTCGTGCATGCTGCTATTTAGGCGGAGCTTGAAATGTCACGCCGTCATGCCGACAGCCATAGTACGAAACTTCACCACTGTGGTCACAGCAGCCCTGCGCGTTCTCTCTCTCTATCACATCGTGCAGGTACGATAAAGTATGAAGGGCAGGGCCCAACTGTTCAAAGAGATCCCTGCAAGAGCTCTCAAGGAGAGAAGAACGACCCAACAGGAATCAGCGCAGCCTCGTGCCGAAGAGGTGCCCGAATCCGACTCGGACGATGGATCTATGGAGTATCAACCCTCTGCAAAGAGGCCTCATAAATCTGCCCCCCTCCCATCGAAGCGGCGCAGAGGTGACTTCAACAAAACGATATCCTCGCCCTCGATGGAAGGATCAGCAGGACCGTCAACTCATCAAGCTGTCCAATCTGGTAAGTATCTACTCTGCTTTTCCATCTGAATATGTCTCATACTATGTAGGAGTGGATGATCAGAATGTGGCGAACAGCCGATTTCTGCAAATCATGCAAAATATCCCGGAGAAAGCGGTGGCCAGCGTGGACGACAGCTTGCCAGCTGCTTGGAAGGATGTTCCTGACGTGGGCCAGACAGATGAGGGCTCGGAAAGCCTGCGCCTTGCGGCGATGAGACACAAGGCCTTTATGCTTGCAAGGAGGGCCAGCGTACAGGGTGAATAATTCTCCTGACTCCCCATTCAATCCCTCACACATTTCAGCCATAATCTCCCAAAGGAAGAAGATAACGCAATCACAAGAGGGTGATTGTTCGTGAATTCGTGGTATTCTTCGAAAGGACATGATTCGAGTCGTTCGAGCTGGTTTAGGAAATGCAAGAAAGGTGGTCAAAAGGCGCTCTATTGACCTGGTAAAAAGAGTCGTTGTAAATATCAGAAGAATTGCGACAAAGAGCCGCCTGTCCTGCATCTTTTTGGGACGCGAATGAGCCCGTTTTCACCACGTACGACTTCCGATAAAGATCAGGATTTCTCTTCATCGACTGCCTATGCAGAAAAGCAAACACTCAATGAAAGCCCCGCTCAAACATGTGTGGCAAAAAGACAATTGTGCCTTGCTCTCAGGGAGATCGTAATCCAGCAAGGCGAAAGCCTACGATGGTGTTCTGTTCCATCAACCGCCGGGACTTCCTCTAGTACATCTTGCGGTGGTATATATTGAGAGCTAGGTATACTGTACCAGCACGACCGTAGCTTCCCTGGGTGTTACGCGTTACGCCGGGAAGATGTTTTGACCTAGCTTCCCAGCCACGAACTGGCGTTACGTTTGGTGATCAGCTTCCCGCCTAATCGCGAAGCAAGAGCTGATTTCGGCTTGCCCTGCGCGACTCGAATGTGTTTTGGATCAACATATGAGAGAGAGAACGAGTAGACCATTGTGAAGTATGTATACTACGCACCTTATGCCGCAGGAAAAGAAAATGCGAAAAAATGCGTATTATTTCATGTCCGTAACGCGCATCCCGAGCTCCCATTACGCGTTACGATGTTGCCCTTAGCTTCCCTTCCTGGTACATCGTCACGCGTTACGGGAAACTACGGTCGTGCTGGTACAGTAGTGCACTCGACATGTTCACCCGATATGTTCACCCGACATGTTTACCCGACATGTTTACCCGACATGTTCACCCGACATGTTTACCCGACATGTTTACCCGGCATCTTTGACCGGGCTTTTTATCGCGTGCAGCCGGGAACGACGAAATTCGACAATCCTTATTGTGCTGTTTAAACTGTAGGTTCGCCTCATAGGTCACAATGACACACTTGGACTGAGCTTAATGCCTAACTGTCGCGGGTCACAGCGGCGGACGAACTGTTTGACATATGGGTCCAGAGCCGAGGACATTGAGCCAGAACTTGTGCTTTGCTTTCAGGGAAATCGTAATCATGCAAGGTCCTGTAGCGTCGAAAGACCACGGTGGTGTTTTGTTCCATCGATCATAAGATTGAGCAGACAGAGTACCGTGAGTAGACAGACCGTACCTCACAATTGTGGTGCCCGCTCACAGGAAGGCCCTGACGAGGCTGCTGTTGAGCGATCACACCCTAGCTGTTGAGGTGCAGGGAAGACCGGACCGCTACCGACACGCAGTAGGCGCAAGGGAGGATCGGCTTCGGCGCTTGTGTAGGGGGCTGTCGAGGACGAGGTACATGCCCTCCTACACTGCCGAGGACATGCTGCATTCATTGATTTGCGCGAGGAATTCTTGCGCAGGCTGGACGAGCTTGGCTTGCAATGCGAGCCTCCTCCTGACGACCATTGGGACTTGCGCCTCATTCGGTGGCTGGCGGAACACAAGCGGGACGATGTTAGGGCTTTATGGGCGCACTTTGTGTACCGCGTTCTTGCAGTTTTTGTTACAGTGCCAATGTTCGTTGTGCCACGCTACAGGAAGAGACTCGTCACGTAGAATACAGATAGCTACATATCCTGGGACTGTGTCTCAGTACCCTCGTGCTAATGTTTCCAATTCGTGAGGCAATGGGTGCAGTCATTAGCGGCATAGACACCTGTATGCCACAGCGATAAGAACGGCGGTGCTCCGTCGCGTAGTTTACTCTCTCCTAGGCTACATAGGACGGATAGGGTCATTCCTTTTTAGGGACCTCCCCCGGAATATATTCAATGATATATACCTTCCTTCCTTCCATGCAGGGATCACGGCGGTTCTCCCTCCGCATGCCCGTGGTCCCTGTATATACAAAGGCTACGCACACATCGCTGTACGTAAAGACTGTACTGAGGAAGAAATCCGTTGGGGGAGGTACCTAAACAGCGACGGTCCATCCACCCTACCCGGCTCGGGGTTACATTTACTTGACGGAGAGCCACATACGCCATCACCGTTCCCGTGGACTCAATCGATGGTGTGGCCGCACGACTAGCGATAATGTCAGGATCCTGGCACGTAGCGCGAGCAGAATACGAAATTGCTAGGCAAGGATGTGCTATACATCTTGACCATGGTTCTCGCACTCAATGTTGGTCTGGAATTAGCTGAAGCTTCATCGTCACTGACACTGTGCAGAGAAGCTGATATGCTGCCCGGCAGGCTAGCCCGACATGTTACCTCGGCATGCTGCACCGGCATGCAGCCCATGCTACGCTGAGCACATAGCTGCCAACGGCACTGATGGATCTGTCCCGTGTGAGGATACCATCATAGCGGGTGTTGCGCGAGCTGGACAGTATCGAGGGATGCCCTCTTCACCGCTTTTCACCCTCGTATAGCCTAGGAACTGAGCGCGCGCCAGTATTCATGCACCTTGTATCCTGCCCTCACGCTCCTCACATGTCTCACGAATGTCAATGGCTCACCAAGCTCCCAAGCAGCCCTTCCCTGACGATGAACTTGAAGCTAACTTGTGAAGCACGTTCAAAGTCTCTTAGCTCCGTCCGTATCAGCTCCTTCACTCCCAACAGATTGCTGGTGGCGACAACTTGTTTTGTGATTATCGCCACAGGGAAAGACAAGACCGCTCGTTTCTTCTTTCGGCCCTCGTCCAGTGTGCACCCACAGTCGGGTAGCTTCACGCGATGATCCACACAGATACATGGTTAGATGCACCCGTATACTTACCGGCTTGACCTTTGTGCTCGTGGAGCGACGCCTGATTTCTGTTCATATGGAACTGGAGCAAACAGCACAGATAGCGGGCAGCGTGAACGCCTGGAGGGAGCACCTGGAGGCTCTGTGCTCAAAATGTACTTCGGCCGGTGCCGGAACTTGAGTAGAGGCTACTATGCGCCGGGGAAGCCCTAACCTGACAAGGCTCAAGCGCGCCGGTCTCGCCTGCCGGGCGCGGACTTCTTTCGTTTGTACGTCCTCCCACTAAACATGAATCAGGGCTGCTCCACGACCAGTGAGGTGACTACGAACCTGACGATTGCTGTAGTAGTAGATATTATGTGGGGCGCCTGAGCGGACTGACTTGCCTTGCTCTTACTAGCCAGTTGTGACTTGTTGGTCCGAGTTTGAGTACCTACGGTCGCACGCTGCACGTCTTCAGGCACTGTTTTCTGTACCCTTAGCATAAGGGCAGCACGTCGAGTCTGTCTACAGTCCACAAGGTCAGATGAGCAGTAATTCTGGTATGTGAGACTTATGTACCGCTCGTGCTCTCCAAAGTCCAGCAATTATCGATTAAGGTGAATCCAAGCTCTAGATCTACACTAGGCGGTGGGTACAGGATCACCAGAGAGGCTGAGAACGCATATGAGGCAGAGTGGAGATTTAGTAACACCCAAAAAAGTTATACACCATGTAACACACCAGTTTCTTACATGTAATTTCATGTCACTAGAGCGTATTACAGCAAGCGAAAGATCGTTAGAGACAAAGTGGACGGTGGAGCACGCGTGATCTGAGTGCCTGTGGAGCACCGCGCCGACAAAGTCCAGGGATAGGCTTGTGGCCGGCCTCCTCAAGAATTGGACACCTACCTGTCGGCATATGGTCAACGGACCATTTGGAGGCAATCCCGAGCTTTTCTAGCTGCCGGAGAGTAGTCGGAACCTTCAGATGTGCTGGGAGGCAGCGCCACGTGCGGCTCCACCAAAGCTCAAATCTCGCGCGCTCCACCAACGCGGTTGTCTCTATCGATCTTTCGCCTGCTGTAGTTAGCATATTTATCAGGTTCCTCACTTACAAAACGCGGCTCCACTTGATGCAGTGGCTAATGCAGAACTTGTAAGGGCTAATGAATATCTTTGTAGAGCAAGAGACATCACCGCTATATGAGCTCTGGCGCGACGATGCGATGGCCTCGTGCGTACTGGGGAGGAACATATCAGGCGGCGAGTATCTTATCGCTCTGGTCGCCATTGGGGCATGCGTGTGGGATATGGCAGTCAGAAGGCGGGAGTCTTGGTGTGCATGCACACAATGGAGGAGGTAGACAGGTTCCCGAAACGCGCATTGGCGTAGAATGCCCCTGGAAGCTTCAAAAACCCCTATTCTTTGAGAAAAGAGAAAAGGCCGTGCGCGCACCGCCCGACAATATCTGAATTTCTGATGGATTTTGCTCGTCGGCAACGGACCTGGTGATTCGGTACGTTGCTTGGCTCCGTAGCACACAGTGATGGGACCGCTTGGGGCAATTCCACCACCACCTCATCCTACGTTGTGTCACATATAGCCAACTCTTGAGTGCCCCATCACCCGTCACAGTCGTTTCCATACATACCGGTAAAGTAGGATAACGTCACCTCATTGTACCTGCCCTCAAGCATGTGTGTGGGATATCATATAAGTACCGGCACCGGCTGCCTGCGCAACCTTGGTCTCGTACTTCATCATGGTGGATCCCCTCGATCAAAGACATCTACTCCGGATTCCGATTGGCGGACCGCAACTCTGTGAGTTGGGATGAATCCAATCGAGATATGCGCACCGAGGAACTGATGCTTCGTAGATAGAACTTACAGTGGAGAATACCGCAGCGTAGCCCCTGGCCAGTTGTACGCTACGTGATCGATGTTCGCCAGACTCGAGGGCTGATACTTGTGACAGGTACTACCTTGTGTCCCACAAGCCTACCATACGGCTCCATATACCGCCTTTCAACGAGGACAATGACGACTCAGACTCCGAAGTCGATTGTGACGAGCCGCCACAACCTTACAAACGCCGTAGCGTCCGACGTGGGAGCAGGGCGCCCTCTCCCGATGTTAGCACTGAGGACCTTGACTCGCAACCAGGTGCTGGCCACGTTCTCATCAAGGGCCATGCCGAGCTCGACATCGTCAGCTCCTATCACTACAACGGCCACCACAATAATACCATTGATGGCCCTGTGGATGGTACGGAGGTCATCCACTTCTACCGCTGCCCTGGCGACTACGGGGAAAAGGGCACATGGGTCGAGAAGTCAGTCGCCATTTAGCTCCGCCAAATGCTTCTCTAATGAAGCTATGCGCAGAAATGTTCGTTGGCCCGAGCTAGTGGCCGTCTCCGGGGGTCGTTACAGGACCCGCGCTATCATGGGTAAGCCGGTACAGTTTGTCCCGCGTCACTGCTAAGGAGGGATTTGTAGAGCAAATGGAGGCCCGCATCCTCATCTTGTATGAGGACAGCCGGCACGAAAACCAGCTGGTTGTTGACAGCGACAGAAAGCCCTGCTTTCCACCTTGCGATGAGAACGATCTGTGGGCCCGCGTCTACCTCGCCAAGCTCAGACAGCCTGCCATAGTGAGTCCCAATAGAATCGCACACTTCCCTCCGGCGTACATGACGTGTCAGACTGTGAGCTGTCGCTGATCGAGTGCTGCAGACAGGCCCGGTCCATAGAGTATGCCTGGAACATGATTGTACGCAAGGACGCGTGTGGGACGTCACGCGCTGTGGCCAAATTCGCTACTGCCCTGCGTGCCATAACTTTTGGCACGCAGGGTGTCTCGGCAAGCCGATGAGCCCCTCGTCTCTCGCGCGCACACATGGGGATCGACTGGAATCCTTTCAGCAGCCCTACCTCTTGTACCTAAGGAGTCACACGTTCAAGAGGGAGGTTGTATGCGTTCCGTGCGTGAGGACGAATACATCTCGGCGAGTGGCAAGAGGTATCCACGACAATTTGGGAAGGGCAGAAATCCCTGAGGACTGCCGATGGAGGGAGGTTGCGGCTCTACCCATTCGACGCCGTACGAGGCCGGGCAGAACTCCTCTCACCAACGAGGTCCTGATCCTGCATGCGCGAGAGAGGGTTTTGGCCGGCAACGGGGACGATGACGTCCCGAACCTGCACCAGCTTTTCATCATCGACGGGTTGAGTCCGCAGGCGGCTGTTCGCGGGGCAATATACACACCCAGGAAGGACATTCGGAAGCTTCGGGGTGACACTATGCGTTTCTTTTTCTGTCCTGATTGCAAGGACAAGATGATAGAGTGTATTTGCAGCCCCGCTAGCAAAATATTCCCACGACCCCATCCTCCCGCCTCCGTGCAACCTCTTCGTCTTCGAGTGCCCTCGAGAAAAATCAGGCAACCATCCGATGTAGAATTGAACTCATATGCCAAGTTTCGCAGTGGAATTTGGAGGGGAAGGCAGAGGGCTGGGCGAGGATGGTCGACCGAATATGGCAGGTGCCCGCTAGCAAAACGGGAAAAAGGCCTAAAACCCCCGTTGCAAATACAGTCTACATAATATAGAATGCGTATGTTGTGTGGAGTGTGACGTATATGGTATTGCTTGTTCTGAACCTTTTGATCGCGAGGACGGATATTCCCATCCAAAATTTCAGGCGAGGCCCGGAGATATCCTGTCCTGAAGTGACTCAGGGGAATTAGCATGCAGATAGCAGCATTCGCTTGTGCAGTCATCATATCCAAAGCTGTGACTCTAGCTTTGCCTCTCACTCGGCTCTCTTGCCGCATGGCGTGTGACAGACGGCTTTACGGTCGCATCGTTGTGGCAAGGATTGGTGAAAGGTTTTGAGAGACTGCCTGGGTCAGACGGCGAACATTTGCGTGCACGCGCGGTACTGGGCCCATCGTCCGGTCAATGTGTCGGTGGGTCGGGAGCGTCTGCTGGATCTGGCACGTCGAGGTCCATCTCGATCCTCTCGTCGAATGTCAATGGCAATGCTCAGCTCTATTTCTGGAACCCACGCTTCCGTGCGGAGCTCGAGTCTGACGACGTATGTATGCTGCGAGAGTCGTGGCTGCGACCCGGTCAGGACGTCGTTCTGCACGTGCCGAAGGGATGGTTACTTGCAGTGAAAGGCCAGGAGGACGAGTTGCCAAGACTGTAACACAGGGGGAAAGGTCCATGGCAGCTGAAACGGCCTGCCATACTGGCAGTGGTGCTGGCAGGTGAACCATCTTAGCGTGGGCTCGTGCAGGACTCATGGTGTGTTCGAAAACGGTAGCTTCTTCGGCATTTCCCGAAATTGGCCGTACGCGCCGGCAACTCTCTACTGTGCCGGTATGTATGGAGGCAACCGGTAGGGGGTGCGTTCCGCTAACAACCCTCCGCTAGTAGGCAAACGACCCCCACGTTAGGCGTTACGGTTAGTTGAATAGGCAACCATTCAAGGTAGATTTGGATACTTGCTAGGCGGAAAGTAGACGTACAGCAGCAGGAAGGCTCCGATGCAGCAGTTACGACATAAACAGCCTATTTCGGAGCGAAAAAAACTGTTCGGGTCGCGCCGAGAAATATTCGAATTTTCGTCGATTTTTGCGCGATGGCAACCACCCCCTCCGTTATGCGTTACTTTCTTATAGATAGCCAACTTTTTGGGCCCGCGTTACGCGTTACGGTTTCCTCCATACATACCGGTACAGTAATTGATGCGTGTCCCCTTCACCGCTCATTGTGTGTGCTTCCTGCATTTCTAGCAGCTAAAGAGGACTACCGTGTACTATGAAGGTCGTAGGGGACTCTATGTATGTCCTGTAGGCCACGGCGATCGCTGGGAAGGGTTCTGGGGTGCGCCAGGCTAGCCCCGGAGGTGGACCGCGGGGTCCGGGGCCGTTCTGGGGGCAAGTAAGCCATAATAATCTGCGAAAATGTTGTCGTCCGCTACGACGCAATATCATGGAATGCTCTATACGTCATGAAATTGAGATACAGGATTTTTGCCAAGTTGACGGCCTTGCAGAGAAGTGAGAATGTGATGAACTGAATGAAATGGCTATAATTTCGCAGCCGATCTGCGGAGACTTAGAGCCACGTGCGCGCCCGTCCTGTGTTCATGCACCCGACGCGTGTTGCTGATAACACAAAGGCCAGCTGCCACCACAACTGCCAGTATGGCAGGCCGTTTCAGCTGCCATGGTGCTTGCCCCTGTGTAAGGCTCAGGCAGATTGGTTTCGTGTTGACGATCGTCCACAGGCGGCGGAATTTTGCGCTAGCGCGTGATCCATAATTCTGCTCTGCATCATGCGTGCATGCTTGGACACTCTCCTTCGTATCAGCAGCTGTCACAGTGCTCTGCCTGCATGCCTCGATGCCGCTCAAGGCGGCAGGGATGTCAACGGAACCGCCCTCCTGAGCACGCACTGCGAGGCCTTCTCATGGTAGCGCCAGAGCTGAAACGTCGCAAGGTTTGTCAGTCAAAGTCCGCCCTCGACGTGGATATATACGTATAAGACGGAAGTGAAAGTGTTTTGGGACGAGTGAATAGTGAAAGTGCCAGTCGGTGAAAGTGAAAGTCGGTTGACTTTCACGTGCTGACATCATTTGCTGCTATTGTTTGCCGGGCGGGGTTGTTCGCGTGTCACGGGCGCCGATCACGCTTGCTTTCCTACGCTCGCGCGCCTGTCATCTCCTCGCTCGCAACTCGTTCTCGCCAGTCCCGCCGTTACTAGTGTAAACGTCCCAACATGCCCACACTCTTTCCTGACGATTCGGAGGCCCTTGCCGCGCTCATCGAGGTGTATGGAGAGGGGATAGTCGACCAGTATGCAAAGGCGGTGCGTGTCCCGTGTTTACCTCGCTGCCCCTTGCTGAGCTTCAATCTGCAGACGTTTCCCACTGTTCTGATCAAGCTCAGGAACCTGACTGCAAAGAACGCGTCCAAGTGGATCAAAATTCAGAGGTTCACGGACTGGATCGTCACAGCCAGCCAGGATCTGGACGACACCCTTCCCGCCGGCCAGAACAACACGGCTCTCGCCCTCGACAGCACTCCTTTAGCTAGCTCAGGAACGCCTTTACGCTCTCGCGCGAACATCCCCTTCAACACGCCTATCAACAACACCTTGCAGACTACGTCCGCCTTTACTCTTGGGAAGAGTTAGACATAGTCTTTGGCCTATATTATGATGCTCCAGGCATGTCTTCTCATCCTCCGTTGGTGTAAAGCCTTGGGCGGCGTCTGTACACGTTCGGCCCTGAGGTCCGGCAGCATAGGGGCGCGTTGAAAAAGGTGAGTACCATATCCTCGGGGTCGGGCCATCGGACTCATCGATGACGTACGAACATACAGGTAACATCTCCTATGTGCAGATCGATGGAGAATAATGCTGCGACCAACGTCGATGTATGTCGAAAGGGTAGGTAAGTAGGCAGATCTCTCCTCAGGCGAGGGCCTGCCCTATCTGCCCTAGTAGACTGTGGGCTGGCACCATGATCGCGTGCGCTCTGACATCCCTGTCCACATCAACCGTCCCTGGGGTCTCACGTACGCGATAATGATGCGGAAGAGGCAACGAGTCCCATGCACGCATTGTTCGGGAACAGCAAAGGAGTAACAGTTATACGCAGGAAAGCGCCGTGCAGCAAAGGAGGCGATAGCGGCAGGCGGTCCCGCCACCACGGACTACATGACCTCCTTGTCGATTGTCTGCCCTAACCGCGGCATCGTGGACTGCAATCCTGCAAGCAACTCACCACGGAGCTGCTCTAGTTCGTTGTCACCATCGCAATGTAGGAGAGCTAGCACCTCATCCTTCACCGCAGACCGACACTGCTGGCAGATGCGAAGGTCGCGATCCAATCGTGGTCGATACTGCGAAGCGCGTCGCAATTGTTCGATTGGGATGGACCGAGATCGGCGGATATTCGTTTGACCGTGGCATGCTGAGCTCCCTGTTATGCAGGAGTTGTGCTTGCCCTCCCCGCTGCTCAGGACAACAAGCTAGGTGCCTTTGCATATTCAACGCAACGCTTATAAGCGCCGGTTTGCGGCACAGGCGTTGGCGAAAATCTTGAGAAGAGGCAAGTACATCCGGCTCTAACCGTTGTCCACGACATCCTAACCCTCGCAGATGAGCGACAATTCGCTCAGGCGGCTCTATATATCGACTTCAAGGACGCCGGCATTCCCATTCCCGAACTGGCGCATACATCCGTGAGTATCGCGTGTTTCCGAGTCGTCCAAAGGATGGCAATTGCTTCAAAGTCGGTCCTTGTTAACATGCTGATTGATTTGCTACTATGGCGCTACGACAGGCGCTTCAGCGAGACAATCAGCAATTTCGACGCTTTCGTGCGACCCCTCGCATTTGGGATTGTCCGCGCGCATACTGACGAGACGCCTATGTGCCGCATTCCAACAAGTCAGCACGTTTCAGGCTTTTTGGCCGGATTGGCTGAACAAGTGGATTTGTTTTCCATATGTATCGATGTACGCTTCGTGGCCTGGCTCATCTGACACGGCTTGAGCTCGCACAGTGGAGGTATTTTGCCTCGAGCGGTTCTTTTTTCGCTGCTGACTGCTAGCAGGTCTTTGCTATCTTCTCTTTCTCGATGAAGCATCCCCCAGAACTCATCCCGGATACACCACCTTGGCGTCTACAGTGGCGAGTTGACGCCCAAGCGCTGCGATGTGCTTGGCGACAACGCGTGTCTGTGCAAGCATCAATCGAACTCATCCATGGTTCGGGTGGGCAGATGATGCACGAGACCTATGGCAGGTCTCGTGTATGCCACTGAACTAGTCCGTGACTGGAAGATGCCCACCAAGACACATCACCCTGTCAAAGGACCCTACTTTTCCTCATGACCGCCCAACTATCCCGCAGTGGCCATGTCGGTCACCTCACAGAAAAGTTCACGCCCCCAATAAGGACAAGTCTATTTATGTGCTTCTGGCTAATAGGCTATCGGAGAAGTACAGCTTGTACTGAATGGTGGGATGCGGACCTTTGTGGCGTTCATCAGCGATGCCGGCACGGCCACGCTTCTTGCGTGTATTTAACTACACACGCCGTCTTCACACCCTGACTCCGTCCCGCATCAGGTACTGCCAGCTCGCTTGTGTACCCCAAGGCCTCCCAGAGGTGCGCACTTTGCATATCGTATGGGCAGCACTGATCGAACGACGTGTAGTATGCCGCCGGAGGATCAGGGACTCGTGACTTATCGCTGCGTGCACACTTGTGGCCCTAGATTTGCTTGTCCTTGGGCCAAAACAGATTCTCATACCAGTGGCCGCTGGAGCCACAGCAGAGTCCATCGAAGACACAAGGAACCGAACCCGCCAGGATGCGAGAGCGGTCGTTGTTCCGGCTACAACGTGATAGACAGACAGGAGTTGATGATCCCGGTCGACCCCCGTCCCCTGGCTTCCGAGGCACTGCGGCATGCAAACATGACCGTCTTGTTTGTCGCGGACCCCGTCCTGGGCCGCAGCGTGCATGATATCAAGGACGACACGACGACGTTCTTACATGTTGGCGTAGAGAACGCCACTCACGCGCAGCTCCTCGAGCTTGAGGAAATCGCGCCTGGGTCCGTCTCATCCCAGCTTCCGCCAGGTGTTTCAGCGGACACTGACCCGCCTGCGGGTGTGACGACAACTACGGTGGCTATGTGGGAGTGGGTGAGTTATTCATGCTCCCCGTCAGTAACGCATCCTCGCCGATGAAAAACCAGGTTCGAGCCGCGGTTGAGCTCAAGAAATTTGGCGCAAAGGTTGTGGGGCTTCCGTACGACATCTTCATCCGCGCGATGCTTGACCCGATACGCAATGCCGACGTCTTCAGCGCCATGAAAAAAGCCGACTTGATACTGGGTGGGCCCGCGCTCAACGAGGACTTCACGTGAGACTCATCATTTCGTTCGGTATCGGCCGAATCTCAAGCTGACGCCGAGCAGTAATCCGCTGTACAGGATACAGAGTGAAGATGACCTTGACAGCTTCTTGGCGTCGGCACATCAACTGCGACCTTATACGGTCATGTTCCCGGACCCTATGGACCTGCTAATCGCAGGTGAGAAGGCGGCGCTGGCCTACCACCTCGACATCATCTCGCGAGGGATGGAAACGTTCAGACCATTCACTATGGCCTGCAACGACGAGCAGATCATCGCCACGAACGACATGGTCTTCAAGCGCAGTTTCTCGGCAAGGTCCGACCAGGTCATCATCAACAGGCGGGCGTCAGGCGACCGCGTGACGCGAGACCGCACACAATTCGACTTCATCAACCGGAGTTGGATCAAGCAGGCGTTCCTGAAGGATTTGATCGCTCCCCGCTTCGGCGAACTACGAGCGTATGTAGTTTGGGGACAGGTCACCCGAGTCATACAGACTTGCCCATGGGATGGGTCTATTTGGGGCACAGACACGAGGGGCCGTTGCATGACTCGGGCAGGCGCTTCGTGTGTTCTTTCTCTTTGCAATTGTCTCTGAATCTGTTGATTCCTGATTTCTGCCTAGAAAAGTTACGGCGCCAACGCCTGATGGCCACAACCAGACATGGAGCCGACAGACCGGCGTCCATCACGACATGCAAACTCTGACCGACGGGCATGAAGAGCTGCGCGAATTCGTGCTCGAGGTCGTACAACGGCTCGTGGGGCTGGAGAAGAAGATGTACGGGAGGACACACTCGGACCTCGAACTCTTCTGTCGGGTTGACATAGGCATCGTCTGCAGCGGTGGAGCTGCTCATTACTTCGTGAACGAAGTCGAGAGGGGATTGGCGACCTGCATGTGGGGTTGGACACATTGGCCGGAGGCAGTTGGAGATTTCAAGCGGGTAGCGTCGAGGCTTCCTGAGTTCGTGAGCCGGGTGAAGGCTACGCAGGCTCCTGAAGGGGTACTTTGAGGGCCGCTTTTGTCTTAGAGGATCATATACAGAGTGTGCGGATTGGCTTGCGATTGGCTATAGCTCGAAGGGGGAATAAATGCGCAAGGCGATTGGCGGTACAATGGACTTACGACTGCTGCACTGCTGGCTCACTTGACGCGCAGCGCAGCGTCTCGAAGCCTCGGAAAATGACCCGCGTGACGAGGCGGTTGAGGATGCCCAGAGCCGCGCGAGATGTACCAGGCCGTGAGCGAGGTCATATAGCCCACGTCCGTGGACAGCAAAGTCATGAGAGGATTCCTGACCTGCTGCTGGGCAGGTTACAAAGGCGGTGTAGCCGGGACTTTCTCTAGTACATCTTGCGCAGGTATATATTGAGACCTAGGTATAGTGTACCCGACATGTTTACCCGACATGTTTACCCGACATGTTTACCCGACATGTTTACCCGACATGTTTACCCGACATGTTTACCCGACATCCTTGACCGGGCCTTCTATTGCGTGCAGCCGGGGACGACGAAATTCGACAATCCTTATTGTGCCGTTCGACCGTAGGTTTGCCTCACATGTCACAATGGCACCCTTGGACTGAGCTTAACGCCTAACTGTCACGGGTCATAGCGGCGGACGAACTGTTTGACATATGGGTCCAGAGCGAGGACATTGAGCCAGAACTCGCAATTTCTGCACCCTACGGGCGCTGGTATGTGTTCCATTGTCATGCGGCCATTGCGGGACTCTATCGGTCCCTACCGTCATCATCCATAATCCTTATCCGTGTTGTTCTTCGAGGGTCTAGCTCACTTGGTACATGCACAGCCTTCAGTTTGTCAATTTGGTCAACGGATTAGGAACGCGCAAACCCCCGTAGGCGTCGACGAGCCAGGTCATTTCCAGAGCTGTCCTGTCGCCCCTTTTGATGGGGGCGTAGCGTCCAAATTCGGAGGGTATGGCTTCTGTCCTTCGGCGGCAGCCAGATCAATTGCACGCTGTCTTTTTGAGAAAAAAAAATCTCCGTGGCGGGTGTTGGGCGTGGTCAAGAAAATTCAGCTCCTTCATAATGCAGCATGATTTCGACCGTAGGCTCGCTGGGTGTGACCGGGTCAACTTGCTTAAGTTCAAGTTCATGAGCCAAAATCAAGTATGACACGGTGCGATCAGGTTCACAAGCACAAGTCCGCGTGTAGTGCTGCCGACTTGCATCCGTCCTCAGTCGCACGGCAAACATGACACTTGCTCAGCCATTAATCATTGGCATTGGTGGTGGTGCCTTTGATACCGTCGTTTCATAAATCCTTGCTTTGATCCCAAAAGTGCCGCGATCAAAATCGAAAAATGCAGGAAAATCGAGGAAGTCGCGCAGACGCTCAACGGGGGGCGCTCGCCGTCCAAGAAATTCACAGATGTATCTACTTGGATCTCATCGACGCCCACTCGCAGCAGCGACGCCCCAGCGTCGAGGAGGAGAGGTGCTGGCTGGCGGCGACGCTCGGGGAACCGGCCCGGAAAGGCCGGACGTCCCCCACCTCCCGACGCCGCCGCCTCCCGGCATGCTCGTCGTGCCCTGGCCATTAATCCTGTTTGGTGTCAATATCGGAAGATCCATGTGCAGGAAGACTGCATTTGCTGACACTGCATGACCTTGGAAGCAATTTTTGCTATTCATGGCGCCCGATGAATCGATTCAACACCCATCATTGTTATATACAGTGTAACACCTCAGTTTCTGATATGTAACTTGATGCTCATAACACAGGAGTCAATAACATCGTTACTTACAGCCGTAAGTAACTAGTTACGTGTACCTTACTAACATCGGCCTCAAGGAGTTTTATACCGAGCTCTGCTCCGGAACGCGTACAATGACAGTCTACGTCGTAGCACCGGAACCCTGTATGGTGCTCAAGGGACCGCTTGGGTCATACAGCCCAGTGCAGCCCTGTCCGTCGTCGACCTCACCATTCGAGAATGATACGCGGTGGGATGTCTGTGGGCTGTGAGCTCAAGAAAAATGAAGGAGGCGGAGAATGAGGAGCAGGAGCAGGAGAAGGAGCATGAGATCGAACCTGGTGAAAAGTGAATTTCCGTATCTGCTCTGGGACATGCACTCTGCAGGGCTGCCAGTGAGGCTCCACAATCGACCTCCTTATCCGTCTCATTAGCTTCACTGGCCCAGAGGAGGATCTTGATGGAATGAAGGCTCTGCCAGGCTACATGCTTGCATATGACTGAGACCACCATCTGAAGACCCTCTCCTAGAAGATCATGAACGATTTCCGGTCCGCCAATGCAGCTTAGTCCAACGACCAGGTGCGTGATGTTGGGTGCTTTGAAGAACATTTCTGTGATCCATGATGCCGAATCGGACAGATTTCCCAGCTTTTCATCGTGTTTCAAAAATAGATGGAGAGCAGCCAGGTCCGGAAAGGTGACATCGGTCACCAGTGACATCAACCCTACACATCAAGGTGTTGGCCAGTCCTCCATGAGAACTGAGGAGGTAGAAAGTCCATCAAGGTCACTCACCCGTGCTCAATGGACCACTCAGCGGTGCATTGCTTAAGGCAAGGCCTCGCAGGGTGATCGGCGCACCTCTCATGTATCTCGCGGCCTCCTCTCCAGCGGTGCGACAGTGAGGAGATAGATGTAGATAGAGACGCTCCAGATGGCCAAGATGGAACACATGGTATCCGGCATCAGAGAGAGAGAGAATTTTGGTGCTGAATGCGTGTCCGATCTGCGTAGGCACTGACAGAGTGCGCAGAGGCGAGAGGGCAGATGACTTCCATTTCTGTGGCGCCACAGGAGTTATTTGGAGTATATCTGCCTGCTAAAATCAGACAGACTTGAAGAATCTGCATATGTATGTTGGTTGACGGACCTTGGAATATATTCTGGCTTTGGTCGAAGCATCCAAGCTGAATGGGTCATTCGTACAGAAGTTTGGGAGCAAAAGATGTTCAATCTTCGTGGGTCCGGAAAAGATCGCCATGTCCAGGTAACAGAGTCCCTCGAATGCCAACTTAGACAGACCTGAGCGCAATATGCAGGACAGCAAAGGCTCATCTGCACCAGCATCTGCGAATATCGTGTGATACAGAGCTGTTGACTTATTCCAGCACTGGATATCCAGAGTCTCCAGGCCTTGTCGAGATAGCTCGACGATGATGCTGCTCCATATATTGCAGGCCCCCATCCACCGGTAGGGATGGTCCAAGATGTGGAGGGTGCGAACGCGAGGTAGGAGACGGAGTTTGCTTGGTTTCATGGCACGAAAGAACCGCTTGGCAATGTCTGGGTTAGGCAGCCAGACCTCCCGGTATAGGATACGAAGTGCAATGTGGTGAAGAGACCTCGATGCCGAGGAGCAGGATGCGAGAGTTCCCATCGCACCGTCGGCCTGCAGCTCAGCTAGGATGCAGGCTTTGATCTCGGTGGGAAGAGGGTCATCAGATGACGTACTCATGGCCGTTGGCTGATGGAGTGGAAGGAGAAAGGGATGGCTGGAAAAAGCGGTTCAGTAGAGGTATTGTCGGAGTCTGAATACAAACTGTACAGTGATCATGACCTCTTCTAGGTTGAGTACCAGCTCGCGAAACCAGGAGGCACTGGAATTTCGTATGCTCAGAATGAATAAATAGAGGAATCCACGGCTTCGCCGGCCGCAAACGGGTGAAGCCCTCATAGCCCATACTTCCAGGAACGCTTCCGGGGGGCGACTGCTGATAGCTTGCGCACTCAACACTATATAAATCGGGGAGAATAACGCTCGAATTTCATATCCCAGAGTTGGCTTGACTTCGGCGTGCCTACAACGGGCCTGGGAGGCGCTCCGATGGTCATGATTCATAAGGGATTTGTGTGTGCCTTGCTTGAATCCCGCGCATAGAGTATGGAGTCATGCTACCGTACCGTTGTCGTTGATAGGGCAGTGCGGTACAGGACTTGTGTACGCACTTGACTGCGCAATGACCAGTACTGTCGTCGGAACGAAATCAATATGACACGGGAAGTACCTCGCAAGCAATATGACATCGAGAGGTCCTTTCGTGGCAGAGCCCGCTACCATTAAGGGCTTGCAGGCGCTCAGTGCACGTGCCAAGGTTGGCACACGTGCCTGGGCGAGACCCCCAGTCCAAATCAGGAAGGCGGGCAGTTGAACCTGCTTGCTTCGACCATCGCCCGAGTATCTCTCCTGCGTATACTATCTCGACCAAATGTATAGCTCGGACCGTGCCGCTGCAAGTTCTCGGGTAAAAAGGAGAGCCCGGATGGCACTTCGAAGAACTCGGGACGACTTTCGACTGCTCGGGCGACACTTCATAAGTTCTCGGGGCGAAAGAGGGCGCCGTCGGTGATACTTGATGAGCTCTCATAGCGCGCACTATGGTAGTATGCTACGATTGAAGTAGAATGCTTGCTTCTTCAGGTAGTTCCGGGTCGATTTCATTTTTTTTGACAGAATTAACAGCATAGACCCCCACGGTAGGCGTTACGGTTGGTTGAATAGGCAACCATTCAAGGTAGATTTGGATACTTGCTAGGCGGAAAGTAGACGTACAGCAGCAGGAAGGCTTCGATGCAGCAGTTACGACATACACAGCCTATTTCGGAGCGAAAAAAACTGTTCGGGCCGCGCCGAGAAATATTCGAATTTTTGTCGATTTTTGCGCGATGGCAACCACCCCCTCCGTTATGCGTTACTTTCTTCTGAATAGCTAACTTTTTGGGCCCGCGTTACGCGCTACGGTTGCCTCCATACATACCGGTACAGTAGTATCGTTCAAGTCACGAGAATGATTCGAGCATCCTTTAACAGCGTGACACATACTTCGGCTTTCAATTATAACTCAACAGAGTGTATTCGCCCGTTAATAATCTCATTGTGAGCATGCTAAATCGTTTCTGAATCTTCAAAGCATTTCTGTAGCAAGACTGACCAGATTCGAAATCTTAGCAGTGGCTCGCGGCGAGCTGGCTAGCGCGACCCTTCCTGTACCGCTCGTGCTTCGAATTCTCAAGGCGAGACTTGGCAGACAATCTCCGACAACTGTTGAGCACCGCCCGCCGTCGTATAGCAGCGTGAAGACAAGGTGGTTGGAGGGCTGCTTGCGCTTGCGAGTGCAGAGCCCATCGATGGTTTTCGTAACATACCAAAACAAATTTGTAGTATAAATATGTTCGGTGCTCAATTGAATTCGTATGTACCGATTTTGGATCCTGAATTTTCAATGGGCGAATACACTCTTAACGTCACCTCTCAAGGACTCTCGGGACCTTCAACCGACTTCCCGGCCGCTGCCAAAACCCTTCGCGCACCTGGGAAGACGCTCGAAAGGCCCCAGTCAGCTTCCATGATAGCCTTGAATCTCGTGGGGGATGAGAGAAAAACTACAGGAGGGTCATGACTCAAAGCGTCACGCATTCCCAGCAAGAGAGTCTGCCGGTGCTTTGACCGGCACTGCAACGTGTTCCCCGTGAGAAGAAAGAGGATTAGCCAGCCCTCAAGTGTGCATGTACATCATATGACTACGTCACCTTCTCTTACCTCCTGCGCCCATCACGGTCGCAATGTCACATAGGCTTTCCCCAGGGCGACCAAGACCGGCAATCTGTGCGCTTTCCAATTCCAGAGGGCACGCTCATGCTAACGTGCTCAGACTGGTCGGTGAATGATCAGACAACGTCGTCCACTCTCGCAAGCCCCGGAGACGTGTGAGCTTCGCCCAGCTCTGCCTTATATAGCACGTAACCGATCGTCTTGCAAATGCTATCAGCGTTATACTACACAGACCAGGCTCGCCACCATACCTCGAGCTTTATCCCTTCGACCTGGACAATGACGATAGCGACTCCGAGGTGGGAGTTGAGGATCCTTCACAACGATCAACGCCCTTCGAGCCTTCGCCCGACGAAACTTGGGAGGACATTCTGCCCGAGGACCAGCGGCGAGCGATGGAGCCCCCTACCAATCTCGGGATTGTCATCGGTCCAGCGTGGTCTAGAGGTCGTGCCGATGACTTCGAGGATAGCGACGGGGACAAAATTAGCCCCCCGGCGATAGCAGTTGCATTGCTGGCCAGATGTCCAGCAGATCTGGGTCCGGACTGCCATAACTTATATATGTAAGCTAAGCCTGTATCATCTGCTCCTGGGAATTGCCAATGATCTGACAATACATAGCTCCTCAAGGTGGCCGGAGATGATTGCTTGTCCTACCGAGTGCGTTTCGGCAGCAATGGTTCTAGGTGAGCTACACATGCTTTGCCGCTCGATGACACGCCGACCGCAAGCCTTTCAGAGACGACAGTATATCATCCCGTCATCTTGAGCAATGGCAGCTTTGCGCAGGAAAATCATATGATCATGAACGCAGCGGGCAGTCCCGCATTTCCTCCGTGCGACATCAATGACCTTTGGGTCCGTTATTCCCTACCTCCAGGCAGACATGATGTTGTGAGTGAGCCATAATCGTTCTCTCCCTTTCCCTCTCTGTCTCTGTCTCTCTGTGCGTGTCTGCCTACACCAACATATCATCTCTCTTTCAGTCCAGTCTGGCGGTCATGTGCACGGGAGACCTGTGCAAGCGCGGAGCAGTATGGAGGCCTGCACTGGCCGGGCAAATCCGTTACTGTCGCAGGTGCAAGGAATGGTTCCACATCGCCTGCCTTGCAGTCTCCGAAATATCAAGCGCGGAGGAACTGTCAAGCTACGGGGAAAACCTTGAGGCCTTTGGCCAGGATTACCTACGACCCCTGACGTTGGCCGAGCACAAGGAGAGCAACCTCTACGTTGCACACACCCCTGCACCAGCGGATGTAGCAGCTGAGGCTGACAGGCACGACTTTGCGAACCACGTCCAGCAGGCGTCGACCACCTGGGAAGAGGTCGCCTGTCTCCCCCTTCGTCGCCGAACGTCACCTGCCTGTACGCCACAGACGAATGAAGTCCTCATTCAGCACGCTGTAGAGAGAGTGAGGAGAGGCGAGGGCAGAGAAGATGTGCCGGATTTATATCAGATCCTTATTGAGCAGGAAGTATGCAAGCAGGCAAGTGTCCGCGGGGCAAAAATAATCCTGAACAAGGATTTGCGTAAACTGAGAGGGCAGACCATGCGTTTCTTCATTTGTATTGGCTGTGGGGCTCAGATTGTGTAGTCAATATAACTCATACTCTCTAGTGATACACTGTGTCCAGTTGTACAAATTGGTGTGAGCGGGAGTGTGCCGATCAGCATGTAATGTGCTGATGGGGAAGCTAGATGTAGATCAAGGTTGAGCCTGTGAGGCCTTTCTGGGTCAAGTGAGAGGTCGCCAGACGTGCAGTGGCAGCCGAATTAATTACGAGCTTCATTGTTGGAACAGAGCGCCAATCTGGCCAGGTGATCGCCTCCTAGCGCCAGGAGATATACGCAGTATATCGCAGTAGACCGTATTTGCACCGGCTTTATGTCCACTTTTGGATGTACAAAATGGCTCCACTCTTGATGCAGAACTCATTCATAATTTCGATAGTTTTCGAGGTGCCAAATGAATACTGAAGCAGCTTCAATATAGTGGTCGTTCCAGGGGCGCTGTCTCACGCTTCCTCGGGCCCACCGAACACGCCATAGACAGTGGTAAAAGTCGTACAAAGGTACGGCTGTGCTGGGCAGAGGCCCTCCATCAGAGGCCTCTACCTTCATTGGTATGCGTGCGCACGTCTCTCCCTGGCTAAGCCTTCACACGCGATGTTAGCCGCTCGAAAAGGAACCGAGGACAATAGAGTTTGAATGTCCGAAATTCGATATCAGCGCAATATTTGTTTAGAGCCAAGGTTTCAATGTTTTCTGCTCGGGTCCGAGTTCAATGAAAAGCCAATATATACCGGTGCAAATACAGTGGCGGCAAGATCAATTGCGCGGTTCCTTTTTGGGAAAGATCGCCGAGGTGAGGGTTAGCGGTGTTCGACGGGTCTCGGCAGCCTCACAGAACGGTAGAGCGCCGTTTGAGACCCCCGTATACAAGATATCGTGCGGAAAGACCAAAGCATAAGTCCTGTTTCTTCGCATTATCTAACGCGACTCGAATTCGATCGACGGCAACACTTTCGTCCCGCTTTCTGTAGAATTGCGCTCTGGCTTGGGCTGCTTCGGCCTTGGCCGATGTTGGCGGTTGGGCTGAAGCCGCCTCGCAATAGGCACGTTCAAAGTTGAAACCGTAACCGACGGTTGCGGTTCGGCCTCAGGTCCGAGCCCTCGCGGCACATTCCGAAGAGGGCTGCCTGCTTCGCCTGGCGTCGTGTTCACGGTTCGCCCTGGCCACGGCGGCCTGTATCCTACTGACGGTGCGCCTCCGCTTGTAGCGCTTCTCAAAACGTGCACACACAGACCCACACGCACACACACACACGCACACACACCTTCGTACGAACTTTATTACAACGAAACGGTGTGAATCTCGCTCACACGGTGCTCAGTTGACCCCTCCTGAGGGCACGATGTGCTCGTCCTACTCGTTCAGTCGATGTGTGATCTTGTAAGCAGGTGGCTATAATATTAATACTCCTTGAGGCGCTCCCTTCTACCCATACTGCCTGTATACTGTACCGGTATGTATGGAGGCAACCGCAACGCGTAACGCGGGCCCGAAAAGTTGGCTATCTAGAAGAAATTACGCATAACGGAGGGGGTGGTTGCCATCGCGCAAAAATCGACGAAAATTCGAATATTTTTTGGCGCGACCCAGACGGTCTTTTTCGCTCCGAAATAGGCTGTTTGTATCGTAACTGTTGTATCGGAGCCTTCCTGCTGCTGTACGTCCAATCTCCGCCTAGCAAGTTCTAAATCTACCTTGAATGGTTGCCTATTCAACTGACCGTAACGCGTAACGTGGGGGGTCGGTTGCCTAATAGAGGAGGGTTGTTAGCGTAACGCACCCCCTACCGATTGCCTCCATACATACCGGTACAGTATTGCCGGCGGGCTCGAGCCCACCTTCCCGAACAAGGAGGCGGGTCGCATCCCGAGCCCGTTGCCACGTGAGGTGCCGACCAGCACGTGAGGCGGATCATGCGTCCGGAACCATCCACAGGTCGCATATCAGACTGTATTTGCAACGGGGGTTTTAGGCCTTTTTCCCGTTTTGCTAGCGGGCACCTGCCATATTCGGTCGACCATCCTCCCCCAGCCCTCTGCCTTCCCCTCCAAATTTTACTGCGAAACTTGGCATATGCGTTCAATTCTACGTCAGATGGTGGCCTGATTTTTCTCGAGGGCACTCGAAGACGAAGAGGTTGCACGGAGGCGGGAGGATGGGGTCGTGGGAATATTTTGCTAGCGAGGCTGCAAATACACTCTATCGCATATAGACTCTCGGCTCAATCATCCCTGAGGCCTAAGCTGTACTACTGATACTTAAGAGCAGCGGGGAGCCCTTCACTCGTACCCTTCCTGGCTTCTGGTGTGTTTTTCCTCGAGTGAGATTAAGCACGGCGAACGCCGATGTGTGTTGGCGCACCCCATGAATTCAAAGACAGGGTGAGTTAGGCCGGGTCTGAATGCAGCCCAATTGCAACCCCCTTTCGCGCTTTGATCGTATTGACCCCCCTCCCCCCTCTTCCCCGACCGTCGGCAACGCTCGAGCAACACTATCCTTCCTGAGTTCCGCTTCATATTCCTCCCTTTTAGGATATGCTATAGAAGGCAGACCACCAGTCTGCTCGGGATGACTTAGCTTGCTCCCCCCCTCTCTTCCAGGACCCCCGACATTTCCGCCAAAGGCCTCCGGCCGGACAGGCTCAGAAGTGCCAGATTTGCCGTTTGGGCCTCCGAAAATCGCAGGCTCAGATGAGGGGTCGTCATGAGGGTCTCCGAGGTGCGCAGGCTCAGGACGGGGCCCCGAAGCCCAGCTGACGACACGTGGTGGTGATTATCCTGCATCGATTTCGCACGCAGCTCTGACGGTCACTAAGGAGGCGACCCCCGTTAGACAAAGAAGTCAACAACGACTTGCGACATTGGAGAGGTGGGTCCGAAATGTACAGCAAGCGAAAGATCGTTAGAGACAAAGTGGACGGTGGAGCACGCGTGATCTGAGTGCCTGTGGAGCACCGCGCCGACAAAGTCCAGGGATAGGCTTGTGGCCGGCCTCCTCAAGAATTGGACACCTACCTGTCGGCATATGGTCAACGGACCATTTGGAGGCAATCCCGAGCTTTTCTAGCTGCCGGAGAGTAGTCGGAACCTTCAGATGTGCTGGGAGGCAGCGCCACGTGCGGCTCCACCAAAGCTCAAATCTCGCGCGCTCCACCAACGCGGTTGTCTCTAGTATCGATCTTTCGCCTGCTGTAATTTGCGTCATGTATGGATTTCGGTGGCGCTGGCCGCACCATCGTCGCTGGCGACGGCGCGCCTGGAACTTTGCGCGCCGCGGTGCACTATCCTTCCAATCCCCAAACCCTTTCTTGCATGGTATGCGGGGCTTTGAGCAACTGCGACGTCACCTATGCATGGCTGTTTCTTTTTTCGAACCGTCGGCACGTTCGGCGCCGAGCAAAGTATGTGTTTCTCGCACAGAAACAGGCATTTTCAGCAAGAAAGACGTCCCGAAGACCGCAGAAGCAGAAGCGGCGCGCAGGGAGAAAAAAAAATCAGATTTTTCTCGCGATTTCATTGGCCTTTTTAGAGGCCTGCGCGAGAACACAGGCTCAGAACGAGGGTCCAGCGGGACCCCTCCGCAAACGCAGGCTCAGAACCCCCTCGATGCTCAAAATCGGCGCAGGCTCACGAGGCCCAACAGTCGGAATTTTCTCCGGAGGCCTTTGGCGGAAATGTCGGGGGTCCTTCTCTTCCCTCCCCTTCTTGTTCACGTGAATTTGAGCGTGAGAGCGGAGTGCAACCCTAAAACAAGAGTTAATCCCACGCAAAAGAAGTGCTTGTCATCTTCTCCCACCACACCTTCACCCTGCCGCAGCCGCTATGGCTCTCTTCAGGGGCATGCCACAGGAGATCAGAGACCACATCGTTGATCTCATGAGCGACGATCAGTCGGCTTTAGCAGCGATAGGATCGGTGCATAGGTCGTTCACTGGTCGAAGTCAGCGATTGCTCTTCAGCGACGTCACTCTCACGATGTCCGCTACTGTCTTCTTGTTCCACAGGGCTATACAAAATACTTCGTTGCGTGGCATCGTCAAGGTCTTGCATGTCAGGACAAGCATCTCAGGGGCGAGTTGGATCGCCCACGATGTGACACTCCCCACAGTGTTGACAAAGCTGTATGGCCTAGTCGAGTTTCACTTTCGACCTATGTCCCTATGCCTCTCTACGTCCTCACCTGCCCTCAACCAGGCATTCTATCGTGTGCTGTCCTTGCCGTCGCTGCGCGTGCTCGAGGTCATTGGGGTGCGATCCCTGCTGCTGTCCAGGATTGCAGGCGCTGTGCATCTGCATGATGTTCGGCTGGCCCATGTTGAGTTCCAGGACGAGATGTGGAGACTCGAGAGAGTATCTCCACCTAATCTCATCAGTCTGACTCTCATCCTCGACGCGCACGCCATGCGTCGTGCCTGCCTCCTCCTCATGGATCACGAAGATCAGCAGCCGTCCACATCTGTACAACTGCGAAGGTTGCGACTGGACCTGGTCAGCTCGAAGGACATAGCAGAGGGATACGCGGGTGCTGCATACATTCTCTCGCGATGCGCATCGTGTCTTCGCGATCTAGAACTTGGAGGCTTTCTATGCCCGAATCTTCAGTCTCAGGGTGAGTCAGCCGCCGGTTGCACAGCCTTGATATTGACAATGCTTGTAGTGGTCAGACTCGAGATCTGTTTCGAGCGGGTGCAAGTCCCAGCAGTCACCTCACTCGCCTTTCGAGATATTCTGGTCGGAGCCGCGGATAATGTGGAGCCCCTGTCGCGATGGCTGACATTCCTTCTGCGGCGCATACCAAATGTCGAGCACGCTGCCATTCAACTTCGTATACTTCGTCGAACGCTCGGGTCCATCGCCGATTCTGCCCGTCTATTGCACGCGGAGGAGTTCATCTCTGCGTTCAGACGACAGTCCTCGTCCAGCGGAGTGTCATCGTTGGCATCAGTGCACTTCTATGCGCTGCGTCCTAGGCACTTATTGGACATGGATAGCGAAGTCCTGCCTCGTGTGCGGCAGGATCTGGCTGTTCTGGCAGATGGTCATGTGAAAGTCTCTCTGAACCTCTTGCATGGTGAGTGATGCTTGCAAGATGTGGTGAAGCGATGTCCGCGAGGGGAAGCGAGCCTGGTTACAATGGTCCGCTAGCTCTTGTCAGGGGCGTGCTGAAGGCAGGCATCCCACAGCACGATGCCTTCATGAGCAAAGGGAATCCTCACTCTGCTCAGGCGAGTGTCAGGCAAATTTTGACGCTGCAGGTCTTGTCATTCTGATAGGCAATACCAGTTGGATAGCATACTGATTTGACCGGCATAGATGACTGGCTTGTAGGGCCGCCATTAATCGACGCCTGAGCCTCCAAATGGGGGCTGTGATGTGCGCTAAAATCATCCATGAAGCGAGATTGGCGTAGCCTGGGGAGCCTGAGCTACACAACTTCTGTACAAATAAGTATGATAGATAGGTGTACATCACACGCCCTGAGGCCGCGATGCAAGCTCTAACTGCAGTCGATATAGGCTCCATGACTGGCATTTGTCTGATTAATCTGAAGTTAGGCCGTTCAGACCATCTCAGGCCAATCAGGCGCTCAAGAAGTGAACTGATCTCAGCAGGCTCTTGCCTGAGCTCAGTCTAACTCGTTTGGGAACAGACCTTTTGGACGTCGGGATATCAGACCAAGCAGATCATCTACAGTACTTAACGCAGACACAGTTCAGGCCATATATAGATCATTCGCAGACCATCTCATCACTCTCAGAATACACATGTTTCACGAGCTACGCCATTCAGACCGATTCCGGCGGAAGGCGCACTAAACATCAAGCGTATTGCAAGTTGTCTACTGTACCGATATGTGTGGAGGCAACCGGTAGGGGGTGCGTTACGCTAAAACCCTCCGCTAGTAGGCAACCGGCCCCCACGTTAGGCATTACGGTCAGTTGAATAGGCAACCATTCAAGGTAGATTTAGAACTTGCTAGGCGGAGATTGGACGTACAGCAGCAGGAAGGCTCCGATGCAACAGTTACGACACAAACAGCCTATTTCGGAGCGAAAAAGACCGTCTGGGTCGCGCCAAAAAATATTCGAATTTTCGTCGATTTTTGCGCGATGGCAACCACCCCCTCCGTTATGCGTAATTTCTTCTAGATAGCCAACTTTTTGGGCCCGCGTTACGCGTTACAGTTGCCTCAACACATACCGGTACAGTACGCACAAGGGGTACCACGATGACTCATAGCACGCGCTCGATCTTCGCGGATGCACAAAACATGGTACTACCTAGATACGTCGAGCACGGTGGAGTATAGAGTTCGGTATAGAACTCTTCCAGGCCGATAGAGTGTATTCGCCCATTAATAATTCCGTTATGAGCATGCTAATTCGTTTTAGAATCTTCAAGACATTCTCGTAACAAGACTGACCAGATCCAAGATCCTCGCAGTGGCTCTCGCCGAGCAGGCCAGCGCGACTCGTCCTGGACCGGTCGTTCTTGCACTTCACGAGGTGAGACCTGGTAGGCCGTCTTGGGCAGCTGCTTGACGCCGCCTGCCGTCGTGGAACGACGTGAACACAAGGTCGTTGAAGGGTTGCCCGCGCTTCAGAGTACAGAGCCCGCCGACAATTTCCGTAACATACCAAAACGATTTCGTAGTATGAAGGCGCTCGGTGCGTATTTGAATTCGTATGTACCGCTTTTGGATCTTGAATTTTTAATGGGCGAATACACTCTATGGGGCCTTTTTTGGGTGAAAAATACCAAAAGCATGCAAATTAGCGGTGTGTGAGTACTAATAGTACACAAAAAGCATGATGTTGTTACCAGAAGAGACCACTTTACTAAAAATGGCAAAGTACTACCGAAAAGCACATGATCACTTTCAGGAAGTGTTGACGCATATGTACAGCATGTGTTAGTGCATTTGCCACCAACGACATTGATTCTGCTAACCTTTGGAACATCTTTGCGATGTGTGATCATTTAATGTTGGTCCATCGTCGCCGGGTTGTGAGTGGTCGGCGCGGTCAGTCACGCTTGGTGTGACCACGGCATTCTCCGAGCAATGGTCCCACGCTGGTCCCACGTTACTCTGAATATGGCCAGTGGCCCTTATCCCAGCCCATATGGAAGAGATTACTCTCATAGTAGTCCTAGAAGATCTTTGAGGTACTCTTCAAGAGAGACGAGGTCCGATGAGCAGGTAGACAGAGCCGGATGCTCCCCAACGAACCGCCTAATCGGCCTTTGCCGATATATCACGTGGAAGCTAGTGTGTCGACCCGTAACGCAGCTTGCTCCGCTTCCTGACCGTTGTGCCGCACTTTAAGGTGCCCAATGCCAGATCGTGAATGCTCAAGGTACCCACCTGAGTGAATCTGTTAAGCTATTTACTGCGCCACCCTCTGCAAAGTACACCGTGCAGTACTTTCACATCACACTTTCGACTTTCATGCTCACGGTTATTTTTGCAGAAAAAATGACCTCATAACACTCTGATATATGTAACTCACATGTAACTAGTTACTTACAGCTGTAGTAAGTAACGATGTTATTATCTCACGTGTCATTAGAACGTATTAGTAGAGAGAATTATTAACATCTTCACATAGTAAACGGAGCTCCCCTTGATGAAGCAGCAAGTTGAGAACCTACGAGGACTGATGGAATTCATTGCGATGCAAGTGCATAGGGTCTCGACAAGGGCGCGGACTCGGCGAGGTGCTCGTGCATGGCTTTAGAGTTCGGTAAGTAACTACGATGTTAATAACATATGTATAAAATACATGTAAGTAACATGTTAATAACTGTTACTTACTCGAGGGCTTGAGAGGCGATGTTAGAAACTGTTAGAAACTCCCTGAAGGTGCAGGCTATCGACCCGCACCGAAGCATTGCGATAGACGAGAGCAGAATCGCACACGGGTCACGTTAGTCCCGTCGGAATCCGAACTGTGACTAATATGTGACAGGCCGACGGCAACTCCCACGGTCGGCCGTCCCATCGACTTTCAAGACGTCTGGGCGAGTCGGCACCGCGCACAAATGTCAACGAGCCTTCAAGCAAGGCCATACGACCACGTCGGTAGGGACTAAGTGCGCATCCTTTTCTTGCCTTGCTGCTCATTGTTGAGCTACGACTTGTGGGTCCAAGTGTGAGCGTGTACCGCGCGCGGCCTGAGAAATCTCTGCGCGGCAACATCCGCGGCGGAGACCACCCCCGCGTCGAGCCTTTTGTGAATTGATCCTGTACACAAGATGATACGGTACGCCACGCTCTTCTATGAGTATTCCTGGTGCTGCAAGAATGCTAGTTGGCCATTGCTCATGTCGTGCATCTCAGCTCAGGCAGTTGATGGTCTTGCATCGTCTAGGAGCAATCTTTACTGATCAACAAGCAGTTTTGATGGAATCCAACACCCACCACCGTTATATACATTGTAACACGCCGGTTTTACACATGTAACTTCATGTTGTTAACATGCGAGTTAATAACATCGTTACTTACAGCTGTAGGTAACTAGTTACATGTTACTTACATACATTGGCCGCGAGGAGTTCTATACCGAACTCTACATGGCTTCAGGCAGCACAGGGACGAGCTTTGAGGTACATTTGCTACGCGCACCGTGGGGAGCGTAGGCGGGGTCCTTGCGCATCCATTGGGTCGGACCCACATCGTGCGAAGCTCATTGGCATGCCGCCCGGTGCAGACTCTCAGTCCATCCCACATTTCGTTCCTCTGCCCCTTCGATTAATCAGCGTTTTTACTTGACTTTTCACTTGCCTTCTCGTTAGTGAATTCTCTGATATTTATCGAAACTTATACGTCCTATTACAGCCGTTTGCACAAGAAGGGTCGTTCAAGCCTGGCGGAATTTCGCGAAGAAGAAAAAAATGGGCTCTTTCGAACAGAACTTTTGGGGGGGGGGATTCAGTCTTTTCGAGGGATATTTCGCGAGAAAAAGAAGAATTCGATTATTCTGCACAGATGTTTGAACACACAGGAAGGTAGTGTGGCTGTGTCGAACAGGATTCTCGCCTGTTTTCCGCACCAAACGGTACCTTTTTCAGACTTTTCCCTTTGTGAACAACAAAAGATATGAAGACACGAAACGGGCTTCGAGGGACCCTATCGGGTGGAGTATGGGGCCTTTTTTGGGCAAGAAATATAAAAAGCATACATATTAACATCTCCTGAGTACCAAAAGCACAAGAAAAAGCAACACTTATGTGAGCTAAGTCCGAGTTTACGAGGACTTAGCGGGAGTCAAGCGAAGCAGGCGCTGTGAGCCCGGCCATAGCCGAGTGACGTCGCCGCGTCCGAAGGATTCGCGGCGACGGTCACGCGGGCGGCGAGCGCGTCGGCCGCGGTCGCCTCTCCGCTCTGCCCTCCATCGCCTCGAGGCTCCTGCAGCCAGCTTTCTTTTGCCCACACTCGCTAACGCTCGGGGCAGCACGGGTTTCGCTTCAGGCCCTTCTCCATAGGCCTGGGGCGGGACCTGCCGTCTGCTACAGCGTTCAGTCGGCCGGTCCGCGGGCATGTGGGCGGCTGTGGGTGTGCGTCACGTTACCCACGTGATGCCGCCACATGCAGCCCGCTCCGCGGGCGGCCGACTCCGACAAACCTCAGCCCTCGTTGAGTGCTGGGTTTCTTCCCACTCATCATACCTTCGATATTCGTGACATAGGGCTATAGCCCTCTCACATCTCAGAGTCTGTCCTAGACGCGTCCTAGGGCTCACGAGCTAGCTTCGCTTGAGATCGACCCAAGACACGCACCGGTAAGAGCCGAACGCGGGCGATGTAACGTGACGGCCGGCGACCCGGCGCGGAACCAGATCAAGGTCGTGCGCCCCGTCCTCCTCCCCTCACCGTGCCCGCCCTACTCTAGCGTACCCCCACATGTTATATATCTCTGGAATCACACAGTCTGCAGCTAACTCTAACGCTGCTCATATTTAACGCTTGCACGGACATCGTCAACGTCTAAACGCCACGGTACGCGCGCATCCGAATAGAGAACGCCGCGACGCCATCTAGCTCGCCCCGCCGACTTCCGCGGGCGAGTTGCGTGTCTTGTGAAAGGATCAGACGCTTAGCACCCCACAAGACACGCAAATTCTGGGCGGGCGCCCTAGGGAATGCGTGTCTTGTGAAGAAATAAGTTGTTGGCCCTTGCAAGACACGCAAGCTAATTATATTCGCCCGGTTCACGCTCGGGCTTCGATGGGCGATTTGCCTCGCTTGTGCGGTGAGCCTAGAGCTCTGTGCGTAGCGCTGACAGGCCGGCGCCGAGCCGGCGCAAGCAGGTAAGTGCGATGCGCGCGGCTCACTGGTGTTGCCAATCCCTTCGCTGATGACCGCTTCAGATAGACGCGGACGCGGACTTCGCGCACGAACTTCCTCGCCACCTACTGAAGGCCTTTATGCACGGCTTCCAGCGAGTTGGACGCAGGGTGGGATGATGCGGGACGCTCGATGCTGTCGTTCACGCTGAATGCGGAGCAGCAACGACATGTGTTCACCCTTCAAAGTGAGCAAATTTCATCCATATTCATTGGTAAGTACGACATATCTGACTACTGCTATGTACTCAGGACTACGAGAAGCTGGTTCTGTCCCCTAATGTGCCACATGCTACGCTCTCCTGAGCAATGCCCACTGGTACATCGCATCTCAGTGACGCTTGCCACCTCCACCATCGCCATCCCTTTCTAATATGCGCTCCTGAGCGCTTTACCGGTACCCCGCGAGCGCCAAGGCCCTGAACGGAGCGCATCGACGCCGAAATTCACCCTATCGAGACAAACTTGAAAGGACATGATAGCGAGCGGCAAGAGCACTGGCTCCGATAACAATGCATCCTACGCGACTTCCCTTCCCCTTCTTCACCTTAGGCTCTTCATTTTGCCCAGATATCCCTCTGATTCCATTTTTCAGCGCTTTCTTATCATTTAGGGACGGCGACGCAAGGACCACGGGGCCGGGAGCTTGCAAAAGAAGATCAGTAGGATGGAAGGGCAGCAAACCATTACCAGACGTTGTAAGGTGTGTACACTTGTTCCTCTCTTCTTTCTCGTGACGAAACAGCTGCTCATATACTCCCTAGGTATGAAAATACGGTTGACTGCGTGGTGAGGCTGCGGGTGAATGCTGGCTTGACGCCCAGGCACCTGAGAGCGACGAACGCAACTGTCGTGTGTAAATTAGGCCGCCTTCTCGTAGCATATCTTGTACCTGTAGCACAGACTCGTATCGATATCTCTGCTTCGTCATCAACTACATATACTTGCTCTGAAGCGTCTACAACAGCAGGAAGCGGGAGATGCGCACTTGCGTGGCAGCTGCGTGAGCCCTTGCGCGGCGCGAAGGCAAATGTGCCTCTAGGCTCCAGGTCGCACTCCTGCCCCGCATTTAGGTTGTTCGTATGGATCCTCCGCGCGAGTGCATCAAACAACAGTTCAACACACTTATACATCTTTCTCATTGTGCCTTTCATGTCTCGCTTGCTGTCAGCGAAGCTGGGGTACACCTGTTCCTCGATGGGCACGGTATTTTCATATATTACCATCCTGGATTTGCCCGCCCAATTTGTCTTACGCAGCTCAGACTCTCACTATCTCTTTATCTTCGTAAGTAATTTCTAACTATTACTCGAACGCTACACTCTTCCTGTCAGTTCAAAGCGGGGGTCGCGCGATGCTTCAGAAACTGCCCAAGTAATTGATTTATGTTCATTTCCAGCTTAGGTCTATACAAGACGATGTTAAGCTAGAGGGGCAGCGCGTAGAGCTCAGAAGGATGAGAACAAACGGAGATATGTGAGGGGGGAGCGTCCACGGCGACGACGCGGGCGAGGGGGGAGGGCGGCGGCGGGGGCAGGCGCGGAGGCAGACGCGGGAGCGGATAACGCGCGCGTGGCGCCGGAATCACCGGCCGGGCGCCCGGATCAGCCGGGTCACGTGCGTGTCTTGACGGAGCCGAAGACACGCTGAGGTAAGCGTTCCGCGCCAAGGCTTGTAAAAAAGAAGTTGTGGGTGGTTGGCGGGGTTAGCCACGGCTTTGTGTGACATCGGCCTTCTCCGGGATATTCTCCCACGTTGTTCTAAACATGTCCAATGGTATTCGCCCGTCATTGTCTAGAGTAAATGCTTCTACTCAGGCATACAAGCACTCCTCCTGTCTCTTGTCAAGAGACATAATGTCCGTTGGATGATAGGCAGGGCCGGAAACCCTTAAAGGAGGCCCGACGTCGGCTTTTGCCGATATGTCACGGGGATAATAGCCGTGACGTACCATAACGCAGCTCGCGCAGCTTCCTGACCGTCATGCCGCGAGTTAATGCACTCGAAGCACGCTCAAAAGTGCTCAAGATACACTAATGAGTACTTGTGTCGAGCAATATACTCCCCCAATCTCTGCTTATTGCTCTACGCAATACTTTTCCAACGCACTTTGTACTTCCGTGCTCACGGTAATTTTTGCCGAAAACTGACCTCATGGTGGAGCTATCTCTAACCGTAAGGTAATCCGTCGACGGCGAGGAAGGAAGGCATAAGCTTTATGGGATTCCTTTGAATGTTCGAGGTCGGTGACGTTAGGTCTTGCTTTTGAAAGCTGGGCTCCTGAATGAGTAATTTTTCGTAGTGAAAGCTATTTACTTTTAGTTGTAATCGAAGTGTATCCTACTGTAGGTATAGTGAAGCTTGTCCACATGAAAATTTGGCTATCAACGCATGGTGGTGAAAGCTAAATGCCACTCCAAGTGATACTGCAGAGAGGGAGTGGCCACTTCAAGGATCTGCATATACCTATGACATATAGATCCCGTACGAGTACTACTGCGCGTCGCGCGAGCGCAGCAATATTCGACCACTAGACGTGCCACTCGGGCGAGGCAAATCTGAGAAAGTCAATTTGGGTCACAAAAGCGCTATAAGTGACAAGTTTATGAGTGCGGGGGCAGATGACCGCCCGCCACAGGTTTTGTAGGAATGAGAGATCCGACGCGAGGATAGCGTGGTAGGAAAAGACGTGAGTGCGGCGTAGGACAAGGGGCGGACGCCTGCGGATCGGCCCGCCATCGGGCCGTCGGGACCGGGGATACTTGGTCGTGTTGATGGATGTCAAAGCGCCTCCCCTGCTTCCTTGACGCTGACGCCGACGCCGGTGAGGAAGGTGCCGTGGCTTGACTATCTGGTACAATGTGCGCTGTACGAGAATCTAACCCGGGATGAGAAACCAGAGCAACATTGAAATTGTGGGCACCACAGCGATGGCTTAAAATTTGGGATCTTTATAAGTAAGGACTATCGTCGTTGACCTTGACCTTTAAAGGAATCCCATGAATCTCCTGGCTGAGCAAGTGTCATGTTTGCCGCGCGACTGAGGTCGGATGTAAGTCGGCAGCGCCACACGCGAACATATGCCGTTGATTCCGTAAATTTCTTAATTTGTGTGTTGCAAGTCAAGAAATTGTCGATTACTTCTGTTCTCAGCATCCCCGCAAGCAAGACGGGCACCCGCGCATCCAAAAGGTAGCTTTGCAGGGCGAAGACGTGACGTTGTCCAAGCAAGAGGGAGCGTCGCGCGAGCAAGTGAGAGGTCCGCGCGAGCAACTCAAAAGATTCTTGACCCATTCGGGGGCCTGTCATGCACGGACTTTGCATTCATCTTTGATCGAGACGGGCGACCTGCGTCGAGATACAACGACGTCAAGCTCGAGATGCAACGTTGGCGCAGCGTTATCGTGACTGTGACACAGTCATGCCTATCACGTGAACATTCGGAAATCGCCGGCCCACGCTCAGATCTGGCTCTAGGCAGCCGATATTGAGTTACGCAGTCGCGCAGGCCGTAATCTACGTCGAGGTATGCATATTGTACAGCTCTTTTGATGAGAACCTCGAATCGAGACTCAGAGAAATCATGCGGGGCGCCACGTGGATCGAACAACGCCCCTATGTCCCAATCGGGAAAGCGTGCATTGTCCCCAAGCTCGACGACGATCTACTCCTGCCGCCTTGAAGGTCACTGAACTATGCGACAGAGTTGATAAGATACACCAAGACTATGCCAGCGCTTTGAATATTGAGCAGGAGTTCCTCGCGCGGAAGCTTGACTTGCTCGCGCGGCATCTCCTCTTGCTCGCGCGGCCGTCCTCTTGGTCGCGGGTACCACATAAATCACTAGACTCATACAGATATCTGAGTACAAACACGCATACTAATTAATTCACGGGATCAACGGCATAGGAGATGTCGTACGTATGGATGATGTTCTTGACTTCGTTGTCCCGAAGGGAAGACCCAAGGACGTAGGTCATGTTGGCAAATCTGCACCGCGCGCATCAGGTCACGAGACCCTTGGAGAGTGAACATCCAGAAAAACCTTTCTCCATTCTGCAAGTCGCCTATGTATGGCGCGGCCTGACCAAGGACGAACAGGGATTATAGTCGTGCATTGATCAGCGCGGTACGCAAGAAGGACCTGTTTAGGAAACAGGCATATAGGTAGCTAGATATAGGAACCATGTCCCCTGAGGTATATCGAAAAAAAAAAAACAAAAAAAAAAAATCTGGAGGGGCGCGATCAGGTCCAGGCTACTCGAGCTGAGGTCCCGGCAGGGTGGCCATTGTCAGCGTGCGGACGATGTTGAACTCGAGCTCGGACGGAACTGGAATCTCCGCTACTGGCGCCCGTCGAGTGACGACCAAGCGGCAAACGTTCCACACTGTGAGTGCGCGCGCGGCCTCCTGAGCTCGCAGGTAAGCCTCCTTCGTGGAGGAGCCCAACTGCGATCGCTCCGCAAGCAGGTGGTTCTCATACAGCTGCCAGACGAGCTCGCGGCTGATAAGAGCGCAGGCAGTGGGTGGAATCTGTACTACGGCGCGCCGCCCGCGGAAGTAAGCCATGGTGCGCAGCCAACGCCCCGCCGGTCGCACCTCCAGCGCCTCGACGAATTCGAGAGGCGTCTCCGATCCCTCCTCCGGTTCTCCCCATACGCGCGCGAGGACGGTGGTTCCCGAGCGAAAATAGTGATAGCGTTCTCTGGGTGAGGAAGGGTAAAGAGCGTACAGGTTGAAGGCTCCCACGTGTCCGTCAGCGGGCACCTTGGCTCCCAGATCGTACAGCACATACACATCTCCCTCTCCCTCGGCGGGAGGAAGCACGCGCCCCGAGAACTCGTCATCATAGATGGCGCCGGGAGGCGGGGGCACATAGGCGAGAGCGTGTGGCCGTTCTGCGTACGCCTCGACGATACCGAACGAATCGTCCACGGAGGGAAGGGGGTAGGACGACTGCCGGTGGGCAGAGAGGTGATTGGCGGGAAGATCAGGACCGGGGGCAGACATTTCATAGCCTAGTAAGATGACGTGAGGGATTGAATACATCAGGTGCTTTCCAGCAGCGAAGGAGGGAAAAAGCACCTTGATACGCGGGGGTCGCTCTGCTCGAGGAGCTCGGGGAAAGGGTGAACAGGTCCGCGTAGGCAGACAAGTCCTCTGTCTCGGTGGGCGCGACCTCGGGGACATTTTCCATGTTTCTCTCCAGCGCCGCTCCTACGGAAACATCTACTTCAGCGCATTGATTAGAGGGGACGGAACACCCACGGTGCCAGGGGCTCGGTCCCGCGCGAGGTGCAGCATTGTGCCGAACATTTCTCTGTGCTAGTCGAGTGAAGGTATCGACGTGGCTCCTGAAGGCAGAGGGGGAGCGCGGTGGAACAACTGGCGACGACGGGAAATAGGCTGAGGGTGCAGCCGGGTGCGCCGCGCCCCTCTCTCCTCCTTCACATTGAGGACTGGCGAGGGACAAGGGCACGGCGCTAGGGTGGGTGCCTGGGTTGCAGGACTCAAACGACATTAAGGCGAGGTGGGTCGTACTGTAGGATGCGGAGCCCCTGGACCTTTCGATATATGTACATACGGCGAGGTGCGTGGGATTGGGGGTCGCGTTGCTCAGTACACCCCCGCCTGAACCTTGTCCATCGTCCCTCCCTGCCTCACTATCGGCGCAGGATGATGAATGATACGCATCACGGTTCCTCACGTGGCTCACGTACGGCAATAGTCGACGCGGCGCCTCTCCTCCCGCCAGCGTGGCCCCATTCAATTCTTGTAGTATGCATTCCCCGCCTTTATTTCGTCGCGCGACCACATACGGCCCCAAATATTGTTGCGCCATCTTTGCTGCCGCGCTTACACTCTTCTCGATGGCTGAGTTCCGTAATAGTACCAGTTGACCCGGCTGATAGACTTCCGTGCGCAATGTCCGCTCAAATCGCTCGCGGAACAGCGCCTTAGCACTGAAGCGAGGTTGTCGTAATGGCGTAGCCGCTTTAGCCAGATCGGTGGGAGGCCGCGCCAGCTGACGCATGCGGGCTTCGAGCAAATCAGCGGCGGGCATGCCTTTCGGAAGTCTTGCACTACAGAAGTGGCCTCCGCGAGGTCGAGCGGCAGAATGGGGTCGCATACATGAAGGAGCTGGAACGGTGAGAAGCTTGTCACCTTGCTGATGGTCACCCTATCAGCGAACAGAGCCAGCGGTAGGGCGCGCGGCCAGACTTCCGCATCACCTCCACAAAACTGGGCTAGAGCTTCCCTCATCATGATATTCCCCCTTTCTACCACTCCGTTGGCATGATGATTGTATGGAGAAATGCGGCGCAGGGGAATATTAAGCCTATTGAGGATTCAATCCAAAGCTGCCTGAATTTCTTTTTCCATGATCAGATGCAAAGACTCGAGGTGCCCCAAGTCGGTACACAATGTGCGTCCATAGGAAGTGTGCCACCGCTTGGGATGTCAGTTTCTTGAGAGCTTGAGCCTCAAAAAACCGGACAGATCATCTCGGGCGGCAATAATGTACCGAAAACCCTTCTTAGTCTCAGGCACGTGCATGCCGTCCATATATATCTTACTGAATATGGATACAGGGGTGGACACGGTTAGCGGATGTTCCAACCGGCGTAGACTAAGTAACTACGCACCTGGCACTCGTGGCATGAGTGGACATGGTGTTGGACGTCGGCGTAAAGGTGGGGCCAATAGACTCTTCGGCGCAGCAATTCAAAGGTAGCTTGAATTCCCCTATGCCCCAGTGCCTCATGTGCATGCTCCAGCACCTGCAAGCGTTCCTTTTTTCCGGACTGCACCGGTATGAACGGAGGCAACCGTAACGCGTAACGGGGCCCAAAAAATGGCCACAGTAAATGAGTGGGCGTCAAGCATAACGGAGGGGTCGGTTGCCAGCGTGAGAAACTCGTCAGAAATTCTGACATTTTCCGGCCCTACGTGCAGATTCTTCTTTGCTTGGAGATAGGCTATTCGGGTCATTTCACCTGTGCAATGGACATTAGCTGATGCTACACGTCCACCTACACCCCATCAGCTTCAAAAATTACCTTCAATTCCCGTGCGCGACGGGAAGACCATATACCTCGCACGTGTCGACCTACACCTCATTGCCGGGAGCGAGGTCGTCCTGGACGTGGACCTCGACGCGCTCAAGCTGCTGGTCAACTCACAGACCTCATTCATACGGAGGCTCTTCGGAGTCGGATCACAGTCCATCCTCGCGCCCTCACATACGGAGTCAGGAATTCTACCAATCGCATTTCGGCGGCTACTGTTGGCACTAGGCTACCTTCGTTACCTCCTGATCCTCCCCCCAACGCACTTCGCTGGTGCTGCTATGCGTGACTCCATGGCTCTCGCGAGCGCATCAAAACCGGGGTGGCTCAATGACCTGCGTATCATAGTCGGTCGCCTATGCCCGGCCCTCAGTGCTAGAGTTCGGTAAGTAACTGGGATGTTAATAACATGTGTATAAAATACGTGTTAGTAACATGTTAATAACTGTTACTTACATGAGGGCTTGGGAGGCCATGTTAGAAACTGTAAAAAACTTCCAGGCGACGTGGGTGCTCAGCGCACCCGAAGTATCTTGGGAGACGAGAGCAGAATCCTTGCACGCGACGCGTCGGCCCTGTTGGAATCCGAACCGTGACCCCCATGTGACAGGACTCGGCAACTCCCGTGGCAGGCTGCTCCTCGACTTCCATGACATTGGGAGCTTCCCCACGACAAGGTAGAGTCAATACGCATTGAGTAGTAAAATCATCGGAGGGTGCCGAAGCGGACTGGCTTGCCTTGCTGCATACTAGCCAGATGTAACTTGTTGGTTCAAGTTTGAGTACCTATGGTCACACGCTGCAGGTCTTCGGGCGCTGTTGTCAGTACGCTTAGTATAAGGGCATCACGTCGAGTCTGTCTACAGTATACGAGGTCAAAGGCTCAGCAATTCTGGCACGTGAAACTTATCTACCGCTGGTGCTCTCAGAACTCCAGTAGGTCACCATTGCGGTGAGTTCAAGCTCTGGATCTAGGCGGCGGGGGTGGTATAGGAGGCCCAGAGCAGCTGAGAGCGCTTATGATGCAGAGTAGAGCTTTGATAACACCGAAAAGGGTTAGATATCATGTAACACACCAGTTTCTTACATGTAACTTCATGTTAATAACACGGGAGTTGATAACATCGTCACTTACAGCTGTAAGTAACTAGTTAAATGTCACTAACATACATCGGCCTCAACGAGTTTTATACCGAACTCTAGCGCGTAAGTGATGACGGCCGTGTTCGTATAGCGGGCATTCGGCGAGGATATGGTCGCGGGCTTGAATAGGAGCGTTGCCGCACGCGAATTCACGTGCCCCACGTGATGCCACTGGTGTCCTGCGAGCGAGACGCAGATCTAAGTGGTTCTCAGATGAGAAGAGTTGCGTTGGGCCCAGTAATGCTTGCGTGCCACCTACTCTCGTCAGTAGCGTGCGAGACAGCAACTCAACCCAGAACCACGCTCGTCCCTCGTGTCGCGATAAAGACTCGGCACAGGAGAGTTACAGGTGAAGATTGGTTGCAGTTCTCAGAACACGGAGTCATTTAGGACACTCGCTGTTGTGTACATGCAGTAATAGGTAAGTAAGGGCGTGAAGTGTCCGCCCGTGATTGTACATACAATGTTTGCCTTATTGAGAAGCATTTACAAAGAGCAGTCGAACCCCATATACGACTACCCGCATCAATAGCTAAGGGCACGGAGGAGTCTTCCGTATAGACTTCCCACGCATCAACACTGACAACAGTAGCAATGAAGACAGATGAGCAGTGGGTCAGAAAGAAAGACTCGGATAGTTTAGTCGAAGCTGAGGTAATAAGACTCACAGCGAAGAGCGAGTTTGAGCGAGCTCGAATAAATGGGAAACAGAAGGCAGAGCATCATGAAGCCTTTTTTTATAATACAGGATGAAGCCTTGAATGTCAGTAGATATCTCTTGAGAAGAAACTTTGGCCACCGCAGCGCGCGTGGCACATGCAACCAAGGTCGTCTGGAGGCAGGGCCGACGCTTCTCGAGTACCTCCACAGCTCTTTCGCACCCACTACTCGACAAGTCAAGTCCTACCGCCGGTATCGTTATCACACCAGCAGATCCTCTTACCGCGTTTCGAACGAACATGTCACATGACATTCGGCTCCGACCAGCCCCCGCGCTTCTCTTCCCTGTCCGTCCGTTCGTCATCCACGTCCCGCCCCTCTGCATTTCTGCATAATATCCCCGTGGACACTCGCCGCTTCTCTAGATCATATCCTTCCTTCTGTTTTCTGTCCACCTTCCCAGCCTATTGCTCTCACGCGCATGGGCGGCCATCGCTTACAGTCGAGCCCCTCTTAACGCATACCTATCGGAGCGCCTCCGAGGCTCGCTGTAGGCGCGCTTGGGTTGAACTATCTTTCGGATATGATTCTTGGGGTGTATACCTCCCAGTGTATATAATTTTCAGAGCAGAGGGTCCGAGCAGTCGAGCCTCGGGTGCGCTCCGATGGGTATGCGTTATGAGGGGTTCGACTGTAGCTTGGTTTGGGGCCGAAGGCCTCCGCCCGTCATCGGCCTCGCGCGGCTATCGCCTTAGAGCTACGCTCTGGCTTGGGCTGCTTCGGCTTTGGCCGATGGTTGCATCGGCTGTCGGTCAGGCTGGAGTCGCCTCGCAGAGTACTTACCGTCGGCGAGGCTCTGCCGCCCGAGCGGGATGTGCCGGTTACGGCGTCACGTGCCGGTTGATGTTCCCCGCTCGATGCCGGTCGGGCTTCGCCGACCTGCAACCGCCCGCTTCGCTGAAGCGTGGTTCCCTCTTTCTTCATGTTCTTCCTTAGATATGGTACAGTATCAGACTAAGAGGCAGACCAAAGGTCTGCCCGGGATGACTTAGCTTGCCAGGCGGACCACGGAGCCGGATGGCGGGACAACGACAGGAAGCAGACAGTCGAGATTTCCCAGTGATATCGCGTCGTTCGTGTCCGTAGCAGTTATGGGCAGGCCGGCCAACGCCCGAGCCGCGCGCATGTGCTCCACTTCAGGGCACTGGACAAAGTGCGTGCTCGCATTACGGGAAGCGAGGCACCTGCACGGCGCTCGGAGCGCGTCGCCACTGTTGACGTCCCACCCCTGCTTAGCGAGCCGACCCGCTCGGTAGCACAGCGCGTATAAGCCGCTTGGAGGACGTGTAGACTGCTCGCGGTTGACGCAAGGATGGTTTCCGGGTCGCAAGTAGTCCCGCCACGCATGGAGCGTCGTCGATGCAGTCCGTGCATAGCACCCAAGTCTCTTTCCATCTCGACCGGGCACCTCGGGATGCGACAACTCGCGTATGATTGCTATTGCTGTGCACGGCGATATAGACGGCAGACGGCGTTCCGTCCGCGTATACGGGCCCGTACAGCTGTTCGACAGCTTCCTCCTCGGAGCAGATCGATTGTAGCAGCTGCTGCAATTCGACATCCAGCGTCTCTCTTTTCCGCATGAGATGGTATCTGGTGTACTCGATTGACGTCGAGATTTCGCTATCGGCCGTGCAGGGGAGGAGATATGGACCAACCTGAGCAGAGAAGCGTCCTCTCGCGTGGTCTGAGTTGTTGTCAGGAGTGAATTCCAGGGTCTTGACATCGACAGTAACACGGGCGGAAGTTATGAATAGTCAATTGTGGTCGATCCGTGCATTTGGAAGGCCGTCAGTGCACCGGGAGTGCTCGTTTCGAGGCGGATGCCGTTCAGGGTGCGTACGTACAGCTCCTCGCATAGTCGCAGGAAGGCACGCCCGCGTGTGTCTATAGCAAGGTCATGACAGATACGCGGCAAGTCTGAGGGTTGCGGACCCGCCTGAAGTTGTCCTGTGCGCATGTTCAGGTCCCCAACGAGGACGACGGTCCGGTCCGTGTCGGAGGTAAGAAAGGACAGAATGTCAGTCACACGGTCCCAGGGATCGGTATCCGTCCATCTTCGCCAGTCACCGCTTTCGGGAGGTATATATGCAGCAACAATCCAGCACGTGGCAGCGTTGAGTACGAGGAGGATTGGTGTGGAGAGTGGCGAGACGACGATGTCTATACCCCGTCGAACAAACGCTATAGTCTGACCCCATTGTCGGACGAGGTCCATATCAGGGCGCGGGAGATGCACAGTGTCATATCCATTAAGGCCGCGTATAGCGTCCCCGTCCATCGGCCGCATCCACTCCTGCACCGTAGATATGTCGCACTGTCGTAGACACTCGCGAACACTAGCACGATCTTACCTTGCAGCGCATTGGCCTCCAATGCTCCAGCAGAAGTGCCCCGGTCTGATTCCAACGCGGGCCTCGTCCCCGGCGAGGCGACACGTAGAATTCCGTCCAGAGTTCGCAACAAGCGGTGGTCCTCTAGGTGAGCAGTCGTGGGATCACGGGCACGCACGCTGTCTCCGGCATCCGAAAGTTCAAGGCAGGCTTCGCGCAGTGCAAGGAGGGCTGCGCAGCCAGATCTAGCTCCTGCGGAATAGGGTGCTCTGCTTTCGCCTGTGCTACCTGCGCTCGAGAAGCGTCATCTTGCTCCGTATCGGCTAGCGCCAGCGGGGCTGTTGTGACCAAGTCCTGCTCTGCGTTGAAAGGAGTGGAAAGGTTTCGAACGCTACAGCAGGCGAAAGATCGATAGAGACAACCGCGCTGGTGGAGCGCGCGAGATTCGAGCTTTGGTGGAGCCGCACGTGGCGCTGCCTCCCAGCACATCTGAAGGTTCCGACCACTCTCCGGCAGCTAGAAAAGCTCGGGATTGCCTCCAAATGGTCCGTTGAACATATGCCGACAGGTAGGTGTCCAATTCTTAAGGAGGCCGGCCACAAGCCTATCCCTGGACTTTGTCGGCGCGGTGCTCCACAGGCACTCAGATCACGCGTGCTCCACCGTCCACTTTGTCTCTAACGATCTTTCGCTTGCTGTAACGCCAGGCCAGTGCGGATCGCCCTCTCAATGTCGGGGCGGCGATCATCGGAGAAGCTGGTTACCGATTGGACCACTTGGATTTTGGAGAGTACTTGAGATGCAGACGACTACACTTTCCAGAGAAAACGGCAGCGGCTATGTGGCGGGGTGGAGTATTGGGGCGAATCGCGCAAGACTTGTACTCGAGGATGGAGATGCTTGCAGCGGTAGATGGCACGGTGTCGTGCACACGTCCTATATCCGTCTTCACCCCGCAGGATGGGACGACACACTTGAGGACGAGGGGGCCATTGGAGAATGAGGAGAATATCCTGATTGGCGCATTCTTCGTAGCAAACAGTAAGTGAAGTGTGAAGTAACTGCGGGGATCGTATTGACTTGGGTAAACATGTTGCTTACACTATACCTAAGTCTCAATATATACCAGCGCACGACGTACTAGAGGAAATCCTGGCTATGCCAGCTCTGTACCTTGTCTAGCAGCAGCTCAGGCACTCGCTCTGAGCTCGCTCGCGGCCTGATACATCTCGCGCGGCTTGCGCGGTTTTTTTTTTCTTTTCTTTTTTTCTCTTCCCTCGGCTCCGACTATGAGCTAGAGAGGTGCGTAGTCTTGGCCTGCTCCTGACATTGTCTCCAGCATCTGGGTCCAGGTGATCACCACCCTCTGCCTGTCATGGACGACGCCGAGTTTGGGATCACTCTTAACCTCAAGTTGAGTTGATCTCCGCATCCAAGATCCGTGCAGGTCCATTGAACACGTTTTGCAGACTCGAGTGCTTGTAGCCGGGACCTAGAAGTGCGCATGGCTAATCTCAAGCTTATACTGAGCTCACAGCATAGTGGCGGCAAAAGCAACCAGTCGGACTCATATGGACAACTCCCCCAGGTGCCCCTCTTCTCCTCACTTCCGTGCTCCTCCCCATGACATCGCCCTTCTCTTCCTTTGCGGCCTTGGTTTCTCGCCCATCCAATACACCCCGCAAATGATCGCAATCAAGCACAGTCGCCTAGAGCCGCACGATGCATTCCATTCGCAACCAGCCTCGATACCAGCCGCCTACAATCGTTCAAACCCAAGATGTATCAAGAAAGTTCCGTCACGCGCGCCTGGAGCCCAGCAACCCTACCCGAGTATGACAACCTCGTACGCGCGTAGCGGTGAACACGTTGCAATCTCTGACAAGCTTAAATCGTCAGAACAAACGTGTCGACGTATATTCAACACTTACGATCACAGGTCGTCCACGTACACTACCAGTGCGCTGAGATGCTGGGTACCTACGATTTGCTCCTCCGCCCTCGAATCTACCAGTTGGTTGAACGCAACCCAGGCTTCGTCCGGCAAGCCATCACCCGGTTGCCAGTAGTCAAACTGCTCGAGCCGCGGCATTACGATCGGCGTGGCCCCTCCAGACATGGCGTTGAACATCTCCGCCCGCCCGAACAAACCCCGTTGGGAGCCAGTGTCGTCCACTTCCAAAACTTTCAAGCTTCCCAGTCCCCTCAAGCAGGCAGCCAGGCCTCCGGCCGCGCCAGGCAGTCCGGAGTGGACTTTATTGAGTGCGAGCGTCTCCAGGTCTGGACAGCCACCTGGTCGATTCAACATGATGGCGAGGTCATTGAGCGGGACTCGCCCATTGTTCATGTCTCCCAGCGTCAGCTCTTGCAGCTGGGGTGCAGTCAGTATCGCGAGCACGAAGGACACGTCGCCCTGCAGCTCCAAGCATTGCAGCCGCGGCGTGAATATGTTGGTGGTGGCCACCCAGTTGTCGCTCATCTCCACGTCATCGATCATCGCATCGATGTAGGCCGAGCGGACCGTCGTGGTTCTCTGCAGTAGGTGCAGAATGAACCCGGTGCAGCCATGCTCCAGCCCCCGCAGAGTCAAGGCCTCCAGCCAGGGAAAGTCGGGTACACGCATCGTGAAGCGCTCGTCCATACGCACACCTTCGCATCGTATCGTCAGCACTCGTAGGCCGTGCGCGTATGTCAACCATATGAGTGCGTTCACGTGCGGGGCGCCGTCCAGGATGAGCTCAACCGTAGTTAGCGCCGGGAAGGAGGGTGTAGGCATTTGCGAACCCAAGAAGAGACACGTTGCTCTCAGCTTCAACGACGTCAACCGTCCAATCGCACCCCCGAGCGTCGTGAGAGCTCCTAGCGCCGCAGAGTCTGCTCCCTCCCCAGTGTGCACCAGGCTCATTGGGAGTGCGCCCGAGTTCCGCTTGTTCAGCCGTACGTGGAGGTACTGGTCCCTCGTAGTGCATGCACGGGTCCATAGGGACGGGGTTCCGTCCACTATCGCCCGCCACCCCGCGCTGACAATCCGCAAGCGCCCAATCTGCCTCGCCCTCCCCACATCATCGTCCATCCCTACCAGCACCCACTCGAATACCTCCGACATCATCTCCTCCGGGACCCGCCGCACCGGAGCCATGACGGCGTCCACCTTCTCAACCTCCCACTTTGCCCTGTCCCTCTCTAGGGTGAGAGCCTCAATAGCAACCTCTAGATGAGCCAACCGTGCCCTCATCTCTTCCTGGGCGACCCTCATCGCCTGCTCCTCGTCTTCCGCCACCTTTTCCCTTCCCATCGCGCGGATTCTTGCTGTAGATATGATTTCCGTCACAGGCATTCCGTCCTTGAAAAGAGCAGAGGTAGCAGCTAGGCTTTTTGTGGGGCGGCGACGAAGGCGGGCAAGGAGTACACACAGACTCCGCGACGGTAGTCTATCCCCCTATATAAGCAGCCATCGCGCTCGCGAGCGGCGACCTTCTGACGCTGGTCGAGCGCCAGGCACAAGTTACCCTACTCCCTACTTGATTTGACGCCCTGAACCTCACTTGTCTACCTCCCCTCGTAGTTGCCCGCTATGGATGGAAGACCTATACAGCAAGCTCTTCTCGATAGTCTAGTATACATTGAGCAGTGCAACATATCTCTTGATTCGCCACAGCGGGTATCGGCCTGCCCATCCCTGCTGCGCAAGCGAAAGCAGGCATCCCTTTTATCGTGGCTGACATCCATTCACCCGCTCCATGGCTCGTTCCCTCGCGCACGATTCCCATGTTCGATTCTGCCATCATACCGATCAAACACAGACCTCCAGACTCTATGTCTGCCCCACTTGCTGCGGCGATCGTGCTGTCTGCCAATTGAGATGGCGAAGTCAATAGGCAATCCCGAGGTTGCCGCGTGCCCTCTTTGTGATGTCTCAATCCTCTGCTCAACCTACAGCGGCGGCCAGATCAAATGCGCGCTGCCTTTTTCGGAAAGATCGCCGAGGCGGGCGATGGGTGAGGTCCAAAAAATCCGGCTCCTTCGTAGAACGGTAGAGCGCCATCGAAAACCCCCATCCGCATACCAACTTTGCGGGGGTGCACACTTGATGCTCACGAAACGTGCCGGGATGCATCATACGGCACTATGCACCCTAAGCTACTGTATCTCACATATCTCGCGAAATACATGCTCATTCCGCCTGAAACTTCATATTCGGGGGTTTTCAGCTACGCTCTACCGTTCTATGAAGGAGCTGAATTTTTCTGACCTCACCCAACGCCCGCCTCGGCGATCTTTCCGAAAAAGGCAGCGCGCAATTGATCTGGCCGCCGCTGTATTGTTCCATATTCATGGCATGTTCGCGACGTTTTGGCCGTGCAGGCCGTGTACGATATTCCATTAGCACCTGCTGTGTAGTCCAGTATGTGTGTCACGTCTTTCTTTCCATGCATGTTGTATCGATACGGACAGACGCATTGCGTCTGACCCTTACCTGCCCCGCAATTTCCCAACCAGGTATTCTTCCCTTCGATTCGACAAGTCCTTCCCCTGTTAAGACCTCATCCATATCTACATTGGTGCGTATATATAGCTGTGCTCATTCATAAACCGGTCCGCCAACGTACGGGCTCCTGTGTGCACTTTGTTGGCACTGCGCCCTTGCCGTAGCACCCCAGTCCACTGTCCCGCATTAAGCCCCTGCCTTCCACCGCTGTACAGCATCTCCCTTTGTTCAGTGTACTACTGAGTACTTCCGCGTCACGCATCCAGATCCCGCACCATGGCCCTCTTGTTTCGAACGTTACCGCTGCTGGCCAGAACGACATCTTCTTTAGTCCACAGCGTCTTACAGCGAGAAAAAGATCGTTAGAGACAAAGTCGCCGAGGGAGTAGACGTCATCTATACTCTTGTGGAGTAGCGCCAGGCGACTGTGGACAAGTGCTTGTAGGTGTTCTCTCCTCAGAGCTCAGGCTCTTTTCTTTCGCACTATGGCCGTTATCCCTCCTGAATACAATTGCGAGCATTGCGGCTATCTGATATCCCTCATCGGCGGCTGGAAGTGCTGGACAGTCGGGACCACGTGCTGCTCCACCAAAAGGTCAGATCACACGCGCTCCACGAGCGCGGTCGTTTCTAACGATCTTCCTCTTTCTGTATCCGACGTGTTTACCCGACGTGTTTACGCGACATGTTTACCCGACATGTTTACCCGACATGTTTACCCGACATGTTTACCCGACATGTTTACCCGGCATGTTTATTGCCCCCTCGTTCAATGCACTTCTTCACGTTGCTACCCGGGACGAGGCAGAGATGATACCAGAGTGCACGACAGACCGGACTCCGGGAGATATCTTCAGCCGACCGTTCATTGACGACAAGCTGGACTGGGTGAAGCAACGCTTGCGCGAGCATATCGGACGTATCGCGGCGGGCATTGACCAGGTCACGTACCAGGATATCCTGAGCACTCCCAACGATGCCTTAGCTTCGCTCTGCAACACGTGCATAACCCTCGCGCTTGGCATCTCACTTAACTGGCAGCTCTCTCAAAGCCCGGGAAGTCGGCGACGTGCCCTGACAGCTACCGGCTCATTGGGTTGGAGTCCTGCATTTTGAAGGTGGCCACGCTACTCATCGACCGCCGGTTCCGGGAATGGGCAGAAGGTGAGAAGGTCATTCCTGCTTCGCAGAATGGTTTTCGCCCCGCGTACCGCAACAAGGCCAATGCTTTCATCTTGCGCACTGCCATTGAGAAAGCCAGGGCGAGCGGCGAGACGCTTCATGTCGTTTTCATGGACCTCTCCAACGCCTTCCCCTCCACAGACCAGCCTCTCCTCTGGCTGAAGCTCCTGCGGCGTGGTGCAACGGGGCCCATGTCTGACTAGCTGCGCAAACTCTACTGCGACATGTCCTACGTGGTGACACGCGGGGGCCAACACACGGATGCGTTCAAGTCAACTGTAGGGATCCTCGCGGGAGACTCTGCATCCCCGGGCCTCTGGGACATCCACTGCTCGGACATCTCCGTCCCGCCACTGCCGGACGTGGTGCGCCACAATGGAGTAGGGGTCTCCCACATCAAGCAGGCCGACGACGTCGCAATGTTGGCAAAGACGCTAGCGGCGCTGCAGAACATTGTCGATGCTTTTGCGAGATGGTGTGCAGACAACTTCATGATCATCAAAGCGGGAAAGACGAAGCCGATGATGTTTAGGCCCATTCTCCGGTGCTTGACGCGCGTGACCGTGAATGGCGAGGGGATCGATTTCGTGCGCGAGTACAAGTACGTCGGAACCATTTTCTGCTCGACAACCTTGAACATATTCGGACGAAATTACCATGTCAAGAAGGTGAACGCGCGCGGGATGGTCAGTGCGATGTTCGCGGTGGAAGACATGGTGGGGATTCTGCCCGTGCCAGTGGGGATGAAGCTCTACAAGATGCGGATTGAGGCACTTGATGTCGATGACAGGCTGGTGAAGGAGCTGCAAGGGGTTTAAGACTACCTTCTGCGGCGCCTCGCCAGCGTGAATCCATGCAGCATCCGCGGCGTCCTCAATACGGAAAACGGGCTCATGCCGCTGCGCGCTCGACGCTTGTTGTTGGCGCTTCGGTACCTGGGGTATCTCACAACTCTATCGGACGACCCTCTCGCAAGGCTTGCTCTGGCGAAGTCCTTCCGTCTCGCCCGCAACATGTTCCCTTGCTGGATAACGGACCTGCAGCATGTTCTCAAGTCCTACGTGCCCGCCCAGCAGCGATTACTCGTGCGCTTGCACGACCGCCACATTCTAGCTGGCCTGCAGACGGCGGTGGAACGCCCGGCAGACCGTCTCGCAGCGGCCCAGCTTCAGACGATGTCGCGGCTGGATCTTTGGAATGCACACGCGTTGGGGAAGGTGCGGGTATTGCGACCTTACCTTACAATTGCGGTGCCCGCTCACAGCAAGGCCTTGACGAGGCTGCTGCTGAGCGATCACGCGCTAGCTGTTGAGGTGCAGAGGCGACCGGACCGTTATCGACACGCAGCGGGGGGCAAGGGAGGATCGGCGTTGCCGCATGTGTAGGGGAGCTGCCGAAGACGAGGTACACGCCCTGCTACAGTGCCGAGGACATGCTGCACTCATGAATTTGCGTGCGGGATTTCTGCGCAGGCTGGACGAGCTTGGCTTGCAACGCGAGCCTCATCCGGACGACCATTGGGACTTGCGCCTCATCTGGTGGCTGGCGGAACACAAGCGGGACGACGTGAGGACTTCATGGGCGCACTTCGTGTACCGTGTTCTCGCAGTTTTTGATGCCGTGCCGATGTTCATTGTTCCACGCTACAAGAAGAGAGTCGTCACGTAGAATCCAGATAGTTACTTATCCTGAGACTGTGCTTCAGTAGCTTCGTGCCAATGTTCGAGCTCGTAAGGTGATGGGTTCGGTCATTGTCGACAGAAACACCTGCAATGCCACAGCGATAAGAACGACGGTGCTCCGTCGCGTAGTTTGTACTCTCGTCTGGACTACGTAGGAAGGACAGGGCCGTTCCTTATTAGGGACGTCCCCCGAATTAATATATTCCTTTCTTTTTTGCCGACATGTTTACCCGACATGTTTACCCGACATGTTTACCCGACATGTTTACCCGACATGTTTACCCGACATGTTTACCCCCGACATATTTGACCCGGCATTTTATCGCGTGCAGCAGGGGACATCGAAATTCGACAAACTTGATAGTGTCAATTCGACTGCAGGCTCGCCTCACAGGTCACAACGACACACTTGGATTGAGCTCAACACCTAACTGTCACGGGTCATAGCGGCGGACAAACAGTGTGGCATACGGGTCCAGAGCCGAGTACATTAAGCCAGAACTCGCAATTTCTACACCCTACGGGCGCTGGTATGTGATACTTTGTCATTCGGCCACTGCGGGACCCTATCAGTCCCTATCGTCATCATTCATACAGCGGTGACCAGATCATTCGCGCGCTGCCATTTGGGGAAAAATCGCCGTGACGGGTATTGGGCGTGGTCAAAAAACATCCAGCTCCTTCACGAAACGGTACAGTCATCACCCAGCGTTTGAGCAGCCCAAATCTTGTTGAGCTTCAGTAATAGTTGCTTGGAGTAACGAGCTCGATGTAATAGCGATCAAAAGTTCATACCTCAAAGTATCACCTCTACTATCGAATTGAGTTCCTGCTCATGACTGTGGCATGGAATGGCGGGATCACCGCAGGATCAAGCAAGTTAAGGGCAAACGGGCGTTTGAGCAGCTCGTCACGTTTCTCGGCAATCGCTGCCTTCGAGCCTCCCATTTTTCTCTAGCGCTCACTCCGCCCCCAAGTCGCGTCTGTGAAGAGGTGAGATGCTATACATGGGAAGTATTGGCTTTTTATGAGCTTCCAGACGACCGGGATGGCATGGTAAATCGCAATAGAGGCGGGCTCGGAATCATGGACCGGTTTGTGACGTGACATGGGCCGCTTGCCGCTCACTCAAGCAAAGTCGACGCCGGATGCTGCCCTGTGCCACCTTATGCAGCATCAGCACTTTGTGGTCTATCCAGAACAATACCTAAGATGGTCAAGCGCTTCTGAAAATATTTCTGTGGAGGACGCTCATCATCAGAGATCTATAGACAATTGTCAAGGTTGCTCAGCCCAAAAAACAGGCTGCTCAACCGACTTTGTCGGCGTGTCCCTCGCCAAGTCCTGCTCGTATCTTCCCAATATCATGTGTGAGAGGAGCTGCAGCTATCTTGTGCCTCTCCATAAGATTTGGAGCATGCTGGACACTCGTAAAGCACTCTTTCAAAAGGGACTGCTCATCCGGGGGTGGTTGCTCAAACGCCGTATGATGACTGTAGAGCGTAGCACAAATACCGCAAATATGAATTTTGAAGGGAAATGGGCATGTTGTTCGTGAGATATGGGCCGTATACTACCTGAGGGCACGCCGTGCCATATGACGCATGCCAGCACATTCTACAAGAATCACGGACGCTGTTCTGGTATGCAGACAGGTGTTTTCGAGGCGGTCTGTGGTTCTGTGAGATTGCCGAAACCAGCAGACTACACCGCTAGAGAGCCGACTGCAGGATATCGTCAGATTTTGAACTCACGGATCCCTTCGCCGTTTCTAGGGACTTTGCTTGCTGCTCATCGATGTCTGTGGTTCGGCGAATCGGTGGTTGGCGTGGATGGTTCGAAGGAGGTCGTGTGCGGTCCACGCGGGTACAGCGCGTCATTTCGGTATTCCGCTCATCACTCGCCTTCATACGCGTGTAGGCAGTAAAGCGCGACTGCACTATGTCAAGCGCTTAGCTTAAAAATCTACAACACAAAATGCTTCGCTAGCGACACTCTGGGCAGAGTGACTGCTGAAAGCAAGCTGTTAAGTGCGCGTACAAGGAAAAGCTCTCATTCTTGCTGAGATGCCGCGTGTACCACTGTCCAGAGTCCAACCCGGGTCAGGGGAGCGTCCGAGAGCATGCTGATATGTATTCGTCGCACGGTGCCTTCTACGGAGCAATAGCTCAATGGTATTGCGTCGGCTGTGTGAATGTCCCTTTGGTATCGGTAGCAAGTTCGAGTCAGAGTCGGACACCAGGGATTCGTTGTGCGAAGACGATGTCCCATTTTTCTTAACACTTTGAACATCATTTTCTTTCGACCACGTTTTCGGCCTTAAGGCGCAGCACTTAAGTTATTAGAGAGGTTGAGCAAACAGAATTCCGTAGATAGACTATCAAAATAGCGGGTCCCCGCCAAGGTCACCCGGCTTCGGCTTAACCTGTACTTATATATAGTGCTGCGTGCGTAGCCTCTGTATATAGAGGGACCACGGGTAGGTAGTGGAAGGGGCGGCCAAAATTCTTTCTCTTTATCTACGGTTTTCTGTCTGCTCAACCTCCCTATTGGCGCTGCTGGATGGCTTTTGTGCGTATGCTCAAGGTCATGGTGCAATCTGGCAACCCATTACCAATATATTGGGCTCAACCGCCAGGTTTTGATGATCAGGCACACAACGCTGGAGCCCATCCGAAACTCGAGGCAATCGACGACTTACAGGACTAGGACAGCTGTGTGTAACGGGGTGATTTCCTTCAATCGATTTCCAAAGGAGCCCGGCATTCTGGTCTCTAGCGGTGTACAGCGGCGGCCAGATCAACTGCGCGCTGCCTTTTTGGGGAAAAATCGCCGAGGCGGGTGTTGGGCGAGGTCGGAAAAGTCCAACTCCTTCACAAAACGGCAGATCGTAGCCAAAAACCCCCAAATACAATCTTTGAAGCGAAACGGGCATGTACTTCGTGAGATATGTGCCGTACACTACCTGAGGGCGCGCAGTGCCATATGACGCATGTCGGCACATTTCACGAGGATCACGGACGCTCTCCGTCAAAGTTGGTATGCAGACGGGGGTTTTCATGGGCGCTCTACCGTTCTGTAAGGTCGCCGAGACCCGCAGACAATAATGCCTAATGCCCGCCTCGGCGATTTTTCCCAAAAAGGCAGCGCGCAGTTGATCTGGCCGCCGCTGTACGAGGCAGAACGTTGGCGATGGCCTTGTGGAGAGGACTGCATCAGAGTCCCGAGCGCCTTTTATGGAAATCCTCCACAAAAGCAACAGAGGATGTGTGACCGTATGAAAACAAATTCTTTCTTGCCCCTTGAGGAATGATGTCATTGGCTACGTGACGGTGACTGCTCCTGGTGACCGCTACCGCACCGTACTGTACTGTTACCGACCCTTAACGGGGTTTGCAACACTTTCGGAATCTGGGCATTTTCTCGACTGTTTCGGCTTAGATTCCCAGGAGACTTGGTAGAGCTGTCAGATACCATAGCGTGAACGGATCCTCCAACTTTGGTGGCCTTCAGGGCAGAAGAACCTAGAAAATTGCTGCGCAACAGTCGCCGATGCACAATGCAACAGTCTCGGTATTTGCCGAGAACGCCTCCCATTTTCTATCTGGACGGTTAGAGCTCCGTATAACATACAAGTTCATAGATGCTATGAGCACAGCGCGCTATACCCATATGCCAGAAATCTAAGCGAACGGAGGATGAGCGGGCTCGGGCTGAGGTGTTGCATTGCTCGGCACCTTTTGCCGCTTTGACCGATTTTGTTGCAAACCCCGTTAAGGGTCGGTATGTATGGAGGCAACCGGCGGGGGTGCGTTATGCTAACAACCCCCGCACGTAGGCAACCCTAGCTACGTTACGCGTTATGGTTGGGCAATTAGGCAAACATTGAAGGTAATATTCGAAGCCTGTGGGGTGTCAGTAAACGTGAACCGTCAGGCAAGCCGCAGTCTATCAGTGACGATACGTACAGCCTATTTTTCGAGCTAAAAAGATCGTGCGCGCAGCGCCAGAAAATATACGAATTTTTGACGAAAGTTGCGCGTTGGCAACCGCCGCTCCGTTATGCGTTACACTTTCTCATTTAGTCAACTTTTTTGGGCCTCGTTACGCGTTACGGTTGCCTCCATACATACTGTACCGGTATGTATGGAGGCAACCGGTAGGGGGTGCGTTACGCTAACAACCCTCCGCTAGTAGGCAACCGACCCAGACGTTAGGCGTTACGGTCATTTGAATAGGCAACCATTCAAGGCAGATTTAGAGCTTGCCAGGCGAAAATTGGACGTACATCAGCAGGAAGGCTCCGATGCAACAGTTACGACAGAATACAGCCTATTTTGGAGCGAAAAAAAAAAAATGTTCGGGCCGCGCCGAGAAATATTCGAATTTTCGTCGATTTTTGCGCGACGGCAACCACCCCCTCCGTTATGCGTTACTTTCTTCTAGATAGCCAACTTTTTGGGCCCGCGTTACGCGTTACGGTTGCCTCCATACATACCGGTACAGTACCGGTACGGTATGAGGCACCCGCTTCATGTCTGCGAAAAGAAGCATGATTTCACCGGGCTTGTGCGAGTGCGAATAGGATCTTTTCCCAAAAAGGAATCAGCTCGTGCACGCTGCCATTAAGACGGACATCCTGCAGGAGAGGAGAACACTTTTACGGCGAAGGAGCTTTTGGTGAGCCAGCGCATTATCTGAAAGCCTGCGGCGTGAATCGCCGTTGAATTGGTAGTATAAATCAAGCTGAACGGGCCAGAACGGGCTGCCGCGGTTGTTCAAAGCTCCGTCGGTCGAACCTTCCGTGTTGGGCAACTTTGCCCCAGTGAACTGGAGGATGGTTTACGAGACCAACTTTGCCTGCAGGCTGCTCGGTCATCGCAACTTGCCGAGATCTTACCGAGATACCATCGCGGTGATGGTGCGGTCGAAGGCCTGCTGACCATCCTCTCAGCGCACCGCCATCGATAGTCTCGTCGTCGATGCAGTTATGGCTGAGCCTCAGCTCACTGTCGAGCAAAACCTCGTTAAACTCCGCCAGCCCTTTATCGAGTGCTCGATCTACAAGTATACGGACCTCACGCCCAACGCCTTCGCCGTCTTCGAGCCCGCGCAGCCCCTGGGACTGAGTCTTGTGTACTCCGAGACCACTGGACAGCTCATCTGCCTCGCCATCGCGAGCGATCGCTACGCCGTGATCGTCGATTTCTTGGCGGGCGAGCGGCCGCCCCGCACTGGTCGCGCGTCCCCCTCCAATGACGCCGTCGCCGGGAGCGCCGTCCTCCAGGAGTACGTCCTCGCACGCGACGCGGGCCAGACCAATGCATTCGACTATGATCCCCTCGCCATGCCCTTCTTCACCGAGATCAGCATGCGCGTGAAGAGCGGGCTGGACGTGCAGTCCGCGTGCAAGGAGTCTGCGCCGACGCGCAAGCACGTCGACGTTGCCAAGGCGCTCGTCGGGGACAGGCGGATGTACGAGAACAACCTCAAGCGCGCAGCCAAGCAGACCAAGTTCGAGATCAGCGCTCCCACCCACCGCCGCTGCTCCGCGCTCGTCCCCCTCACGTGGCTCACGCAGTTCGTCGCGACGTACGAGGGCAGGCTGATGTCGTTCGCTGAGGTCAAGCTGATAAATAGCGAGAGGCTCACGTCGGCGGTGCGTCGCCTCCTTCTCTTCACCGGCACGTTGCTAATGCTCCGGTAGTACCTCGACGTAAACAGCAAGATCGCAAACGACACGCGTCGCATGGAGCAGAACGAGCCCGACCGCAAGAAGCACTCGTTCAAGCGCGACAGCGGAGGCGGGAAGATGGACGACCCGAACCTTAAGATCAAGGCAGAGAAGTACTCGCAGCGCTTTCGTGCCGGCCAGGTGCGCTCCCTGCTCTCGATCGTATTCCTCGCCCTGATATTGGCATCAGGACGTGCAGATGGTTGTCCAGACGAAGTCCTATGGCCGATACACTACCTCCGCCGCTGTCGAGGATGCGCGCGGCAAGGGCGCTAGCCTCAAGACCGCGCTCTCAACCAACGAGGACCGGATGGTCAAGACCTTAGTCTCGGTCGGCAAAGACGACCCCGCCCTCGCTGATATGAAGTGCGCCGCGGTCATACTGCAGATCTCGCAGGGCGAGATCGACCTCCTGTCAGAAGACGCATGGGTGCAGAACATCTGGCTTCGTCCCACCCTAACTTGGCCCGAGGAATGGTCTACCACGTCTACTTCATCACCTACATGCAACCTAGACTGTGCCACAGATTTAAGCCCATCCCAATGTCTCACAGTACATACCATGTTATCGGACCTGGATGAGCACTGTATTACCATCATCCAAGGACCTCTGGGCACTGGCAAAACATCAGGTAAGCTACTGCTTGACCCATGGGTACAAAAAGCTCATGACCATCTAGTTATAGCTGCTACAGCTCAGCAGTGCATTGCGGCGGGCAAGAAAGGCATCTGGGTCATCGCCCTGTCCAATGTGGCTGTGAATATCGCGGAGAAGCTGGAGAAAGTTAGATCCCATAGCTATCGCTTATCAGCCTCTACGGACTTCTGCCATGACTGGTATGCCCCCTTTACGCTTTCTCTCCTGCCTTTCCCTGACCTCCACCTCAGGCATGAGCACATCTTCGATTCTGTCAAGGAGAACCTCATCGTCTCTGACCGCTTCCAGAAGCTCAATATGAAGTATCTAAAGGGTGTCGAGGTTATTCTCTGCACCATCTCTATGCCACCAAATGACATGATGAAGAAGGGATTTACCTCTGTTGTTCTACTCATCACGCTTATTGTTGATGAAGCCAGTCAAATCGAGATTGATGGATATCTTTCCGTCTTCACCAACTGCTCATCTATCTGCAAAGCCTGCGTTATTGGAGATGACAAGCAATGTAAGTCTGACACTCTTGTATGTTGGTTATCTTGCTAACTAGTTTACAGTGGCCCCTATATGGCCAAAATGAGCCCAAGAAGCTACAGAGCAACTTTGAGGTCCCACACCTCCACAACAATGTTGTCTTCCTTGATACACTGTGTATGTGCAACATAATGCCTTTTTGGCTCTGACTTACTGCTGGCTAGAATGTATGCCTCTCCAGCTTGGTGATATCATCTCCAAGGCTGTGTATGAGGGCATGTTGAAGTCTAATTAATCTCAATCACATGATTAGAAATAATATGATTGCTGTCAAAGTAGTACCAGTAGATGCAGAAGGCTCTGACTGCCCTGTTTATCAATTGATTCTAACTTGGCCATAGAACAAGGGTACTAGAAAAGTGCCGGCTTCGCCTCCAGACGACCTTGCTTGCCAAGAACATGAGAGTATACGAGTATGCGAGTAGTCTCAAAGTGTCTTAATCGATACCTAACTACGGACAAGTGGTCGAAGGCACGAAGAACAAGTCGTACTGAGAATGTCCGGGTGGTACACAACGCATGCGCGATTGCATGGTCGACGCTATCGAACGCGTCGGCGTTGCCAAACGCAGAGGTGATGAGGCTTCGGAGTCTGTACATCGTAGAAATTGTAGTGAAGTGAGACTTGGAGGACCATTGCCTCGACTGGAGCCGGGGAAAGAATTGAGCACTTTCGTGGCTACGGGCTGCGGGCATAGTAAAAGCCCTCGAACTCGGGCATGTGTGATGACCGCAAAGAACGATCCGTAATCTCGGCAACCTCGAGCAACGCCGCCGAGCTGACCCATCTCTCCTCTGCTTTCCCAGGTCGACGGGTTGAGCTGTCTAGCACAGAAGCTGTCCGTGAAAGTCTTTAATTAGCTCTATTGACAACAATCATATCACTACGGCCTGCACTCGCATCGACAGCTTCGACTACACACCGCCAACGCGTACCGTCATCGTTGGTGACCACATAATCCGACGCAAGCGCCACTTCGGCAGCTGGTTTCCAATTCAGTATTTCCCGCTCTTGTACTTGTACGTCTCCGTTGAGCCCTCTAAGATGGTGCCTACCGAGAGCTCATTCACCACCTCACCGACCGCGAAGTCCATTTTTCGTTGCAGGTCCGCGACGTAGTGCTTGCGTGACACGGCAAGAGCTTTCTTTATCGGCGTGAACACGGCGTGGCGGGTGAGCGAGGGGATGGAGTTGCAGGGCCACGTCCAGCTGTACATGGAAGGTCAAGGAGCGGTACGGGACGTTGAAGGAGGAGGCATCGGACATTAACACTGCGCGAAGATCTCTGGTAGCTATGCGCAATGTGGTCGCGTACAAGAGAGGTCAAGATTTTCTTGGGTTGGGGCTTTGAGGGCATGATGCTGCTGGTTTGCTCCCGAGACGCGAATGCCGACTTATTGAGGGACGACCCAGACACGAAGCACCAGGATAGGCTGAATATCTGCTTGGAGGACCGGATAGGACGCCAGGAGATAGAAGGGAGCTCAGCCATGGGTCGTCGGCTAGTGACACCAATTTTAAAGATTCGTCGACTATCCTATGTGGGTCCTTGCGTCTCTTGTCCACGTGATTGGATTTGTGGGTCCATTAGGCGCTTGGCCTACCAAGAACGTCGTCAGTCCTGCGTGCCGTGCCAGCAGCAGCAGCGTGCGCTTTCGAGCTCTGTAACCTGGCGCGCCCATCGGGGACGCGTTATCCGTGCAGCATCATTGGAGTCAATTTGCGCCGTGACGTTTCGTGATTTTTTCAAGGCGCCGGTCACCTCTCGATTGAGCTGCGGCGTTGCTTGCAATTGGCCGCTAAATCCGTATTGGATCGACGTATGTTTGCTGCTGACTGCAACTGTGCAGGAGAGTCAAGCTAGAGCATTTCACGTAGATGGTCGAAAAACATCACAAGTCTCGTGGTTAAAAGGGATCGGTGGGATCTCGTTCGAGCCTTATTCGTGTGTTTGTACGTGTGTGCAAAATAGAATCCGATCAGACAATAAGACCCCTCCATAAGACCTTGCAAGCAAGGTAACGAGCGTATTGTCTCCGTCCGCCCGTGCTTGAATATCCGCGTGAACGCCGTCTCATGCGTCACCGAGAACCCGCCAGATGTGCAGTAGTATACGAGTTGGAGGACCATCCGGATGTACGGGTCGGGCGAGAGTTGGGCTGGAGGTGAGAACGAGCGCAGCACGGCACATAGACCTGACGTACCAATATTGTTGATCCAATCTGTGCCGGAGTCCTCCAACCAGAGCTCCATGTTGTCGGAGTCGACAATGAGCACGTCGGCGTGCACCTTGGCGCGGCCACAGATGCGCTTCCTATCGGCAATAACAAGCTCTTACCACCCGGCTTAAGGCGCGGGACTTCGGCCGAGACATGGCCGAGATTACGCAGAACATGCTCCTTGTCGAGAGCACCGGTTGCCTTTACTGTGCATATACTATGGGTCACCCAGTGTATAAACGTACCGATCGCTACGTTGACACACTGTCCAGGGGCCGTCTGTTGGGCGATTGTGGCCCGGAAAAAAAGCATACATACGTTTTTGAATGCTCTGCACACGATGGTGGAGACCGCTTGTCCATAGCTGTAGTCATTCTGAAGATGCTGACTGGAAACCGCTCGGACGTGGTTGATGGGCATGATGCCGTCAAAACCTCGTGTTGCGGCCTCCAGCACCAACGGTCGCAGCTACTGTACCGGTATGTATGGAGGCAACCGTAACGCGTAACGCGGGCCCAACAAGTTGGCTATGTAGAAGAAAGTAACGCATAACGGAGGGGGGTGGTTGCCATCGCGCAAAAATTGACGAAAATTCGAATACTTCTCGGCGCGACCCAGACGGTCTTTTTCGCTCCGAATAGGGAATATTCTAATGAGAAACCCGGTTTCTACGTTTTGCCTTCCTTATAAGGCAATTCTGTAGAAACCCGCTCAACTTCTTTACACGAGGCTGGGTTTCTGCCGGCGTCTCTTCGGTCGTGCACCCGGGAGACGGTGATACGCCATCAATCTCGCCTGACGCTGCCGAAGTCGCCGAGCTCGCGGCTCCTCCTCCGTTTGCCACAAGTACCGCCTGTTTCTAGCTTAGTGGCCAGGTCAAATATCAGGCTACTGATTCCGATACAACTCGGTCAGCCCTCTTAGCTAGCAGGACTGACACTGACCCATAGGCCATTGTGTCCACTGGTGGACGCAATGGTCATGTGACTACAATGGGAAGACGACCTTTCACCCTCAGACAGTACCCTCCAGAGGGCCCGTAAGGCCTCTGCTATATCAAAGTACGACTGGATACACTCATGTGTTCCCTCATGCCTCAAGTGCAAGGGCGATATCCTATAGAAGTACTCAGTGGAGGCCTGCGCTGTCGAACTCGTCTGCCTCTCGGAGTTGGCCGATAGCCTCGTGCTGTAGTGCCGACCGCGGCAACAAAGAACTCGCCGGCGCGTCGCCGGGATGCTCGCCGGCAGAAACCGGGTTTCTAGATAAGGTTTCTACGGTTGGGTTTCTCATTAGAATATTCCCCGAAATAGGCTGTTTGTGTCGTAACTGCTGCATCGGAGCCTTCCTGCTGCTGTACGTCTACTTTCCGCCTAGCAAGTATCCAAATCTACCTTGAATGGTTGCCTATTCAACCAACCGTAACGCCTAACGTGGGGGTCGGTTGCCTACTAGCGGACGGTTGTTAGCGTAGCGCACCCCCTACCGGATGCCTCCATACATACCGGTACAGTACGCGCAAGCGGTCTTCGCCATCGTTTTCTACGCACACAAGAATGTAGGACTACGATTTTTTCGGGTAGAAATCGGCCGCCAAACGTCGACAGGACAGTGTGTCAACGTAAAGATCGGTAGGTTTATACACTGGGTGACCCATAGTAACATCATCTGGCAACAGAAGGTACATAGGACAGTCATCATAACACCTGTGTAAGAGCGCAGCTCATCGCTTCAATCAAGTTTAAATTAAACTGCACCTTCAACAGCACCCGCCAGCGGCATCGCTTCCCTGCCTTGACGCGACCGTGAGGCCGTGTTGATCCAGAAGAAAGTTGGATATATGCTCTGTGCTACATAACTGTGTAACATAGATATGCAAGGACGCGGACACGCTGCGTCGTAGCGGAAGACTCGCCCCGTCGCCGCCTCGTGTTACAGAAAGAGAAAGATCGTTACAGCAAGCGAAAGATCGTTAGAGACAAAGTGGACGGTGGAGCACGCGTGATCTGAGTGCCTGTGGAGCACCGCACCGACAAAGTCCAGGGATAGGCTTGTGGCCGGCCTCCTCAAGAATTGGACACTTACCTGTCGGCATATGGTCAACGGACCATTTGGAGGCAATCCCGAGCTTTTCTAGCTGCCGGAGAGTAGTCGGAACCTTCAGATGTGCTGGGAGGCAGCGCCACGTGCGGCTCCACCAAAGCTCAAATCTCGCGCGCTCCACCAACGCGGTTGTCTCTATCGATCTTTCGCCTGCTGTAGAAACGACCGCGCTCGTGGAGCGCGTGTGATCTGACCTTTGGTGGAGCAGCACGTGGTCCCGACTGTCCAGCACCTCCAGCCGCCGATGAGGGATATCAGATAGCCGCAATGCTCGCAATTGTATTCAGGAGGGATAACGGCCATAGTCCGAAAGAAAAGAGCCTGAGCTCTGAGGAGAGAACACCTACAAGCACTTGTCCACAGTCGCCTGGCGCTACTCCACAAGAGGATAGATGACGTCTACTCCCTCGGCGACTTTGCCTCTAACGATCTTTCGCTCGCTGTAAGTTAGGCCATCACGCAGACTTGCCTTTTTGCAATCCTGAGTCTGCGGCTGTGCCCAATGCTGTGCTATATCAAATTTATCCCACTCCTGTCGTAATTCCGCGCGACCTTACAACGCTGCTCAGTAACAATGTGAGTAGCCGCCTCAGGCAGAAGCCCCTCTTCCGCCTCCCGCAACAACTGTCAGAGTCGAACCAGAAACTGAACCAGCTGTGGAATTCGGGTTTTCGGCGATCGCCGCACGCGCACGTGACCGACGCTTCATATACCGCATTTTTTGTAGTTTTTACTTTATCCGTTTGTCCTCGTACCACCACACAGGACAACCGGATTACATTATGATTCTGCAGGACTCGTGGCGACTGACGACTACAACAACACCAGCGCCAGGAACTAGGGAATATCTCCGTATCCGGTAACAGATCTCGCTGCTCCAGCGCGGTTCGTGCATGCGGACCATCAGTTTTCCATACGGCAACTGCCAGTGGGGCGTATCATGCCCCGACATTTCAATTTTTGGTTTTGAGGTCTTGATCCTTCGCGTTTTGTCCTGTTGAGGTCAGATAACTTTCAGCCATCCGGTATGTTTTTTGTCCTCGACCTTCTTCCCGCCCACCATCCCCCCAGTTGAGTGCCAATCTGTCTCTCTTTCTTCATCGTCGATGTTCTTGTGAGTGCACTCTTTCTGTGCTCCTGCACGTTTCTACCTCCCATGCAGACCGGATCCGTGCGACGTGCCCCTTTGCTCCTGCTTGGACGCCAAGGACCTCGTCAACTACAGCCAGGCGTGTAAAGATACCCGTCGTTCCGCGGCCGCGTACGGACGGATGGCCTTTCAGATTCGGCACTCCCTTTCTACATTCATGGCCGAGAAGGACGTTCGCCCCTTCCGCGATGTCATGCGTCGGACGGGGACGGTCATAACGGGCTCCGTCGCTATCCATTTCTTCGCGCGCACTCCTGTGGACGACGACGACCTCAATCTAGTCATTGAATGGAAACATTCCAAGGATCTGTTCTCCTTCATACAATCGCTGGGCTACGTGTACGTACCCCGTCCTACCCAGGAAAAGAGCACTGTATCCGCCGTCAACTATGCCTATCTGCGCTACACCCACCGTGATCAGTACCTCGGAGCTCTGCCCAACACCGTTCTGGACGTATTACCTTTTGCTCGCGGAACCACATTCATTCGCGTCATGATAGCCAACTTCAGCGCTATGGATACCATCCTATCATTCCACTCCAGTATGCCGACCCTTCTCGTCCCGCAGATTGCAACTGACCTTCGCCCTGTAAGCCCCCACGATGAACGCTATCACCTTCCGCGCCGCCTACAGTCTCTATCCGTGCAACACATTTACCCGTTCCGTGGGAGTCTGCTTCCGCCAAAATCTGCACGTCGATATGTACAAAAGGCGGGGCTGGACTATGGAGGGCTCTGCATCGGAGAGGACGCGTGCGCAACATGGAGAAGAGGTTAATGCGCCCATCCGGTTCGTCGGCGACGCCAACACCTGGACCATTGACCTCGATGATCGGTATGTTAATACGCATCCATTCCTCAGCGCACCTTCACATCGCATACAGTCCTTCGCTCTTCCTGGACACGTTCATGTACAACTCCTGGGAGCTTCGCTGGACTGGCCGCTGCAACGGGTGGATTATGCCACGTATCGAGAGCGCCAGCTACATCGGAGACGACTGGTGGCTTCAAAATCGGACCTTCGCTGACTGTGACCTCCTCGGAGCTTTCATGCGTAAGCTGATGGACAACCAGCCGAGGTTTGTGAGGTACGTGGCGGTGTCATCGCTCACCTTGGCTTTCGCCCACGCTTCCCTCCCCTACAGGCAGACCGACGAGGACGTCTTGAAGTCCGTCCTAGATAGTGCTAAGGAGATGTTGTTTGTTTATAGACCTCCTTGCGCGACGGACACGTTGTTCTTGCCGGGCTGGGATGTAAATCGGCCTCCTCGCCTCCCGGTTGTCACCGTTCCCTGTGCTAGACTTGTCGAGGAAGCAGACCCCCAGGCATGGTGCTCTACATGCTCTCCTCTGCAGTGCATGCTCATTACAGCGTACTCAGCCCGAAGAAGAATCCCAAGCTACAGAGCAGAACTCAGCCACACCCAGCGCTGCGCCGGCTGCCGCCGACGGCGTCTTCGCTCACAAGGTCTTCCATGCCGGATCAAATTCACCTCGTGCGTCAAAAGCACTGGACGACGACATCGTCCGTGATGCCCTTGTAAGTGATCTCACTATGTTGTGTGTTGCTTGCTCACGCCCGTGCAGAACAACCTTACACTCGGTGCCAGTGTACTGTCTGACCCCGACTTGGTCAGTGGTCTAACGTCCGATAACATTGTTGTAGAGCCTGAACACACCCACGACGTACTTCTATCATCACCGGTCCCTGTACATTCGCTGATCCTTGTATAGGACGGTCTTGCTCCCGCCAAGGTGCCTTCTGACGCTGGAGATTTTGATCAAGATTCAGTCGGAGCACGCAGCGACGACTCTTGCAGTATCAATGATGTCTGTCTCTCTATCGTCACGGTCCCGTGTTGCATTGACGTTTGAACAGATTGGTGTCTCGTTTGTCGACGGGAGGGACCACTCCGCCGCTCACTCCGGAGACGACGCATCCCCAGACTACGATGTGGAGTATGCCTCCGAAAGGGATGATGTACACATCTCAGCCTCGTTCGTTTGTATCACACTGATTGCATCATAGTTGCTATTCGACAGCGACGATACCCAGTCCTCTTGGTCTGCGTTTTCCTTGTCGAACGACCAGCCTCCTCTAAAGCGGATGCGGACGCAATGAAGAGTGGATGATGTATTGTAGCCTAGCGTTTGGAATATATATGTGTACATGGCCTCTCCTCGTCCACATCAAATGGAGTCGCCTCGACTGCCGGGACGCCGGGTAATTATTTCCTATCACGATCGTGGGATAATGATTATATAAGCAAATTACGAAGGAAGGTGCTTCTCTGCTCTTTACCTTCATCTACCCCTCACTCGGGAATCAAACGACATGTGGTCTGTTTTGACCTTGGCCGCCGTGACAGATATTGTAGTACGTTCTTTCTCTCCAGTAAAGACCAGGTTTCTGATGTACTTTGATAGCGGTTAGCCCTCATATGCCTCGAAGATGGGTATGAGTTGTGTCCACTGTGGGCATTGGAGAGAACTGGACAACTTCGGTATTACGGAAAATGCGCTGGCTACACGTCGCTTGCGTCTCCTCCCAGGCAGTAGCGCAGACGTCGCCGCCTGGTTGGAGGGCAAGGCGCCAGAGTTGGGCACCCGTGCCACAAAATTCATCCTGCGCAAAGACCTGCGCAAGCTGAGCAGGGACACTAACCGCTGGCCATCTTGGTGCGTCCTCTGTACTACTGGTGGGGGGAGTGTTATGCTAACAAGCCTCCCCTAATAGGCAACCAACCCTACATTGGGTGTTACAGTTAGTCAAATGAGCAACCACCCCCTCTGTTATTAGTTACTTCTTCAAACTAGCCAACTTTCTGGGCCCCCATTACTTGTTATGGTTGCCTCAATTCATACCTCTACAGTACATGGTGAAAGTTGTATACCAACTGCTTTGTAGCTGTGGCCTCTCTGATTTCATTCTGTTCATATCTCCTGCTCCCCTCACACATGTCAGTGCATCTGCACATGTTGTTGACAAGCTGGCAATGACTGGTATGTCTACATCTAGCTGTCAACAAAGACACAGTACAACAATAGGTATTCCTTTTACAACCATGTACATAGGCCTCCAAAAAAGAAAGAACACCAACAACGTACATATTCTACTGTACCGGTATGTATGGAGGTAACTGGTAGGGGGTGTGTTACACTAAAACCCTCCGCTAGTAGGCAACCGACCCCCACGTTAGGCGTTACGGTTAGTTGAATAGGCAACCATTCAAGGTAGATTTGAAACTTGCTAGGCGGAAATCGGACGTACAGCAGCAGGAGGGCTCCGATGCAACAGTTCCGACACAAACAGCCTATTTCGGAGCGAAATAGACCGTCTGGGCAGCGCACGGAAAATATTCAGAATCCCGTCGATTTTTCCGCGATGGCAACCACCCCCTCCGTTATGCGTTACTTTCTTCTACATAGCCAACTTTTTGGACCCGAGTTACGCGTTACGGTTGCCTCCATACATACCGGAACAGTATCCTGGTCGGCGGCCTCTCCGAACTCGGGTCCAGGCGTGAAGCGCCCGAATACAACAACTGCCAGCTGCTGATACATGGTGGCCTTGCTGACCGAGCCGACAATCTTGGCGCGTCCCTCCTTCGCGGCCGTGGTGTTGGAGTCGCTGAAAAGCTTGTTCCGGAAGCTTGCTGCGTTGCCGAGGAACTGGAGGATGCGCTCCAGCCAGGCTGGGCTCGTGTCCCATGGTATAGGCTCTGCACGGGTCTTCTGGGTCCCAGGATCCGTCGGGTCCTTGGCCTTCGAAAGCTTAGCCATAGTATTCAGGAGGAAGTAGGTGCTTAGAGGACGATGGGGCCGGCCGCGACGCGCTGCGTGGAACGGCGTTACTTTAGCACGTGCAGCGAACAATCACCTTGTTTTCCTTTGTTATGACCGAGGGCTCACAGCGGCATTCGCCGAAAACTCTCTCGCAAAAAAAGCACCCAAAAAGACTTGCAGAAAAGGGTCGCGAGCCGTTTCTGTACTTCCACAAAGAAAGACCCTGGGAAGAAAACGGCGTCGAAAAAGCGACTCAATCAGGACTCAAAAAGCGTTCGAAAAAGGCCGAGGGCCCTGCGGGAGCTCTGTGCCCGCGAGTGGGCTTCTCGCCAGTCGAGTAGGGTACGGAGTGAGCGCTAGTGGTCGCCCGTTGGCGACAGTCGGGCGCGGAATCGCTCGGGTAGCGTGTAGTGCGCGTGTAACGACGCGCACGCTTGAGATCGAATGAGAGAGTGCCCGCGTCGGACTGAAACTCTACGACGAGGCGGGAAGCGGCCCTTCCGGTGCCTGCTGCTCAAAGCCTCTCCTAGCGGAGGCTGGTTCGAGCTGCAGACGGTGGTAAGAGCTGAGATGGTGATTATTCTCGATGCGGCAGGCCGCAAGGCGGCCTGCGATATATCTAATCTAGTCTATAACTAGAGAAGCTCCGGCGGGGCCGGTTTCCAACCTTGCTTGCGAAGTGGGTGCTCGAGTCCATTAGCTGTACACAGGCTGCTGGATGACGATGCCGTCGTTAACTCCAACGACTTGCAAGAGGAAGGCCCTCCGTGAACATCTTGATTCCATCCGCGTCGGTATCCTCGACCTTCGAGTATGCCCTCTCACTGACCGCCTTCTCTGGTCACCTCGCCCTCCCCAGCGAGCATACAATTCATGCCTCCCCCCTCCCTCCGCTCTTTGTCTCTCGAAGGCCAAGTAGACGAAGCCTTTCCACCAGCGAAGCGTCTCGAGCCTCGAATCATTCACCCTGTGGCCGCCTCCCATTCGAGAATTACATCCCCAAATTTCTCTCGGTTTCCTTCTGACCTCCGCGACTGGAGTGTCAGCTTCATGGAGAATAGTGCTGATCTGCTTCTCTTGCTCCCCCTCGCGTCTCCAAATGGCAGAAAGACGGATGCATCGTGTGCGGACATGAAGTGATGGGAAGCAAGTTGAAAGACTCTATCCGAACAAAAATCGGCAGACAAAGCGTGTTGGCACAGCGTAAGGGGCTCAATTACCTTGTGGATATGAAAAATACAGTCCTCTTGCAAAACTTTGGGTAGACTGTCTTCGGCATGCTAGTAGTCTGCATGTTGTGCCAAGGAGTTCAACCGGTCAGGTGATCTACCGGTACCGACATCGGACTTTGCCGCATACTTTCAATACCTCTCCAGTACCAAGTATTGTGCGCTTAGGGGCCGTGGCAGTCCTTTGTAGGCTTTCGTGTTGCTAAATGCACTTCCCCGATTATTCAGATTGGTCAGGACGGCAAGTCCCATCTCGGATCCCCTCATGCGCCGAGTACTGCGCTATCGAAGGCAGGTGACGGTGACGTCTTTTGTTTGTACTTATGCCGCAAAAAAAAAAACTCGTGGCGTCGTCAATAAGCATGCTGTAGATACCTTGCAAGCAAGGTGATATACGTTATATACGAGCAAAAAAGAAAACACTGTGGGTACGAGCGTGACTCGAGAGTACCAGTGAGGGATCTCCGTGCAGGATTCCCACAGGCCCGAACGTGAAACACCCTAATGACTTAGCTGGTTAGAACGCCACTCTGACTGTACATGGTCTGAAGTTCGAACCCTGCTATGTTTGGCTGTACTGCAGTTAGCCCTAATATGCCTCGAGGAAGGATGAAAGTCTGGTCAGCTATGGGTATCCGAGAGAACCGGACAACTTCGCTGTTAGTAATATTTGTCTAATACCGAAGTTGTCCGGTTTTCTCGGATAACCATAGCTATAGCCTTCCTCGAGGCATATCAGGGCTAACTTCAATTAAGGCATGTCAGAAAACTGGTCTCTTGAAGAATAGAAAGAATGTATCACAATATTTGTCCCAGTAGAGTGCATTCGCCCAGTAATGATATCGTTTTGAGCTTGCTAATTCGTTTCTGAGTCTTCAAAGCATTAGAGTGTATTCGCCCATTGATAATTTCGTTATGAACATGCTGATTCATTTCTGTATCTTAATAGCATTCTCGTAGTAAAACTGACCAGATTCGAGATCTTCGCAGTGGCTGTTGGCGAGCTGGCCAGCGCTACCCTCCCTGGACCGACATTCTCTTGAACGACTCGAGGGGAAACTGGGAAGACAGTCTCCGGCAACTGTTCAACGCCGCCTGCCGTCGTGAAACGACGTGAACACAAGGTGATTGGAGGATTGCCCGCGAACGATTTCCGTAACATACCAAAACAGTTTCGCAGTATGAAGGCGCTTGGTGCTCAATTGAATTCGTATGTACCGATTTTGAATCTTGAATTTTTAATGGGCGAATACACTCTATTCTCGCAGTGAGACTGACCAGATCCAAGATCTTTGCAGTGGCTCGCGGCGAGCTGGCCAGCGCGACCCTTCCTGTACCGCTCGTGCTTCGAATTCTCAAGGCGAGACTTGGCAGACAATCTCCGACAACTGTTGAGCACCGCCCGCCGTCGTATAGCAGCGTGAAGACAAGGTGGTTGGAGGGCTGCTTGCGCTGGCGAGTGTAGAGCCCATCGATGGTTTTCGTAACATACCAGAACAAATTTGTAGTATAAATATGTTCGGTGCTCAAATTGGATCTGTTTGTTGGATCCTGAATTTTCAATGGGCGAATACACTCTAATACACTCAAGTGTCTGAGGTCAAAACAGACCAGATGATGTTTGATTCCATGGGTGATATGCACAATCCAGATGTATAGTGGGACTGGTCAACGATTCGGGGGATGGGCCCCATAATTAGTGGAATGGTCACCATAGGACGTATTAGTAGACAGAATCATCCAGTTCTGCACTTAAGAAACGGAGCTCCACTTGATGAAGCAGCAAGTTCAGAACCTACGAGGACTGATGAATTCTCTTGCAATTCAGGTACGTAGAGTCCCGACAAGGGTGCAGCCTCGGCGCGGTACTCGGGGTGATTCTAGCAGGCAGGACAAGGAGAAACTCTGAGGTATATAAAAAAACGCATTGTGGGAGTGTAGGCTCTTCCTGCTCACTGACCATGCCGCTGTCCCTTTCGAGGCGACTGGCCAGTCCCACGGTCTCCGTCTTCGCGCGAGTCGGCGCATGCGTCGCCCTCTGTGAGCTAAGAAGGTACGTTCTCCGTGTTGTGACGAGCTGGCAATGCCGTTGTTTCGTGCTGAAGGTCGTAGCAATGAATTTCTCTCACGGGTTCGATTCGAAAGTCTGCGCCAAGTCTGTACACGACCTCGCGCACCAAGCTCTCATTCGGGGTGCTCACTGGTTGTGCCCGCACGCCAAGCTGGGTGGATGCTCTCAGCTTCGAAGTCCGTACTGTACCGGTATGTATGGAGGCAACCGGTAGGGGTTGCGTTACGCTAAAACCCTCCGCTAGTAGGCAACCGACCCCCACGTTAGGCGTTACGGTCAGTTGAATAGGCAACCACTCAAGGTAGATTTAGAATTTGCTAGGCGGGGATTGGACGTACAACAGCAGGAAGGCTCCGATGCAACAGTTACGACACAAACAGCCTATTTCGGAGCGAAATAGACCGTCTGGGTCGCGCCGAGAAATATTCGAATTTTCGTCGATTTTTGCGCGATGGCAACCACCCCCTCCGTTATGCGTTACTTTCTTCTAGATAGCCAACTTTTTGGGCCCGCGTTACGCGTTACGGTCGCCTCCATACATACCGGTACAGTATCTCTCCCAGCGAATTACCCAGATCATTCAGCAGGAAGGGTTCCATGACCTTGAACTCTACGCGTTGACCCCTGCTGGTTGGTATTCGACATGATGTGCTGTTTGAGCACAAGGAAGAAGGCCTGCTCGTCTATCGACTGTTTAGCAGCTCGGAAGGAGGTGATTTGCGCTGTCGTTCCCGTCCCTGTCTTCAGGCGAGAAGGCACTCGCATCAACCACTGTGGTTCACAAAGACCCGTTCCCCGCGATGTGAGAGGTCAGCGGACGAATAGTCCTAATCTGGGGCGAGGAAAGGGAACAAGCAATGGAGGGAGAGCCTGAGCATCGGCTAGGCCCGAGGGGTTGCCATATCCTGAGGATGCGACGTCTGCCGGCCCCCAGAATTGTCATAAGAGGGTAGTGCGTAGCCCTGTTTGCATTCTCCATCCTCGATGGACAGGCTAACATTTTCTCCAGGTCGCGGAGTCCTATCCAGGCATGAAGTGTATCCCGTGACCGAGGCATTCGATACTTTAACGGAGCAAGGAGATGGGGAACACAAAAGCTTCTCGGCGCGGAGGACCCCGATGTCGCTGCCCACTCGCTTGTTCAGCGATCCGCGCAATGGGGACAAAGCCCGTGCGTCGGGTACGTCCATTTCGTGGTCCTTTTGACGCGGGTTCAGAGCACTTGTGGGAGACGCGCAATGGACACAACGCGCGTGGGTGACCCAAAGAGAGTATGCGCACTCAGGGCGAGCCTCGAGCTGCTTGACGTTCGTGCGAGGGGGTGGCCTTGTTCGCATCCAGGAATCGTGACACTCGGCGAGGAGGCAAGCTTCCCCATCTGTTGACACTTGCTCAAGGGAGGTGTCCAGGCGAGCTGGCTCCTCGGCGTCGTCATCGCTTGCTTTGTCGGGCGGTCCTCGGGCTGAGAGAAGAACAGGCGCGTCCACCTCATGGATGTCGTGCGTGCTGAGACCAATATCCAGAGATTTGAGTATGCGCGAAAGAGGATATCCGAGTCGGCCACGATGACTGCGAGTCATTCTTGATTGCAGTATCCGGCGCTTCAATGCAACATGAGCGATTCCGTGCTCTGCGCGCGCTGTAAAATTCGAGGTCTGGTGAAGGCGCATATTCCGTTGGCTCAACAGCGCGCCTGCTCCCGTTCTTGACGTTCCTAGGTGAGAGTCCATTCTCTTCGCGTGATACCAGGAGCTTGTCGTCCTTGCAGGACGAGACCACCGTTTGCCCCCCCCCCCCCCCCCCCCCGAAGCATGCATGCGCTTCACATTGCTCGCGCCACGCTCCCGGGGCTTAGGGACCCGTCCGTGCTCACAAGCAAGGAAGCAGAGCCGAGATGCGCTTGGCGGTGCATTGTCCGCGACATCTAATCGGGGCGGAAGCCCTTTTCCGTTCTGCGCGCTCCATGGATCCATACCTTTGCGGGGTGGGCTTGGAATCTGGTGAGCAAAATCTAGAGCGTCAATTCCGCGCAGCGGCAACTTGAGGGTGACTGAATGCCCCCGCGCTCGCCAATCTGCACTTTCAGGACCGCTTCTGGCCGTTGACGGATGCGACGACCGAAGAAGAGGAGCAGCGGACTCGACTACGGAACGAGCCATTGGCTGCTTAAGTCTCGGAAATGCGCACGGTTCTTGCTACAATCACGTTTGTTGCTTTGAGGCGATTGCTCGGGCGCCTCGCGAGAGCTACGCGAGCTGATTTCGGCTCGCGGCGTGACCGTAGCATGAACACGGACTGAAGGGCCTGGGACTGCCCCGGCGGTGCCTGATTCGGCACCCTGCGGTAAGCACTTCCCCGCCTCGCGCAAGCTTCCGGCTTTGCCGTCTCGTTGAGACGAGGTTGACACCTGCCCCCCCAGCGTACATGCGCGGACAGTGTTGAGTTGAAGCTTGCCCAGGCACCTCTGAGCGCGAGTGACGAAGGTTTCCGACGTTCGCCTCCGCTTTGACGTCTTGAGGTAAGCCTTTCTCATCGCCGCTTGTATTGGGGGATTCAATGGCATCCTCTTATAAAGTGAGGGCTTCTAAAGCTTGCTTGCACTCGCTGATGCTTTTGCTTCGCGAGCCAGCATCAGGGATGCGGACCTCCTGCAGCGGCAAGGTCGTCGGCCGTCCAAGTGTTTGGCAATTCACGCCATCGGGACTACACGTACTACCTGACGTTGAACGGCGTGACGACCGTAGGGGAGGAGCGGCGGACGGGATAGTAGCAGAGCGGCGGACGGGATAGTAGCAGAGCGCGAATGAGAAGGGGATGGGAAGCTGTGTGTACCCGAGTCGCTTGAGGTCGTCTGGTCAGAGTGCTCGCGAGCTGCATGGCTTTTAGGCATGGAGGAGGACGATGACGAGCGGCGTTTAGAGCTGGGTAGGCGAATGTGGTATCGATTTTCCGAGTCCGGTGAACGTGCGGGGCTCCCCTCATAACCGCGTTCGGCAATTCGAGGTGCGCATTCTGGTGTATCGACCAAGCGGATCGGACTGATTTCTGCGCCTGGCCCCACTGTAGCGTGATCCCGAGCGCGCGGGCTCATCTGCTTCTCACCGAATTGGTCTAACGGCGAGGGAGCTATTCAGGTCGTGCACATCTGGATCATTCGCTTCTACAACTCGCAACCGAGGGAGGTCACCGCAAGGGGAGCCGGCGCGACTTTGAGAGTTACCTGTCAAGCGCTTGACATCTCGCAGGTTGAAGACCAGACCGCGTTCGATGGAGCTCGGGCCAAACTCGCTCTTTGCTAGAGTGTCGACCTCACGCAGGGAAGAGGTTGTCCAAGTAGGCCGCTCGCGCGCTCGCCAGTTCGCGCTATCAGAACTGCTTCCTTTTGTTGTCCCCAGGGACGCGCAAAGGAGCGGAGCAGGGGATATGGCATTAGCGGGACACCGACGTAGAGACATCTGGCTGCTCTTCGGACTCGAGCGGTCCAAGCTCCTTCTGTCAGGTGGCTCTCGAGTTGCCTGGATGAGCGACACGGCGGATGGCAACGGCGAACGGGCACGATCACCTGGACACGGAGCGTGGCACTGACTGACTGAGTCCGGGAGATCCACACGGTTCCTACTGCAATCGCGCCCGGTGCTTTGAGGTGAGCGTTTGGGCGCGTCAATAGAGCTATGCGGGCTCATTTCTGCGTGCGGTTCGACCGAAGCATGGCTGTTGCTTGAAGCGCCTGAGCTGGTCAGCTTCTCGCCAGATCTGTCCGTCGTTGGGATGCTCTTCGGGTCGTGCGCATCTGCCGAAGATCTGCAGGTTACGAGACCTGCTTGCCAGGCTCGTCTTACACCAGTGGACCTGATCAGACGTCCAAGCGGTCGATCAAAAATTATCTCCGGATGTCGACCGGTTAGTCGTTCGAATTCTTCAATCAGCTCCGTCTTTTTCCTTCCTGAAAAATCCGACATATTCCTTGGCTCATACCTTCCAGCTGGTTTGAGCCTTAAGCTCTAATTCGCGGTCAATGTGAGGCTCCGGACAATGTCTGTACACGTGCGGCCCCGGCAATGTCCGTCAGCACAGCCTCATCACTCGACGCACAGCCACAACATTCGACAGGTGAGTTTTTCGTTGTCTTCATTGGCTAAAATCCTGCAAAATATTCTAGAGCATAGCTAGTGTATCTCTAGGTCTTTTTTCTCGGATTTGTTGTGATTGCCGTTGATGAACGTGTTCTGTCGTGTCCCTCACTCACAAATGACACGGCTTGCTCGGGCCGATCTTCCTCGTCGAGTTCTGCTAGGTCTCGTCCCGCGACGTCCAACTGTGTCCCAACCATCACGATGCCCCCTGCCTCGTCTCTCCATCCATCGCAGGTGCCTCTCTACCGTCTCCCCTCTCCCAAGCATCTCGAAGAAGCCGCTTCCGACGCGTTCGGCTACGATCGCGTCCCATATAACGATTACACAATGGCCATGCCAACGGCCACGATCCGGACGAGGAGGGGGGTTCCGGGCGCGTGAACGCCTGCCATGATCGATTCTATCACTAATCACTTTTTCATTGTGACGCGGAGAGGGGAGAGGGGGACGGGCGAGAGCAGGACGAGACGGAGGAAGCGGGGCTAACACTGCGCCGCGTTCCCGTTATTTTCGCCCTCAGATGCCATTCGAGGGCGCGAGGGTCCTGCGTATGGCGCGCTACGCGTCATAGGCTAGCCCTCGATGGCCCTTTGGCTGTCGCGCATCGACCCACGCCCCTGCTAATAGCGATCGGCACGGGTGGCGGGCAGCGCTTATCCTTCCCCTCCCCTCCCTGCAGTCGTGGACAATCGCCTCCGCCGGGATTCGCCGCGTCGCGCAGGATGCACTCGGCGCCACCGAGCTTACTGCTCGGCGTATCGCGCGCGGGGCCGACCCACAGCTTGCTCGGCACTTGCGGCACGTTCCGCGCACCCGCCCCCTTTCCCAGTCCGTCGCCGGGAATGAGCTGAGGGGCTGGGGAGGCTGCTCACGCGATCGTATCTGTGCCTTGGCAACGCGCGGATGCGGCGGGGAGGTCCAGGGCCCCAGGTGGCGGGCGAGCGCGTACTCACCTCGCTCCTCGCGCCACCCCAATGGGTGCCGTTGCCTTTCACCTTCAGGTGATGCCCTCGACCTCATGTGCTCTGCGCCTTTTGCGATTGCGGGAGCGTAGAGCAACACCCCTCCCCCTCCCTCCCCCCACCTTGCTACGTGACGACCGCGAACGCGTCCTTGGACGCGAGTGAGTGCACGAAGCTTGGGCAGCTTCTCATCATATTCCTCACCGTCCACTTGCACTCCTGCACGCTGTGCAAGTGGCAGGAGTGCGAGCGGGCCTTTTCTTCGCTCTACTCGCTTTTCTCCGTAGTCTTGCGGGCCTTGGTCCTCCTCCACCTCTAGCAGCTCCCTCCAGAGACTACTCTGAGGCGGGCCGCTCTGCCGGTCAGGCCGCACCCACAATATGTGTCTCGTGCTCAACACCACTGCATCACCCACGTCGTCCGCCCGTCCCTCCTATGCACCCTCCCGTGCTGCGGTCGCCACGCGCAGGCGGCGGTGCAGCACCTCAAGGCCCCAGATAGTGGATGGCTTGTCTCAACAAGGCAGATCTCGTATATCGCCCTGGGGGCCACTTAACTAGTCCACGTGCGCGGGTCAAAATTTGGTATGACAATAGATAATTATATTTACACACGTAAATTTGCGAGTGGCGCTGCTCTCTAGGCTGAGGAGAATATTCATCATCTGCTGGCAGACCCATGTCCAACCCCATGTTCGTTTCCCAGCACAACGAAGACATCATCAGCGACCTAATGATATGGAGCACAGACATCCCTCCACGTCTCCCTGAACAGCACGGGTTGAGCCTTATGAGCCCCGACGTCCTCAAGCGACTGATGGAGCTTCCAACAACTAATCCTGCCCTCTTCAGGCAACTCTCCTCTTAAACGCCCATTCCCACGGGCGATGAAAAACATCCTATCAACGATGAGGATCGCCCTCCAGCAGACTCGCGGTTTTTCGGCCAGGAGACTCTCTAAGACGTCAGTGATGTGCCCGTGCCGACTGACCATCATCGATTTTGTGATGTCGCAGGGCTCACAGCTCGCACCACAATTTTGTCAGGTGGCGCGGCGTGTAGGGGTTGCTGAAGATCTTGCCATCGATGATGCCAGCCTTCATGAGTCGCCACATCCCAAGGAAGAGGAAGACACAGGCGGGGCCAGCGCACGTCGCGAAGGAAGATGTGGACAGCGAACGGGGATGTCATGCGATGGGTAGGTGACTAGAGAACGTGTGGGAGTGTACGCAGCGGGTAAAAAATGAAAATAGGCTCAAAACGCGCTATTTCGCACTTACTTGGTATGGAGTTCACTGACCGGTATGATCTGCGATACTTGCGCCGTAGGTTCAATTCATGGGTAACAGAGACATGTGACGTGAACCTACAGTCAAGCCTGTGCAGTACGCAAGTGCTAAGGCTGCAGCCACTGAAGCCAAATGCATTTGACATGGCCATAGCCCCTGGTGGCTGGTGCCACTGCAAAAACACAGAATCACTGACTTTGACCAAAATTTGCAAGTTGAACAAGGGTTGGCAAGGGTTAGTTAGAGGTTTAGGGTCTACCAATAAATATCAGTGATAGTGGAGACGGCCTCAAAGGGGCAGGGAGGGTTAGAAAGATCGGGTAAGAATGGGTGATATAGAGCAACACATCTGCCAACCAAGTAAGACCCAATGGCGTAGCTGGTTAGAACACCACTCGAACTGTACAAGATTTGAAGTTCAAACCCTGCTGTGGTTGGCTCTCATATGCCTGGAGGATGGGTGCAACTCTCATCGCTTGGTAGGCATCGGAGAAGCCTGGGCAAATCCGCTATCAGAGATGTTACTGCTCTAATAGCGAATTTGACCGGGCTTCTCGGATGCTCATAATCGACGAGACTTGCACCCGTGCTCCAGGCATATGAGGGCCAACTGCATTTATGGTATGTCGGAAAACTGGTCTTTGGAAGAATAGAAAGAATGCATCACAGTATTTTTTCTGTGGTTGGAGTCAAAACAGCCAAGATGATGTGTGATTGCACGGGTGACATGCACGGTCCGGATGTACAGTCAGATTGATCAACAATGCGAGTGATGGGCCCTAGAATCACTGGATGGGTCAGATCGAAGGGCGACTGCAACAGATCTGTTGACATGCACACAAGGAAGAGCAATAGGGCTTATTAATTAGCACACATATCGACTTCTTCGCTTACAAAACGCGGCTCCACTTCATGCAGTGCCTGAAGCAAAACTTGCGAGAGCTACTGACGGTAACCCCCATCCGAAATAGATCCACCGTCCGAAATGCCGCTTTTGCTACACTGCTCACATTCGAGAAATGGAGGAAAAATCACCATAATTCAGCTCGTATATCAAAAGCGTTATGCACAGAAATTCAAACCACCCGACCAGGTAAGGAGCCATAGGCACGATGGAAGCTTTATGCTAGGGAGAGGGCTGCCATCACCCCCAGAATTCGTCTAAAATATGCATACAGATACTATACGATGTGATCTATCAATAAATATCAGCGGCCACGAACCGCTTGGATTTCGAGGGGCAGGGGGTGGGGGCGGCAAATCCGTGTTGGATGAGGGCAACCGTCAGTAATAAATATGTCCGTATGTAATAGAAAATATTAGTAGGATGAAAAATCAGCGGGGTTTACATCAAGTGCCCATTGTTCTCAATAGACAGTGGATGCAAAAACTTGGAATATCTATTGAATCTGATACGTCGAAGATGCCCGCTCGCATCTGGTACGAGAATGACATGACTATGAACATCAACGAAAGCGCCCATCCGTTCACGAACAAGATGACAGGTATGGGTTAGACCGCTTGCGGAGGCTATCGAACGGTGTGTACCCCACGTATCCTGTGTATCCATTCAACTGATGTTACAGTCAGCACATGGACTGCAGACCGCATGATCTTCGAGCAACTCGGAGAGTGCTCGCAACGCTGCGTCCTTCTCAACACAAAGATTACCTTCTCCGACCGTCACCGTGCGAATCGCTTGCGCCAGGAGAGGAAACGCTGTGTACGTCGGTTAACGCACCTGCACTCGCTCCTACCCACCCGACTGGCGAGATCCCCACTCGCGGGCCCAGAGCTCCCGCACGTTCCGTGGTAATCACCTTGCCAGCGTCCAGACGGTTCGCGGTATCCGCTAGCCAGTCGTCACTCGTCGTGTGTGTGCTTAGGGTTAATAGGATGTTGGACCTTCTGCACAAGTACGGGTACGGTTGCTGCCTTGTATCGAGGTCTTTTTCTCATGTTTCCGACCGGTTATAGCCGCGATATGGCTCTAGCAAGACCGCCTGCGACGTCTCCGCGCTTAGAAAGCGAACTATCACAGAACGAGTCGGTGAGCTTCGATTTACTCACTAAGCGCTCGTATCTCGCTCACACCACATCTCTAGACTTTCTCTCAATTATTTTCCCTTCAACCCGTTGCTATCCAAGCCGATTCGATGGCAACGCGCGTTGTCGACGGCATTGCGCGCCGATTGCGTCGAAGAATGGTCTCAAACATGCACGAGACGCATTATTCGCCGAAAGTGCCTTTTTCGTCATTTTTCACTTTTCTCAGTACTCAGCCGTCGCTAGGGAACGATTCTGGCGGCGGTATCTCAGTTGGGGCACGCCTGAACGCGTGCGCGACGACATCCGAGACGGTATATCACCCCAAAGCGCCAGAAGCTGCTGTTCTCATACAGACTTTCTAGCTATCTCGATTTTCCCCAATGGGCAAAAGCGCGCTCCATTGACGCCCCAAAGGCCCCGCCTCCGATGTAATCAACAGGGGAAAAGCTCTTCAGATGCCACAAAGGTATTTATCATGATTTCTCGCCTTTTCCGACTGTAAATCGTACTACTGTACCGGTATGTATGGAGGCAACCGTAACGCGTAACGCGGGTCCAAAAAGTCGGATATCTAGAAGAAAGTAACGCATAACGGAGGGGGTGGTTGCCATCGCGCAGAAATCGACGAAAATTCGAATATTTCTCGGCGCGACCCAGACGGTCTATTTCGCTCCGAAATAGGCTGTTTGTGTCGGAACTGTTGCATCGGAGCCTTCCTGCTGCTGTACGTCCGATTTCCGCCTAGCAAGTTTCAAATCTACCTTGAATGGTTGCCTATTCAACTAACCGTAACGCCTAACGTGGGGGTCGGTTGCCTACTAGCGGAGGGTTGTTAGCGTAACGCACCCCCTACCGGCTGCCTCGATACATACCGGTACAGTACCCATACCTGACAAGTGTTATTGACGCTCATGGACCCCAGACCCAGAACACCTTACCGCCGCATTCCACGCCACTTGACGAACAGGCTGCGAACGACGAGTCAAAGTGTGAGGGTTCTGGACCTCGTGAGTGAGGGACTCCTTACCGAGCCGTCTGTCGGGGGTACCTTTCTTTTCTTTTTGTTTCTACTTACGGTTACTACGCTTTTCACCGCGCATTCGGCTCTTGGACTTGCACTTATGCTACGCTGGCGCACGTGCCGGCCTCCTGACCGCCTCGTGCGCCGTCGCGGACTTACGTTTGGTCACGGTGTTATCTAGTCACGATATTACGAGAATAGCACTTTACTTCTTCCCAACCTCTACATCCCGCGGCTACGCCTTGAGGGCTCCGCCTACTAAGAGACGCCTGACACGGAGAGCCGGTCAGGTGTGAGCGTCCGAGGGTTACGGATAGCCGTTCCCTCACTCTCAACCTCGCCAGTAGGCGACCACTCTGCCGCGCCACGTGGCGTCTTCGTGAGAGACACCCACCAAGCCGCTAGGCTCTTACAGAGTGGACACTGTGGGATCTCGCGAAGACTCGAGACGGAGCATCTCGGTACGTCTCGCATACACCCCCATCGAACTAAATCCTTTGATAGCTTCCTCGACGCGCGAGAGCGTTTCGGAACACGTGTTGCGGCGAACCAGCCAGTCGCCTTCGCCTACCCCCACTTCGGACGGCTCGCAGACTATCTCCTCTCGGGAGAGTTTTCCACCTAGACCACCAACCCCACATCCCCGCGCACATGCGATGAGCGCCATGAAAGGCGCGAGTACGAGCGCAGCGGGTCAGACGCCCGCTACGGTGGCGCTCGAAGCTCAGCCGCAGGAGACGGAGGCTCATCAGCACGACGTGGCCGGACGCACCTCGCCGGGAAACTCAGAATCCGAGGAGGACACGCGGATGGCCACTATCCGTAGCGTGCAGGCGGCCTTCAATCTAGTCGACGACCCCGCGAATCCAGATGCAGACCTCAACTCGCCGCGAAAGCGCATAGACTCGCTGATCCATCAGAAGACGTTGGAGAAGGAGGATATCGTGGACAGAGGGGTGCAGAAGCTGCCATCCGTGCACCCCGAACCGCGTTTCGCGGTCAAGACTGAGGTCCTCAACTTCGTGAAGCAGACCTTTGAGGAGGTCCAGGACGTGCTGGACGCGCTGTCGCAGGCGGCGAAGCCAGATATGACCGACCTGGACTCGAAGCGCTGGGTAGTCGACCGGAACGACGTGCTCATTCGCAACCTGACGCATGCGCGAACCTTGTCCGCTCTGCATCTCGCGTGGTCGGCCATCAGCACGCGAGCGGCGGTGGCCCTTCAGGAGTATCGCAAGATGAGGACCAGAGCGGAAGCCCTAGCGCAAGGCCGTCACCCCCCTTTCATGTCGCCTATCACTACGCCTTCCAGCGTCTACCGCGAGCTCGATGAGATCTCGAACCCCGAGGAGCAGTTGAAGTACGTGGTCGGCGCGGTGCCGGGATATAAGGACAAAGACGATTACGACCCGGATGCCCCGCGGGCGTATAGAAGACGCTTCATGGGAAGGACCTTCGAGGAGATGACGATCGTGCCGCGAGAGCTGAGCCGCGCGTTCCCTGAACGTCGTCCTGAGTGGAACCCGGCCCTCAAGTACTACGTAGACGGGGAGCAGTTCGAGCACGATGGCAAGTCAGAGACAGGAAACCCTCTAGCGGGCTACCCTGAGTTCGTACCGCCGAGGAAGGGCGGTAAAGGGAAGCAGCGAGCGGAGTTTCAAGACGACTCGAGAAGCGGTACCCAGTCCGAAAGGGAGAGGGAGGACTCGTCGAGGGAGAGGAGACATACGCGCTCGAGAAGCCCGTCGCGCGAGGAGCGGTCCTCTTCTCGGCGAGAGTCGAATCGTCGCGATCGTTCTCCTCGACGGGAACTGTCACCTCAAAGGCGGCGTCAATCGGGCATTGGAGCTCTCGCTGGAGACTTGAAGCCAACCGCCTACGTACCCCCTCACAAGCAGTTCGGTTTTGAGTCGATTTCTACGGCGCGCTACGCGCGTAGGGGCGAATACAGCTCCAGCCGCGAGAGGGACTCGCCACCGCACCAATCCAGATCGAGGGGAAACGCGGACGACTCGGACTGGAGAAGGAGGCCTGAACGCGACAAGGAGCGACGTGACTCTAAGCGCAAACTCACCAGCGGCCCTCCGAAGCAAGGAAAAGGAGGTCGTCGAGATGACCGTCAGAGGTCTGGACGGAGAGGTGGCGCACCGCCTGACCCACCAGACGGCGACCCAGATGGCGGGGAAGAGGAGGACAGCGACGACGGACGTGCCAGAGGAAGGAGGTCGCCGATAGACTTGAATGATGACTTCGACGAAGACGACATCCCCTACGGCGACAAGAGCCCAACCATCCTCTCCGTGCTGAAGCCCGACGCAGTTCCCGGATGGGACGGGGATAAGGAGACCGCTATCGACTACCTGTGGTCGGTGTATGAGTTAGCGAATGGAGGAGGAACTCTGCGACGAGCCGTGGGATACTGGCTCTGGTTCAAATTCGAGAAGGGCTCCGCCATTCACCACTGGTACATGACCTTGTCGCCGGAGCAGAAAGCGGACATGCGCCGAGACGCGTACGTCTTCCTCGACGTCATCAAGCGCGACTACCTGGGAGAGCCCTGGATTCAGGACATTACCACCGAGTTCAGGCTGCAGACATTCCGCGATCACCGACACCGCACAGAGTCGCCGAGTGCCTTCCTGCATCGGAGGATTCTGTACGCGAGATCACTCGACCTCGCTCCGGTCAACTCGCCCGCCGAGATCTCTCTCATACTGCGAGCCGCTCCCATGGAGTGGAGCATTATTCTAGTCCCGTCTACCATTCCCTCTACCGACGCGCTTAAAGCCCGGGTCATTCAATTCGAGAAGCAGCTACTCACGTCGGCAGATATCTCCAAAACCTCGTCTTCATCGCATGACCTGAAGTCCCAAGTACTGAATGTCTTGCGAGATCTGCGACACGCCGCCCGAATGAACGCGAAAAAAGGCGCGGTTGCGTACGATGCGGAATGGGCATGGGAGGACGAACAATCTGAGGCGGCGGAAGATGGGTCGACTAATGATCTCCTTGCGATGGCGGTCAACTTAGTCGCTTCTCGCGACAAGAAATCGCCTCCGCCTCCTCCCATGTTCCCCGCGCGTAACGATATTCGCAGCAAAAAGAAGCCGCCTACGCCTTGTCGGCCCTGTGGAAGTCCCTTCCATTGGAATCGGGACTGCCCGCACTATAAAGAGTGGAGGGATCGTCGGGCGGCAGAGGCGCACAGCGTGGATGTGGCGGATAACGAGGCTGAACGGGCCTACGAGGTCGCTTACTTCCTGTCGGAGGTGCAAGCGGGTTTTGAATGGGCGATCGCCGAGTCCTCTAGGGAGGAGGAGGGATGTAAGCCCCAGGAGAGCTGCGAGGGAGAAGGAGTCGCTCTAGTGATAGAGACGCACAGCTTCGCAAACCGTATAGAAGAGATTCCGGAAGAGTATTGGCACGAGGGCGAAGTTTTGTCTCCCGACTCGCCATACCTTCTTGAGAGCATCTACGAGAGCGAGGCCCCGCGTCTGGAGAGGACGGGAGCGCGAGAGGAGGCATACGCGGCGGGGAAGCCGCCGGCAGATGACGAAGTGCCCCCACAAGACCGACCGCCGGACGTCAAGGACTGGCCGAAGCCCTACGGCGCCGAAAGGGTGCGAATCCAGTCTCGGCGAGTCCGACGTCCCCTGGGACGAGCAGCAGCCGGCACTGCGGTGTTGAGCGTCAAGGGGTACGTACTGTCGAAGAAGAATGGGTTGAAGAAGCTGCGCGTCGATTCGTGCGCGAGCCTATCCCTACTGAGCGGGAAGACGTACGACGAGCTGGACAACCCGCCGAAGATCCGCCAGGGAGCGAAGATGCGGCTGTGGCAGCTCACCGACAAGACGGTGTCGATACGAGGGTATGTCCGCCTGCCGGTGCTCATCATCACGGACGACGGGACCCTGCTCGAGGTGGAGGTCGAGTTCTACGTGGTGGAAGGAATGACCGTACCGCTGCTTCTGGGAGAGGACTTCCAGCAGGCCTACGAGCTGTCCGTGACTCGTAGCCTCGAAGAAGGCACGAAGATCTCCTTCGCCAACTACCCCTACGTGATCACCGCCGAAGGAGAGCAACGCGATCGCGAATTCGAGGAGGTGGAGAGGGCGTACGTTGGCGAGACCACCCCGAAGCACTATCTCAAGGGGGCGTACCGGCAAGCCTTGAAGAGGCGACGCAATCGGCGCAAGCAGAGGATCGACGAGGAAGAAGGCATTATCCGCGCGAAGGAGAAGATACGTCTCAAGCCGGAGACCGTGGTACAAGTCGAGGTCTCCGGACCGTTCGACACTCCCGGCGAATGGGTAGTGGAAAAGGAGCTCATCGCGTCCACGAGCGAGAGGCCCTTCGCCATCCCCAACACTCTCATCTCGTCGCAGCGCCCGATGATCCCAGTAGCCAACACGTCCACCGTGCCGAGGTTCATACAGAAGGGAGAAGCGCTGGGAAGAGTCCATCGCGTTGACGAGTTCTTCGACAAGCCGAGCACCCGGGAGGAAGCGGAGGAATTCAGTCGACACGCGGCCTTCCTATCCACCATGATCGACATTAACGCGAGGAACGGCGCGCGGGGCGCGGGCAAGACCGAAACAAGACGCAAGGCGAAAGTCGAGACGAAGTACCGCATGCCAGAATCCAGTAACTACGACGCCTGGTGGGAAGGAAGGCGATCTTTCCCTATGCCAGACGCGGAGACGTACACAGCGTGGCGAGACTCCTTCAAGGAAGAACAAGAGCGCGCTGGCGAGTCAGAGGAAGCGGAGCAGGTCGGCCCAAAGACCGCGGAGATGCCCGAGACGCAGGACATCTCCTCTCGGGACTTCCTGAAGGAACTCGACGTAGGGCAGCTTCCTGAACACTTGCGGGAGCGGGCCTTGGCGATGCTGCAACGGAGGCAAGGAGCGTTCGCGCTGGACGGCCGGCTGGGCAATCACCCCGCGATGGCGAAGATTCGAACGAAGGAGGGCGTCGAGCCGATCGCACTGCCCATGAGGGGCTCTTCGCCGGCGAAGAAAGCGGTAATGGACGAGCAAATTGACAAGTGGTTCGAGCAAGATGTCATCGAGCCGTCGCGCAGCCCATGGAGCGCGCCGGTAGTTATCGCATACCGCAATGGCAAGCCTCGGTTCTGCGTGGACTATCGAAGGCTGAACGAGGTCACCATTCCCGACGAGTTCCCCATCCCGCGGCAACAGGAGATTCTCGCCTCACTTTCGGGAGCTCAAGTTCTGTCCTCTCTCGACGCTTTATCGGGATTCACGCAGCTGCGTCTGGACCCACAGGACGTGGAGAAAACAGCTTTCCGCACGCATAGAGGGCTGTTCCAATTCAAACGCATGCCATTTGGACTACGCAACGGCCCATCTATTTTCCAGAGGGTTATGCAGTCGGTGCTTGCGCCGTACCTGTGGCTCTTCGCGTTAGTCTATATCGACGACATCGTCGTGTACTCGAAGTCGTTTGAAGAGCACATAGAGCATCTGGACCAGGTTCTTGGAGCGATCGAGGAAGCGCACATTACCCTCTCGCCGAAGAAGTGCCATCTCTTCTACGATTCGATCATCTTGCTGGGGCACAAGGTCTCGAGGTTGGGGCTATCCACGCACTACGAAAAGGTCAAGGCCGTCCTAGAACTCAAGCGGCCGAACTCGGTATCAGAGCTGCAGACCTTCTTAGGGATGCTCGTATACTTCAACACATTTATCCCCTACTACGCCGACGTTTGCGGCCCTCTACACGCGTTGCTCAGGAAAGGGACACCTTGGAGGTGGGGAGCGGATGAGGAGTACGCATTCATACAGGCGAAGACGGCGCTACAGAGGGCGCCGGTGCTCGGTCACCCAATCGAAGGAATGCCATACCGGCTGTACACGGACGCGTCGGATCACGCACTAGGATGCGCATTGCAACAGGTTCAGCCCATCAAGATTGGAGATCTGAAGGGAACACGTACCTACGAGCGTCTGCGAGAAGCGTACGACAAGAACCAGCCCGTACCGCAGCTGGTGACGAAGCTGTCCAGCAAAGCGCAGGACGTGAAGCCGCCTGGGAAGTGGGGGGCTACTCTCGACGACACGGAGGTGCAGATTGAACGCGTCGTAGCATATTGGTCGCGAACCTTCAGAGGAGCGGAGGCGCGCTACAGCACGACAGAGCGGGAGGCGCTCGCAGCCAAGGAAGCGCTGGTCAAGTTTCAACCCTACCTCGAAGGCTCCTCCATACTTCTAGTAACAGATCACAGCGCGCTGCAATGGGCTCGCACGTACGAGAACAGCAATCGACGCTTGGCGTCTTGGGGGGCAATATTCTCAGCGTACCAGCCGGGGCTCGAGATTATACACCGCGCAGGGCGGGTGCACTCCAACGTCGACCCTTTGAGTCGAATTCCGCGGGAGCCCCCCGCCTTCGTGTCTCCGCGACCGCCAGAGACCCCGCCTCTTCAGACGGATGCGGCTACGGCACTGCTGAGGGAGGAGATGGCTTCGCGTGCAGCCGCGCCAAGGGCGTTCGCAGGGCTGTCGCTGCTCGACTGCGTGGAAGAAGGGCCTGGAGCTTTCGCAGCAGAGCTTAGACGGTCTTCTCGGCTAGCGCGTCGGGGGGCTGAGGGCGAGCAATGGACTACGAGCCAGCGGGAAGCACAGGCAGAAGCAAACCAGGAGGTCGAGTTGAGAGAACAAACGGGACAGTCGACGACGCCGGAAGAAGGCACGGCAGACGCGCGAGTCGAGCAGACCATCAACCGGGAACAGGAGGAAGATGACGAGCTCGAGAGGGTACCAACCAGAGCCGAGTACGAAGCAGCATTCCGTCGGCCGCCAGCGCTGGTAGCGCACATCGAAGAGGACCTAGCGCAGCGATTCAGGCAGGGTTATCAGGAGGAGGCATATTGGGCAAGACGTTACGAGGAGGCAGATACGCTTTCGGCTTCGTGGACGCCAGGAAGGCGGTACTACAAGTCGGAGGACGGCTTGCTGTTCTTCCTGGACGCAGATTACCTGCCGAGGCTGTGCGTACCGGACGCGCTGGTCGACGAGATCCTACTCAAGGCGCACGAAGAACCGATGGAGGGAGCGCATACCGGGGTAGCGAAGCTATGGGCGCGACTTCATCCCCGATTTCACTGGAGGCACATGAAGAAGCGCATAGAGGGATTCTGCGAGACTTGCGATGCATGTCAAAAGGTCAAGAGCGCAGCTTTCACGAAGTACGGAACCTTAATCCCTAACCCGATACCGATCGCGCCCTACGAATCGGTGTCAATGGACTTTATTGTGGAGCTTCCGGAATCGAACGGCTTCAACGCCATAATGGTGGTGGTAGACCGACTGACGAAGCACGCCCAGTTCCTGCCGACCAAGACGAAGATCAACCGCTTCGACGCGGCGCGGCTGTTCGTCAACAACGTGGTGACGAGGTTTGGAGTACCAGCGAGCATCGTCTCGGACAAGGACCCGAAGTGGACCTCCGAGTTCTGGCAGCACGTCGCGAAGGAGCTGCGGACGAGCTTACTGATGTCGTCGACTCACCATGCGCAGACGGACGGGCAGACAGAGATCGTGAATCGGTTCCTCGAGACGATGATTCGAGCCTACGTCGCGAAGGACAAGAAAGGCTGGGAGCCACTGCTTCCCATGCTGGAATTCGCATATAACTCGGCCGTGCATAGCTCTACAGGGCAGTCTCCATTCTTCCTTCTGCTAGGCTACCAGCCTCCTTCGCCGCTGGACCGCGCGGTGCCGAACCAGGCAGGGAAGATCCCCTTCTCGAGGCTGTTCGAGTCGCAGAAGTACTTGCAGGAGCTCAAGATGGCGCACCAGGCGGCAAGGGATGCGATAGCGGTAGCACAAGACGAGCAAGCGCGCGCGTATAACAAAGGAAGGAAGCCTGTCCCCGAGTTCAAGAAGGGGGACCTGGTACTCGTCAATCCGCACTCCTTGGAATGGGTAGAGGCCAAGAACAAGCCGAAGTTGATGCAGCGTTGGATAGGACCGTTCGAGATCGCCCAGCAAGTCAACCCGAAGGTGTACCGTTTGAAGATGGACGACCGTTACCCCGGTATCCCCGTCTTCAACATCGAGCATTTGAAGCGATACAAGCCGGGCCAGACCACCGTCGAGGACAAGCGTACGAAGTTGCCAACGACGAGGGGAGACAAGATAGCGACCGAAGAGTACGAAGTCGAACGCATCGTAGGCCACCAGTGGGACGGCAGGAAGAAGAAGATCGTGTACCAGGTGCGCTGGAAAGGATTCGGGCCGTTCTATGACACGAAGCAGGTCGAAAAGGATCTGAAGAACGCGCCCGACGTGCTGGCCGAGTACAAGCGGGAACACGGTCTATGAAAGGGAGATGAGTAAATTATAATAGAGCCGGCCGGCGAAGAGAAGCAGCGTCGCGCACGTGCAGGTTCCGAAGTTACATCGATGTATCGCCTGTGAATATTCTGATCGATTTCCCTTGCTCCCGACGACCACCAAGGGCTCTGAACTGGCGTTCGACGAACGAGTGTGGGCAGCCAACTCTGAACTCGAGCGCGGGGAAGCGGGTTACGGAGAGCCGTTCCTGCAGACCTAACAGTATGGTGTCCTTCTCAATCTTCAAATCGCTCGCCAACGCTCCCCGCTACGTCGCCAGTCGAGTGGGGGGATATCTCTGGGGATCTGTAGCAGCCGACCCCGAGGACCTGCAGCATATCGACGTTGATCGACGCCGATCGTACTGGGGGGCCCGTCTGCCGATACGACTCATCGACTGGTTCAACTACGCGCGACCTTGGGACGGCTACGCTCCGTACCCCGTCTTCGCCGCAGACGACATCCTCCGATGGCTGGGCGACCTGCCGAAGGGGCATTGGCAACCGCAGACTCGAGGTGGCGTCAGGATCGGTGCATCCTTCCGGGTCGGGCTGGCGCAGCTGTCAGAGCAACTGGAACGCGCGTGCAAGGACATTGTCGACCATGTATTTCCCATCTTCGACCGCTACGGCGAGCGCGAGCCCGATGCCCCCTTTACTCCTTACACGGTTACTCGAGAGGAATTGGACACGGTTTTCGAATCAGCGGAGGAAGGCTTGAGCTCGGTGCAGGAATGGCAAGCGAGGCTACTCTCCAACGTAGGCTTCTTAGCTTGGTTCACGGCGAGCATGGACAGCTGGAAGGACTGTATGGGGAACGAGACACGGGAGTTCATCATCAGTCTAGCCCTCGAGAGCCGCCCCCTGCGCGGATACCTGATCAATCTCGCCGTCGACTACCCTTGGATCGATATCGCGCAGCTGATAGAGCACGAAGTCCCCTTCCACTACATCTGGACGCCTGCCGCGCATTTCGACAGTCGGTACCTCCGAGCCTACCCGTTCTTGGTCGCGCGCACGCTCGAGTGGTGGAAGCAGAAGGGCGTGGAGCCGACGGACGACGACATCCTCCAAGGTCAGGGTGACCTGCGAGCCGTATGGGAGTACGATCGCCTCTTCCAATGCACGGCCCCTGAGGAGCTACCCGACGAGATACACCCCGATGACCGCCGCAGGCCTCTGCCCACCGACTGCACTTACACCATAAGACTGTACGAGGACTGGCACGAGTTCGAGACCGCGCGGGTGGACGTAGTCTCGCGGGTAGCCGACCGCTACGCTGTCGGACGCCCTCGCCGCCCGTTGGTGAAGGACGACTCGCGGGAGGAGCTTCGGGTATATGCGTGGCTGGCGAAAGGAGCGAGCAAGGACACGCGCACGCCAAAGGAGAGGGCTCAAGACCCATCCTGGAGAATCGACGAGACGCTGTTCGACTTGCCCGAAGTCATGACCCGAGGGAAGGGCGTGAATGGTCGAGAAATGCGCCGCTATCGAAATGCACCCTACCCCGAAGAGATGCTCCGCGACGAGAACGTGACGGATGATGAGGACAAAGTCGTCCAAGCCCTGGAGGAGCAGATCCTGATGGAGGGGCTCTGGAAGGACTCGCCGATACCGAACCGCACAGGTATGACCGCTGAGGGAGAATGGGAGAGGGTTCGCGCTTTCATCCCCGCGATCGAGTACGACAGCAGCAAGCAGTACGACACCATCCCCGAGATCGAGACCGAGATCGGACCGGAAGACATGGACGTCGACCGCCCCGAGGAAGCCAAGAGCAAGCCAACGCTCATCGAGAGACTATCGACCCCCACGGCGAGACCAGTAGGGACGTTACGCGACCGGATTGGACAGAGAGTGCCGGATAACTGGAGACCCCCCGAGGAGAGGACCCGGGCGCAGTCGAGCCGGGAGCGACAGGTCATCACTGCGGCAGGTCCCTCCCGTCGCAGCGCCTCGCCTGAGCGCCGAGGAACGCCCTCGCCGTCACTACTAGCTCGATTCCAGTCGACGTCGACGGTGGAGCTGGGGGCGTCAATCTCGTCACGTAACACGTCCGAGCTATCTCTAGCGACTGACCTCCTCCCGCCGTCGAGCTCACGGATCATCCCGCGTCACTCTAAGGACTGGTCGGATGCGTGGAGCAAGATGAAGCAGCAGCTGAGCGCGATTGGACTCAAACTCACGGGGCAAGAGCATCCGCGAGCACGGCTACCTCACGACGCGGTGACACTAGCGGAGGAGGTCAAGACGGAGGGCTACCTGTTCTTCGAGCGCGCGCAGGACTGCGTGCGATTCTGGATCTGGATGCTGGAGAACCCACGGGCGCGAGCGGAAATCCTGGTCGAGAAGGCTATCTGCGCTGGCATCCCGCTGACGATAATGCTCCCGGTCACCTACTACACTATCGAGCCCCCGCGGAAGCCCGTCTCGGATCAGGAGAGTCACTACATAGAAATGGTGGAATTCGGACAGGGGGGAACCAATCTTTTCCTTCGTTGGGTCTCGGGAGTGAAGGACATCGCCCGCCGGCCACACGCGGCGGCGATTTACCTCAAAGGGGGCTACGTAGCGCGCGTGCTCGAACGATGGGCGGCAGAGGAACTCCCCCCCGACTGGGGGAAGGGGCCGTGCCTCAAGACCCGAGACACTTTCGCCGGGAAGTTGCGCGGACCCGGCGCTCCAGTCCCCAAGCTGTTCAGCGACTACGCGGCGACAGAGGAGATTAACTACCTGCTGGGGACTATGAAGGCGATACCGGGGCAGGGGAAGCAAGACGAGAACACGGTGCGCTCTGCCTTTCCGCCGGCGGACCTGGCCGAAAACCCTCGTCTCTGGCCGAGCTGCGGGGAATGGACGGTGGAGGAGGAGAAGTTCTTCCAGTTCATCGCGGACAAGTTCGAGCACGGACGATGGAGCTTGCCCTCGCGGAAGCAATGGCGGGAAGTCCTGAGAGACCGCGCCCGGTCGCGACGCCCGCGCGTCGAGCTCAAGGACCTTCTCGATGAGCAGGTGGTAGATGACTGGCGGGACTATCTCGGAAGGGCGTACGCCGCCGACCCAAGCTATCTGCCGATCGCCTCGCTGGGGGACATCGGAGAACCTACGCGTCTATTTTACGACTGAAGGCTCGCTGCGGAGTGGGGGGCTTTGTGAGGGTTCTGGACCTCGTGAGTGAGGGACTCCTTACCGAGCCGTCTGTCGGGGGTACCTTTCTTTTCTTTTTGTTTCTACTTACGGTTACTACGCTTTTCACCGCGCATTCGGCTCTTGGACTTGCACTTATGCTACGCTGGCGCACGTGCCGGCCTCCTGACCGCCTCGTGCGCCGTCGCGGACTTACGTTTGGTCACGGTGTTATCTAGTCACGATATTACGAGAATAGCACTTTACTTCTTCCCAACCTCTACATCCCGCGGCTACGCCTTGAGGGCTCCGCCTACTAAGAGACGCCTGACACGGAGAGCCGGTCAGGTGTGAGCGTCCGAGGGTTACGGATAGCCGTTCCCTCACTCTCAACCTCGCCAGTAGGCGACCACTCTGCCGCGCCACGTGGCGTCTTCGTGAGAGACACCCACCAAGCCGCTAGGCTCTTACACAAAGCATGCGGCACCCCCTGCCCATTCAATTCACTATTCCCCCCCCCTCCCCATCACCCCATGTCTCCCACCTCGCTACCTTCTGTCAAGGTGGGCTGGTCTTCATGCGGAGGGAGCTGAGAAGACGCGCTAACCATGCAACAAGCGGCTCGGTTGACAACGGCACGTAGGGGAGGGGCGAAGAGGTAGGGATGCGCATTTTCCCCTCGTCGAGAGATATGATTCCCTTAGCTACCTCTCCCTATGCGTTTACGAGGCACTACAGTCGAACCCCTCATAACGCGTAACCATCGGAGCGCACCCGAGGCTCGACTGCTCGGACCCTCTGCTCTGAGAATTATATACACTGGGAGGTATACACCCCAAGAATTATATCCGAAAGATAGTTCAACCCAAGCGCGCCTACAGCGAGCCTCGGAGGCGCTCCGATAGGTATGCGTTAAGAGGGGCTCGACTGTATACCTATACAGGAGACAATCCAGTATGTTGCCAGCTTGTGCGTGCGTGCATCCCTGATGTCAACGCGCAGGTTCTTCAGCGACTGGAAGCGGCCTTTCAGATAGCTGATGGCGTGCTCGGACCGAATCCGTAGTATAGATACTTGGTTGTTGAACGCCGCGTTCTCGGGATCATCACGCTCTGGTGCTTTATAAGGTGCGACAGCCCATTCTGAGATCTATACGTGAAGTTGACGGTCAGCATCTTAGTTGTGTGCACATCCAATGACGTACTGGGTATGCAGAGTCCGCCCACACCCACTCGCCTTCCTCGAAGATGTCAGCGTGCTCTTGCGCAAGACAAGTACTACTCCCATGCGATAGCTTCATGCGCGCTCCCAACGTGACCGTACCCAAAGTCGATGATACGCAAGTTCGGAAGGTTGACTATCTGCCGGTCCCGGTGAGCATGTGGCGCTTTGTACAAATGTTCAGCGAGTAGCGACTCTTCCGATCGAAGTAACTTTTACCCATACCACACGGGACGCCTCGCCAGGGGCACCAACGTGCCGTCTACAAAGCACCATCCCCCACGCCACGCCCTGCAAGAGTGCTCCTCAACCCACTCCTTCACCTCCTCCTTCTCTTCCGCAGTCGGCAGCCGCACTACCTCCTGCATAAATCCCGACGATGGGCGCAAGAGGGCAGTAATCACGGGCTGGACACTCCCCTTCCCTATCCCTGCCAGTCGGCCGTGGCATGCCAGCCGGCGGCATTTCCGTCGTGCCCAAAGCGGTACAAAGCAACGGCGAGCTGCTCTTCCACCGGGGCTTAGTGTGCGGTGGCTGAGTTAGGGTTAGGGTTAGGGTTAGGGTTAGGGTTAGGGTTAGGGTTAGGGTTAGGGTTAGGGTTAGGGTTAGGGTTAGGGTTAGGGTTAGGGTTAGGGTTAGGGTTAGGGTTAGGGTTAGGGTTAGGGTTAGGGTTAGGGTTAGGGTTAGGGTTAGGGTTAGGGT